CCCTAACCCTAACCCTAACCCTAACCCTAACCCTAACCCTAACCCTAACCCTAACCCTAACCCTAACCCTAACCCTAACCCTAACCCTAACCCTAACCCTAACCCTAACCCTAACCCTAACCCTAACCCTAAGTCTCGGTCCCCTTCACTGGATAGACTCCGCCCGACTCGTGTCAGATTACGCCTTCGATTTCAGCAGCGACAAGTGTTGTGACTCGTTTAGGAGACACAACCCCCGTCCCTGACAGCAACTCAGCAAGAAATAACGACCAAAATAGCTCTTCAGCCAGATTGCGAGGTCTCCGTAAGCGACGGCGACGTCCACTAATGGAAACGAGAGCTCCAAGTTCAACACGAACGACTGACAGCTCCTTTCTTGGAGTGAATGCTACCCAAAAAAGGAGTAATTTGACAAACGAGAGCTGTAAGCAACAGCAACTTGCCTACAAGCAAGAATTCTTAGCAAGTTAGACCAGACTATGCCTCACCGAGACCGCCAAAGCTGAGGGTGAGTAGGCTAGAACAGGTAAGAGCCAGAACAGTAGTATTGGTAAAAAAGAGCAACTAAGAGGGCGAACCTCATACACCCTTAAATATCTGCATGATGCTCCGACCTCACAAATAAATGAGCCCAATGAAATGGACCTCCGACAATTCGATCCAGAACGTCGACGAACATGGCAAAGTCCGTCGCAATTGAGTCGGGGATGAGTGGGTTCGAAGAGCCGTTGCACGCGATTCAGCTGCAGCTGCGGGAGAATAAGACGGTCGCGACGGGGAAGGATCAGGTTGTTGAGACGGTTGGCTCGACGGAAGACATCGAAGGAAGCGATGCGCAACCCGTCACGACCACCAAATGGGAAGTTTGGGCTTACTACCTCTACTGTACGCCTCCCTCCTCTCCTCTCATCCCTCGCCTAACTTCCCCCAAATCCCACAGACGTCGGCAATTCTGGCCTCGGACCCTTCAACTTCGGCCCAGCCCTCATGCAAAACCTCCTCTCCCAAGCCGCCGACTCCAACGGCCTCCTCCCCTTCGCCACACCCAAATCCATCAATGCAATCGTCCTCGAAGCAAACGGAATTAGTTTCGCAATCCAATGCGTACTCTTCCTTATCCTCGGCTCATTCGCAGACTATGGGAGATGGAGACGAGTCATCCTCATCGTACTCAGTATCCTCGCCTGGGCGGACGGATTCGCATGGCTCGGCGTCACGGATCCGAGTGAATGAAAGATCGGGATCGGGCTGTACATCGTCGGGCTCATCACATACCAAGCAACCCTCACCTTCTGGACCGCCGCATTCCCCTCCCTCGTCCGGGACCTTCCCATCCTCCAAGCCTCCCGCTGTGACCTCACAACCGCCGCAACAACACCCGAAGCGCACGCCGCCCTGGACTCCTACCACCGAAATCGCCTGAGCAATATGTCTTTCTACGTCTGTTCCTGCGGCGAACTCCTCATCCTCGCAATCGTTGTCGGGATCATGTACGCCTGCAACGCAAACGGGACCCTCGCCCAAAACACCCGCGCAAACGCCATCATCCTCGCCTTCGCTTCATCAATCTGGATCCTCGTCGCGATTCCATGGTTTATCCTCGAGAAACCCCGTCTCGGGCAACAAATGCCAAAAGACAAAAACTATTTCACGGTCTCGTTCTGGAATATCGCGCGTGCGACGAAGAGTATTTGGAAGCTCCCGCAGACGGCACTATACCTTGCCGCGTATTTTATCTTTATCGGACGCGCTGAATACAGCCGTGACAGTCATCGGCACCCTCCAATACGAAATCGCATCGTACTCAACCCTCCTCCTAACCTACCTCCTCCTAACCTACCTCCTCATCGTCGGCATCTCCACTCAAGCACTTGGCATCCACGCCTTCTGGTCCCTCCAAAAACACTACCACATCCCAACAAAATCCATGCTCCTCCTCGTCGTCCTCTTCCTCCTCCTCCTAATCGCCTGGGGCTGTATCGGCATAACCTCCCCCACCTTCGGCTTCAAACATTTATGGGAAATCTGGGCATACCAAGCCTTCTACGGATTCCTCGTGTGCCCGTGGTACGCCTACTCCCAAACCATGATATCCGAACTCGTTCCCCACGGAAAAGAATTCCTCTTTTTCGCGCTCTTCTCGATCGTGGGAAAGACGTCCAGTTTTGTGGGGCCGTTTGTGAGTAGTGCGATTGTTGAGCGGAGTGGGAATGGGAATATGCCGTTTGCGTTTTTAATGGGGCTTGCGGGGGTTGGGGTGGGGGTGTTGTGGTTTGTGGATGTGGAGAGGAGTCGGGGGGAGTGTGAGAGGTTTTTGAGGGAGGAGGGGGATGGAGGGGACAACTGATTGCCATACAGTATTAGAGATATCTGTGATATCCTATATCGTTAGACAGAGACGAGCAATCGAACATGAATATCGTAGCCTTTATCGTACAACATTCCGCGTATCATAGCCCCCCTCGACGAATGCCCACCTCACTGCTCAATCACATTCGGCCCCAAATCCTCCTCCTTCCCCTTCCCCTTCCTCACCCCTCCTCCACTCGCTCCACGTGCATCCATGATATTCCCCTGCTCAACCTCCCTCCCCGCCTTCATCGCCCCCTCCAACACCCCCTCCACAGCCTCCATCCCATCCTGGACTTCCATCCTCACATCATACTGCGACTCCGGCTCAGACCACCACACAGGCCCATGCGTATGCTCTTCCTCCGTCCTACGCTGGCGATGACGGATTTCGTGGATTGCGGCGTCGAGGTCGCGATCCATCTGTTCGCAATTTGTCAGTAGTATGATAGCCTGTGCAACTTTCAACGAACTTCTTTGATGCGTCTCTTTGCTTCCAGGAAGGCTTTTTCGAGTTTTTTCTGTTTGGCGTGGTAGTCGTCGAGTTTCGTCGCCTTTGGGGAAGCATCGTCAGGGCGGTGGGGGACGGTGAAGAGGGTCGATTGGGCGGTTGGGGCTTCATGAGAGGTGGTATGGAGGGAGCGGAGGGTCGAAGTGAGGACGGCTTGTGAGCGGAGATGGAAACGGAGCGTCGCGGTCACTGCGCCGGCACGAGGGCTCGAGGAGAGGAGTGCCAGTAGCGACATTCTCAATGGATTGATTGTTGAAGTCGAGGAAGGTATGAGGCATCACTTGAACCTTATATAGCCGGTCGATTCATCAATAAGGAGGCGGAGGTCAGCTGAGCGGGGTGTTCGCAACATGTGAAGACGCGGACCGGGGTCTGACCGGTGGGAAGCACTCCTTTCTGCCATGGCATGATCTACGATGGTTTGGAGCATATTCATATATCACGATAGATTGAAAGAGGAGCAGTTATACGGCAGAAAAAGAGGCAGAAAAAGAAAAAGAGCTCCCTGACCGAGGATTGAACTCGGGTCCCGCGCGAGCCCAATGACAGGCGCGTATACTAGCCACTATACTATCAAGGATGGTTGATGTTCGACAACACGTATGTAACCCATATACACATATACTTTTCAAATACCTTTACGTTATCATGCTGCGTTCGACAGGCAAAAGCGCATCGGCCGCGGAGCTTTCGCACTCCACATGAACTTCTTCCTCGGGCGGATGTTGTTCTACGGGTAATAACCTTTCCAATCGGTCCATCAACTTCACATGTCCTTCCTTCATAGTTGATTTATCTCACCTGCAATTTCCCACGGTGTCGCACCGCCTTCACGCAATTCTGAGGCTCAAGTGCGCGGCCTCAATGAAGGTGAAGCCCAAGAGAACTATTGGGACCAACCATGTACTGACTGACAAGAGATACTTTTTCATTGACGATAACCAAAACGAAACATAACATCGATGTCGCAATCGCAACATTGCAACTGCGACGAGCCAACAGACAAGATATCCGCAAGCACAAATCAAATAAAAAAAACGCCGATTAATTCCAGAAATATCCCATATAATTCCACTCTCTCCCGGATTTTTGACTTTACTCCTCCAACTTCGCCAACGCCTCCCTAACATCGCTCTCCTCCAACACAGGCCCAGTGGTAGAACACTTCGCCTTCCCCCTCAACTCCCAACACAAACGATCGATATCCAAACTATCAAATTTGGGGTGTTGCTTAATCCGTGCCCAAGTCTGTGTACAGTCGAGGAATTGGCGGTCAGCGGGGACGGAGTCTCCAACAACCTCCTCACCATTCTCACCAACACCGACGAGGGCATCCATGTCGTCGTCGAAGAACGAGCTCTCCCCTACAGCAGTCGGCAACAAATCCGACCCCGAAGATCCCGAACTCGTCCTCTGCGTCCTCGGAGACGCCACACCACCATCCTCATTCGCCATATCGAGCGGAAAGAGAGAAGTCGTCCCACTCCCCACAAGATCCGGCAAATCAAACAAACTAGTCCCCTCCCCAATCCCAGTCTCAGCCCCAAACAACTCATCCAACCCCTCAAGGCCAGTCCCCGCGCCCTCACGATACTCATTCCAGAAATTCGAGCCGTCATTTCCTGGTGTCGCGCCCGTCGTAACCACACCCGTGATGGCATTCGTGTTCGAGGCGGCGGCTTCGACGACTGCACCGAAAGACGGAAGTCCCATCGTCGAAACAACAGGCGACGAAAACAAAGAACGGGCACCACCCTCAATCGGCGCCGTCGGAAGCTGCGGAACGGGGTTCTTGAGCGTCCCACACGCAAGACTCAACTGCGCACAGAAATCACTCTCACACTTGGGTGTCTCGACCACAACCGTCGTCGTCGTCGTCGTCGTCGCAGCAGCAGGACCAGGAATAGGCGGCGTAGTGACGGGAGCAGGCGACTTGAACGCCGGAAGCGCAGCAGGACAAAACGTCTCACACGGGGTCCTACTCCCCGCCCCCGTCGGACTCGTCGCACAACTCGACCCGGTGGACGCTTGTCCAAAATTAACCCTAATCGGCACCGATCCCACACCGCCTCTCGCCTCCTCGTGTCCCATGGAGCTACACGTCGAACTCGCACTCGACAACCCCGGCGCTGTCGACGCTTCCTGTTGCTGTTGGGCCTGTTGGGCTTGTTGTTGTTGGCGAAGAGCGTTCGCAAGGGATCCCTGCTGCATCTGCATCTGTGCCGAAGCCTGACCAAAGACGCCTTGTGGGTGTGCGAGGGGATCCATACTCCTCGGAAACTCAAACGTGAATTCCCTCTTCACGCCCGCCACCCCCGTCCCATTCGCACCCTTCGTCCCCGCTTCGAGCTCCATCTTTAGTTGTGCCCGGAGCATCCGTACTTCAGCTTTGAGTGACTCCACCTCCTCATCCTTTTGGGCGGAGATAGCTTCGAGCCTCGCAACATGAATTTCGAGGCTCTTGACGTGTTGTTCTTTACGCTCACGGAAGGCGCGCTGTGCTTGTCGGTTCTGTGCTTTGCGTTTGGAGGTGGGTTCATTCGTCAACGGCTTCCTCCCCGGTTTCTTTTTGTGGTCGCCTGGGCCAGAGGGGCCAGGGGTGCCTATTGCTGAGGCGGGGGTTTCGGCTTCGGCGGAGGTTGATTCGTCGGATTCTACAACACACTTCGTCAGTGTCCTGTACCACACAACATGGCGCAGTATAACGTACCTCTCCTCTTACGTCTCGCACCCATCTCAATCCCCTCAACCCCATCACCAACCCTCTCCTCCCCCTCCTCCCCCTCACCCTCATGCTCGAGCCCACGCTTCTCGTCTCGTTGGATATGGGACATCATCGCGGCGTACAACATCATTTGTTCTGGGTTGGTTGTTTTGAGGTCGGTGGGTGGAGGAGCGTGTTCATGTCGGGGGATTGCAGAAGTGACGATGGTGAGGTTGGGTTGTTGTTGGAAGAGGTCGGCCATTGCTGTGTGTCGAGTAGGATCACCGTGTGGTCGGTGTGTGCTGGGTGTAGGATAAAATAGATAAAGAGGTGCACAGTGTTGATCAGCTGTTTGAATATGCCGATGTCTGTATGTTCAATCGGTTATCGAAGTGTAGATCAACGGGTCCGTGCCGTTCGTTGACGAGGGTGTCGCTGTTCGGAAGTCTGCTGCAGCTTGAGTCACGCAGTCTCAAACGTCGTCGATATAAGGATAAAAACGCTCGGTGTTTGAGTAATATATCCGAGGCCTAATCGCAGTCGAATGCCGAATTCCGTACTGCTGGCCGGTGTTGGTGGTTGATTATCGACAAGGGTCTGTGTTGGTGGAGCACTACGTATGTCAGCAGCAGCAGCGGGAGAAGGAAAACTCGCGCACCACGGAATGTTCGGCAGCACTACTCTATGAATGTCGCCACTGAAAAAAAACATTGGAGGAGGACAATCGCAGTTATTTGGGTTGGTTTCTACGTGAAAAATGACTGTGACGGAGACTTTTCGCTCCTGTAAAAGTAGGTGGCGAACGGGGAAGGTGTGCCGAGGAGCCGAGCGGATGCAGAAGACGTGTGAAGACGCATGCCAAACTTTATTCGCTGGGGAGATCTCGGTTATCGAGATTCGATGCTGTGAAATAAGGATCGTCATGTTTGTCACTGTTCTTGGCGGTTCGTCACTTCATTTGTAGCATGTAGCTGGCCGTAGATCAACGCTGTTAATGTTCATCTTCCATCTCCTATATCTCTTCTGTTCTCTTCTCTTTCCAGTATCGTAGACCATACCCCATCTCAAATTTAAAGCGCCTTCGCCCAATCAACACTCCCATCCCCTCCCAACACCCCCCTCCTCTCCCACAACCCCTTCCTGCCCTCCTTGACACACCCCATGAACCTCCTCCAACACTCCCTCATCTCACACCCCACATCCTCCCGTTCCCGCCACGCTCTCATCACTTCCTCCTCGGTCGCGGTGCCCGATTTGGAGGTTTTGATCCAGGTATTTGTTAGGTCGAACCATTTTGTGAGGAGTTGGTGGGCACGAGCCTCTTCCTCCTGCCGGCCCTTCGCGAATTTTGCGTTGGCGGCGTCGGTGATGGTAAGATCCTCAGCAGGCGGAGCTTCATAGACATACTCCCTCCCACTCATCCCCCCATACCTCGCACTTATCCACGCACTCTCCAACCCCCCCTCAAACTCCCTCCCCAACTCCTCCTTCTTCGACACGAATCCAATCTTACTCTTCACGCGTGCGTCGATCATCGGTGAGAGGAGGGAGAACAAGACGTTGAATATCCGGGTTTGGTAGGAGGAGCCGTAGATGAGGCAGCGGCCGAGTGATTCTGGGAAGTGGGATTGTGTTATTTCCATGAAGAACTTGTAGAATTGCATGTCCTGTGCACACACACACACCCCAAATTAGCCACCTCCTCCCACTCTCGTACTCCCCCGCACCATACGTACCATATGTTTCGTCAACGAAAACCCATTAATATCCATAACGATCATCGCCCCCTCAACAGGCCACCCAGCCATCCCCTTCAACTCCTCAAAAAACACCAAGAGATGTTTCTGTAACACCTCGCGCGGAATCCGTTTTGGTTCCCAGCTTTTTAGGACGATCCAGACGACGGGGCGGTGGAGTGCGTCTTGGCCCCAGATGTAGCCGACGGGTGGGTCGGGGGTGGAGCCGTAGAGGATTTCGGGACAGTCGAGGAGGACGCCTGATTCACCCTGTCCGGATAACTCCAGAATACCTACCTGACGTCTCCAAGCGAGGGTCTGTAACATCTGCTTTAATCCGTTCGGCGCGCTGTACGACCGAGCCCGCAGGAACTTCAACAGCGAAGCATCAGGATGATCAGACGAGAGTAGAAGGAACAAATCCAAGGGGTTGATGGCGGGGTCGGCGGTGGAGTGTAGGCGGGCGAGTTCGGTGAGGAGGGAGTGGAGGGAGGTGAGTTCGGTGGGGGAGAGTTTGGATAGAGGTGTTGAGGGTGGGTAGGTTAACGTTGGCATGTTGGTCAAGGGATCGCGACTGGGAGAGGATAGAGGTAGAGGTAGAGGTGGTGGGGTGGGGGGGGGGGGGGTTGAGCGGGTTGAGCGGGCGGTGATATAACGAGGATGTTCTGATGGTGTACGGCCGGGCTGGTGCATGTGGGCGCGCTGATTGGCGTCCGTGCGAGCTCGAGCTCGAAACTGGAGTTCGAAGAAGACGGAAATCACGACGTACATGTATTTCGGCTCAAGAATCAGCTGAACGGGCGACGTGCGGTAGCGAATTCTGCATTCAAGCTTTTGGATTGCAAAAGCCTTGGACATACCTGTACACCCATATGCTGTGAGTTGGACGTGGTTGCCATTACTGAATTATCATGTTGGCGTTTTAACATCAGCCATCCTTGATAGTATAGTGGCTAGTATACGCGCCTGTCATCAGGCTCGCGCGGGACCCGAGTTCAATCCTCGGTCAGGGAGCACTTTTTTGTTTTGGTTTTTGCAGCTGGTTATTCCCACGTGTGTGCTCGACGGACGCGGTGAGGAAAAACGAAAGTACTTTTATAACATAACGCCAATCGCAAGAAAGATGCCAAAAATATGCCAATAACGAACGGAAAAGAAAAGACATTCACCCTGTAACCCAGAATTGGAGATCGCCTCACATCCCCCTAAACACATTCTTACTCGCACTCCTCCTATCCTGCCACCCCCTCGCCTTCGTCCTCCCCATATCCCTGCTCCCCTCTCCACCCTCCTCCTCCTCCCCATCCTCTCCACCACCATGCGCACCCCTCGGCTTCTTCGCCTTCTTCTCAACCGTGAAAGTGATTTCTCTCTCGCCCATCGGACCCTCCCTGACTTCGAATTGCGGCTTCTCGTCTCCTGCACGCTTGGATTGTGCGGTAACGAGCGAGGCGAAGGATTTTTGGGTGTTGGAAAGAGCGGGTTTTCCGGATGAGGGGAGTTGTGTCATCTTTGGCGGGGGTTTTCTCTCCTTCTCCTTCTTCTTGTTATCCTTCTTCGCAGGCTTCCGCTCCTCCTCCTCGCTCTCACTCTCACTCTCCGACTCATCAGAAGAAATCCCATTCTTCGCAGCCCTCTCCTCCTCCTCCTCCTCCTCTGCAGCCGTGAGGCCACGGGTAGCAGACCTAGTAGGATTAAGCTGCATAAACTCCACCGTCTTCTCATTAATTGCGAAATCCTCATCCTCAAACGCAGCCTTAAACCTCCCATCCTCCAAAACGCCCGCAACAGCACTCTCCTTCCCCTTTGCCGCCGCGCGTTCTTCCGCTTTGAGCAAGCGCTCCGCGAGGGTGCGATTGACTTTCGTAGACACTTTCTTGGAGCGGATACGGGATTCGCGTTCGGATTCGATTTTTTGGGTGATTGTTTGGGCGCGGTGTTCGGCGTATGCGAAGGGGTTTGCGATGAGCTTGGCTTTTTCGTAAAGGCGGAGGTCGAGGAAGAATCCGTGCATGTAGGCGCGGACGACGTTGGTGCCGATGAGGTGGTCCAAGCCGAGAGATGAAAGCTCTTTGCGAGTGACGAATTTGTAGTTGTCGTAGACGGACGTCGTAGGCTGCTCCTCCATCTCTTCCGTAAGATTGTCGAGGAATGAACACCACGCCGGCGCTGGGCCAAGTTGTGGGATGTAGTACGTGTGCATCGGCATTCCTTCGTTCGCGACAAAGATGAGACCCGTGCCGGGGAGTGGACATACGTCGTTAATGTCCACAGGGGGCTCGATAGACGCGAATGGATCTCCGTTGTCTTTATCCCAGATTTTGATGATTTTGGAGTCTGAGGTTAGGATCCGGTTGGATGATTCGGTGCCCTCTAGCCAGCGGATCGAGTTGATCGCACTACTGTATCCCTGGTCTTTTCGGACCCATGGTTCGGATGAACGAAGATCGTAGAGGAGGGTGTGGCCGCTGGAGGTACCAACACCGAAGCTCAAACCGTCGGAGCGGAATTGAGAGGTTGTTATGGATGCGCCTGCAGCGACGTCGAGCGGGAGGTTATTCCGTACGTCGAGGACGCCGACACGGGAGCGGTATCGTGGGTCCCAGAGTTCGACCGTGCCGGTATCGGTTCCGAAAGCGAAAAGTTGGTGAACAGGATTAACCTCAACCGAATTCACACCTTCCACACCTTCCGCCATCTCGAATGGTGCGAGGAATCGTCCCTGGTCGAGGTTGAGGCGGTATACCTCGTTTCCGGAGGCACCGACAAGGAGGTCGCAGGAGTTGAAGTGGTACCCGATATCACGACCGAATTTGGGGATACGGGTGCGGTAGTGGATTCCGCCCTGTGCATGGACTTCGATACTCCGATCACTTTGAAGGTGCGCACTCTTCGTCCAATCATCACTCAACAACACGAAATTAACATTCTCCGCATCCGTATGCCTCTCAAACTTCAACGTCAACTCCTTGAAATCGAAAAGCCTGATATGGGGTTTGTATGTTCCAGTGGCCATGGCGTAGCCTCCGTCTCGGGTGACTTTGATTTTGTTGGAGGCTTCGGGGAACTCGAATTCTTGGACGAGTTCGATACGGGAGCGGTATTCTGCGTCGTCACGGAGGGCTTTTCGCTTACGGCGGGCGAGCCAGTCCGGGAGGGCGCGGGTTGCGCCTTGGCCGGAGACGGTGTAGATTTTGATGTCACCGGCGTTGTTGAGCTTCATTGTGGCGACTGTGAAGGAGGAGGGGAGGATGGTGGAGGGTGTTGACTGTAGCAGTAGGGAAGGGTCTTTGAGGTGGTGGGGTCTGTCTGTACGGGATCAGTTGCCAGCTTCCTTCAGGGTTCTTGGTGGTTAAGGTTTACGTGCGCCGTGAGGGACTCGGTTTTTTCCCCGTATCGACAAGAGGCACGTGTTGATAGCAGCGAAAGGGTGCAACTTACGATTGAAATCAAACGGATATTCGAGTTGGAGTATACCGTTATACTTGCTTGTCTTTCCAACTTCAACTTGAGCCCTCGATCGTTGCTGTGCTTCCCGCGTCTCCCTTGCTCAAGACCCGATACCGATACGCGGAGTCACCAGTATCAAACAACATCCATCCAGCATTTACTCCTATTTACTATCTCATCCGCATTTATCCAGGTATCCAGCGTTCAATAGTCGAGATCGAGTTCTATCCAACAGCACCGGGATCATCTATTACAGCCATGATCCACCGGGTACTCACCCTCTTCGCACTGTTCGTTTTGCTTTGGGTAGGCGTACAGGCTGAGGTTCCACACCAGAAGGGATACTGCGCAATCCGAGGTCAATGCGGAAAGAAATCCGTCTTTGGGTCCGAACTCCCCTGTCCTGATCCATCACCAGCATCCGCTCCCTCCACAGACCTCCGCGCTTCCCTCGTTAGGATTTGCGGAGACGAGTGGGCTGAAGGCAACGTCTGCTGTGATGCAGATCAACTCGAAGCATTGGAAGGGAACTTGAAGAGGGTTAAGCCGATTCTCTCGTCTTGTCCCGCCTGTTTGAAGAACTTTGAGGAGTTCTTCTGCCAGTTGACGTGTTCGGGGGATCAATCCGCATTCCTGAACGTCACCGGAACCCAAGCTGCGGTGACGACTGGGAAGGATATCGTGACGCAGATGTCGTACTACGTCACAGACGCCCACGCAAACGCTTTCTTTGACTCGTGCAAGAGCGTCAAATTCTCTGCGACGAATGGGTATGTGATGGACTTCATCGGCGGCGGCGCAAAGACCGCCCGTGCCTTCCTTGCATTCCTCGGCGAAGAGAAACCCCTCCTCGGCTCTCCTATCCAAATCGACTTCCCCACCGACGAGGAAAGCGTGGGAAGCGGTATGACACCCGTCGAAGGAGGCATGCGAAGCTGCGGAGACGAAGACGTGAGATACCGCTGCGCATGCGTCGATTGTCCCACCGCCTGTCCCACCCTCGAAGACGTCCCACGTCCAGGCTCCGGCTGCCACGTCGGCGTTCTCCCCTGTTTCTCCCTAGCGATGATCCTCCTCTACGCCCTCGGTCTCCTGGGATTCTTGTCGGGGTGGGGTGTCGTTGCGCATAAGAAACGGAAGGGGAGGCCGACGAGAAGGGCGAGGATGCTGACGGATGATGCGGCGTCGGTTACGTCGACAAGATCGGGAGAGGATGGGGATGAGGATGGGTTGTTGGTGGAGGAGGAGGTGATGAGGAGGTATCCGTTGCAGGATAAGTTGTATGCGCTTTTCTATGATCTCGGCCTCCACTGCGCTACATACCCCGCTACCACGATCGGAGCGGCGCTGTTGGTCTTGGGCGTGATGTGTCTTGGATGGCTTCGATTCGGGGTTGAGACTGATCCGGTACGGTTGTGGGTTTCGCCGAGCAGCCCGGCGGCGAGGGAGAAGACCTTTTTTGATGAGAGTTTTGGGCCGTTCTTCAGGGCTGAGCAGGTGTTTTTGTCGAATGTGAGTGGGGAGGGGAGTCCTGTGTTGAGTTATGAGACGTTGGAGTGGTGGTTTGGGGTTGAGGAACGTGTGCGGGATGTTGTTGTTGAGATCGATATCGATGGGGACAGCGTTCAGGTCGGGTGGGGGGATGTGTGTTATAATCCGACGGGGACGGGGTGTGTGGTACAATCTCTCACGGGATACTTCCAGGATGATATCGAGATGGTTGATCCGGATTATTGGCTTGATGATTTGGAGGCGTGTGCGTCGCAGCCTGTGTCGTGTCTTCCCCCATACGGTCAGCCATTGAAGCCGGAGGTCTTGCTGGGACGGATCCCGGAGAATGAGGGTGGGGAGGTTGATACCTCACGCATCGGAGAAGCGGAGGCGGTTATTGTTACGTGGGTCGTGAGGAACTCTTTGGATGCTGAGAAAATCCGGAAAGCGGAAGCGTGGGAGGCGGGGTTGCAGAGGGTGTTGAGGCAGGTTGAGGGGGAGGCGGAGGAGAGGGGGTTGAGGATCTCATGGAATACTGAGATTAGTTTGGGACAGGAGTTGAATAAGTCGACAAACACCGACGCTGGGATCGTTGTTGTCTCCTACGTCATCATGTTCTTCTACGTGTCTTTGGCATTGGGCGGATCGTGGAGGTTTAGTCGTCGGATCGTGGTGGAGAGTAAGTTTGGGCTTGGGATTGTGGGGATTATGATCGTGTTGTTGAGTGTTGCAGCGAGTATTGGGTTATTTTCGGCGATGGGGGTGAAGGTTACGTTGATCATTGCCGAGGTGATTCCGTTTTTGGTCCTGGCGATCGGAGTGGACAATATCTTCCTGCTCGTGCACGAGTTTGAGAGGATTAACGCGTCGCTTTCTTCGCTCAGTGTGGAAGAGCGTGCGGCGAGGACGTTGGGAAGGGTCGGTCCGAGTATTTTGTTGAGTGCGACGGCGGAGGTTGTGGCGTTTGGGTTGGGTGGGTTGGTTGGAATGCCTGCTGTTAGGAATTTTGCAATTTATGCGGCTGGAGCGGTGGTTATTGATGCCGTTCTACAGTGTACTGCGTTTGTTTCTGCGTTGGTCTTGGATCAGCGGAGAGTCGATGCTGGCCGGGTTGACTGTTTCCCGATTCTTAGGGTTGGTGGTCGTAGTGGGAAGAGGAGGGAGGGGATGTTGGATCGGGCCATTCGGAAGTGGTATGCGCCGAATTTGTTGAGGAAGCCGGTCAAGGTTGTCGTTGTTGCGGTGTTTGTTGGGTTGTTCTTTGCGGCTTTGGGGTTGTTCCCGAAGCTTGAGTTGGGACTTGATCAGCGCATTGCGTTGCCCCGTGATTCCTATATGGTGGATTACTTTAATGACATGTACGCCTACATGCAACAAGGCCCGCCGGTGTATTTCGTCACCAAGGACTTGAACGCTACTACACTTGAAGGACAGAGGGCCCTGTGTGGACGGTTCTCGACTTGTGATGAGTTCTCATTGGCGAATGTCTTGGAGCAGGAGAGGAAGAGGGAGGAGGTCAGCTTTGTTGCTGAACCTGCTGCGAGCTGGGTCGATGACTTTTTGCACTGGTTGAATCCGTCGAACGATATGTGTTGTCGAGTCCAGAGTTCGGGGAAGCAGTGTGGACCCGATGACTCCGAGGATGAGTGTAAGGTCTGTTTCGCGGATAGGGAGCCTAGCTGGAACATCACTATGACTGGGTTCCCTGAAGGTCAGGAGTTCTTAGAGTATCTTGGACGATGGATTGAGAGTCCGACTGTTGAGAGTTGCCCTCTTGCGGGTCAGGCGGCTTACTCGGATGCCCTTGTTGTTGATTATGAGAATGTCATGACGCCAGCGACCCACTTCAGGACAAGTCACACGCCGTTGAGGAGTCAGAGAGACTTCATTGACGCTTATGCTGCGGCAAGAAGGGTGGCGAAGGAGATTACTGACAAGACTGGTACGGAGGTTTTCCCGTATTCGGTGTTCTACATTTACTTTGACCAGTACGCGACGATCGTCAACTTGGCGATCAAGCTTGTTGGGTCGGCGTTGATCGCGATCTTGGCTGTCACGAGCGTCATCTTGGGTAGTTTCCCGACTGCATTGGTAGTGATGTGCGTTGTCGGCATGATTGTCGTCGATGTTGTGGGAGTCATGGCACTCTGGGGCGTGAGCTTGAATGCTGTGAGCTTGGTGAACCTGGTTATCTGCGTTGGTATCGGAGTCGAGTTCTGCAGTCACGTCGCGAGAGGATTCATGGTTCCCAACCAAGGCCTTGGAAAGCACTTGAAGACGGGTTCTGAACGTAATGAACGTGTGTGGAATTCGCTTGTGAGCGTCGGTGGGTCTGTCTTTAGTGGTATCACACTGACAAAGTTCATCGGTGTTGCCGTACTCGCTTTCACACGTTCCAAGATCTTCGAGGTTTATTACTTCCGTATGTGGTTGGCATTGGTTATCCTGGCTGCTGCGCATGGTCTCATTTTCCTACCTGTTCTTTTGTCGTTGTTTGGTGGAAAGGGATATGCTTTGGAGGGTGAGGAGGTCGTTGAGGAGGCATGGAGGAATGATGCTCGGCATCGGTACAATCAGGCATTGCTGGCAGACGGTGATGATAGCGATTGATGCATAGAGCAGATAGCTATAGAGCTATGATGGGTATGCTTGGGCAATACAACGTCATAACACAGCTCGTCTAGGGAGCAGAGAGAGGATGTCCGTGCCAACGTATAGCGTGGGGAAACCGGGTGCAGCAAAACTAAAAAATGCTCCCTGACCGAGGATTGAACTCGGGTCCCGCGCGAGCCTGATGACAGGCGCGTATACTAGCCACTATACTATCAAGGATGGTTGATGTCTTAGTTTCCCTGCTGCCACAAATGACATCTCACATCATTGGTGACCGAAGAACATGGGCCTTTCAACATGAGGTCTCTCAGGCTTGGACCCTGTTCATCCTACCGCACGCTCAAGGATTTCAGCTCGTAAGACTTTGAGCATGTGGTGCATAATGACTCAAAGCAAAGAGATGCGTTTCTAATGAACAAAGGCCGAGTTTATTTCCTGGCCATTCATGAAGCTCCCACGCCGTCGGGACTACAGTACGGTAACGCGCCCCGACGTACCCCAGAGATCTCGTACACCACCCATCAGCCAAAAGCCTCTCGGCCTGTCCCCCACCACGTACACAGAACGCGACCATTCCAGCACAAACGAGAGCTTCCTTGCCGGTGACGCCGAACATTCAATCTCCGCGGATCTCTTCCAGCTTACTAACATCCTCCCCTCGCTTTCCCTACCTCTTCTACTCCTCCTTTCTCTCCTCCTCTTCGTGCTACTCACGCATTACCAACAGCAAAACACAGCATACACCCCCTCAACCTCCCGCATACATCCCTCAAATATGTCGAACGACACATCAGGACCCTCGAAACCCTTCTTTGCGCGTCCGTCGGCGGACCCGATGGCTGATATCCGGTCGGCATTCAAGTTCGGTGCACGGGGTGGACAGGGGAAGCCGAATGCCGCCGTCGTTCCAGCACCTGGGTTTAATGCGAAGATGATGAAGATGACTTTACCCGGTGAGGACACAGCAAGTCTCGCGAAGGGACTCGTCACGGCAAAGGTAAACATCGGCGGAGGAGCGACTCAGGAGTCATCAACCGGCTTCGGCGTCATCAGCGCTCCTCACAACGACGAGAGCTCGAGCTCTGGTTTCGGGATGAATGCACCCAAATTCGACGCGAGGAGTCTCAAGACTACATTACCGGGCGAAGCACCTCCTGCACCTTCCAACTCTGGTTGGGACAAATCAGCGTTCACGGCTCCTTCTAACACCATCCCCACAACTCCCCTCGAACACACAGGCTTCTCCGCACCTTCCACCTCATTCGGCTCAATCCCACCCACCCCATCCTCAAACTCCAACCCCAGCCCCTTCTCCTCCACTACTACCCCCTCATTCGGCACCGCACCCCAAGCTCCCACCAACACCACAGGCTTCAGCTCCGGTTTCGGCGCGGGTGCCGGCGAGGATACCTTAAGCTTCACCACACCCTGCGGCGAACAACCCCGACCTCAACTCCCCAGACGCCAAACGATGGGACAGCAGCAGTTGCAGTTACAGGAGTCGTTGCGTGTTTTGGAGCAGTTTGCGGATTCGCCTGGGATGGAGATCGCGCCGCCTTCTCAAGCTCAAACACAGGCTGCGGTACAGCATCAGCATCAGCATCAGCATCAGCAGCAACAGACGGTGATGATTAAAGTTGACGAGGATGATGATTGTGTGATTCTGCCCCCGTCGGCCGCGGCGGCTGTTCAGCCCACTCAGCAACAACAACAACAACAACAGCAGCAACAGCAGCAAGTCGCCCAAGCCCAAGCTCAAGCACAAGCTGAACGCCGTGCCCGACGCGCAGCCCGTGCTGCTGCCGCTGCCGCCGCCGCAAACTCCGGTCACGGCACCCCTCAACCCCCTGCTCGTCGCTCGAATATCAACACACCGTCTGCGTTGGGTCATGGTGATGGGTTCGGGATGCCGCCGACACCGCAGTCCGTGCAGCCTCATGTGGGAGGTGCAGGTGGGAGCGGGAGTAGTGATGCTTTGCTGTTTGCTGGGTTGGAGAGGTTGAGGACGGAGAAAGCCGAGTTGGAGGGTGTCGTTGCCCAAAAGGTTCATATCACTTCGACTCGTATCCGAATGATTGCGTGCTGATGATTATCAACAGGATACCGAAATCCACCGTCTCCACTCCACCCTCACCGATCTCCGCACCAAAACCACAAACGTGAAATCTCGGTTCGCCGGGTTAAGCAAATTCGTCGAAGGGCTCGGCCGCGATCATGATGAGATGAAGCGCGAGCAGGCTGCGTGGGTTGAGCGTGTCAGGGGCGTCAAGAGTGATGTCCAGGATTGGGGAAATGCGATTAGAGATGCGATGAGGGGTGTTGAGGAATGTGGGGAGGGGGTTACGGAGAAGAGGGAGTTGATTGCGTTCGTGAAAGATTTGGAGGGACAGTTGTCTAACAGTATGTGGGGTGACGGAGGTGATGGGATGTGGAATGGGCTGACGTGGTGTTATAGGTCAACTTCATCGGAATAATTTGTTGGAGCAGTGTTCCCATAATGCGGGGCTTCTTGCGGAAGAACGCGATCGGGTGCAATCCCTCGAGGCGGATCTTCGTCGTGAATCGACTGCACGTATCTCACTCATGGAGAAGTTCGAGGAGCAAAGCAGGACGCTCGTGGAAGAGGCCATGAAGAAGTCGGGTGAAGGTGTAGAGGGGAAGATTGCGGAGGTGTTGAAGGCGATGGAGGGTGTTATTGACAAAGTTACCAACGTAATCGAGGAAGAGGGAAAGAAGAAGAAGATTGACAGGGAGAGTGAGGAGCCTGCTTTTGTGGAGAGGATTCGGAGCGGGTTCAGAGATGAGATCGAAAGGTACACTGGCACTTCACGTTTGACATACGTTTTACTAAGCGCCGTTGTACAGTCTCACTTCATCCTTCAGCAAGCTCCATGACGACGCCCGTGCGGTACACGAGAAGCGTGCCCAGGAACTTTCGGCTACTATCGAGGCTCTTCGTGGGGGTAAACATGATTTGTTGAAGGCCTTGACCGAGAAGGATGCTGAGATTAGGAGGATGGAGGAGCAGGTCAAGGCGTCCGAGGAGAAGATGAGGAACGAGCGTGAGAAGAGCGAGATGGAGAAAAAGGAGCGGGCTACGAAGGAAGAGGTACTTAAGCAAAGGTTCGTAAAGCACGTTCACGGGTTTAGGTTTCTACATGAGCTAACATCTCATGTCTTGTGCACAGGCTGTCAACCATCGAGAAAGACCTCCGTGATCGCATCGATGCCAAGCCGTCTGCAGAGCAGGTCGAGTCTCACAATGTCGTCCGCCAACTTCGCGCCGAATCTGATGCTATTAAAGCTGAGTTGGAGACCGTGAAGGACAAGGCGAGGAAGGAGGTTGAGGAGGCGAAGAAGGCTGTGGGTGAGAAGATGGCTGAGTTGGTTGATGTACAAGGCAAAATTCAGGCCATGAAGGTGGGTTGCCACGAACGAAGAACGAGATTGCTTGCTGACTCGACCTACAGGACTCGTCAAATGCGGGGAGGGAGGAGTTGGCGACCTTGAAAGCGGATATGGAGAAGTTCAAAGCACAGGTACTAGGAGCAGTTGGTATCGCGTAAGCTTGCATGTTGCTGATTCTTGTATAGTGCCAGCAGCAGTTCGATGCCAAACTCGCCGAGCACGAGCGCTCTGCCCGCAAAGTCAAGGAAGCCGACGCCGCTCAGCATCAGAACCTCATCAAAGCCAAGGACAACAAGATTTCGAGACTCGAGAAAGAATTAACCGAGTTGAAGGCGAGAAGAGTCGTCGAAGCCGAGAGTTCCGAGCGGATTGAGCAGATGGAGACGGAGCTGGAGGAGTTGATTGGGAGGAGTGCGAAGGAGAAGGGAGTTCTGGAGAAGAAGGTCAAGACTCAGTTCGCCCAGATAGGGAAAGGAAGCTGACGTTTTCACAGGCGTCCGAACTCGAGAAAGACCTGGCTTCATTGCAGTCGAAGGTGGAGAGTCAGCAGAGCACCGTGTCCAAACAACGTGAGGAATTCATGGCTCTTCATACCGCTAAATCACATATTGAGAAATCGGCCGCGGATAAGGTTGTCCAGCTCGAGAAGGAGATCGATTTGTTGCACAAGCAACAGCTCGCCCCATCGAAGCCTTCGCAACAAGTTCCAGCTTCGCCATTCAGGAACCAGTCGAAGCAGGGAGGTCAAGGTGCTATCCCACGCTTTTCACATATTGCGCAGACGTCAAGCCAGTTGAGTTCGCCCGACATGTCCTTCGAAGATGTCGAGGACGATGATTTCGTTGAAGTGGTATGTGTATTTCGAAGGGATAAAGGTAACTTGATGCTAACCAGATATATAGAAGAAAACCTCGAAAACCAAAGACGAGCGCGATCCCTTCCGTGAGAAGAAACGCAAGTCACAGCACTCGTCTTCGAAACACGGTAACTCTACCACTCCCTCCAAGGACGGTTCAATGAGGTTATCGCAGAGCTGGCACTCCGGGCAGAAGGGGTTCGAGGTGGTAGTGAATTCGGCGGAGAAGAAGCGCTCGGCGGAGAGTGCAGCGCATGCGAAGCCGAAGCGTAGAAGGGTACGACGGTCACTATTCTGTAATAAGCCTCGCTGACGTGACATCGTACAGACCTCCGACCGTCTCAAGGAGGAGGATGTCCCGTCTCCTGTGAGTATGGTCATGCCTCCCTCGCAGCAGCAGGCTTCGCGTCCGGCGAGGTCGTCGTCTACGTATGGTAGGAGAGGATCCGGAGCGAAGAAATAGGATGTCATATCAAAGGGATTCGCGGCGGGAGGGATCTGGCGTTTGTATTACTTTACCCAGCGGGCCATGGGATCATATATGGAACGGGAGGTTGCTGGACAAGAACGGACATTAAGGCAAAGCAAATGTTAAATAAGTTATCATAATATACTAACAATTGACATTTGCAATAATGCTGTGCTCGGAGACTTCACGTGCACCGGACCTCAGCTGCGGCCCCTGGATGACCTTGCAGCAACCAAAGTTCGTAAACCTCCAAATACTCGATCATCAAAAATGGCAAAGAAGGCCAGGTCAAGGTGAGAGCCTGTCCTGTCACTCGGGAACATCTTCAGCTGCTGACCGTCTTTTCACAGGACGATTCTCGTCAAGCTCGTCTCGACGGCCATGACCGGGTTTTTCTACACCATGAAGCGCCCGCGTATCAATGCCAAGATGTCCTTCATCAAGTTCGACCCTAAGGGTAAGCTATTCCGCTTCCTGTTCACTCACCCTCGCACAATACTGACTGGGCATCTACAGTCAACAGGCATGTTTTGTTCGAGGAGGTCAGGATCACCAAGCCGAACTAAACGGGGAGGTGGAGGTTGATGCAGCTGCTGAAAGACGTTTGCATGGGTGGATGTCGGCATCTTGTATATTACATTGGTATTCCGGCGTTATCTTTGGGTTCAACATCTTCGATCAATAAACTTTGAATCGGTAATCATCTGTCCGAGAAAACATTCCACCAGTGTACAAACGAAGAAGCACAGAGGAGCGAATGGCGCACGTGTGTTTGAGCAATATATTCATTATTAAGCGGCGGCCAGCGCTCTACATAGGAGACATATAAAACATACCGACGCCCTCCCATTACCAAAATTCCAACGCCAGTCACGTCCTTCGTTCCACTATACCTACATACAATCCTAGATCCTCCCTCGCTCGGCGTGTTTCGTTCTTAGTACCTTCCACCAACAGTACCATTCTGACCAGCCCACCCACTTTGACCCTGCCCATGCGGCCCCGTCTTCGGAGGAGGAGGAGGTGGTGCATACCCCTGATCCCTAATCGCACTCGTCCTAGGCGGCGGTAACGTCGATGACTGCGTATACCCATCATACGTCGTCTGCCTATAACACGGTGGCGGCGGCGGGGCCTGGCCTTGGGTGTATCCTCCATGACCATACCCACCATGGCCAGCCTGACTCCCCGTCGCCGAGGAGGTCGACAACGGCAGCGGAGGGGGCGGGAAGGTAGGTGGTTGAGGAAGCGTGCGGTACTGCTGATGTTGGTCGTACCCCGTGTGTTGCCCATGTCCAGGTTGACCATGACCGGGCATCATACCCACACTCGCACTACGCCCGTACCCATGCCCATGGCCGGCGCCCGAGTCTGTGCGCATATTGTATCCATTCGATGACGAATTCGAGAATGGGGACGGGGATCGCATGGGTGGTTGTAACGTCGGTGGGCCAGAGAGCGGATCCATGATGTTCGGGAGCGCATGGCTGACGGGTGGTAGTGACTGCTGGTGCTGCTGCTGATGCTGGGGCGCATGAGATAAAGGTCCCGGCACCGGCAAACTCCCCATCAACATTCCCGGTCCCTGTCTCCCCAACGGCGGCGGCGCCGTATGCGTATCCTGTGCCGCATACCCACCCTGCTGGCTGGACCGTCCCCACCGACTACCCTCAGACACACTCCCAGACCTCTCACTATGCGCACCACCACCAGCAGCAGCATTCCCCATCTCCACAACCGAACTCAACACAAACGTCGGATCCTCATGCGGAAGCGGAATCGCATTTTCCCTGTCCACATACGCCTGCGCCGGCGCCGGACCAAACATATTACCATTACTCTCGAGCGTGACCCCGGAGACGTGCATCAGCCCTTTGACCTTCCTCTCCGCGTTTCCGCGGCGGTTACGACGTGTCGCGGGTCCCGTAGCGCGTTCGCGGTCCCAGGTTTGGGTGAGGCGGGAGAGGTAGTAGGTTCCCCTGCTCACCATCGCGAAGGATTCGGAGGGGTGTTGCGGAGTGGTTGTGATTTGTTCGACGAAGAGGGTTCCGGCGAGGGTGAGGCCGAGCTGGCAGAGGCGCCATGGGAAGCCTTTGAGGGATTGATCGGGGACGCTGGTGGCTGCCATCACGATCGCGGTCGCGTTCCTCAGCAACAAGGCCTCGAGCGCGACATCCTGCATCTCATGCCCACCCTCCCGCTTCCCCCTCCCCGACGACGACGAACTTCTGAACCCCACCTCCCCCTCCCTCCCCTTCCCACCTCCATTCCTCCTCAACACAGCCCGATGCAACAACAAACTCACAGTATGATACCCAATCTCCAACGCACAAGCATACGTCTGCATCAAGAAATCCCTCCCCTCCTTCCCCGCCTCCCCCTCCCCACGCCTAAAATACCCAGGCAACTCTCTATACCACTCCCCCAACCAAAACCTCAACTCCTGTACTTCCCCCGCAAAGCGACTCGATTTTTCTGCCTTCGTTTTCGTTTTGGTGGTGGAGGAGTCAGTATACCCTAGAGTGAGAACACGCGCGAGGATGCGGGTGAGGCCGACGGTGTGGACGAAGAATTCGTGGCCGGTGGCTTGTTCTCGGTCGGCGACGTCGTCTACGTCGCCCATGTCGTCGACGGGTTCGACGTCGAACATCTCGTCCCGAACACTGGGTGGACGACCACGGATGGCAGCGTCCCAGATTTCGAGGGTGTAGAGACACCACCATAATCTGCGCCTATGTCTCTTCTCACTCGGACTGAGACGGAAAGAAGTCGGTGATCGGTGTAAATTAAACGCGAACGCGATCTTGAGCGCAGTTCCCCTCCTCGTCCAATCCAACAACGCATTCGAGGATTTACCCGCTCCGAGGGTAGGTGAACACTGTTGTTCGTCATCCGCCCAATCATCCTGCAGTATCCTCGCCAAACAAAGTGCCTGGAGATACGACAACGTCGGCGCTCCCTCCGCCAACGCATCCTCCCTCAACCGCTCATCCAACTTCTCCCAAATCCTCTCCGGATTAAACGGCGCATCCTCCTTATTTTGGTTTTGATCACCCCCACAAACAAGCGGATCCTGACAAAACAAACTTCCCGCGAGATACACAGCTAAACTCAAACACCTCGGCACAGGCGGATTCGCACGATAATGCATACTCAGATACGCCTGTTTGTTTAGGACAGGAAAGACGGGGTGTACGTGTACCATGAAGATCCCCAATAATTGCTTGCTGAGGGCGTAGGGGACCCATTCGCCGCCTTCGGCTTCAGAGGCGAGAAGTTTGAGGGCTGCCCAGCCGGATGTTGAGCCGACTTCTTCTTCGCGGGGACCCTGGAGTTGGGTGCTGGGGGATGACTTCCGCAACCACGCTCCCCCGCCTAACGAAATCCTTGAATTCGGATCCAACGTCAAAGGAACAGATGTGTCGGACGTTTCGATACCGGATGAGTCGTCGACTTGGATACAGCGGAGCCGGGGATCGTTACCCGCGCGGACTGCAGAGGCGTCTAGATGACTTGCTGGCACGGGAGGTGGGGATAGTGCGCGAGGTGGGAGATGAGAAAATGGGAAGTCGAGGTAGGCGTTTGGCGCGTTTGCCGGCGGCGTGGGTGCCAAGGAAGCGGTGTAGGAGGAGAAGTAGCGAGGGTGGGGAAGATCGCCGCCCGTGGTGGTGTTGGATGGACCAGTTCGTGAAGTGCGACGACGTTTGTGAGGGGGACGGGAGGTGTAGTCTGGTGAGGAGGCGCGAGAGGATTGGGAGCGGGAGGGGGAGGAGGGAGGACGTTGGCTTAGTGTCTCGTCGGCGAGGGCGGATTCGAGCATACTCTCGATTCTGGACAATCTCTGTTCATCCTGTAAGCGACCAACATCATCGCGCATAGGGGAGAAGACATACGTTCGTAATCGTCTCAAAGTATCCTTTGTGCGGTCCCCTCTTCTTACTCTCTGGATAAACACACTCAACCTCAGCTTCCCAGCAATTCCGACAATAGTCCGTTCCATTTCCATTACATTTGATCTTCTTCCTGCGACATTCTGTACATGCGATTTTGCGAGCTGCTGCGTTCGCGTCGTTGCCGGCTGCGCTGTTTGCGGCACCGGTGGTTGAGGGAGCGTTGGAAGCTGTGTCGGCCATGGCGCAAGTCAGACAATGACGGGTAGAGCGTCTGAGCTCGTTGGATGGACTGATCAGGCGGGATATATGGGATCGGAGAAAGGAGATGGTGTTGATCTCTGACTGTTTGGCCGCGGACTTCGAACATTTCGGCAGGGCAGGTGCGGCACAGGCGAGCTCGGGTAAATTATCCAGCTGGTAAGGTAGTCAAGATTCACAACCGAAAATAACATCACGAAATCGCAGCGATGGCCGAGCGGTCTAAGGCGTCGGATTCAAGCGTAATCAGCTTTCCCTAGCAGGAAATCCCGATCTCGAAAGAGGCGGGGGTTCAAATCCCCCTCGCTGCACACTTTTTGTCACTCTCCCCCCACCCGAGGCTCTCACGGTGGCCCGCTGATTTATGAACAATTGTGTTCGTACGAGGGTTAGTAAAAAAACAACTAAACGGGATGGGCTTGGATTAGACCTTGATAAGAGCAGGTCACCCTTTCTCGCATGTATCGTACAAACGGTCGACCACCGATCACACCACAGCTGCCCTATCTCCCGTCAGAAGCGAGTCCTGGTTCTAACGAAGGCTAGACAACCGCGGGAATACCAGGTGCAACAAAACTAAAAAATGCTCCCTGACCGAGGATTGAACTCGGGTCCCGCGCGAGCCTGATGACAGGCGCGTATACTAGCCACTATACTATCAAGGATGGTTGATGTCAACTGAATTCCGCAACATTGATACAATCAGGTTTTGTGGTCTCACGTCATGCTCCCTCGGTGAATGAGATCCCCCGCAGTTCCGCTCGCACACAGATCAGTCAACATCATCGACGACATTTGATCTCCCCACGGTTCATATTTACATCTCCTCGAGCAGAATCTTCAGTAGAGGGATCAACCAGCATGACAACAGCCAAACCCCTCGACATCCTCATTATCGGCGGTTCCCTCGCCGGCCTCCTCACCGGTACCGCCCTCTCTCGTCTCGGCCACCGCATCCGGATCTTCGAACGCGCTCCCGCAATGGCAAATCAAGGCGCCGGAATTGTCGCTCAGCCCGATCTCCTCCACTTCCTCTCCGCATACGACCGTACCCACGCAACCGTAACGGTCAAGAGTGGACTGAGGCAGTATCTGGATGGAGAGGGAAAGGTGTTGGAGAAGGAGGATACAGAGCAGAAGATGACGAGTTGGGATGCGGTATACTGGGTTTTGAGGGCGAATTTTGATGGGAGGGGCAGTGAATATATCGAAGGTGAGGCGCCGCAGTGTCCGAGTACCGCTTCCTACAATCTCAGCCATACATTAGATTCGTTCGAAGTTAAGGGGAAGAAAGTCGAAGTGAAGTACACATCAGGAGAAGGAAAGGAAGCTACGCAGCACATGACGGAAGCAGACATATTGATCGCATGTGACGGCGCCTCCAGTACCGTCCGATCCTCCCTCCTCCCCGACGTGAAGCGGAAGTACGCAGGCTACCTCGCCTACCGAGGCTTGATCCCCGAGAAAGAGCTGAGCAAAGAAGCTTGTGAAGCACTCATTGGAAAGTTCTCATTCTTCCACGCTGAAGGAACGCAATGTCTCACGTACGCCATTCCTGGCGAAAGCGGCTCCACGAAAGAGGGTGAACGAAACCTGAACTGGGTTTGGTACGTCAACCTACCCGAAGACATCAAGAACGACTCCAAAGAACCCGGTGAGAATCCATTTATCAGTAACGAAGGCTTTGTGGGAACATGGAGTTTGCACTCTGGACAGCTCCAGGAGAAGACCATCGAGAACGTCAGAGAAAGGGCGAGGAAGCAGTTACCGCCTGCGATGAGGGAAGCGGTACTTAAGACCCCACAGCCGTTTTTGCAGGCGGTCACGGATGTGCGGTCTCCGGAGATCGTACACTCAAACGGTCGGGTTATCCTGGCCGGTGACGCGACATGTGGACCGAGACCGCATACTGCAGCCAGCACGAACCAGGCCGCTCTTCACGCCCTCTGGCTCGCGGAATTGGTCGGTGAGGCGGGCAAGGGGTGGGAGGATGTAAAGAAAGCGTTAGGAGGAGAATATACCAAAAGAGTATTGGAGTATAGCGAGGAGCTGGATGCGAAGGGCAGAAAGCTTGGCAACCGGAGTCAGTTTGGGAAACATCCGTGGAACGTGGAGGGGTAAGCTTTATTATATACCATGAATAAAACGATAAAGCTTTGCTATATACCATGAATTGTTTGGAATTTCCTGTGTGCTCTCGGGGCGCATTTGCACCAGCCACACCGCGACGACGCCAGTACCGACAACAGCACCCAGCACCCACCACCCAGCATCCCCTCCCTCGGCCAATTTCATTCTTAATATATCTCACAGCATCATGACTGAATCAATTGCAAACGGTCCTTCGTCTGCGTTCGGACAGCGTGGCAAAGTTGTCACCGTGGGGAATGGAGCGCGTATCTTGTGCATCGCTGACGTGAGAGGTGAGTTACGGACGGATGCGTGGTCAATTGGCTTCGTGCTGGATCAATTGAGCAGTGCCTCAATTCGCGGTCGAGGATTGTGTGGAAAAGGGGTTCGTGTGCTGACTCGACACCACAGGAAACCTCTCCCAAATCAACGACCTCGCACGAGAGTCTCGAGCGGATGTAGTCCTACACACTGGTGACTTCGGTTTCTACGACGAATCTTCCCTGGAGCGCATCACCGACAAGACCCTCCGTCACGTCATCCAATACTCCCCCCTCATCCCTCCATCATCTCGTCACCAATTCCCCACAAACCCGAGCACGCCCACCAATCAGTTGCGTCAGGCAATTACTAGTTCGTCTACGCCTATTCTCTCTGAGTTACCGTTGTTTTTGGCGGGCGCGAAGAGGTTTGAGGTTCCGGTTTATACTGTTTGGGGTGCGTGCGAGGATGTCCGCGTTATCGAGAAATTCAGGGCGGGTGAGTACCGTATCCCCAATTTCCACCTCGTGGACGAGCACTCGTCTTGGATGATTGATCTCGGGGGTTGTAAGCTGCGGTTGTTGGGTCTCGGTGGTGCCGTCGTCACGCATAAGCTCTTCGACAACGGCGAGGGACGAACGACGATTGCGGGTGGTCAGGGCACGATGTGGACCACGATTCTACAGATGGGAGAACTGTTGGATACCGCTGCGCGCGTATTCGACTATTCCGAGACCAGGGTGTTCATCTCGCATGCTTCCCCGGGACGAGAGGGGTTGTTGGCGCAGTTAGCGTTGACGTTGAAGGCTGATTTCACCGTCAGTGCTGGTTTGCATTTCCGTTACGCGAGCTCGTATAACGATTTCTCGGTACACCCCTCCCACGACCACTTCCGCGCGAAGCTCATCTCCGCTCGTGCGGGATTCATGGATGTGTGGGAGACTGTCCGTGGGCAGGTCGAGGCGAGCGTTTCGGATACGCAGCGTGTTCTTCTTGACAACGTCCTCGAGATGGTTAACCGTATGCCCAAGTCCACCGACGAGAGCGCGAAGGAGGATGCGTCGTTCAAGAATATGTGGAACTTCAACTTGAGTGATGCTGCTTTCGGATGGGTCGTGTTGGGTGTCGAGGGCGGTAGGGTGAGCGCGGAGATGAAGGCGCAGGGTTTCAACTTTGCGTACAGGAGGGGAGGAAACGGACAGGAAGCTAAACCTATCCAGTCCCCCGTGAAACAGCAGGCAGCACCTGTACAACAGCAACAGCAACAGCAACAGCAACAACCAAAGGCCGAGATGGCTGCTCCTGAACCTGTCGCTACTCCCACGGAGCCCAACCCCGCCATCGCCGCTTCCGCAGGAGCTCCCGCCGCCCCTCCTACCCGTCCCGCACGCACCCCCTCCCAACCCTTCGTCACCGGCGAACAAGGCTACTGGGTCTCCCCCGTCGACTCCGACCAAGAAGCCCGCGAGATCTTCGCCACCCAAGATCACTCCGCCATCACCGGTATCCGCTTCCGTCCCGACAAGCACTTTGCGTACGTCTACTTTGGGTCCAAGGAGACGATGTTGGAGGCTCGTGCTCGTGTTGTGAAGTCTCAGAATGAGAGGACGGGGAGGACGTATGCGATTAGTGAGATTCAGAATAGGCGTGGAGCTGGAGCGGGTGGTGCTGCGGGGAGTGCGAGTGAGAGTGAGGGAGCTGCTGGTGTCGGTGCCGGTAATGGTCGGGGTGGTAGAGGAGGACGTGGTGGATTGAGGGGGATGGCGAGGGGTGCTATGAGGGGACGTGGTGGATTTGGTGGACCGGGAAGGTTCGGTGGTCCTGCGCAAGTTGAGGGTGGAGAGAAGCCTGCCGGTGGTGAGGCGAAGAAAGATGATGCTACTCCTGCACCAGCACCCGCTGAGAATGCCGAGAAGCCTGCTGTTGCTGTTGCTGGATGGGAGTAAGGGAAGCTAATGGTGGAGGATAGGAGGGTAAGATAAAATGTGAGGCTTTATTTTGCTGGGCTGGGCATATTTTGCATTGGGTTCGCTGATGGGCGGTTCCCTTTTTGTACTTGTAACATCTTGCTTTGATAGATCGGGAGGGCAATGATATGCTTTGGACGTTGTTATATACTGTGCTGTTCATTCCGTGTCATCTGATAAAAACAAAACATGCAGCGAGGGGGATTTGAACCCCCGCCTCTTTCGAGATCGGGATTTCCTGCTAGGGAAAGCTTTTACGCTTGAATCCGACGCCTTAGACCGCTCGGCCATCGCTGCTGTGGATGTGGGTTCACCAAGCTCAACTGTTGACAATAACTTTGCGGTATCAGAATTGTTACCACCCCTGCTTTAGATTATCCAAAATGTCGCGTATGAGGAATTCCGCCCGGCTCTTGTTTCCTCGGTCATTCCTTCAGTTCTCGAGATCTATTATGTCCCTCCCTACTACTTTCAACGGCCAAGTCCAGATCGGTGTCCTCGGTGGATCCGGTTTCTACAAGCTCGAGGGTCTCGAGACCGTTGCTGAAGTTAACCCTGAGACTGTACGTTATCCCCGCTCTCTATTCCGTTGTGTACGGCGGCTGATGTAGCATTATAGCCATGGGGCTTCCCTTCGTCTCCCATCACGATTGCCAAGACCCCCGCTGGTACTCATGTTGCTTTCCTCGCCCGTCACGGCCTTGCGCACACCATCCTCCCCTCTGAGGTCCCCGCCCGTGCCAACATTGCCGCCTTGAAGCACCTCGGTGTCGGGGCCATCCTCGCTTTCTCCGCCGTCGGCTCCCTCCAGGAGGAAATCGCCCCCGAGGACTTCGTTCTCCCCACCCAGATCATCGACCGTACCCGCCTCGGCCGTCCCAACACTTTCTTCGGTGAGGGTATGGTCGCTCACGCCATGTTCGCCGACCCATTCTCCGCCAACCTCGCTTCCATCTTGGAGAAATGCTCCCACGTCCTCGAGGAGTCTGGGAAGAAGTTGCACACCACCAAGACCCAGAAGGGTGATTTGACGTTGATCTGTATGGAGGGACCCCAGTTCTCTACTCGTGCTGAGTCCCATATGTACCGCTCCTGGGGCGCACACGTCATCAACATGTCCGTCCTCCCCGAAGCCAAGCTCGCTCGTGAGGCGGAAATCGCATACCAAATGATCTGTATGGCAACCGACTACGACTGCTGGCGTGTCGATGAGGAAGGCGTCACCGTCGAGGCTGTCATGGCTCACGTCAGGAACAACACTGCGAACGCTGGTCGTTTGCTTAAGGCTGCGCTGGAGGAGTTTGAGAAGGATGCGTCTGTTATTGAGAAGCTTGGGCAGGAGTTGGAGGGTTCGATGAAATTTGCTTGTATCACTCCCCAGCATGCTCGTCCGGCTGCTACTGTGGAGAAGCTCGACTACATTCTTCCTGGATACTACTAGATTTTTTAGACGACGGGATCGTACTAGATCTATAGCGGATACCCCAAGAAACTATAGACTTCACATAAAAACTGCTGTTGCATGATGTCAAGACAATTCATTGCTGTTCAACTCCAGCTCGGTCGCGAGCCCGGTACATTGTTTGTCCGAGCGAATCACCTCATATCGTATCATCAAAACCTTAAAATTGCACATGTGATCCATCCCTGGGAGCGCGAGCAAGCATCCAAACCCACGGGGGTCGACCGGTCGCGCGCCGCCCCGAGCTCGAGGAGAACTCACATGAAAACCCTATGTCCAGTACGACCAGTACCCTTCATTGAATTTGTCAGCGCAGGGAAATAGAGTGCGTGGTAAGGTGTTCTCGTGATGCTGCCATTGCTGTCGTCGCGGGGGGTAGGCCTAGGAGGAGCACATGATCGTACTGTGAACCCTTTCTCCACTCCCCTGCTTCCGTGAGAGGTGGGGTGGGTTAGTAATCACCTCCTTTGCTATATAAACCGTCGTCTCTCCCTCTCATGGCAATAACTTCCCAACCTTCCCTCACTACACTCACAAACATACCACAATGGCTCCAGGCGCACTCGAACGTCGCATCTCCTCCGAATCCAAGCTCTCTCCCCTCGACCGAGCCGAAATGGCACTCGTCGACGCCCACGGTGCTCCAGACGTCTACGTCAACGGCAAAACCGATACATGCTGGCATCCCTGGGTCGGGGACCTCCTCGTCAAGCCCCTCCGTTATGAACCCAAGTCTGGAGATTTCGTGATTGTTTTGCGTGCACCCAACGATACCGTCTTGGGGAAGCATAGGCATAGGGGGGTGGTTACCGCTACGACGCTCAAGGGGAAGTGGAATTATTTTGAGTATGATTGGGTTGCGCAACCTGGGGATTATGTCGTGGAGAACCCGGGTACTATTCACACGGTGTGTACATGCGTCTTGCTTGGGTTAGAATGGGCTAATTTTACCTAGCTTCACATGTACGAGGATACTGAGGTGTTGTTCACCGTGAGCGGATCCATCGAGTAAGTTTCTCTAGTTGAACAACTGAGATGGTTGCTAACGGGTTTACAGGTTCTTCAATGATGACGACACCTTGAGGAACACCATGGATTTGTTCAGCTTCATGCACCTATACAAGATCCACTGTGAGAAGACCGGGCAGAAGTTCAACACCGATCTCGTCTACTGAACCAGATTGGTCATCGCTCATTATACCAAGTTTTTATCTTTTAGGAGTTAGGTGGCTGGTGTTTCAAGTTGCGTGGGAGTCAAACATGCAAGCGATACCATCGGATGAATGAGAAACCCATCCTTAAGCAATCGCGAACCAAATCTTCTCCCAAATATTCCTCAGCACCTCCTCCACATACCGCTGAGTGCAGACTCGACAGGTTTTTGTGTCAGTTTGTGGAATTACCTTTGGCCGCGCGGGCCACTGAAAACTATGTCTGCACTCAGCGGTAATCCAACTCCTCCGCATCAATCTCCGCCTTCCCAGTGACGAAGTCCATCTCAGCATACGGCACAAGTCCTGACCTCTTCCACACCCACCATCTAGCCATGGAAACGAAGTAGATCAACAACCCGATGTACGCAGCAACGAAGTTAGCTCCATTAAACTCACCAAAGAAGACGGCGAAACCTTGGATGAGGATGGACGGAACGGATCAGGATTGATCCTACACGAAGGACGCGAGTAACAAACCAATTGCAATGAACTGAATGTGTCTGGACTTCAACCCTCTCTTCACGGTGCTATACTTGTCCGCATGGATCTCCACCTGTCCCGACTCGATGTCGAGACGCTCCATCTCGAGCTCCGCCTCCTTGATAGCGCTCTTACTGATTTCGGGTCTGTCGTAATCCATTTTGCTAACCTAGGTAGGCAGCATGTATGGATCAAAACTGAGGAGACGACCAAGACCGTCGTTTTGTACGAGGCTTACGTCCTCCACCCCTAGGCCTTCCCAATTCCCCATCGCGATGCTTAAACGACTGCCTAATCAGGTATAAACCAGGTTTACGGTAAGCCTGTGCAAACCGCTGATTACTGCAATTTGAATACCCTTACTATTACCTTAGTCGGGATTCTGACCGGCGGTTTCCGTTTGGGAGCGTGCGAGTTCTGCAGCTGGCGATTGCCGCCGGGGCAATCCCCGCAATGCCGTGAGATAATAAGAATGTACTTGATAAGCGATAGCTGTGAGCGGCCAGATAGAGAGTGCATTTGGAGAGCAGCTGTATACGGTATCCTGTCGTGGGTCAAGAAAATTGTCCCCGCAAGTACAGTTTGATCAAGGGAGCTCGAGGGGAGTGTGAGTAAACAATGGAAAGTTAACCATAGGATCTTACCATCAACTATCCTTGATAGTATAGTGGCTAGTATACGCGCCTGTCATTGGGCTCGCGCGGGACCCGAGTTCAATCCTCGGTCAGGGAGCACTTTTTCTTTTTCTGCCTCTTTTTCCACCGCTACCGCAAATGCCGTTGCAGGCCCTATATCACCATCCCTCGTTCTTCCAGCAGATAAACGGCCCAGCCGGACCGTCCTCTTCCATCCCATCCGTCCACAACCCAATAATTCCAATTCCCGGCACCAACATCCCCGTATAGATCCACCTCGTCTCCACATCCTCCTGATCATATATCTTCCTCCACTCCACCAATGCATAACCCTCCGACATCCCTTCAATCCGTCTCGCACATCCCGTAAAACTGAATGAATCGAAATCCACCCCTCTGCCGGAGATGAGCCGATATCCATCCGAAGGTGATGCAGCATTAGGCGTGGGAGGTGATTCCACGTGAAAGTCAAAATACTGGGGACCATCGAAGAACTCTCTGTAAGGTTCGGAGTTGGTTTGCATGCGCTCTGGTAAGGTGATGAAATCACTGTAATCGAGGTAAGAGTACAGACTGATCCACCTCCCGTCCAAACTCTCCTTCACATCCTTCTGGAAATCAGCTCTAACAGGGTCTCGCGGCCACCCAACAAGATCGTGTTCTTTGCTGAAATGATCATCGGCAATGATGTCATTATCTGTCTCATTCGTTTGAATCCAGTGTAGCATGACCCGTAGAATACAGATGAGCAGAATATGACTTTCGTAAGATGAACTATTCGCGGCGAGAAAGTGTTCAACGTTCGCACGATAGATATAGGCTTGACAGTCGAGAACCTGGCCAGGGGACATAGTCCACGTACTCGGATCATTATCAAGCCAAGAGCGAGTGAGAAGGATAGTGAGCATCGGTAAGCACACGCCGAGATCATCGACTCTCGAATGTAAGCTCCGCCTGATTAGAGCGATGTTTTTCGCCTCGTTCTCCTCAATCACGTCATGGAGTACACGGCCAACAGCCTCTGGTAAGACGTCTTTCTCGGAATTGCCAAGGCGTCGGATAGCGACCATTCGTTCTTTGTAGTGTGCTCGGAACTGATCGCGAGGAAAGGCGGGTCTTGGCGAGTCAAAATCACGCAAGAAGAGGCTTTGCCAGAGGTGAGTTGAGGTGTTGATGACATTATGAATAGCTTTGGATGTCGTGCTGAGTGCTGTGATCGAGCTGAGAGGTAAGGACAGTACGATGACGGAGAAGATCTGTGCAAACCAAGTTAGTTCAGGTCAGAGCACAGGATCCCAAGCAGCAATAGTCGGACTTCAGTTGGTAGATCAGACAAATAATCCGTCTCTTCTTCCGGTTCCTTCCCTTGACCATGAACTGGCCGTGAGAACGCCTTCATATTGCCCAGCTGATCCATTTCTAGTAGCTTTTGTGACTGCAATTGAGCCTGACCTGTCACTGATGAAGCTGGTTGACCTCATCCGGCGGTCAATTTCTGAGCTGGCGGCAACGCACACGTTCATATAGAACAAGGTTTGAGCTACCTCCGTACGCGCCGAGAGCGAGGCTCGGGAGGCTGCAGTTTTGAGCTGCCTGATCCCGTCGGTGTAATTGCAGCCTATGTAGGAGACTGGCAAGAAACAATGAAAAGCACCAGTGAATTCCGTATGATTGACCGTGCTACCGGCTGAGTTCCCCCTGCTCTCGAAATGGTGATGTTTAACGTCTATCGATATTGCTACGACCGCGGTACGACGTCGACATGGTCTACAACTTGCGCGCTGATCCGTTCGCAAAAACAAACACTCCGAAAAAACAAGAAAATGGACGCAAGCACCGTAAGTCACTGTCGCAGTGATCCGGGTCTTTGCTTAAGTTCTTGTGATCTCCACAGGTTATGGACACACTCCTCACCGGCATGGGCTACGCCCAAACCGCCGTTCGCGAAACCACCCGCATCGCTGGTCCCCGCCTGTACGCCCTCTCCCAGTCGCACCCAGACTTAACCTCGATCTTCATGCTCCTTGGTATTCTCTGGCTCAGTATGACTATTCTCACTCGCGCCGGTAGGTTCATGTACTCCACCGTAGTCAGCACCGTGAAAATGGCCATTTTCTCGGCTATTGTTGCGTTTGTCTGGGCTATTGTGCAAAAGGGACAGGGATTGACCAGGGAAGATGTGATGGAGATATTGCAGACGGCATATGGACAGATCATTGGGAGCGTGCAGCAGTTCATCCCGGGACAAAAGAAGGGTCCCTTGGGATTGTGGTAGTGAGCGGTGTACGATACGACAGACGACGATTAGGGACTGGGATGATGGATAATAATATGAACAGGTAAATTATAGGAGTCGCGCTCTCTGTATTAGATGAGGTATACGATGCCAGAACTATGCAAAATCCCTTTTAAACGCCAATGTAAAACCGATGATCCACAAGAAGAACCCATGCTGAACAAATCTAAGCAAGCACAGCAACCAAAGCAGGGTGCTGAGAAATCTGAGCAGCGTACTGCCCGTTCAAAGCCCTAACCAACTCAACCAACTCCTCCTTAACCTTCGGCTTCAACTGTTCATCAGCCTTCGCCAACACCGACGCAAGGACAGGGAGCAACTGCCCGGTCAATCCCATGACGATCGCGTCGTTGGTGCGGTAGAGCTGAATGATCATGTTGTAGACGGGAGTGTTCTCCTGGAAGTCATTCTCCAATGGCAAGTTTGCCACCAAATGAGGAAGGACCTGAGGGAGAGGAACAGCAGCAGCATTCTTCATGATCATGCGAGCAACACAGCCGATAGCGTTGTCCTTGCCATTACGGTGGTTCTCACCCTCGAAGAAAGGCTGCAACTTCTTCAAGACGCTCATGTACTGGCTGGACAAATCCTCGTTGGAGCTGTAGACCAACAAACCAACAGCGTAAGCCGAGTTGGACCTGACCTCAGCATCGGGGTCCTCGAGTCCAGCGTTGAAGAGCTTGAACATCGGGGCAGTGTAGGGCGTGATACCGGCCTTCAACCCACCAGCACACTCTCCGACACCAGCGACGGTCATAGCACGCTCAGCGTTAGAGCGCTTGGCGTCGTAGTACTTGAGCATAGACGGCAAGAAGGTACCGAACGCACTTTGGAACTCCTCTCCGAGGGCGTAGGAGAGAGCAATGACGATGTCGAAAGCAGAGTCAACCAAAAGCTGGTCGTACTCAGCAGTGTCCTCGTCATCACCGAGCGGTCCATCTTCATCATTGTCGAGAACACCATCTTCGTAGTCATTGTCGATCTGACAGGTATGCTGCTTGTTGAGAATCTTAAGAGTAGCGGTAGCGATTCTCTCAAGATCATTGCCCAAAACGCCAGGGCCAGCAGTACGGACACAGTCCGCAATGTTGCGGCAAATCTCAGTGACGACCATCCTAGAAGAACATTGTTAGCCATCGGCTCCAAAGAAAAACCCGAAATTCTTCATGGCTGCAAATCCACGCTTGCGAGATATAGAAAGGAGTCAGGACACGAGGGTTTAGATTTAATTAATAAATGGTTCGTGCCATTTGGTTTAGCGTCAGCGTTTTTTTCCGAATGAGCTGGGTATGTGTTCATCTCGACCAATCCATATCTCTCGCGGTGCAGCTCATGGGAAGGAAGGAGGGAATATACATACTTTTCATCTTCGTCCTCCCACTCCTGGAGAGTGAGGTTACGGACCATGGTGGCAATCTTGGCGACGTCGGGGTGCATCGAGTTGGCAGCGGCGATTCCAGGAGTCCACTCAGGCTGACCCTGGGACATCATGACGTTCAAAGTAGAGACGAAGCGCCACAAGGAACCGAAGGCAGCCTTACGGACACCCTCGTAGAAGTGAGTGGTAAGACCCATAAGAGCCTCAGTACACTTCTCGAAGTAAGGCATGAAGGCGTGCTTGGTGTGAGCGAAGATCTCGCCCATAGCGTCACCAGCAATCTCCTTCTCCATGGCGATAGCAGAGTTGACACCGAGGTTACCAAGACCATCCTCGTCATCGTCATCCTCACCACCGAGGTTGATAGTACCGTCCTCACCGACCAAGTCCTCGTGCTCCTCCTGCTCACAGGACTTGATGAGGTCAGGAACGATGTACTCCAAGAAAGGAGCAAAGTCAGCACCGTAGACACGGGCCATGATCGCGAAGAAGCAGAAAGAGCACTCGCGAACACGGGGGTTACCGATGTTCATACCCTCGTGGGCAAGCTTAACGACAATATCAGCGAATGGGCCGAAGCGCTCTTTACCAACAGCACCAGCGACGGAACCGATGGTGTCAGTAACAACACCACGGAGGTCCATCTCCTCGCTGTCCTCGGACTTCAGGCCGAGGTAAGGCTCGAGGGACTTCATGGTCATCTCGAAGTAAGGAACGAACTCATCCTCGGCGGCGTGAGCAGCAGAGCCAATGGCAGCAGCAACGGTAAGCTTGACGCTGGTAGCGGCACCAGACTGCAAAACAGCGCAAAGACGCTCCATCAAGCGAGGTAAGTAACCGACGATGTCATCCTTCTTCAAACCCTCGAGCAAGGCATCAAGAGCGTTACAAGCAGATGTAGCAACATCCTCACCAGAGGTCGCCATGATGGCAAAGACCAATGGAATGAAGTCAGAGTGCTGAGCGGAGATAATGTCAGGCAACTCCTCGGCCAACTGACCAAGAAGAAGCAAACCCGCACGACGAACGACGTTCTCGGAGTCGGCAAGACCCTGCTTAACCAAAGGCAGAATAACGTCAAGCTGATTGGATACGAAGTCAACGGAACCCTCAACAGCGACAGCAACAGCAGTCAAGGCAGCCTTGCGGTGTCCTGGGTCGGCGTTGTTGAAGTATTGAGGGATAGCGTTCATCAATGGTGCCATGACGGCTGACGGGGGAAGGGAGGTAGCCAACTGGTCGATGGTGCGGAAAGCCAAGCGAGACGGACAGTCATCCTCGGGAGTGGGAGAATCCTCCTCCGTGCAGATCTGCAAGAGCGCAAGAGTAAGCGCGGGACCGAGGTTGAGCTTCTGTAGCTTGGAACGCTTGAAGCGGACGCAAGTCATGATAAAGGACAAAGCCATGCATCGGAAGGTCTCGTCGATCTCCTTGGATTGAGCGAGCTGGACCATGAAGTTGACGAGGTCAGCGACGTGCTTGGCGATCAACTGAGGGTCAAGGATAAGGAGGGTGTTGAACACCTCGAAGGCGTTACGGGCCGCGGCCTCGTCACCGGCCTGAATGACTTCCTGCAAGACGTTGACCATGGAGGGAAGAATCTCTCGGAACATCTTGACAGAGTGCTTATCCTCGCCGTCCAAGATCTCACTGACCTTGCCCATAGCGAGCAAAGTAGTGGACCTAACCTCGAGCGACTCGGGATCTTGGATGGTACGGCCGAACAAGGCGAAAAGATCACCCATACGCTCAGTGAAGATACTCTCAATAGTCTCAAAGAGAGTGTAAAGAATGTAAACACCGACCTCACGGTCCGAAGCCTTCTGGCTGGTAGCAGCCTGGCTAAGGAAAGCAGGAAGGTCGTTCCAGGCACCAGCAGGCATATCGGTCTTGGCAATGCTCGAGATAACACGGGCAGAAGCATGACGGACCAGCGCACTCTGCTCTGCCAAGGTGCTCTGCAAGAGCGACTGGCGCACCTGGGCCTTCAAATCCTCAGGAAGGTCACCCCAGAAAATAGGAGCGAGCTTACGTGCCTCAACAGCAGCCAACTGCTTAATCTGCACATTGGCATTTTGCTGGAGAATATGGATAAGAGCCGGCAAAGACTGCGGCCGAGAATAGACATTATCCTTGAGCGTCTTAGTCGCAGTAGCGATCAATTGGGTGTCTGGTGCCATGGTTTGGCCCAGAAGGGTCTCCAGGTTGGAGACATATGTAGGCTATAAAACAAGACATCAGGACTTGTTATTGCAAGAAGTTGTTTGTCGAGGTGACTTACATCCATCTCTGCCAGAGAGCTGGGTCTCGATATATAAGGGGAGGAGCGGGTTGGAGATGCGCTTGTAAGCTGCCCTTCGTTTTTTTCTGCGTGGGGTGGGAACCTTCAGGCACGGCAAACACCGCGGTTTTAACCCTTTACATATTTATCGCTGAATAAAGTATCTTGATCGATCTATCTTCTTCAGCGACATCATGACAACCTCATTCACCATCTCAAACTGATCCAACGTCTGCACCATCAACATCCTCCTCTCCCTCAACCACTCCACAATATCGATTACCAGCTCCTCCTCCGTTCCGAATTTACTTTTGTTCCTCAACAAGTATTCGATAGCTGTATGGATTGAGATGAACGTTCCAGTACGTCCGACACCGGCTGAACAGTGCAGCAGCAGCGGTGTCGCCGGTGTGGATGAGAGGTTAGGCAGGGTAGGCACGAGAGCGGTAGGTTTCGTTCGAAGAGCGTCAACCTGCGCAACAAGCGTCAAAAAATCCGCCGGTTCGAGAGCTGAGTGATCAGCCCACGTCGTACTCCACAAATGATACACATCCCACTCCTTCCCACTGCCGAGCTTGACCTTGATCACCCGTAACGTATTCATATTCTGGTTACCCGTGCTTGGGAGATTCCATTCACCGGTGCATTCAACGTGTACGTCGCCATAACTCTGGGATTGTCCGGCTTCTGGCCAGTATTTGTGGCATTTCGTACGTCCGCCTTCGGAGAGGGGGGTGAGCATGATAACGATTCTGGTGCCTTGCTCGACCACCAGTTGCCAGAAGTGGCCAGATGTATTAGGTAATGGACCTTGTGTCGCTATATATGTTGGAAGTGCAGGATCCTCGTGATAAGAAGGGATCAATGACGCATTGATATACCCTCCATTCGAAAGCTTTAGCCGAGAGTGTTCGTCTGTGAAATCTGGTTAGTACACGCCAAAATCGTGCATACGAAAGAGAGTTCACATGGCAACACGTCTCTATACCTATTCCTGCTCTCGTTCTCCTCCTTCTGTGCTTCCAGGACTGAATACGGGGAGTGCAGATCGTCTGATTCGTCTAGTCGTCTATACTCGGCTTCTTGAATTGCCCGGTAGGAGGCAGCGCCTGCTGAGGCTGATGAACGCGAAGGACGGGTCATGAAGTTCCAGAAGCGACGAATGATGGACGGCTCAAGGAAGGGTGAAGGTCCTTGAAGGTGGGTTTGGAGTTTGGAGACCGCGCGAGATTACGTGCTGCAAGTGCACAGACCTACAGTCCGGGGAAGCGCCGCTGATAACCCCGGACCGACGACGTCTTGCTAGACGAGGAAAGATGGGTTCTTGGCATTTGGACGACAATTTCAATGCGAAAGTTCAAATCAATATTGTTTTGATGTACAGGGCCGTAGCCCACTTCATCCATCAACCCCGTTCCATGTCCACCAGCTGTATCTATGCTACACTCAGATTTATTTCTTCGGCTCCTCCTTCTTCTCCTCAGGCTTAGGCGTCGGCAACTTCTGCGATGCAGGCCTCTCATCTCTACCAGTACCAACCATCTCCCATGGAGACTGTCCACCATCAAAGTTCCTGAACGCCTGCTGCAACTCCAACGGCTCCACAACGACACGCTTCTTCTCCTCGTCGTATCGCACCTCGGTGTATCCGGTAAGGGGGAAGTCCTTACGCAGAGGGTGACCCTCGAAACCGTAGTCGGTCAAGATTCTACGGAGATCGGGGTGGTTGAGGAAGAAGATACCGTACATGTCGTAGGCTTCACGCTCGTACCAGTTGGCACCCTGAAAGAGGTCGGTGACTGAGGGCACTGGCGAAGCCTCGTCAGCGTAGGTCTTGACCCTGATACGGGCGTTATGGCGGTGGGAGAGCATGTTGTAGACAACCTCGAAGCGGTTGGAGCGGGTGGGGTAGTCGGCACCGGCGATGTCCATGACGGACTTGAAGGAGGCGTTGGTGTGGTCACGGAGGAAGGTCATGACGGGGATAACAGCTGATGGACCGACGTAGACAGTGAGCTCATCCTTCCAGACGGAGAACTGCTGGATGTATTTGGGGAGGGCGGCGAGTAGGTAGTTTCCGTACTCGGTCAAGTTCCTGGAGCAATTGATCAATACCGCCGAGTATATGCACATAAAAAGACACGCACTTTCCAGTCTCGATGTGCTTGTCGGCCGGGTTAACGACAGGGACCTTCAACGGCCTGTGGTGGGAGCCATCAGGGCCGGCAGCAGCGGCGGGCGAAGGAGGAGTAGGAGCGGCGGCAGCACGCGCAGCAGTGGTAGCGAACCCACGGGCGACCTGACGGGTGGACTGACGGATCAAGACTGATCTCAGAGACTGCATTTTTGCGTATATGGTTGCTCTATGCTGTCCTGCTGTTGCGTAGTGTAAGGCGGTAACTGGGCATTTCATTGGCTGGTTTTCGTGCCTAGTCAGGGTAACCCGTGATTTCGCTACGACGACAGCAAGCGCGTCCGACCGTCGAACTGGCAACAGAAGCAGCATACACTCCCTAGAGACGGACAAGAATACACGCCATGATGAACGATTCCTACATCTCCGACGATGAGGAAGACCTTGAATGTCCCCTCTGTATGGAGGAGATGGATCTGTCGGATCGGAACTTCAAGCCGTGTCCCTGTGGTTACCAGGTGTGTCGGTTCTGCTGGAACCACATTCGGGAGAACCTCAATGGACGCTGTCCTGCTTGTCGTCGACTGTATTCCGAGGAAACTGTCGAGTTTAAGCCGATGACGGCCGAGGAGTATGTTTACTGTGCTACAACGTGTTGCGCCAAGCTGACAATGTTTACAGGTACAAGACGGATCAGAACCGTCTACGACGTGTGCAAAACGAGAAGAAGTTGAAGGAGAAGGAGCGTCGCGAAATGGAGGCAGCTTCGCGCAAGCATCTTGCCAACATGCGCGTTGTCCAGAAGAACCTCGTCTATGTTACCGGTCTTTCGCCCAAGATTGCGAACGAGGAATTGCTGCAAACGTTGCGCGGGCCCGACTACTTCGGACAGTACGGCAAGATCTCGAAGATTGTTATCAACAAGAAGAATCCCACCGCTATGTCTCCAGCAGCTTCTGCTGTTGCGCATGCATCTGGACAGATTGGCCCCTCGGGCACCCTCGGTGTTTATATCACGTATGCTACGAAGGAGGCAGCCGCTCGTGCCATTGCTGCGGTGGACGGTTCGGTGAACGATGGTCGTATTCTCCGGGCTTCCTATGGAACTACCAAGTACTGCTCTGCATACCTCCGCAACCAGCCATGTCCGAACCCGAACTGCATGTACCTCCACGAACCTGGAGAGGATATCGAATCTTACACCCGCGAGGATCTTTCGACTATCCAGCACACTGCCAAACAGGCCGAGTTCAGACCTACCCCTACACCTCCTCAATCGGCAACTCCTCAGCCCACTCGCGTTATTCCGTCTGCGGTCAGCCGTCCGAGAGGCGGTTTCGACATGGAGTATTCGGGCTCTTCCGATGCAGAAGGATCTGCTCTCCCCGCTACGGCATCTTGGGCAAGCAACTCCAAGCCCGCGCCCCCTCCCGCACCTAAGGAGGAGGAGCAGCGCAAGGCACGCGTTATCCGTCTTGGTCCCACGCCAAAGCCTGTCGCCGCACCGAAGTCCGTCGACAAGACCAAGCCCGAGCCATTGCCTCAAGCCCCAGTTCAGAACGAGGTGAAGGAGAAGGTAGAGGAGAAGGAGAAGGTCGTCAGTCCAGTCAAGCCTATCCCAACGAAGGCGGAGAACGCAACGGCTGGACGTGCGCCAGTTGCTGCTGCCCCGATTGCTCCGCCAAAGCCTGTCGAGGCTCCGGTTGCGGTTGCAGCTGCACCCGCACCAGCTCCGGTTCAAGAGAAGCAGGCGCCCAAGATCCTTACGCAGAAGCGTGCCAGGTCACCTACGGACCTTTTCGACAACATGCTTCAAGTGCTTGCCTCTTCTCCTTTCAAGTTTGTTTTCGCTGCTTCCGTTGCTTCTAGCCCCGACTTTGCCGAGGCCAAGGCAGCACCCTCCTTCTTCACTTTCGACCGTGAAGCAGGTTTGAAACAGCGCGATACCGCCCGTCAAGCACGGGAAGCTGAGCAGAAGGCCCGTGCGGCCAAGGTTGCCGCCAGTGCTCGTGCTGAACCCCCAGTGTTGAGCAGGAACTTCGATCCTTTTGCATTGGTCGAGGCTGATAAGATGTCGGCATCTGGTTCCGCTTCCGGTTCTGGCAATGGACACAAGAGACAGGGATCAAGATACGGATTTACTGGATCTGCCCCTGAAGTGAGAGCCGCTCCTGGCTTGGGTGGTGCTCCCGCTGCTCCTGCTGGTTTTGCTGGAAGGACTGCGCCGCCGCCTGGTGTTACGCCTCCTCCTGGACAGCATGTTAGGATGGGAGGTGCACCTGGACTTGGATTTGCTGCTCAAGGTACTGCTACGCCTCCTCCACCTGGCATTTACGCTGCTCCTGAGCAGCAGCAGCAGCCTGTCGGAAGTGCCGCTCAGTTCGGTGATCTTCAGATCGGCGGTGGTGCGCCTAACGGCGCTGGCGTTGACCAGAAGAGTGACCTCTTGCAGCAGTTCTTCAAGAACGCTGCCGCGCAGCCACAAGGACAAGGCCAGGTCCCTACTGGCCCTAGAGGCGGACCCGAGTTGCAGGATCCCGCGATTATGAGCATGAGGGTCTCGCCCGCACAAGTACAGGGCATGCAGCCCACTCAAGGTACGTTCCCTAACCCCCACCACGTAGCTGAATGCTTATACTCATCAGACGACCAGGACGCGCCGATCTCCTTCAACTCTTCGGCTCTGCTGGACGAGGAGGATTCAGAGCCTAAGCTCTCTACTAACCCATCTACCATCCCCGAAACGAAACCTGAAAGAACGAATGTTGATCCTGTGTCTGTTGTTGAGAATAAGAATTTCCCGAGTTTGCCGAGCGGAGCTGTGAGGACGGGGGAGAGTATTGCGAGGAAGGCGGCTGCGGATATACCGACGGCGATTTCGAGGCCGAATACTGGGAAGAGTACGGCGAGTTCGGCGAGTGCTGGGTCATTTGCTGCGGTTGCGCAAGCTACAGCTGCAACTACTGTTCCGGCACCGTCTACGCCGGTGAGTACAGTTGTTGCGCCAGTGGCCGCCGAACCTGCAAGGCCGTCGACACCGGTGAGGAAGGCGAGTACTATCACTCTTCCGCCAAGTTACTCGGCTCCTGTTACGATGCCACAAACACCAGCACCGGCTACGAAGCCGGAGGTAGCTGCAATGCCGGTGACTATGCCTGTTACTCCTCGACAGGAGCCGGTTGCCTTTAAGCAGCCTGTCAAGGGACGTGTCATTACTATTCCTTCCGCCGCTCCTTCGACGCCGGCCGCATCAGCATTAACTTCTGCCGTTGAGTCGCCATCTACGCCGGCCAAGCCGACGTATATCGAGATGAACAGCACTCCCAGTGTCATCGTCAGCAAGTCCAAGAAGAAGCGTGAAGCTGAAAAGGCTGCTGCTGCAAGAAAGGGCGAGATTGAAGTCGTTGTCCAACAGGCACCCGTCGAAATCGCGCCTATCATCGGTCGGCAGAAGAAGCAAAAGAAGGAAAAGCCCCCGAAGGAACCTAAAGAGCCCAAGGAAGGTACCACACCTCTGACGACTGCGGCTGTGAAGGAACTACGCGACGAGTCTGGACGCCAAAGGGAGAATAGTGTAGACTCGTCGTCTTCCGCTGCTGTTTCGTCAATGAATGAGACAAGACCGGGGACGCCGGGTATCACACGCTCTGGTACGCCACAATCCACGGCATCAGGTCCTGCCGGAGGAGCTAATGAGCCGCTGTCCAAGGAATTTAACGCGTTGGATGCTATTGCTTCGCTTGCCGCTGAGATGGACTTGGCGAACCACGTTTTCTTCCGGCCAGTGCTTGGGCTGAATGCGCAATTCTCGTTTACTGAGGAAGAGATCCGGAATGGAGAGGAGTTCTTGAACGCGACTGCTGCTGCTAGGAAGGCTGCTGAGGTACTGGCCGCCAAACTGGACGTCTCGCTCCCCGCTGTCGAGGATCTCGTGAACGGTGGGGTTGATATCATCCCCGCCCGAGACTTGACCGAGCAGATCCTGCGCGGGAAGAAGTTCATCGAAGAACTCGAGAAGAAGGTCACACTCACACGCCGCGAGGCAGAACAATGGGAAAAGAAAGTCGAAAAGGCAGCAAGGAAAAACAGGAAGTTAATGAAGATTGAAGTTTCGGGTGCATGAAAGGGTAGGTTACAGTAACGGCTTATGGGGTCTGGGGTCCTGATGATTTTTGTGTATGTTATTTCAGCATGGGACTGATCTTGTTATACGTTATACCGGAGTTATCGAATACCATTTTCATTTAGCATTACTTCTACGTCCATGTGCTGCTTGAATTCGTCTTCTGCAACTGCAGAGAAATTTCACTCTTTTATATGTCATCTACCGTAGGAGCTCCAGAAGATTACCAAGGTATGGATTCCATTCACGGTATACGTATATATGGTGCCAGCACCTCCGTATCGTCCAACCCGAGTTCTGCAAGCGTGACAGTCTTTACCGGTTGGGCAACAAACGCTTCTCCTTCTGCGTGTTCTTCTTTCTCCTCCTCTCGATGACCTTCTGCAAAGTCTTGTCGCCAAGCTTCGAGAATTTGTCGTAAAGCACAAGCTTCTTCTGGTCGGTTTTCTTGAGGAAGAATGGCTTCTTTCCTTCTTTGACCATCGCGCGTTCCGACTTGTTGTGCTCTTTAATGACTTCGCGGGCATGTTCCTGGTTCTTGCGAGCTTGTTCTCGTGATTGCATAGACGTGAGTGTTTTCTCAAGCTTTGCCTTCTCTTCTGGATCCTTGATCTTTTTCATTGTTCCCTTCAACATGTTGATTTCATCTTTGCGGTAGTCGTTCAAGAAGGAGTAGTTCTTGCGATAGGCTTCTTCGTTGAAGTGCCCTGAAAGCGATTCGAATCGCGGATCACGGGCTTTGATCGCCTGTACTTCCACGATGTCACGCTTCCTTCCCACAGCCTTCTTCGATGACACTTCCGTGGGTGCGTGCTTGTTGGTACGCTTCGCGGGACGTTCAGGACGAGCAGGGCGTTCTTTCTTGACACATTTCGCAGCCATCATCTCCTGTAGCTTCTGCAGAGTGGTCGATTTGATAGACTCCGCTTTATTACCAGACGATTGTTCCTTCTCCTGTGATTTAGAGATCAGCGCGTTGTTGGCCTTTGCTAATGCTCCCATAGGCAAATTTGCCAGATCTGTTCACATGTTAATCGCCGCATTCCTTGCATAAAATCGTGGGCATGCCATAGGCCTACTGACCCTGTTTCAAGGATTCCTCATCGTAGTCGTTATCATCCTCCTCCTCGTCATACTCGCTGCCATCCACTGAGCCTTCATCATCATATGGCCCTTCGCCTTGCCCTTCGCCGAATTCCTCGTCCATGTTTCCGTCATCACCATAGACGTCCTCATCATCTGAGTAGTTCTCCACCGGTACCCGACGTAAAGATCCCTTATTGATATTGCTCATGATTGATTTGACCGGTCCTTAACTCTCTTTGCTTATCGGTTGAGAAGGGAGCCTCACGCAGCTGGATTGTTCTGCAATGGGATGGGTGACTTGGAAGAGAATAAGTGTTCGACGAAGGACTTTAGGCTTTCGTCTATGGTGTGATCAACCGTAAAGAGATCGTCGTGTTCGTTGCCGGAGGCTCCAGGATTTTTTTCGTCGTTGTCTTCAAGGCCTGCAGCAGCTGTCTTCGTCCTGCAGATTTGGCGAAGCCTGAGCCTGAGACGGAGTTTGTGCCGGATGAGTACACGTTGTCAATTGAGAGGAAGAAAAACAGCCATACAACTTGTCTATGTTTGAGAAGAGCAAAGTTAGGTCGAGGCTGTGAAGTGCTGAAAGCAGAGGGTTTCATTGATTATCAAGTTTTCTTAAACTGCTAGCCGTGGGATCTCCGGCGTAGAATTGAATGTCATACATGTTCATCATCTTTTCTGCTGTCGCACATACCAGCTGCGCAACCTGTAACCCTTCTAGAATTCGCCGTCCATCTATCGTCTTCCCTTTCTAGGCTTCTGAACCAACTCGAATCCATCCTCGTCAATGACCGGTTCAGGCTTTGCCGCAGGCTCCTCATCTCCCATGGCCGTGTCTCCCTCCTGATCCACAGCCTCGCCCTCCTCATCGCTACTGTCCTCCTCGTCACCCTCCTGCAACATCCTCTTCGCCGCACTCGGTCTCTTCTCCGAAAACTGCTTCTTCAGAGTGGACGCAAAGGTAAAGTCACCAGCTGCACAGTCCTTGTGGAGCTTCACGCAAGTGCCTGCGACTTGGTATGATGAGTCGTCTTCGAGAGAGACGTCGAATTCGTCTTGCATGATCTGGTCGAGCTGATCTGCGATGTCGTCGGGTTCGATATCCTTGCCACCTGTGGTCTGATTAGCAGGACGTCCGAGGATAAAGAGGAGCAAACATACTCTCAAACATGTCAACAACAACACCAGCCATCCAGTCGCGCTTGTCAGCGCTGTCCGGACCTCCCCATTCTTGATCAACAGCAAGCGACAGCGCCGTCCAAAGGTGCAATGCGAAGGCAACGCCTGCGTAGGTAGGTCAGCAACTACGATCCTGAAGCGTTGTTAACTACCATACCTGCTTCAAATACTGACTGGGCCTTTTCGTTCGCGAGAGGCATCTTTGATTTTTCGAGGACTTCTTTGTGCGATGGGTGAACCGGGGAGAGGGAAGAAATGCTAATACTGGTCTTTTGATCCAAGTGGCAGGAGAATAAGACGTTGTCTTGTACCGAGAGAGTTCGTCGTGAATGCTCCAAGAATTTTCGCCGTTGTCTTCAAGGCCTGCAGCTGGCTGTGCTTCGTCCTGCGCCGAACCTCAACGTTGTCTGAGCGGCAACCCCCACAAACGCGTCGTAAACCTCCAACACCTCATACCATCCTCGACCGTCCAAGGTCTTAGTCTTCAGAGTTTCTATCCTTCAGGAGTTCTTATCAAGTACCACCCTACGCTTCTTCATTTGTTCTACCACGCTCACGATGTCCGCCCAAGATGTGGAACAATACGAGTACCAGCTATCTCAGGTCACCCAAGCCCTTGAGGCGGATCCAGGCAATAAGGAGCTTCAATCACTGAAGGCGGAGTTATCGGATCTTATTACGCTTACGAAGTCATACCTTACTGAGGCGAGCAAGGGAGCAACACCGACCGAAACCTCGAGCTCCAGATCCGCGTTCAAAAGTACAAGTCAGCCGGCGAAGACAAGCGAGAAGGAATCGTTCAAGGTTGGCGACGAGGTCATGGCGAAATGGGTTTCCGGAGACAAAGAATGGTACCCGGCTAAGGTCACTGTTGTATCAGGCACCGAAGGGAAATACGTCTACACAGTCCAATTCACACAATATGGTACCATCGAAACCCTCCCACTAGGGAACAACATCCGACCCCTTGACGCATCCCGAAAACGCGCCTACGAAGACTCAACACCCGTATTCACCTCCTCAACCGGGCCCGAACGGAAAAAGAAGGTGTTGGAGTATAAGGAACCGACCATCAAGAAACCCAAAGCTCCCCCGAAGGCCGAACTCGATGCGGGTAAAAAATCGTGGCAGGCGTTCGCGAATAAGGTTGGGAAGAAGAAGGGTGTCAGAGTGTCAGGAGACTCGATGTTTCGGACGCCGGATTTGGGGGGGAGGGTTGGTGTAGTGGGTAGTGGGAAGGGGATGACGAAAGACGCGGGGACGAGGGGGAAGCATGTGTATCAGCTTGATGGGGAGAGGGATGATTGAGGGAGGTTTGTTGTGAGGAATGTCATGGCTTCGCTGGGTGTCGAAGAAGGGGACCGGTCACTATGAGATGGGAGTATGCCGGCGTTGTTGAGTAATGGCAACATTATGGTTAGCTCGATTCGACGTGCACTACCCATCCAGGGGAAGAGTTGATTAGTATAGGTATCTTCTAGTTTCCCGATCGTGTGTGCATGGTCGTTGCCGAGGACGAGCTCGAGTCCATGAGTGTGCCCTTCTTAGGTAGTTACATGCATAGCTCACGATTATTAGTTGATAATATGAGTATCAATAACAGCACTGAATCATCACAATGTTGTTTACGAAGAATGCGATTTGCACACACCTACCTCATAAAAGTCCCACGGTCGTTGCGCTACATCCAGTGACGAGACACGTTTCGTAAGCTGAAGGCAGGCAAACGGCTCAATGATTAAAGCAGGTCTTTTTAATGCTCGTCTATGTCAATGGAGCTTTAGTCGGTACCCTCAATGAGTGTCGCCAGACTTGGCCGGTGCTTTTCCTGCCCTGTACCGGGTGTCATGTACTACACGCGGTTCTGAGACATAGCAAACTAGAAGAGAATAACTGAGCAGCAGCCATGGCTACCCTCGCTGGGAACGGAGCGGGTTTGACCTTTGAAAGTAGCTCCGGCTTCATGTGAGTCTGGGTCTGACAACTGTCGCCGCGCACCGATTGACAAGAAACATGAGCTGCTACGTCGAGTCTTTGGTTACTTGCATAACCGAAGCCTCCCCACGGTGTACTCACACCAATGCACACTTCCAGCGGCACATCAAATGCAAGAACGCTGAGTCGGTACTTGAGGGAATCATGGAGGTTGGGAACAGCCTTGACATGTTGGTTTCAATATGTATTATCGTTTGAAAACGAGACATCAACCATCCTTGATAGTATAGTGGCTAGTATACGCGCCTGTCATTAGGCTCGCGCGGGACCCGAGTTCAATCCTCGGTCAGGGAGCATTTTTCGTTTTTTTGCTCCCGTCCCAGCCCCGTGATGGTTCACAGGGATTATCGTCAGCAAGCTTTTGAGGGGCCACGGAGGGTAGTGTAATCGGCTGAGGTCCGGTCTGTTGGCGCCTGTGAACCTTCCAGGCCGTCATTCTCACGCGCATACCGTATGTGCACACCGAGCTCCATGTACAAATTGCCCGGGACACGAGAGTACTGAATGGTCATTGTGTGTTATCTAGTAATAGTACACAGCCTACTTGGCCCTTCAAGTTTTAATCTCACGACCTCCTACTATCCGTCCTCTCAACATGCGCAACAGCACCCTTCTCCAGCTCCAGCTCCACATCCCCCTTCCCCTCCCCAACCCGCACACCCACAACCTCCTCCCCCGTAAACAACGCATCAATCTCCTCCAAACTCTTCCTCGCCGTATCCGGATAATACAACCACAACAACGGCGCCCACAACGCATTCAAACACGCAAACAAGATATACGTCTTCCATTGGATTCGGGAAATTAGGATGGGTGTGATTTCGACGATGAGGAAGTTGCAGATCCAGTTGCAGCCTGTTGCGAGGGCTGAGCCGCGGGCGCGGAGGCGGAGGGGGAGGAGTTCGGGGCCGTAGAGCCAGGGGGTGCCGAGGTAGCAGGTTCCGAAGATGGCGATGTAGGTGAAGAAGAACAAGACGGATGCTTTCGCAGCCGTTGCGTTACCAGTCGAGAGGAGGATCGCGATGAGGACCATCGAGATCGATTGCACGATCGACGCAATGATAAACGGCTTCGGTCTCCCCCACTTATCCAAGAAAATCAAGGGATAAGCAGAGAACAAAAAGAAGACCAACCCAATCAACCCACCAACGAGGAGAGACGACTCCCTCGACAACCCAACCGTCTGCTCAAGCAACACAGGGATATAATACACCAAGGCATTACACCCACTCAACTGCTGAAAAATATTAATCCCGCAGGCCAACAACACACGTTTCCGATTCTGCTGTTTATTGTTTTCCCAGCATTCTGCCCACCTCACCGGACCGCCACGGCCTTCAGCTGTGAGCGCGGTAGTGATTTCGCGCATACGCATCTGCACGACTTCGTCCCCAACCTCGGTCCCCTTCGGCTCAAGTTGCGCCAAAACCCACGCCGCCTCGTCCTCCCTCCCATGCGCCGCCAACCACCTCGGACTCTCCGGCAAAAACCACAACAAACAAATCGTAACACCCGCAAACAACAACTGGAGCCCAATCGGAACACGCCACGCTATCCCGCCCTCCGTGAACGAAAACCCGTAGTCGATCCAGTAGGAGATGAAGATACCGAAACCGATCATGGAGCCTTGGAAGGAGACGAGGCGGCCGCGGTTTGAGGGTTTGACCATTTCGGCGTTGTACATTGGGATTGTGGCTGCGTTTATGCCGTTGCCGAAGCCGGTTACTGTGCGTGCGACGATCATCTGTGCTGTTCCACTATTGGTTGTCGTTAGCATCTCCATCTACACCAAGTCAGGGTGTAGAAAAAGGGACACGTACAAGGTAGAAGTCTGCAACGTGGCCCCAACAACCATGATACTCAACCCAACCAACGCCGCCCTCCTCCTCCCCATGACCTCGCCATAAAACGCAGTAAACAACGCGCCCAACAAACATCCAATATCATAAATCGCGACGATCGTCCCAGTCAACTCTGCATTTGGGTAATTAAACACCTTCAAGAAATGGGAGCCTGTGAGGAGACCGGAGAGGACACCTTGGTCGTAGCCGAGGAGGAGGAAGGCGGAGGAGGAGGCGATTGTGATTGTGGTGATTAGGGCTGAGCCGCGGACGCCGAAGAAGTAGGGTTTGAAGGGGTGTTGCTGGTGGAGGGACATTTTGGTGGTGGAGTCCTTTGGATGAAAAGGTGGGGAGGGAGGGAGGAGGGTTATATAGAGACCCAGGACTCGGGGACGGCGGGGTATCTTAGCTCACCCCACGCTGCCCTCCACAATCTGGAGAAGCGTCGAGTAGCGCTACATATCCCTCGGAGTTCTTCTCCGTCTCCACAACAGCTGATCTCGAGCTCATCCCATCGACTCTCCGCGGAGCTCGAGCGCCGGTCTTATACGCGGTACACGAAGTCGTTGATCCCTTCCTTCCTCGTTGCAGCCATGACTGGGTGGAGTCCCTAGCCTATGTTTAACCAGCCCAAAGGTGGAGCCCCGTGGGACGTTTTTCATTTCGTGGGATCTGTCGCTCAGGAAGGAAGGTCTCGCCTAGCGCGCTCCGACCGGGTAAACCGTTTAGTCAGGTACGGCGGGTCGGAAGCGGAAGTGACGGACGTATTTTGTTCCGCGGAATGAAAAGCCGTTGACGCCGCGGCCGCTTGCAATTGGGGTCGGATGAACCACGACGTCAAGGGTCCTTGTACTTAACCTCCCCCTCCTTCCCCATCAAACACACACACACACACAAACACCAACATGTCCTCATCCCTCTTCGACCTCACCAACAAAACCGCAATCATCACCGGGGGCGCCCGCGGCCTCGGCTTCGCAATGTCCAAAGCCCTCGCCGCCCACGGCGCAAAAATCGCTCTCTTCGACATCCTCTCCCCCGTCTCAGACCTCTCCGCTCTCCGTGCCGAAGGCGTCGACGTCGATTACTGGAAAGTCGACGTCACCTCGAAAGAGGACTTGGAGAAAGCCGTCGATGAGGTAAAGGCAAAGTGGGGAACTGTCGATATCGTTGTCTGCGCCGCCGGCGTCGCACGCGACTCCCCATTCCTGGAAACGAGCATCGAAACCTTCGAATTCCAGCACAAAATAAACACGCTCGGATCCTACCTCACCGCACAAGTCGCCGCATCCAGAATGGACTCCACGCGCGGTGGCTCAATCATCTTCATCGCAACCCTGACCTCGCACCAAGCTGCCCCAGCTCAACGTATTTCAGCCTACGCCGCATCCAAAGGCGCGATCCGCTCGCTCGTGCCGCATTTGGCTATGGAACTTGCGCCGCTGAACATTAGAGTTAATTCCATTTCGCCGGGGTATATGATGACGGATATGGTCAAGGGGTTGGAGAAGAAGAGTGTGGAGGAAGGGAAAGGGAGTTTGGTCGAGACTTTTGGGAAGGAGGGAATGTTGGGGCGGATGGGCAGGGAAGAGGAGGTTGGAGGACCGGTTGTGTTTTTGGCTAGTGGGGCTGGGGGGTATGTTACTGGACAGGATATTTTGGTTGATGGGGGAGTTAGTAAGTGGTGATCACTCTTGTCTATATTCCTATCCATCGTCGTCGTCACCTTCCTTCCCTGAACTCACACCCGGACGGGGAATTCCCCACGCGCGCGCGCATCCGCACACGGACCACCGACTTGAGCTTCCGCGGATAATATTCTCCGGCCGACATAACCGCCGCCCGCGACCGTACCCTGATCGTCACGTCTATGGGGCGCTATTGCTATACGCGATGGACCCGGGGGGGGAGAGGAGCTGTGGTTAAAGACTCGACGACATCGCACTCCAGGATCAATATCGAACTTCAAGGACAGGGAACAACATGGTTTTCACACTCTCCTGGGGAATCCTCGCAACTGGCCAAATCGCAACCCTCTTCTCAAAAGACCTCCTCATCTCCCCCTCCACGCGTTCCGTCTCGGACGTCACGCACAGGATCCACGCCGTCGCGTCTTCTTCCTCCGTCGAGCGTGCGCAGGAGTTCATCGATGCTATCACGGTGGGGAATGAGGATGAGAAGACGCGGTCAAGAACCGAAGACGTGGAGAAGAAGAGGGGGGAGATCAAGGCGTACGGGAGTTACGACGAGCTTGTGAACGATGAGGAGGTGCAGGCGATCTACGTCGCCACTCCGCATTCGTTTCACTACGAACACGCCCTCCTCGCCCTCCGTGCCAAAAAACACGTACTCTGCGAAAAACCCTTCACGATAAACGCATGCCAATCAAAACACCTGATGTCCGTAGCGAAAGCCAACGGCGTGTTTCTGATGGAGGCAATGTGGACGAGGTTTTTCCCGTTGGTGAGGGAGTTGGAGAGGATGTTGCATGAGGAGAAGGTGTTGGGTAGGATCATTGACGTTCACGCGGATTTTGGGTTGGAGTTTCCCGGGATTGAGGATAGTCACCGTCTGCTGAATCCGATGTTGGGAGGGGGCGCACTTTTGGATCTTGGGATTTATGCGTTGACGTGGGCGTTGTTGGCGGCACACCGCGCTCCTGAGAACTTGGATGAGGATGGCAACCCGGTGAGACCGAGGGTTACGGCGTCTATGCTCAAGGCGAGGACGGGGGTCGATGCACACACGACCATCGCACTCGACTACGACAAATCCGAAATCGCGGCTTTGGTCACCACAAATATGCGCGTCCGATCCCTCCCAGACAGCACAGCCCGTATCTCGGGTGAAAAGGGCTACATCACAATCGGATGGGCTCCATTCCGCCCCGAATCATTCACGTTACACCTCCTCGCTCCTCCCGCGACCACCGGGGCTTCAGGTCACCAATACGTCGGGACAGAGTATCTCCCGCCCAAGAAGATCGAGTTCGAGATCCCTGGGCACGGAATGTTTTGGGAGGCGGATGAGGTTGCGAGGTGTGTGAGGGATGGGAAGGGGGAGAGTAGTGTCATGGGTTGGGAGGAGACGATTATGGTTATGGAGATCATGGACGAGGCGAGGAGGCAGGGTAACTTCAAATATCCGGAGGAACTGGAGGCGGTTGAGGAGGGGTGCGGATTTTAAAGTTGGAGTTTAATTCAAAGAAGGCTAAAGGTTAATTGATTTCACATGCTTGGTGAGGTAGTTCCCCCGCACGACCGACAAGACCGAATCGCTCCTTCGGAAGAGACTGGACCCCATATAACAAACCACCATCCCCAGATCACCTACCAAGTAAACAAAACAGCATACACCCCAGATCACCGTCAACATGCTCGTCGTCCAAGAACTCGCCCACCACCCTCTCATCTCCCACTTCCTCCGCTACACCTCCACCACCATGGGCCGCGACAAAATCTACCGCATCATCCAATACTTTGCCCGGTTCTACGCGTACTACCTCCTTCGCCAGGGTGCGCCCAAGGATACGATCGTGCCATGGAATAGCTTGAAGAATAATTTGGCGTTGGGGAGGAAGTTGATGAGGGTGGGGAAGAATGTTGAGCATGTCAGGGCTGCGGCACAGGCTGTTGAGGGGCTGGGCAAGGGAGGGGGAGATGTTGTGGGCAAGGCGTTGCAGGTTGGGAGGCAGGTTGGGTATGCTGGATACTTGACCTTTGATATCATGCAATACGTAAGTCTGGGAAAGAGGGGGGATGAGGATTGAAGGCTAACTGAGAGACAACAGCTCCACGGCGCAGGTTTCATCCAACACCCAAACATCAAACGCATCGCCGACAACGCCTACAAATGCTGGCTTACAGGCCTCGCCTTTAACATCATCCACGGCCTCTACAAACTACGACAAATCTCCACCCAGCGCGCCGCGCTCACTCTCTCCACCACAGCCGCGGAAGAGGAGAAGACCGATGTGAAGAAGCTGGACAGGGAGAGCAATGCGGCGAGTTATCAGTTGTTGCAGGACTTGTTGGATGTTACAATTCCGGGGAGTGGGTTGGGGTTGTTGCCGCTTGATGATGGGGTTGTGGGTGTTGCGGGTGTTGTATCGAGTATTTTGGGGGCGAAGACGCAGTGGAAGAAGACTGCGTGAACGAAGCCGTAAGCTGAGTTCTGAGGGGAAGCCAAGCGTATATACGACAACGAAGGAGGAGACGTGGGTAATGGGTGTACGATATGAATAGGATGGCGTGAGTTTTGTGTTGTATGTGATGCCTTTGAATTGCGGGACGATAGCTGTTTTGGGTGCGTGATACAAACGAGTTTATCCCTATTGAATGCCTTCCTCCTAAAGCATATGTTTCATTGCTATTGTGTCTTGTTAGTACTCAAAATGTGTATGCAAACGAGCCATGGACGTTGGCAATTGCGCTCCCGACAAGTAGGCTCAGTGCAGCTTGGCCAAAATCAATACTGAACATGGAGTAAGCATAGTCACAGACATCGGGAAGTCACGAAAGTCAAGGGATCTTACGTCCGTGAATGCTTGTCTTAAGGCGATAGTTGAAGGTTCGCCACGTGATATCTCGACAGATACCCTTGCAAGAAGCTGCGATGTATAGGGGATTAGGATTTGCTTGATACTAAGGGTTCGATATCGATATGTCGAGGGAACACTTGCCGGTACGGTGTGGCACATATTTCAATGCTCCGATCCCTCTAAGCTCTTCCAGAGGGCCTTTGTCAGATCATGGAGAGAGAGAGGTACGGACAGGCAACTCTCATACTCATACTCAAGCTCGGCTTCATTCACCGTGATGCCAGTGTTTATGTTCACAGAATTCGAATGCTGAGTCTCATGAGTCAAGTCTCCCCAGATAGCTTACGAGGCCGGGATGCGTCAATTGGGACCCAAGAGAAAGGAATAAAGCCAGATTCCATGTCATTTGATCCCCCAACTGCACAAGGTCTTTGAGGATATTGGCAACCTCACAAGATTAACCAATTCAGACCGACCCAAGGCCCAATCACCTCACCGCCGTCCTCGGCTCTGCACTTCGGCTCGCCATGGCGTCCAAGATGACAGCCCCTACGCGAGACAAACCCAACATATCCGACGCAGAGATGCTCATCCCTCATCTCAATTTCGTCTCTCGAACTGCTCATCGCAACCCCCTCGGGTCGGAAGGCTCGCTTGGAAATGAAGCTGTGTGGTGGGTGGCGTGTAACGTAGACATCGAGAAATTACGAAGGGGGAGTACATATCAAATCTGCTATCCGTTATCCACCTTTCAATACGTATACGAGTTTTCGGCGACTGGGTTGCTGAGCCTTGTTTGACAAGTGTATGATACAGGTATCATATCGATATCGCCGGCTTATCTGTCTACATACCCGCAGGCTACGATAGCAATCGCGAATTGATTCCCGTCGTCCGCGGACCTTCCATGAACCCATCCCTCGATCGAGCCTTGTCTCGTCGTAGACTCGAAAGGAGCCCGGGGGGGGGGGAGGGCGCAGAAACTGCAGCAGGCTGCACGCTTCCTCGACCCAACCCAAAAATTCCCCAACGTATTGGCCACACTCCCCTTAACCTGCGTGGATCCCTGCAGCGAATGGCTGAGCCTTCGTTCGTTATCTTATGTAGTACCTTAAAGTTTGATTCGACAATTCCGGGTTGCTCCGATCTCTCCATGGTGCTCGTTCAGTGAGGCAGTGTTGGTTGTGTGGGAAGCGGTGGGAGTTCTCGTGGATGAGATGAGATGCTCATCCCGTGCGTAAGCTTCTTCGTGAGATGGACTCCGTGTGGGGGCTTAGTATCCTAGTCAATTGCAATGAACATCCGTCCCTCTATCTCGTCGTCCAACTGGGAGTCCGATTGTGCATGCTCATGACCGACATCGTCCTATCTCACACAAGCGCGCACTGCCAAACAACCACCAGCTAAAAATCTAAAAGTCGAGAACACCAGAGCAACAGAGATAGAGGAAAAAGAGGAGGGGCAGCAGTTTCATCTCCAATACGGCTCGACGACTGATAAAACCCTGCACAAGCGGCAACCCTAACAACACCTTTTTTCATAAGAGGTCTGCTTTTCCCCACTCTCGGTGTATCGATCTGCAAGCACCCGGTTGTCGTCACTTTGAACTTCCTTTACGTGGTCGTCGTTGATCCTACTTCACATCCTTTCCTTTTCGTCAACCGCAATCAAGAGAACAGCTTCATAGCATCGCCTCGACATCGACAGCGACAACGACAATAATCCGCCATGTCTTATCCCTACATCGGCACACCCGAGTACACCGGTACCGGCCCCAACGGCGGTGATTCACTCACGACAAACTTGAACCAATGGTACGACCGCGGAGACATGGCCTACATCCTCGTATCAACAGCCATGGTCTGGTTCATGATTCCCGGTATCGGATTTTTCTATTCTGGATTGGCGCGGAGAAAGAGTGCGTTGAGTTTGATTTGGCTGTGTATCATGAGTTGCGCAGTCGTTAGTTTTCAAGTACGTCCATCCCCCCTCTACCATCTAAACGAGGATCAAAAGGCTGACGATTGGGATAGTGGTATTTCTGGGGATATTCGCTAGCATTCTCACCGACGGGGACTTCGGGGTTCATCGGTGACCTCCACCACTTCGCATTCCAAAACGTCCTCGCGACACCCTCCCCCGGCTCAGCCCTCATCCCAACCCTCATCTACGCCAACTTCCAACTCATGTTCGCCGGCGTCACCGTCGCCCTCGTTATCGGCGCCGCAGCCGAACGTGGTCGTATGTGGCCAGCGATGGTGTTTTGTTTTATTTGGACGACAATCGTGTACTGTCCCGTCGCATACTGGATCTGGAATCCGAATGGGTGGGCGTTCAAGTGGGGTGTGCTCGATTATGCGGGTGGTGGGCCTGTTGAGGTTGGTTCGGGTATGGGTGCGTTGGCGTATTCCTGGGTTTTGGGGAAGAGACGTGGGAGTACTCATGCGAACTTGAATTACCGTCCGCATAACGTTACGTACGTTGTTTTGGGTACCGCGTTCCTCTGGTTCGGATGGTTTGGGTTTAACGGTGGTTCCGCGTTCGGAGCAAACTTGCGTGCGGCCATGGCTTGCACGATTACGAATTTGGCTGGAGCGTGTGGTGGTATCACATGGGTTCTTCTCGATTATAGGTTGGAGAGGAAGTGGTCCGTCGTTGGGTTCTGTTCGGGTGTGGTTGCGGGTTTGGTTGCGTCCACTCCGGCGTCTGGATTCGTTACTGTGCACGCGGGTGTGATTATCGGTGTCGTCAGTGGTGCGGCGTGTAATTACGCTACCAAGCTCAAGTACTTGATGAGAATCGATGATGCGCTCGATGTGTTCGCCGAACACGGCATGGGTGGAATCGTTGGTAACATTTTGGTTGCGCTCTTCGCTACTGATTATGACACCGCTCTTGACGGTATTCTTGCTGGTGATGCCGCGATTGCTGGTGGATGGTTTAACCACAACTACCGCCAGCTAGGGTTGCAGATTGCGTATACTTTGGTGGTCGCGGCATACGTCTTCATCGTCACCTCTTTGATCCTCTTCATCATGGACCGCTTCGTCCCGTCCCTCTCTCTTCGGGCGTCTGAGGAAGCTGAGATTAAGGGTATCGACGAAGACCAGATCGGTGAGTTCGCGTACGATTACGTCGAGGTGAGGAGAGATTACATGACCTGGGGTGATCCCGTCGCTCAATCCACCGTTGAGGGACAGGAGGCGCCCGAGGGTACCGCTGGCCTCGGAAACGTTACTGGACCAAATGGTCTCGTTAGCGGTAAGCTCGTCAAGTTTAACCAGCCTTACCAGGGCGATAACGGCGATTCGGGTGCCTCGGTGGATGGAGGCTCTGGTGCTTCGCAGCCGCCTGGTGCGCGTGATCCGGCGTTGAACGCAACGGGGTCTGGAAGTGGGTCTGCTGCACCGACGGGTCCTGCGCCTGGGTATGTGAGCAGACAACCTAGTCTGAGGACTAGAGAGGATGATATTGAGATGGAGGTAATCGATGGAGAGGGAACGGGGGATTTGGAGCAGGGTCATGGCGAGGGACATCATCACCCCGGGTTTAGCCGTCAAGTCGGTGAGAGTGCGAGGCATGGTGGATCTTCGGGTGCTTTTGCCTGATTGAGGTGAATCTTTCTTGCGTTCTTTCTTTTGCTGTTTAGCTTTCTTCTTGCGTTTCGTGATGCGAACGTTCTGAGTGTATTCGTTATTTGGACGATTTGGATGAGGTGGGCAGGCATATGATGGACATGGTAGGGTAGCATATGTCATGATGGACGAAGCAGAAGTTTCGGACAAGCAAGTTATTATTGGCAGTGTATGTTAGAGAATAGTATATGTCCGAGTCGGTAGTGGTTCAGTTGTACCATTGACATCGACTGGTTCTTTCCTGTAAGACAGTAATGAATTCAACACACAAAACGAACTCTGTTTGTTACGAACTCGGTATACATCGAAAACTCTATCATCCACGTATGTATTTTGTCGCGGTCGGGCCTGAGTCGCTGATCATGATTAGAGTGTTCTGGACTGACCCGCTCTTACATAACACCACCAAAAGAAAAAAGGGGGTGGTAGCATTTATCCAGCATATACTCCCTATCCTCCTTGCAATTGGATTAACTCAACGCTCGTTCATCGCTTGCTATTGAGAGATAAGGAATCATGGGTGGGTGTATGTCAAGATCGGCAGATACGGTACAGGATGGACAAGGACACGATACACGAGGGCGACGAGAGAGTATGAGGCGAGGGAGTGAGAGATCCGTGAGGCGGAATCCGCAGGAGCCGCCGATTGGAGGTATGCCCTTCCCCTTCCCCTCGTCCTCAATCCTGAGGATGAGTTGTGCTCGAGCTCGTCGCTAACCGCTCGACCTCTCTCACAGGCAACCGCCCCTACCACCCCCATCCAAACAAATCCTGGACCTCGCCCCTCCCCCTTCCCCTCCCCGACCTCCTCCTCCAACGCCTCGCATTCTGGGAAACAGCCCCAACCTACGAAGGCCGCGAACACATCTGGCGCCTGTTACGAACCGTCGTCGAGGATAGTGGGTTAACGTTGACCGAGAAACAGGGCTTGTTGGATGCGGAGGGAATGGTGCTCCCGACGGGGGACCTGTTGGACGGGGCATATGATCGGACGGGAGTAAGGTATCAGGTTCCGGTGTATTGTTTGGCAGAGCCGACGAATTTGGTTGTTGAGGTGGTACGAGCAGCGCCACCGGTGGCATCATCACCGACACAAACACAAGCGTCATCACAAACCTCGGCGGGGACATCGCCGTCTCCACCCCCCTCACCCACGAAACCAATCCCAACCCCAACCCCAGCCCTAGCCTCAACCCTCCTCGCCTCCGCTACAGTAATCACGACCCCCGCCCCTACCACCCCCACAACCACGACTTCCACACCCACCATAACCCTCACGATCCGCTTCTCAAACTCCCTCGGCGACACGACCCTCACCAATATCCCCGAGACTTACACAGCTGCACAAATCGCCGAAGCGGCTTTGCAACAACAAGGGTTGGAGGGGAGGGTTGGTGCGATTTTGTGTTTGGGGAGACGGATGGAGGGGGGCAGGGGGGTTAGGGAGCAGGGGTGGAGGGAGGGGGTTGTTGTGCAGGTTATGGTTGTTTAAGAAGCTCGGAAGGGACGGTGAGAGCAGAGAACGTCGAGGCTATGCTCGCGAAGAACTTCACGGAGGAGGAAAGAGCAGGGACTCTTTTGATGAAGCGGGATTTAGCGGGCGTTTCGTTTATGGGTATATACCAATTGGACATTTTCGTTCGTACACAGCCAATCGTGCACCAACGCGGCAGGGCTGCGATTCGGCAGGCCAAGCGAAGGCTGCAGGGTACCCGTCGCGTCTGCGCCTGATTAAACTCTCGAGACGCCCACCGCGGACAGTTACGAGGAAGGAATAGCAGGATGGATCAGGATTCTGATGGGCGTATGGGTCGTGAATATGAGGGGTTCAATTCTATCCCGCTGGAGGATTTGAGTCCGCCTTCCACCGGTGTCAACACACCGAATGCACCGGTATCACGAGAGCCAGAGCAAGACACGAGTTCGGAGGACCCTGTTACGTTACGTACACCCTCAGGCCGACAACGCTCCATCTCCCACTCCCTCCACCAAGACCCCTCAACACCACGCCAACAAACCCAACGCCGCCGCGTCTATTCCTCCGCCGCTGCCGCATGGCAACGCTCTTCCCAGGGTTACAACCAACTCCAAGACTCGGATCCCTCTGTCTTGGGGGTTGACCGGACTTTTGATTCGGAGGGGGGTGTGGTTAGGCTTGAGGGAGAGAGTTTGAGGGAGGGGTTGGTTGAGGCGTTGGGGACGGCGAGGAGGAGGGGGAGTTGGCTGCCGCCGCCGACGGGGGAGGGGCAGTTGGTTGGAAGGAGGCCTATGATACTCAGGGGGCTGAGTGGGGCCAGTGCGGTTAGTAGTGGAAGTGGGCAGAGTGTGGGTGGGAGTGTTGGCGGTGGAGACTTGGGTATGGGTGTGGGAGGTGGAGGGATGAATAGTCCGCTTGATGAGGTGGAGATGGCAATGGGGGCTATGGGTGGGGACTTCCAAGGGGAAGAGGAGAGTGATACGGTGAGATTAACGGTGGACTTATCGCCTATCTCTGGTGCTGGGGCTCCGCAGGGGCTAGCTACGCCTCAACAGGATCTTCTCAGTGCTTCGCCGACGCGTGGACGACTGGGGTACCGCTTCCCATCTACGTTGGGAAACGACCTATTTCTCGAGACTGGGCTGGCACATCGCCTGAGTCGGTCGGGGAGTAGGAGTACATCACAACGCAGTGACGGACGGTCGAGTCCGGGTCCTGTGAGGCAGAGGGTGTTGAGCGAAGTGCATAGGATCTCGAGTCGTGTGGTGAATATCACGAATGACCAGGGTGTTGCGGAGGTTTCGGCTGCTGCTGCCGCGGCGGCGGAGATGGAGAGTATCCCGCTTAGTCCGATGGTTCCGCCTGCTACGGCTACGACGAATGGGACCCTGGAAAGCACAGGAGGTGAAAGGGATGGGTTCGATGAGGGGTTGTTTGATATTTATGAGCAGAAGGCTGCGCAGGGTGCTGTGGATGAGGGCGAAGCTGAGGAAAGTAAGTTACGTGGCAAAAGTCTCGGGATTTTCGGGCCGGACAGTTCGGTGAGGAATTGGTTGTGCAACATCCTCCTCAACCCCATCACGGAACCGTTTTTGTTTTGCGTAATTGTGTGTCATACGGTCTTGCTTATCATCAAGTCCTCGCTACGACAACATTATACTGGAGATGGAGACCGATTGAGGTGGGGACAGGGACCGCAGAAATGGCTCGATTTTGCGTTTTTGGGGATTTTTGGGTTGTATACGTTGGAGTGTGTCGCCCGGATCGTGGTGAGTGGGGTTTTCATCAATCCTCCCTCTCTCGAGAATCCGGATAAGCCGCATGGGTTGGAGAGTTTGGCGCAGAAGGTTAGGGTTATGGCGAATGTTGCGCCGAGTCGGTCGAGGAGTATGTCGCGAAGTCCGGCACGACCACCACGGAGTCCGATTGGGATGCCGAGGAGTCCGATGAGGGCACGCGCTGTGGTTAGGACGAATACGAGCTATGCTGAGCATGTTAATCCCACGGGAGGGTGTTTCAAGACGTTGAGAGAGTTGAAGAAAGCTCAGTTGGCACGACGAGCATATTTGCGACATTCATTCAATCGATTGGATTTCGTTGCTGTTGTCGCGTACTGGATTGGGTTCTTGCTGTCTGTGACGGCAGTGAGCTCGGAGCATCATATCTACGTGTTCAAGATGTTGAGTTGTCTCCGGATTCTGAAGTTGTTGAATATCACGCAGGGAACGATGACGATCCTCCAATCCCTCAAGAAAGCTGCGCCGTTACTGGTTAATGTCGCGTTTCTTGTTGGATTCTTTTGGTTGATTTTCGGGATCGTTGGGGTACAGAGTTTCAAGGGGTCGTTTCGGAGGCAGTGTGTGTATCCGTGGACGAATGATTCTGGTTTTCAGCAGTATGAGACGGGGCAGTATTGTGGTGGGCATTTCAATTTGAGTTCGCCGACAAATCGGACGTCGTATCTGGATCGGCAGAATAATACGGATGGACATGGTCCGCCGAAGGGGTACCTGTGTCCAGCGCCGGCGGTTTGTGTGGAGAGCGATGATGCGGTGATCCCGACTGTGTCGTTCGATAATATCTTTCAGTCTATGGAGCTCGTGTTCGTGGTTATCAGTATGAACACGTGGTCGGATTTGATGTATTACTCGATGAACTCGGATTATCTCGTTTCTGCTGTCTTCTTCATCGCCGGGATTGTCATCTTGACGTTTTGGTTGATGAACTTGGTTATTGCGGTTATCACGACCTCGTTCCAGCTCATCAGGGAGGAAGGACAGAGAGCGTCTGCGTTTACGAATAATGCTGAGCCGGTGAATATGGAGGATCCGCTGATTGGGCAGCAACAGCGTCCGTCGAGGTTCAGGACGGCGTTTCAGTACAGCGAGCCATTTTGGCTGTTGTTGATCGCTATTGATATCGTCTTTCAGGCGACGCGGACGTCGGATATGTCTGATGGGCACGCGAAGATGTTGCGGATCGTGCAGTCAGTGTTAACAGTGATCTTTGCGATTGAAATTGTGTTGAGGTTCATTGTGACACTACCCAACTGGCGACAGTTCTTCAGGCACCGCAGGAATAACTTTGATGCGTTCTTGGCGGCAGTGACTATTGTCATTCTGTTTCCGCCTATCTACGGGTCAAAGGCGTATGACTGGCTTTCGGTGTTTCAATTGGCAAGGAGTTACAGGATTGTCTTGGGTATTCCGGTCAGTCGGGACCTTCTGGTCAATGCCCTGGGTAACGCATCTGGTTTGATCAACTTGATCTTCTTCTTGCTGTTGATGACACTCTTGGCGTCTCTATTCGCGATCCAGCTCGTTCGAGGAGATATGCCTCCGGCCGACGATGGGCCTGATGGAAACCCTATTGACTTTGCTACGATGTGGAATGCCTTTTTGGGTATGTATCAGATCGTGAGTACGGAAAACTGGACCCAGATTCTCTATGCTGCAACGCAGTCACAAGTGCAATACGGTGTGGCATGGATCAGTGCTGCGTTCTTCATCGCTTGGTTCATCTTCGGCAGCAGCATCATCCTGAACATGTTCATTGCTGCTTTGCAGGAGAACTTCCACGTATCTGAAGAGGAAAAGCGTCGATACCAAATCAGTGCGTTTATTGAGAAGTCAATCCCGGCATTGTTGAAGGGCAATGTAGACCAAGGTAATTTCACGTTGGCGTCGCTGTTCAAACGTCGTCATGTACCCGGGGATGCAAGACCAGAGGCATTCAATATGCTCATGAAGGAAGCTGTTGTCAAGGACTTCTTGGATGATACGAATGTCAGGACACCGGGCATTTCACGATCTACGACCATGCGGGAAAGACCTGCGCCAGAGTGGTACGAGCGTTTGTCAAAGTGGTTCAAGCGATCTAGGGGAGAGCCAGCTAAGCGCAATCCTTTCTATCAGCAAAAGAACAAGAGTCAGACCTTCAAGCTGACGAATCCTCAAACCATGGCGCAGGACGCCGTGCTTGCGAACACTCATCGGCGACTAGAGGAGAACGCTTGGCTTCAGTCTAATCCTGACTTCGACGTCGCTCTTTGGATCCTTCCAAGCAACCACCCGATTAGGCATTTCTGTCAATCCTTGGTTGCTCCTGCCGTCAATCATCGGCATGGAGATTCCTTGCCTCAGAACCCTGTTGCGTGGTACATGTTCTCGGCTTTTGTGTATGCTGCTATTGTGGCCATGGTTGTGATTGCTTGTGTGACCACGCCTCTCTATCAAAAGTTATATAAGCAAACCCATGGCAGTACCAGATACACGTGGTACACGTTGTCGGACATGGCATTCGCTGGCGTATTTTCCATCGAAGCGGCAATCAAAATCATCGCGGATGGTTTCTGGTTGACGCCCAATGGTTATTTCAGAAGCACATGGAACAAGATCGACCTTTTCGTCTTGTGTACTATCTGGATCAACGTCGCTGCCACGCTTACAGGCAAAGGAGAGTTGTCGCGTGCGTTCCGCGCATTCAAGGCTTTGCGTGCTTTACGTTTGGTGAACGTCTCTGACACTGCTCGGGAGATTTTTCACCATGTCATGTTCTCAGGTTTCTGGGGTATGGTTGGTGTTTCCGTTGTCTCTCTTGGTCTACTGATCCCGTTCGCTATCTGGGGTGTCAACATCTTTTCCGGGTTGTTGTATTCGTGCAACGATGGAAGCGCAGACAAGTTTGGTTGTGTTGCTGAGTATGTTTCTTCTCCGTACACTTGGGACCTTTGGGCGCCCAGGGTCTGGGCAAACCCCTACGTCTGGAGCTTTGACAGTTTCGGTGCTTCGCTGTTGATCTTGTTCGAGATTGTCTCGCTTGAAGGCTGGATCAATGTCATGCAGTCAGCGATGCAAATTGTTGGCAACGGTAAGGCACCGGCGACCAATGCCTCGTCATACAACGCGATCTTCTTTGTTGCATTCAACTTGTTGGGCGCTGTGTTCATTTTGACCTTGTTCATCTCGGTGATCTTGAAGAATTACGCAGAAAGATCCGGTGTTGCCTACCTTACTGCCGATCAGAGGTCATGGCTCGAGCTACGAAAAATTCTCCGGCAAACACAGCCTTCGAAACGACCGGCTGAGAGTCCTACGGAATCGTGGAAGGCTTGGTGTTACGCGAGGGCCGTGTCGAAGCATGGTTATTGGACGCGAATCATGACGCTGGTTTACATTGCGCACACAGTTTTGTTGATGACCGAACATTATCCGGCTCCAGATCGTTACGATACAATCCGAAACGCCATCTTCACCGTCTTCATCGCCGTGTACCTGTGCAACATCGCATTCAGGATAATTGGTTTGAGGTGGGCTAACTACCGCCGGAACTACTGGAATCTGTATGATCTCGTCATCACTTTCGGTACCGCCGTTACCACGCTCTCGCAATTCTTTGTCAGTAACAGCAAACATGGCACGCTCTTGCAATTTCAGAAGCTGTTCTTGGTCGGCGTGTGTCTCAACTTGATCCCGAAGTCTGATAATTTGGACCAGCTGTTCAAGATGGCTGCGGCAAGTTTGCCTACCATCGGAAACCTTATTGCAACGTGGTGCGTTCTATTTGTTGCGTATGCCATTGCTTTTACGCAGATCTTTGGACTCACTCGTATTGGTCCTAATGGTTCTGACAATATCAACTTCCGAACAGTGCCGAAGGCCTTGATCCTCCTGTTCCGCATGTCGACTGGAGAAGGATGGAACTCGATTATGCACGACTACGCTGTCTCATACCCAAACTGCATTCTGGTTTTCAACGACTTCGCGAATACTGATTGCGGTTCCAAGCCTTGGGCTTACGCATTGTTCATCTCGTGGAACATCATCTCCATGTATATCTTTGTCAACATGTTTGTCGTTTTGGTCGTTGATAACTTCTCTTATGTGTATCAGCGATCAGGAAAGATCAGTCTGGTCTCTCGCGATGAGCTGCGAAGATACAAGGATGCGTGGAGGCGCTTTGACAAGAAAGCGACTGGCTATATTCAGGCGGAGGACCTGTCAAAGTTCCTGAGATCCTTGTCCGGCGTATTTGACACGCACATCTACGAGGATGAATTCAGCGTGCAGAGTATGCTGGCAAGGGAGGACGATACCCCGGTCACCCGACCAAGGCCAATGGATGACTACGATGCCGATATGATGTCTGAGCGAATCACTGCGTTGCCTATTGAGAAGATCCAGAGGCGGAGGAGGATCTTCAATATGCTTTACGCTGAGGCCCTGATCACAGCGAAGCCAGGTAAAGGCATCGGCTTTACGGCCATGCTCGTCATGCTTGCTCATTACAAGGTTGTGAACGACGAGAAGAGTCTCAGTCTCGAAGACTACCTCAAGAGACGTGCCAAGATGCAGAAAGTGGAGGAGCAGATGAAGAAGGATATTGTTAGGGGTTTCTTCCAGACATTGTACTGGAAGAAATGGAAGAAGGCACAGTTGCATCCTGAACCGGAGCAGGCTTCGATTTCCGTACCGCAGATTTTCGTTAACCCCGCTGGAACGGAGTCTAAGCATAACCTCTTGCCTGCCTTAGACACGGGAGGTCTTTTAGGCTTAGGCGTGGCTTTGCACAGGCCACCTAGCCCAAATAATCTGTCGCCGGATAACATATCACCGTCATCAGGCATATTCAATCCTGACAGGTGGACAGCATACGGAGGTCAGCTTGCGTCGCCGGAGAGCTACGTGGGGGCTAACCCCTTCTCGAGTCCGGACGACGCAGAGGAAGAACGACAGGAAGAGAGACGACGAAGTGCGGTAAATGCGGCGGAGAACATTATGGACGCTTTGCAGGGAACTACTTGGGGAGAAACAATAGCTAATATCTCGAGGCCAAGCAGTGCTGCGTCATCGAGAAAGACCGGGGATTCACGGGGATCACATCGATCATGATTTAGGCGTTTCTAGCATACCATATACAATATACCATATACAATATACCATATACAACATATCATACTCCCACGCTGCGCCCGCCCTGCACCGCCACACCTCTCCAGTTAAAATCATCCGCGACCGCGCATCCTCACACAACCTCCAGGTCCACATCTTATCTCGAGCCTGTACGACATTCTCTACTCAGACTCGCCATTTTGTTGGTCCGAGATTAAGAATTTATTTCCAAGCATTCTTTTCGCTAGCACGGCGTCCGCGGCTTCGGTCGCATAGGTGGATCCGAGTTAGATAGTAGAGCGTGCGACATGCTTTTTGCCCGTTGTTTATGGATGGAATTGGAGGATAGGAGAGCAATTGAAGTCTATTTCCTGATTTGTCAACCTTCGCCATCGATGTCTACTTCCCAACCGCCTTCAAATGGATACTCTTCGGCCTCGTAAACGAGTCAAAGCCCTTCAAACTCAACGTCCACCCTCTCCCACTCTCCTTAACACCCGTCCACGCCAACGCTGGGTCGGGGAAGTCACTCCTATTCACAAACACCGTACCAGCCTCAACCTCATCCGCCAACGCTTCGCCTGCTTCAGTGTTTCCTGTCCAGATGGATGCGGTAAGGCCGAAAATGGAGTCGTTCATGAGGGAAATTGCTTCGGCGTCGGAGGAGACGCGTTGGATACAGAGGACTGGGCCGAAGGTTTCTTCAGTCATGACGCGCATGGAGTGATCCACGTCTACCAGGATCTGGGGTGCGACGAAGCTTGAACCCTCCTTTGCGGCAGGGAACAATGATTCATCGATCAAGGCCTTAGCACCGTGAGCGAGTGCGTCGTTGATGTGCTTCCGGATCGTGGCGGCAGAACGCAGACTCACGACAGGCCCGAGCATAGTTTCCGCGTTCATCGGGTCGCCGAGCTTGTAGCCCTTGACTTCCTCCACACATTTCTGGACGAATTCATCGTAAACACTTTCGTGCACGTAGACACGCTCGATGGAGCAACATGATTGACCAGAGTTGAAGAGTGCGCCGTCGACGATCTCGGGAGCAGTGTAAGCTACATCCGCGTCGGCGCGGACATACGCAGGGTCTTTCCCGCCGAGCTCGAGGCCGGGGGAGATGAAGCCCTGGGGACGAGCGGCAGCGGCGATGTTGATTGCGCGGCCACCTGCGACGGAGCCGGTAAAGCAGACATGTGCAATCTCAGGGCGTTTGACGAGGTTCTCGACGGTACCTAAATCACCTGCTTGAATCACGGCGAATGCAGCTTTGGGAAGTCCGGCCTCGTGGTATGCTGCGGCCATACGCTCGGCGCAGAGAGGGGTTTGTGGAGAGGGCTTGAAAACAATAGTATTACCCGCCAACAGTGCAGGGAGGACAGCATTGATGGCGATGAGGTAGGGGTAGTTCCATGCTGAGATGACGAGGATCGGACCGAGAGGTTCGCGGCGGAGGTAACGGCGGATGTTGGGGGTGTTCGGGGAGAACTTCTCCACGTCGATATCGGCGAGTTCTTTCTCTGCCAGGGAGATCATGTATCGACCTCGCATAATCATGGTCTTAATTTCGGAGGGCGTATAGCGGATTGGGCGGCCCATTTGCTGGGTGAGTTCGCGGGCGGCATCTTCGGCGTCACGCTCGAAGATCTCGAGGAATTTCTCAGCGATTGCGATACGCTCCTTCAATGGGGTCTTCTTGTAGGCTTTGAAGGCTTCGACTGATTCCTTGAGGATCTTGTCAATTTCCGAAGGAGAAGTTGCCTCGCGGGTGACGACGGGCGATTGATCGATGGGGGAGAGGGTAATGATCTTACTGTAAGTCGTTGGTTAGCTGAGTAGATTCCTACTCGGCATTTCACGAAAGACTTACCTGCTGTTTGAGTCTGCCATTGCGGTCTGTCCTTTGCTGTCCTTACTGTGTGTATTCGGTGGAGTTTGAACCCTGGAGTTCAGCTGCACGCTGCCGATAGCCGGTCACGGGCCGTGACGTCGGACGCGTCATTTGAGCGAAGCGGCAATCCGTGTTCCAGCTTGAAATTTGGTTTTGTTTTTTCTCGTGGTAGGCTGAATGCTCTGTTCGTTTTCGTCTCGTAGCCCTGCTCTCTGTGCTCGCGGTTCTTGACCATGGCCGGCCGCGGCGATTCAAATTCACCCACGCTTCCCAGCTGCCTCGGTACGAACGACAACCACCACCATCCCTTCATCGACCACCTCCGTTCTCTCAGCATACACCCCTTCGAGAGAATCTCTATCATCTTTAACCTCCTTTCTCTTCTCTTTGCTTAACGTTTTGCTTCGCATTCACTCACTTCGCACAGCTTCTCACGTACAACGAGCATTTATCCCTTCATCAACCATGTCAAGCCTCGGTATGCTCACCCTTTTCCGTTCTCGCTCTCAGCGGTCGAGCTTGAGCTCGAATGTGACACGTTCGACTGCTGCGTTGTATCATACACGCAATGAGTCTTCGACGACGATCAAACTCACCAAGTCGAAGTCGAAGATGGGGTTGAAAGCCTTAACCTCGCTGTTTAAGAAAAAGAAGACGACTAGTGATGACATGAGTGTCCACGGTATGGCAACGATAGCAAACCCGCTTTACGTCCGTCCTTCGTCGCGTGTTTCGGTTGATTCTTACTGCTCTAACCAATCCCTCTCGCTTTCCCCTGTCCATTCGCCCGACTCCTTCCTCCCTCCGTCGTACGCATACTCGAACTCATCTCACAGTTCCCGACTTTCGCAGTCTACCCGTTCGATCCCTACCGCTCAGAGTGTGTTGAGGCAACAAAGTGAGTTGTATGCGGAGCAATTCAGCATGGTGATGCACAAAATTGGGGTTTATGTCCAACGTGGAGTTTTCGAGGGTTGTGTCATTATGGATAGAGATTACGCATTCCCCACTGGCGAGAGGTGGGAAAGTCGACTTATCAAGGACTTGACCTCGTTGATGCAAGCAAAAGGGTGTGTGTTTGGTGTTCGGTGGTCGCTCTTTCAGGAGGCAGAGACTAACGCGTGCACACAGTTTCTCGAATGTCCGTGTTTGGAAGTCGGCGAAGCGCTTCCGTGACTTTAGAGCTGTTGCTTGGAGGATTTCGTTACCTGATGTTGAGGTTGATGAGATGGATGATCAGAGCGTGTATACTGCCACTGGGAGTGTTAGGTGGAGTATGGATAGTATGAGGAGTGTTAGGAGGAAGACAAGCAGGTGGGGGTTTTGAAGGGAAAGCTAGGATAGGAGTGGTCCTTCGACGCACGCCCTTATGGGTGCTGAACGAAGTCTTTTATGTGGACGTTTATGATGGGTTTCTGTTTGGTTTGTATTTTTCGTTTGCGAGGGCGTCGTTGACATTTACAGAAGTCGCCTCGGCGCCCATCTGAGCCTCTCGCCAGCGCCTCTTCGTTACCTCTTGTTGTGTCTGGGAGTTTGTTTGTCTCTTTCTTTTGGGCACGAAGGTGTAAGGTTGTCAATGTCAAGGCTCCGTTATTTCGCTCGTCCAAAGCGTAGTATAGCCTTACCGGTATCGATAAAGCCTCACGTGATTTGGTACGGAAAAGTCAAGCACGACCTGCAACACCCGCAGCTCAACGAAAGGAGTGTGAGAACGACGCCTGGACAATCGATCAACCATTCCAGGCGGTTTATAAACATGGCAAAAACACCAAATGGACTACCCAAGAGGGGAGTGTCCAATAACCAAGGCCCAGCAGAGATCACCGTCGAGTCATTGCAACTGCACCTTAAACCGAATAACTCACCCCAATTCATCTCGAAGGGTCTCCACCAGCTGCGTCAAGTCGCTCAATCTGCTGCTTCACAAACTTCGTCCAAAGGACAGGCGAACTTACAGGTTCTTACGGCGTATCTTGAGGCGTCGGAGGGGTTGAAGGATGTCTTTACGATCTGGACGAATGCGCAGCAGTATGCACACCAAGCGCTGTACTCATTGTGCCCGCTCGCCGTCACAGCAATCCTGAAAGCTTTCTCAAAGGTTGCGAGTACGCAGAGTCATGGTACAGCTATTATCAGAGAAGTCATCGCTACGCACATGAAGTCCATTTACCGCAACATCACGTCAAATCGACCAGCGCTCATGGTTCCGACACTCAAGCTCTTGACAGAGATGTCTGGGTATGGAGGTGGGATTTTGATTGTGGAGGTGTATGGCGCGTTCGATCTGGGGTTGAAGAGTTTGTCGAAGTTGCTGAATATGAGGAAGGCGGATACGGAGGATAAGGATGAACGACAACATTCTACGAGTGAGGAGGATGAGCCGTCACGGAAGAGGAAGAGGACGGATCAGGAGCGTCCGAAGAGGGCGCCGGCGGATGTGAGGACGATGTTTACGAGGCTGCTGTTGGCGTATTTGAGGCTTACGCCTAAGTCTATCAAGACTGAGGTTTTGGCACAGAGGACGATTATGTCCGCGCTCTTCAAAGGGCTGTATATGGATGAGCCGGAGCTTGTGAGGGATGTACTGGAGTGTTTCGCGACGAACGTGGTTCTCGACAAGGAAGTTCCCAAGAACATCAAAGTCGGCTTCTTCAATGAGTGGATGTTGGGACAGGTTGTACAGTTGTATGGACGTGTCGAGGGTGTACAGAATGCGGATGGGAGCGTGACGACTGTCCCGGACATGGCGCACCAGTTTTTGATGTTGTTGTGTACGAAACCTGGTGTTGGAGTTTGTTTCGAGGATGCGGGGTGGTATACCCCTTCTCTGGCTTCCGACTCGACAACGTCAGGGAAGCGAGTGTTGAAGCTTCATAACAAGATTCTCTCCGGTTTTGTGCTTTCTCTGCGGCCGAGTGACGATGTCCTGCAGCAGGATTTGTTGTTGGAGATGTTTAGGGTATGTCCGGAGTTGGTCGCGCATTGGACCCTGAACACTATGATCTCGTTCGAACCTAAGTTGAGTTCGGGATGGATTGCTGGTGCGTCCCTATTGGCTGCTATCGTCGATTTGCCGATTCCACAGACTGGGACGGGTGTCGAGGAGGGGTTGTTGCCTGATCTCGGGAGAGTGGTGGAGAACGTCCTTCCAGCACCTTTGACGAAAGCGGTTTTAACGAAGGCTCTGGGCCATGAGTCGAGTCTTGTGAGATGCTTTGCGGCGAGGATGTTGACGGGTTCATTGAGGAAGTTGCAGAGGGTTATGGTGTACTACAATGAACGCTTCTCTGGGTCCAAGGGCTGGAGAGACTTTGAGTATGAACTCGTGGAAACAGTTTCGAGACGTGTGCCTGATGTGCAGACGGTGTTGCAGATGCTCAAGACCACGAGCGGATCAGGATCGGCGAGTTTGTTGATGGAGAGTGTTTTGAGGCTATTTGCTGCATATCTCGAGGTTCTGCCCGATTTTGCACTGGCGACAAAGATGGATGTCGGTATCAATGCCGTCAGGGAAATGTTGAATGAGGAACGGAGCACGCCGTTGTATGTCGTCCAGCAACTCCATGCTCTCAACGTCCTCAGCCGCGTCCCCGATTTAAAGTGGTGGTCCAAATCAGGTTCATCGCAGAGTATCTTCGCTCTGTTGATCAAGATCTATCTCGGGATTCCTCACGAACAGGTGAAGGATCTCATTGCGGGTATCTTGAGACAGTTGGTCGGTGCGACGATGGTGTTCCAGACTATGACGGTTATGCAGCCGCTCGATGCATTACTGGAGACGCTCGCGAAGGTGAAGGATGGGAAGGGTAAGGATGCTGTTGTTGCGTATGTCGAGGACTGTGTTGCGAGATGTATGCAGAAGCCGTATCAGTATCTCGATGAAGCTGCGAAGCTTACTGTTGAGGCGTTGAAGAGCGCTGAGAGCAAAGCACAGGAAGGAGCGTTGGCCAAATTAGTTAGAAGGGATAAGGAGAGGGGCGTATGCACGAGTCCGTTGGTTGTGACATTGTTTGACCAGTTTGGGTTCCTGAGGAAGAATGAAGGAGTCAAGAGTGAGGAGAAGGGCGCAGTTTCTGGATTCGTGGCCACATATGTGCAGAAGTTGGTTCTCTTGGGTGAGAATGTGGATGTTGCAATGGTGTTGTGTGAGCGGACGCTTGGGGGTGATGAGTGGACGGGTGTCTTTGAGACGGCCCTGAAGGGTTTGAAGGAAGTGGGTGTCAAGGAGTCGCCAACAAACGGTGCGGGTGCACAGGATTCGGAGGATTTGGGTATGCTACAGGCGATCATTGCTAAGACTACGGTTTATGGCGGGGACGTCAAGCCTGCGTTTACATCGCTTGCTCGCCGCCTACATGCTTTAAGAGCATACCCTGCCAAGTTCAAGGAAGCGAAAACTGCGTTGGTGTCTGATCACTACTTCTCCGAGCTATTCTTATCGACGGCCGCACCAGGTAGTCCGGCCTTCTCGACTGAGCTTGTTGATGTGCTGAAAGAGTTCTACAGCGAGAGTGACCGTGAGGTCCTGCAGTCATTGTTTGCGACTATGGAAAGGCTGGCTGGAAGCGTGTGGTCTGGCGAGACAGTTGTGTATGGTGCTGAGCAGATGAGATACATCCTCAGTGCTACTACTCATATTTGGACCACGAAGCAAAGAGCGGGATTATTGAAGTTGGCTGTGGCAAGAATTGATGCAACTGCAGTTGAGGATGCTCATTTGGAGTTTGCCGGCACGCTGCTTCAGTTCAACGACTATAGCAAGACCGTGTCTGCGTCCGAGGTGAATGTCCTGGTCAAGTTTGCTGGACAAGGTTCGGCTAGCTATATCTCGGCATTGGCGGAATATTATGTCTCGTGGTCTGCGGCTGCCTCATCCGATGCTTTGCAACAAATTGAAGTCCCTGGCGACCTTTTGACGGCACTCGATGAAAGCAAGACTGCCTTGGTCAAGGCCCTTTTGAGAGGACGTAAGGACAAGCACGAGGAGTTGTCCACCTCAATTACGCAGAATGGAATGGACGCCACCAACAAGCATCTTCTTGCCGTGTTTGAGACTGTGCTTGACGATGCCTCTGTGAACACCAATGAATCTGCGGTGCGATACAGTTGGGTCGAAAGTATTTCTCCCGCACTGAAGGCGGCTTTGGAGAAGGTTGTTCGTGCTTCCGTCGACCATTTGTTCGACGCGTTCTTGGCGGGCAACACTGATGAGCAAGATTGTCATGTTCTGTGCAAGGCTATTGATCTTTCACCTTCCCTTGACCGGGTTGAGAAGATCAAGTTGGTCTTGGGCCAGGACAGACCAAGTTTGTTGACTGCAAGCTTTGTCAAGGTCCTACGGGCTTTGCGGGAGGGCGTTATTGAGCGTGACGTCCGGTCGTCATTGGCTGGTTGGTACAACACTGTCGCCAAACGCTTAACTCGTCGCTTCGCCGAGGATGATGTCTTGTCTGACGAAGTTCTCGACTTTCTTACGGAGATGGACATCTTCCTTCGCGGTACCAAGGTTCCCTTTGCATCTACCATCCATCGTGGTTTGCTCGATCCCGTTGTTGAGGCTGGTTTGAGGAATCACATCACCGTCCTTCCCGTGATGAAATTCTTGACAACCGTGGTTTTCGATGCTTCACTCGACATGCTTACGGTGACGAGGGCTTCTGCCATTGTCCTCAACAATGCCAGGAGCCCACTTTCTGTGTCTGGTACTGGTCAGGAGCAGGCCATCGAAGAAGCATTGAAGCAGGAAACCGCGTTGCTCTTGCACCGCCTCTTTGTGTTGGATCCTCTTAGGCTTTACAACGCAGCAGTGGTTGACAACCTCTTGCGGATGTACAAGGGATCTACCTCATTCATGGATATGCTCATTTTGGATATTTTGATGGGCTATGAGCAGGAGCAGGCGCAGAGCATCACTGCCCGCTTTGGAGAATGGGTTGTTACTGAGTTGGAATCGGAGACTTTTACCGACGGTGCTACTCAGACGGCGCCCAGGGTGGTTATCTGCGAAGAGACGGCGTTGCGGAGTATCCTTAACTTCCCGATTCAGATTGACCGTCCTTCGAAGGATAATATGCAGTCACGAGCTGATTGTGAGAGGTTTGTGGAGAAGTCGCGTCAGCAGACTTCGGAGATCATCTATGATCCTCTGTTCATGTTGCCCGTCATTGCGTCATACATGAGGAAAGCCGAGCAGTCCTTGGAGCTGAGACGCCTTGTAGAAAGTCATGCCTACGGTTACGTTGTTGCTGCTTTATCTTCCAGCGAGGCTTCGGTACGTTCCATGGCTTTGCACATCCTCGCAGACTTCGATGGACGCCTTGACGATGCGATGATTCGCGAAAGACACCAACTCAAGGTCCTTTTGTCATCTCTTAAGAACGCTCTCCCTGAGGTTGAGGACGAGCCCGTCCAGCTCGCTTCTGTGGTCGCTGTCTTCCTTGCGCTGTCCGTCCAGATCGTCGCCAACCCAGGCCACTTCCTCTACGAGAAGTTGAACCGCTTCCTCTTGCAGAGACCTGCCCTTGATCTTGACGATATCCCGATGTTCTACACTTTGATGAACTCGGCGGATAATTACCAGAAGGAGGTCAACTGGCTTCTGAGGGTGTTGGTAGCAGGGTTGAAGACCAGCAAGGACTTCTACCTTTACCGCCGCCGCCATGTCATTGAGCTCTGTCTTGGTTTGTACAGATCGTCTGTGATTACGCAGGTTACAAAGACTCGTGTGCTGGAGTTGTTATGGACTGCAGCGGGCATTCCCGGAGTTAATACATCTCTTGTTACGAAGTTCGGAGCCCTGGGGTGGTTGCAGCAGCATGAAGCATTTGAGGATGAGACTCAGGAGTCGTCGCAGGACCTTATGTGGTCTAGACTTGGTACGAGGTTGGTGGTTGCGTCTGATAAAGATCAGCTATCTCGATGGTCTCGAATCGGCGTTCGTTCGATCCTTCAGGCATTCGAACCAACGATTATATAACTTACAAATACCAATGCATCTGAACAACTTATACTAGGATAGTAGCTATCTGATAGAGGAACAAAGCGCTATATAATTCATGCCCCGCCACGGGTCTTGAGTATCTGTACTGACTCAAATAGTCGTCACGTAGTTTGCTCCAGCCCTTTGCTCTATGGCTTCTTGGTGTTGGGTACACACACTTCTCAGCCCACCGCTGGTGCATTCTGGAGTCACCTGACAGCTCAGTGTGGAAAGTCATATCCATGACATTCCCCCCCTGCACGGCAACGATGTCCGTTGATTCACCACCGGCGTTTGCAACCTCAGAAATGGTATCATGGTCTTCTTAGCCAGCCTCACAAGAGCCTTAGAGCCTTTGACTCGATGTGCTCATGCTTTGGATGGTTCTTCGTCTGGAAGAATCTCTACGTCTCCAGTCTCTTGTACCTTGATGCCTTTCTTAACCTTCACCCCGTCCTTCGCGAGAATATCTTCTAGGGTAATACGGTCATCTGAGAAGATTCTTAGGTGATCTGCAATTAAATGTCTAGCAGAATACATCAGCCTGGTACTGTGGAAGCTGTAAATTATTGTATACCTGTTTTCGCAGCCTGGGCATGTGATGAGAACAGTGCCGCTATGATATGCTTGTTTTGATATGTGATGTGATGAGCGGTTGGAGCACCTGTCAACCTGTTAGCCCGAGCGGTAAGAAGAACCTTCTCAGCATACGTTTTGCACGTAAAAGTCAACTCATACTTCGGCACGATTCGTCCCAGTTCTTGTGCTCTTACACCTCCATCCCCAGGAGGCACCGTCGCATTCCACCTGCACTGTTGCAAAATGCGACTTGGGCCGGGCACAAGGGCACGTATGGATGGTACTCCTGCCTTCCAAGCAATTGCCATAGCTGATCTGAACGCTGGTCTCATCATGGGTGTCGTCGGTGGTGTTGCGGCTTCTTGCAATGTAACGTTGACTTTGGTACGTGCCGGATTCGGAACCAGGCACGAGTTGCGCGTCGGATCTGACCTGGCACACAGAACCGGCGAAACGTCTGCCAGAGAAAACAAATCACCAACGTTCTCGCTGCGAACCGGCGACCTCAATTAAGATGGAGGACGTTCCATGGGAGGAAAAGAAGCATCTGTGCTATGGAATTGATTTCCTGCTTCATCTTTCGAAATCTCCGTTAGCGGAGAGACCTGAGCGTCTTGCGCCGAATGTAGACTGGATGGGTGCGGAAGCGCTGAGGCCGGAACGTGGTATGCGGCGTCAGAACTCTGAGCAAAGTGATCGCGTTGCACGTGCACCTCGCGAAGAGGTCAAGTTCACTCCGCGCGTGTCCAAGGCCGAAGACATCGTCCTTGGTCCGCCGAAGCTTGCGTTCGCATCTTCATCAACAACTTCGCGCTACGTTAGGGCCGACAGAATAGGCGAGGATGGATATGCCAGAGGAACCACCGAGGAAGTGGAAGGATCCGGCAAATCGGTGCGAAACCAAGCCGGTCGTGAGAAGAACGGTCGCGGACCAAGACAGCCTCAGGGACCTAGGGAAGAAGAAGAAGGATGGGTACCAGTAGCACGTACTCCACGCAAGAGTTTTGGTGCTGAAGATAAGGAACGCCCGAGAGGTGAACGTGGAGCTTCGTTCCGCGACAAGGAGAGGGTTGAGCCACGAGAACGCGAGTACAGGATCGAGCGCGAGCCAAGAGGACCTCGCGAATATACCAGAGAAAGACGCCGAAGTAATAATGGCGATAACAAGTATGCAGGCAACAACGATGAGCCCAATTGGAGGTCAGCCAGAGAAGGCCAATCTGACTCCAAGTATCGACGAAACGAACCAGAATGGATGGATGAACCTGTTGATGTTACTGAAGGTTCTATGCCGGCGCACCATTCTGCACAAGAATTCCAAGCCTGGAAGGAGGCTATGAAAGCGAAGCAAAGAGGAGACGCACCATCGCAGCACCCTGATGAACAGAGACCCCTTGACACGCCCGCCAGAGAAAGCGCATCGGCTGGCACGAACTCATTTGGAGATCTGGGATTCTTCGGTGGTATGGGCGAACCTACAAAGCCAGGCAGCATGCTCTCCTTGAACGAGCCTGCGATGACACCCTCACTTGGAAAGGCTAGTGTATCGAGACCGCCGGGATTCCCTGAATCCGAGTTTGCCGCTCCTACTCCTTCTATGACTGCTGCAGTACCTGCGACGGGAAGAGCATCCCGATTCACCAGATTCTTTGGTGCACCTGTTGCTCAGGAAGCTCCTTCGCCTGTAGTATCCGCGGCATCTCCAGCGGCGCCGTCGGCGCCAGCACTTAATCCGTTTGAGAACTTGCTCAATGCCAGCTTGCAACGTGCAGAGCCTGAGGCTGCCAGCTCGAGACCTCCACCTGGGTTTGGAGGGTCGGCTGCGGCCCCCGCTCCTGGTCACACTGGTAAGCCTAGCGAGGATGTTGCTGGCTTCAATCGTATTATGCAAATGTTGGGTGCTTCTAAGCCTGCACAGTCTCCACAGATGCAGCACCGCCAGCCGGTCCAGCAGGAGCAACGTGAGCAGCGTAAGCAGCGTAAGCAGCGTTCGAGCGATCAGCCTGCTCAATCCCCCGTTTTTGCTGATCCTGCTATCATGTCAGCAGGCAGGGATGTCGGGCCACAGCGCGGTGCACCGGGACACCCCGAACCCGTCGACCCGAAGTCAAAGCAGGATTTCTTCATGTCTTTGATGTCTGGACCGCCTAAGCAACATGCTGCGGCTCCTCCTCCCGGTTTCGGTGGACAACCCACCCCCCAACAGCGCCCTATCTCTCCCGTTAAGGAAGCCCCCAGAGGACCTTTCCATGATGCACCCATTCCTCCTTCGCCCTTTAGACAGCAATCTCGCTTACAACAGAGGCGCCAAGATATGGAATCACCTGCTGTCCGCCACGAGCAGCTGGCTGCCCGCGGCGAACCTGAACAGCATTCCCAACAGCCACTTCAGAGGCAGTTTATGCCGCCTCCGCCTGGGTTTATCCCCGAGGGAATGGGACCCATGCCCCCATTCATGCGTGATGGACCCCCTGGTGTTCCTGGTCCAATGGGACCTCTTCCTCCTGGCATGAACTTCAATGGACCACCACCCCCTATGGGTTTCCCTGGAGCACCCTTTTCCCCGCCGATTCCGGGACAACAGATGCCCTTCCCTTTCCCGCCTGGGCAGGTTCCGCCTGGCCGTATCCCTGAAGGATTCCCTATGCCCCCGCCTGGGATGTTCAGTCCTGGTATGATGAGCCCCGTTGGTATCGCTAGCCCGGTATCTCTGGCTAGTCCCCCGCCTATGGGCGCGTTTCCTGCGCCCGGGTTCCCTTTCGGAGTCCCCCCGCCGCATATGATGAAGCAGATGGAGGAGCGTCGTCATGCCGGGAAGCAGTGATATGTGTTGGGGCATTTTCGCACATAATTACTGGATATAAAATTACAAAAGGAGGTTTGCGATTGACATGTTTGGAATTTATATGGAATGACGTTCGTTTGAAGAATACGTCTATTTCAACAGCAGCTCGAATATGAGAATATAATTCATTCGCACCCCGATTTTGTTCGCAAGTATGATTATGACAAGGCCTCCATTATACGCCGACCGCCTCTTGTAGATTGCCGTGCTGCTCAGTCGCCTGTCCAGTCTTCGTGTCCACCCCTTCGTGCGCTTTCGCGTCATCTTTCCCTCCGTTGACCGCCTCAGCTGCCGCGAACGCTTGCTCAAAATCGGCAATAATGTCATTGATATGCTCATATCCCACGCTAACCCTAATCAAATCCTTACTCACACCAGCACTCCTCTGCTCCTCATCGCTCAACTGCTGATGCGTTGTGAAGGCAGGTGCGATAACGAGCGTTTTAGCATCACCCACATTCGCGAGGTGACTTGCGAGCTTGAGGTTATCCACGGCCTTCTTTCCTGCGTCGATCGCACCTTTGACGCCGAAGGAGAGGACGGAGCCGAAGTGGTTTTCGCGAAGGTAGGTTTTTGCTAGGTCATGGGAGGGGTGGGAAGGGAGGCCTGGGTAGCTTACCCAGGACACGGAGGGGTGAGTTGAGAGGTGTTGTGCTAACGCGAGGGCGTTGGCGTTTTGTCGTTCAACTCGGAGGGATAGGGTCTCCACTGTAAAGGTATATGGTCAGCTCGTTGGCGGCGTGAGAAACAGAGGGGACGCAGGTTACGCACATCCTTGTAGCAGCAAAAATGCTCCGAATGGATTCAACGCCGGTCCAAGATCCCTCAATACTTCACAGCGCACTGCCGTAGCGAACGCAGCTGGACCCGCAACATCTGCAAACACAGCCCCATGATACCCAGGACTCGGCTCCGTCAACTGCGGGAACTTCTTCCCCTGTTTCTTCCAGTCAAACTTTCCTGAGTCGACGATGACACCCGCGATTGTCGTACCGTGACCTCCAATCCATTTCGTGGCGGAATGAACGACGATGTCGGCGCCGTGGTCGATGGGACGGACGAGGTAGCCGCCTGCGCCGAAGGTGTTGTCGACTATGAGGGGGATGCCCGCTTCGTGTGCTACGTCTGCCAGCTTCCGAAGGTCTGCGATGTTATAGCGGGGGTTTCCGATACTTTCTACGTAGACTGCTTTCGTCTTCTCGTCGATCAAACCTCTGATCTCCTCGATTTCGTCGTAAGACTTGTCGAAAGAAGAGCGATCGGGGTGGGACCATTTGACGGCGATTCCAAGGCGTGGGAGAAGCACGTTGAATTGGTTGACGGTTCCGCCGTAGAGGTTTGTTGTAGAAACGATGTTGTCGCCGGCGCTCGCTATGGTTGAGATGGACATGAATTGGGCGGCTTGGCCGGAAGATGCTGCAACGGCCGCGACACCTAAAGAAAAGAAGAGTGGTCAGCACAAACAAAACTTCATTATCTTCGAAGATCGATGGATCTGTAGATATCGGGTACCTCCTTCAAGTGCCGCAATGCGCTTCTCAAACACGTCTACCGTGGGATTCATGATGCGCGAGTAGATATTCCCCGGCGTCCGTAACGCAAATAGATCCGCCGCATGGTCCGAGTCGCGAAAAACATAGCTGGTGGTTGCATAGATTGGTACTGCTCTGGAGAGGGTGGTTGGGTCCGGCTCTTGTCCGGCGTGAAGTTGGAGGGTCTCAAAATGTGTGGAGTTGAACGTTGAAGTCATTGCGACGGTGGTACTTGTAATCAGGCAGATGGGTTCAGAGCTGGGATTTATATACTTTGGGGATATTTACCATCTTCGTAGATCCCGCAGAAATCCTGATACATGTGACTCGACCATATCCCCGGGCCGAGCGGTTGCGACATTTCGTCGGTTGATTGCGTGAGACTTCGAAGGTGGGGTCTCAAACCTGATCGTGATAGCGGGGTAAGCTTAAGCTCCAAACGCACCCAAGAGTGCTGATTCCTGACACAGGAACACAGGAAAGGACGACCTGACCAATGCCGAGCGTATGAAGGGACGTAAACTGATGTTCCTTCCTGACATGTAACCTGGATGTATATGTTTATTTGTGACGGAATTCGTCATCAATCCTGCAGCGATGGCCGAGCGGTCTAAGGCGTCGGATTCAAGCGTAATAAGCTTTCCCTAGCAGGAAATCCCGATCTCGAAAGAGGCGGGGGTTCAAATCCCCCTCGCTGCACGCTTTTCCCCGTTTTGTCCACTTTCGCATCAGGTTGCTCCCATTGAGCAAGGTGTCAGTGACAACGACGACAATCCCCTTGCCCTTAATCTTTTGTTTGATTTCCAAGACGATCCTGCGCGGTTTTGTCGCCTATTTATCGCACAGGCATAGACGTGCTTCCGTGAGACACCAGCTGCGTACATGGACGCGTGGGCACCGTAGTAATACGTCGCCACCATAAGATTCGGAATTCTCGATACTCAACAGCAAACAAACCGTTGCGTTCATACGAATCGCCAGCTGTGCTCATTTAACCGGCATCTACTCTCGCCTTCAATCAGCTCTACTCGTACGTCACGCCCCTGCGCTCAACGTACACCTCTACCGATCCAAAGTCTCGACACCCCTCGAGACACAGCGTTCGGTAAACAAACGACCTGCAGCAGCCTCGTCTTCGATCGCGCTCACCTAACGGACTGGTGGCCAACCGAAGACAACAGAGGCCTGTACGTCGTCAACCCTTCCTTGCATGACCTCGACTCCCACCGCGCTCTTCCATGCCTTTTACGCCCGCGATGCGGATGCGTTTCGATCATTGCTCTCCGCGGAGGGCAGGATGGGAACCGCCATAGCGCCTTCGGTCGCGAAGTTGCGCTCGAAGAAATCCGAAGCTGATATTGTTAATCGGAGGGATGGACAGGGGAGGACGGTGTTGCACTTGGCGGCGTCAACGGCGGGATCGGTGGAATATCTGAAGGCGTTAATTGAGAGCCCGTCCATTGACCCGACGATGCAAGATGGTGAATCTGGATGGACGGCGTTGCATCGTGCTCTATACTCGGGTAACGTCGATGCTGCCCGTTTCATCCTGCGCCACCACTCCTGGCGGGACCTTATCAGAGTTAAAGATAATGAAGGGAACACGGCCTTTGACGTGTTGAACTCGACAGTTGCCGGTACTAACCCATATACCTACCCTTTGGGTGCTTCTCGTTACCTCGGTGAAGGATTGCAAGGGACTGAGGTATTGACCTGGGGTACCAACGCGAATCATACCCTCGGTTTCGCCGATGGAGATGACCGCGCCTATCCTGAACGCGTCGTCCTCACTCCCCAATCCTCCGAAAACCTCCCCGCCATCCGCAAATTTCGCACGCCCAAAATCCGCTCAGTCGAGATCTCCAAACTCCATACCGCAATTCTAACAACCGACAACGAATCCAACCTCTACATCTGCGGTTTCGGAAACGGCGGCCGCCTCGGTCTCGGTTCCGGTAATAGGACCCAATTCACTCCCAAACAAGTGCGCGGTATCCCCGCTGTGGCATCCGTTGCTCTGGGGTTGGACCACACCATCGCCGTAACACAATCAGGGGATATCTACACATGGGGCTCAAACCGCTACGGTCAGCTCGGGTACGCACTCGAACCCTCCCCTGACGCTCGGAAAGACGAGGAACCCGTCCAAACCACACCCAAGAGGATCTTGGTTCCGTTTAAGAGGGAGAGGGTGTATGGTTGTGCAGCGAGTCGGATACATAGTGCCGCGTGGACAGAAATGGGGTTATGGACCTGGGGACGCAATGAGGGACAACTTGGGTATCCGAAGGATAAGGATGAGTCGAGCGCTATGGTGCCAAGACGTGTTTCGTCATTACCTACGTCCGGGAGGATTAGGCAACTTATTGCGATTGATCGTGCGACGGTGTGTTTGTTGGATAACGGGGAGGTGTGGGTGTACGCCAACTACGCCTACTTCCGTTGGTCTACGAATGATTGGAACAAGGGTTTCACCGATAGATTCGGGGATACTGCGATTTTCCGTCCGACGCAGCACATCTCTGAGGAGAATAGTAATGCTGTTGTGAAGATTACTGCGGGGAATAATATGGTCTGTGCAGTCACTGCCGGAGGTGATATCTGGGGAATGGAAGTTCCGTCTCCTGGTGATGGCGGTAAACCTGGACGGAATGTTCGGCAGCAGAAGATTTGGTCGATGCATAAACGGCATATGGCTGCACGGGACGTGGCTGTGGGTCAGGATGGTACGATCGTCTTGTGCACGGAGAGTGGGAGTGTTTGGACGCGTGTTGCGAGACGTGGTGGTGCGAAGGGCGGAAAGGATTGGAAGTTTTCGAGGGTTGGTGGGGTACAGCGGGTTGTTGAGATTAGGGCGTCGAGTAACGGCTCTTTCGCTGCTATTCGGGCGGATGTGGAGCCTGGAACTATTCAGATTGATGCGGAGACGCTGGGGGATGATATGCTGAGATTACTGTCTTGGGGTCCGGGGTTGTTCCCGGATGAGGAGGAAGATGAGAAGCATCCGGACAATAGGAGTGAGGTTGCTGGGAGCGACGTGGATATTGAGGAAGATGATCGACAACCGAAGTGGTGGGCGAATGCGCTTGAGCTACTTAGTAAGCCGGAGTTTGAGGATGAGTGGGATGCGGGGGTTGGTGATGGTGATGTGGTGTTTGTGGTTGGGGAAAAGGAAGTGCATGCTCACCAGGTTGTGCTTGCGGCAAGGTCGCCTGCTTTACGGGATTTGTTGCTTGAGAACGGGAAGGTTAATGGTGTCAAGGTGGATCGGAGCGATTCGAGGAAGGTACGGCTTGTGCTTGATGAGGAGCTCGCTCATTTGAGGGCACTCGTGATTCTGCTTCATTACGTCTACACCGGTACCCTTCTCACGGTGTGGAACTCCGTCAAGGCACTTCCACCACATATCGCCCAGACGAAGCAGAACGTCAAGCAGCTTGCTATTGCGTTCAAGCTGAAGGCTCTTTCAAGCGCGCTGGCTTCTCCGTTCCATCAACTACCCAAGCCCACTCTGTCAGAAGATTTCATAGATCTTCTTGAGAACAAGACTTTCAAGCCCTGTGGGGATCTGAGGATATGTCTGAAAGACACGGAGGTTTTGTGTCACTCCGTGATCATGTGTGCTCGATCACCGTTCTTCGCTGCCATGTATGGCGCTGGAGCTGAATGGCTCACCGAGCGAAGAGACGACAGGGGCGAGGTCAACGTTGACATGAAGCACATCTCTTGGAGGGTCTTTGAACTGGTATTGCAGTGTATCTACGGTGATGCTGGTGTAGAGATCTTCGATGAAATCGAGACGGAGACTTTGGATGATTTCCTTGATTTCGTTGTCGAGGTAATCGCTGTCGCTTCTGAGTTGCTCATGGAAAAGTTGAAGGAAGTCTGTGAGGTTGCATTGCGGAGGTATGTGTCGACGAGAACCGTGGGCAATATTCTTGCGGACGCGGATGTGTATGCTGCCGATAGGTTGAAGGATACGTCGCTTCAGTACACTTGTTTGAACGCGGAAGCAATGCTGGAAGCTAGGTTGCTGGATGAATGGGATGATGAGATTGTGGAGGAACTGCAAGAGCAGTTGAAGGAGATGCAACTGGCGCGTATGCCTGTTACCAAGGGCGAGCGTCAATTGAAGGATCTGCTGACAAGACATCCCGAGCTCGCTACGGAAGCTGAAAAGCGGAAGGAGGAAAGCACCACTTCGCTGTTGACTGGCAACTTCGTTGAAGAGTCATCTTTGCCGTCACCTTCACCGAGCTTCGGTTCATACATGTCCCCGCCAAACTCATTCACAGGGCGCAGAGGTTCGGAGATGAAGTTGCGGAACAGGCGGAAGTCGTCGCACAAAGGCACACCCGGCTCCGCTGGACCAAGTCCTGAGATGAGACCGGTGAACAAGAGCGATGACTTGATGTTCGAGATGGATGAAGAGGATATTGGACCTTCTGTGGCTACTACACGGCGGCCTTCTGTACAGCCAGATAATGTCTGGCGTGATGCGAAGGGAAAGCCGGTGGCGGGTGACAATGACATGATTTCGCCGACTTCTGAAGTTCCGGACAGGTTCTCCTCGCTGTCAATCAGCGCACCGAAAAATAATGGAAAGACGTTCGAGCGCGAAGGACCTGTATGGGGTTCGATGACGACACCGCAGAAGGATAAGACTGATCTCAGGACCATCCTGGTATCATCCGAACGCAAACAGTCGACTCCGGCAGTGCCCTCCCCCTCCTCATCCTCTGTTTCCGTCCCGAAGATGTCACAAAAGGAGCGAAAGAAACAAGCTCAGGCAGGTCTGGTGGCACAGATGGCTGCTACTCAAGTCGAGGTCCCGAAGCCGTGGGAAAGTCCTGCAGCGAAGCCGACGTGGAGTATGCCGCCGCCTACGCCTTCAACGCCGATGAACACGATGAGGGATATCATGGCGAGTGAGGGTGTACGCAGGTCTCCGAGCCCGGCTTTGAGTCCTGCTACGGTTCAGCCTCCGAGTGTTGGCGGGGCACCTTCGCCTTTGGGTAGTTTGCCGAATGGTCGCTCCGTGTCGTCGCCGGCGATGCCCCAGCTTACGCCGGCGCGAGCACGATCGTCACCAGTTGTTCAGCCGGCACCTTCCCCGCAATTGATGCGTGCGCAGACTGTGCAGCAACCGTCGACGTCGCGGCCCTCCTTACAGCCCCAACAACCCCGGTCTGTGTCTTTCTCGACTCCTTCATCCAGCTCAAGGCCCACGAAGCTTCAGCCTCAGTCCATTCAGTTCCAGCCGAAGCCCAAACAGCTTTCCACCTTTTCTCTGTCGGAGATCATTGAGCAACAGCAATTTGAGCAAGACTACATCAAGGGTAAAGTAGAAAAGAGAAGCTTAAAGGAGATTCAAGAAGAAGAGGCCTTCAATGCATGGTGGGCAGCTGAATCTGCACGAGTGCAAGCTGCGGAGGACGCGGATCTGGCAGCTGCTTTGGCCATTGCCCAAGGTAGTGGACCGAGGGATGGTGGTGGGAAAGGAAAGGGCAAGGGGAGGGGTGGAGGAAGAGGCGGAGGTAGGGGTGGACGAGGCGGCGGCTCTAATAGAGGGAGGTCGAGGAGTGATGGGGTTGTTACGGCCGGAGGGAGTGGGCAGTAGAGGCTTAGCTGGGCTATATATCTTGATGGGCTTGCAATTGCCTTAATACGAACGGCGATATATTGATAATCCCATTCAGCTGAGGCACTTCAGAGCAACCCACTGAGCGTACGGCGGTAACCTTGGTTTCATAGCACAGACCTGCACGGTGATGCACCTGGCCAGATGGAGGCAATTCAAAACATTTGTACGCGGAAGCAGAAAACCAACCAACGACAGCAACAACCAGCCCTCCGTCCTCGCCCTTCCGTCGATCAGCCTGTCCTTTCAGCAGCATACACCCGGGGCAAATCATGTCGTTCACGCCAACTCGCCCGAACGACGATATTCCAGTCTTTGGTTCTGTCAGTCCGCTAAAACCTGTCTTCAAACTTCCACCTGGATACACTCCTCCTCAACCGCAGAAGACAGCTGCTCAAAAGCCGCCTGCATCGGATTTGAGAAAGGTCGCTCTTGCTGGGGCTTCGACGGCGCGGGAGGTGGATGGATCTGGGTTTAGGGATCCACAAAAATCCTCTCAACCGCCTCATCATCAGCTGCAGAGACATAATGGAGGACATCAGCAGGGGCAGAGTAAGCATGATAAAGCAGCCCAGCTCCTGGGGCAGCCATCAAGGCCGAGTTACCGTCCTCCTCAGCAGGGCCATCAACAGAGACCGCACCACCAGCAACAATATCACCAGAAGCCGCAAAACCACCAAATTTTAGGCAGGTTCTGGTATTGAGGTTGCTGCTGCTGCTGCTGCTGCTGCTGCTGCTGCTGCTGCTGCTGCTGCTGCTGCTGCTGCTGCTGGTTTTGGTGGTGATGCACCTTTTTCGACAAGTTGAATGCACAAAAAGCTAAGGCGGAGAGGAAGCAGAACCTGCCTCCAGTGGAGGAGAAGAGAATTGAGCGAGTTATCCAAGGCCCATACAGACCTACCGCAACCAACATGGACGACGATATATTCGGCCCTATGCCCGTGAATGCACCTCAATGGCAACAAGCAAAGCATGCAGTACAGCAAGTGAGGGATGTGAGCCGTCCTAACCCTCCTCCACAGGGCCCACCGAGGACTGTTCAGCCCCCTGGGCCGAGTGTTATGGCCACGCCGTTCAAGACTCCTGGCCGGAGCTTGCTCCCGCCTACGACGGCACGCAAGACCCAGGTTGGTGCTACGCCGTTTGGTGTACCCAGGAACAGATCACCACAGCGTACACTCCCACCACCAAAATTCGCTGGTTGGGATGATCGGCATACAGTAGTCCAGGGTTCGTCGGCTAGTGAGCCAACCGTCTACCTGGACCCCGCGAAAACACAGGAGTCAATCAGGAATCTGCTGGAGGGTACGTTCGTGGGAACGAGTGATGAGATTGAGGAAGAGGAGACGGATGCGGGTGGGTATATCGAGGGTTTGGTCGGTGTAAGGTTGATGAGTCATCAAGTTAAGGGATTGGCGTGGTTACAGTCCAGGGAGAAGGGAGGGAAGGGGAAGAAGTATGGTGGGATGTTGGCTGATGACATGGGTCTTGGGAAAACTGTGCAGACACTGGCGCTGGTGACCTCGAATCAACGCCCAAAGTCGGATAAGTATGAGGATAATGAGGTGAAGGGGACGCTTGTCATTGCTCCACTGGCGCTGATCAGGCAGTGGGAAAGCGAAGTCAAGAAGAAGACGAAGCTAAGCGTTTACGTCCATCACGGCCCCAATCGCGTCAAGGAGTGGCAACATCTAAAAAAGTACGACGTCGTCATCACAACCTACCAAGTCATCGTCTCCGAATGGCCAGACGGCGGAAAAGCCGACGGAGTCTTCGGGGTGAAGTGGTGGCGCGTCGTTCTTGACGAAGCACAGACAATCAAGAATAAAACCTCGAAGAGTGCGCAAGGTTGCTGCGCGCTGAGAGCGGTTAATCGGTGGTGTCTTACGGGAACTCCGTTGCAGAATACGGTGGATGAGTTGTATTCGTTGTTGAAGTTTTTGAGGATTGAGCCGCTTTGTGATTGGGCTGAGTGGAAGGATCAGATTGCTAGGCCGATTAAGGAGGGGAAGGGAGGGATCGCGATGAAGCGGATTCAGGTTATTCTCAAGGCTTGTATGTTGAGGCGAACGAAGGAGGTCCTCACAAAAGCTGCTGGGGAAAACTCAATGCTCAAATTACCGAAAAGGAGGGTCAAGTACGTCGTCTGCGATTTCGGAGCGGAGGAGAGAGCGTTCTATGAGCGCCTCGAGCAACGAACCGACAAGACATTGAGCAAGATGTCAAAGAACGGTGAGATGGGGAAGAATTACACAAATATTCTGTGTTTGCTGTTGAGGCTGCGTCAAGCATGTAACCACCCCGATTTGGTACAGAAGAGCTTGAAGAACGATAAGGAGGCGTTGAGTTTGAGTTCGCAGGGGAGTAAGCCCATTGTGGAGGATAAGGCTGCGGACGAGCTTGCTGATTTGTTTGGTGGGATCTCGGTTGGTGGAACGGAAGCGTTGAAGAGGTGTGAGGTCTGTTTCATCGAGTTGTCGAGGGAGGAGACGAAGAGTGGGTGTGTTCGTTGCAAAGAGTGTGACGCGGACGTCCATGCTCGCATCCTCTCCGCACCCTTGTCGAACGAGCCTTCGTATGCGGAGCTGGTCATGAGTACGAAGATTCGACGAATGATGAGGATTCTGCGAGATGAGGAGGAGGGGGAGGATGAGGACGATGAGATTGTTGCAGGACCGGTGAGGAAGACGATTATTTTCTCGCAGTTCACGACCATGTTGGATTTGGTTGAGCCGTTTTTGAAGGCGGAGAAGATTGGATTTTCGAGGTATGATGGATCGATGCCGAATCACCTTCGCGAGCAGAGTCTTGATCGTCTCAGAACGAATCCCAGCACCCAAGTCCTCCTCTGCAGTTTAAAGTGTGGAGCGCTCGGATTGAACTTGACAGCGGCAAGCCGCGTGATTCTGTTGGACGTTTGGTGGAACCCCGCAATCGAAGAACAATCCATCGATCGCGTCCACCGCATTGGACAAACCCGCAACGTCATCGTCCACAAACTCACAATCCGCAACACAGTCGAAGAGCGTATCGTGATGCTCCAGGACAAGAAGCGTGAGATGAGCAGGAGTGCGCTTGGGGATGGACCGAAGGGGGCGAAGGTTAATGCGAATAAATTGAGTATGACGGATATTCTGTATTTGTTTAAGAGGGAGAGTGAGGTTTTGGATGATAATTAGAGGGATGTTTGGGATGTAGGGAGGGAGAGGTTGGGGTACGACTTCGACACAATGCATTGTTTTTGGCGTTTGGATGCATCTAGAGGATAATGGTCACTTCGTTCGTTAATGCCAGAGTTTCTATCTCTTTCCTTGTCTTACACGAACGATTCGGTACCTAAGCTCAGGGCTTCATGAAACATTTAATCGCTTTGCCCACATGTCTTTAAGCTTCGTCTGCCAACGCAGCTCATGATCAGACCTATAGCTACAGCAGCTGAGAACTGCCCACGGTACCTAATGTTCTTCGGAAAGCCGCCTTTGAACCCAGGCAATATCTGCCGAGCTCATATTACAGCATCTGACTTGCCGCTGCTTCCGTGTTCCACCAAATGCACCCCGCCGTCACAAGCGAGGAAACAGGCAGCCGAGATCATGAGAGCACATGATCCATTGATCAACAATAAAAGGGACTGCTCAGCAGGTTCTTACTCGAGTAATACATACCAAAATGCCGGGTGCTACAATCCCTCCCTTCCCTGACGACATCCCAACTCTCCCGCTCCTCCTCATCGAATGGAACAAACTCCTCCTTCCCCACGGGGACCACACCGGCGACGACGAAAGATCCCGTCTGTACCAAGCCTGTCATGACCTAGGCTTTTTTTACCTCAAGGGATTACCAGTCGATCCAGACCCTATGTTCGATCTGGCGGATCAGTTCTTCGCATGTTCGCAGGAGGAGAAGGATCGGTATGAGATGGGGACTGATGGGAGTATGGCAAACCGTCTATGTCGAAGAATGAAGCTGATGACGAATTTGACAGATTATTTTGGTTATAAGAAGTCTGGGGCGTATTTTGTTGATAAGCAAGGTTCGCCGGATCGTACAGAGTTCCTCAACGTATACCTGGACCCCGATATAGTTCTCGCCTTGAAGGGTGCGGGCTGACACACAGGAATAGATTTCCAAAGACAATATCTTCTGCTCGGGGTCTGTTTCGCGTGAGGAACCACGAGCTGTGGAAGGGCATCGCCGATCCGTGAAGACGTTTATGGAAGGGTGTCATTCAGTTGCACGCGAGGTCCTTAAGGTGTTGAGTCAGCAGTTGCAGCTGAAAGAGAACTACCTGCTGGATCTACACAAGTTTGATGAAGCTAGTGGGGATCAGGTAAGGCTCACGCATTCGTTGGCTCCAGTGGATGATGACGCCTCTTCTGCACCGAATGTCGGAGCGCACAGTATGTCAAAGGTTCGTCAGCTCTGCTTAAACCAGCTAACAAGAGTGTGCAGCTGACTTTGGATCCGTAACTGTCCTCTTCAACCGCCTCGGTGGTCTCCAAGTTCTCACGCCAAAAGCAGGTGAATGGAAATATGTGAAACCACTTCCCGGCCACGCCATCATCAACCTAGGCGATGCCCTAGTCAAAATGACAGGTAACTTACGCTTCTGTCCTCTCCTCTCCTTGCACTAACTTTACCAAGGAAACCTCCTCCGGTCCAACATCCACCGCGTCGTCCCCCCACCCGGCCCCCAACGCTCCTCCAACCGCGAATCTATCGTTTATTTCTGCCGTCCCAATAATCACATTCGACTCGCTCCCATTCCCTCTCCGCTGGTAGCTACAGAACCAAGGGATACGAAGAGGGTGGATGAGTATCCGACGAGTGAGGAGTGGATTAAGGAGAGGGTTACGAGTAGGTTGCAGAAGAGTTATAAGGTACATATAGCAACATCAGGGAGGTGAAGGGATGACTAATTGGGTGCTATAGGGTGAGGAGTCGTATGAGATGACGAAGGGGACTTCAACAGATTTCAAGTGGTGAGAAGGTCGGAGGAGGGTAGTGGATGCACGTGCACATAGGATTTATGACCTTATGTCGCTCGCTGATGATGACATCGAGAATTTATCCTACCATACAAACCGTTTACCGAGTCCAGATCACTTGTTCCGGTTCACCGTAAGGCCCGTTTACTTTCGAAGGGATTCGGCCCGCTACCGCCTAGCGCTTCGTGCGTTATGCGTTTCTGACACGAGACCTGCCGGAACCCAACAAGCATGAACTAACGCCAACTGTCCCCACCGACACGAGAGCGGTGGGGAGACCGTGGAGGACAGCATGGCGGACGACGAAGCGCAGCAAGACCTCTGCACCTGAATGGCCATTGCCTCCTTCAGACCGCAACATCCCTGCCGTTCGAAGGACCTCGCTCTACTTACTTCGCCAATATCTGCCTCGTGATGATGCAGCGGCCGCTCGCCAAATAGAGAAAGAGTTTAACAGGATTTTAGACGCGGAAAGAATTCAGTTGAGGGCCCTCAAGGCAAGCAGGAATCCGGTGGACCATAGTTCAGAGCAGCGCCGACTCCTCCTGCTACCCAAGATGCAGAAGTTACCGGGGATCGAGTCGAGAAACGGAGGATGACAGACCTTGAGAGGGAGAATGAGGCTCTAAAGGAACAAGTAACTGCCTTGAAGAATGCCCTTCGACGTACCTAGGGAGTTGTGAATCGCGGATCTGTACGTTGTAGCTTGTGATCCGTGGGCGAGTCGATTATGTGGTCAGGCTACTCGTTTATCCCTTTTGTACTAATATTGATAAGAGAACAAGTTAAATGAAAGTTCTTGGCTATGTATTTCACTGCGTTCATATGTAGCTTTGAAGCTCCCACTGGCTTGCTCTGCTCCCGGTGATGCAAAATTTCTTCGCACGACTCCAGGAAAGCACTTCACGAAAGAGCGTAGACAATCCCCTACTTCTGACGCCTTTCCAATTGTGACATCCATCAAAAGCTTGAACTTGGCTGGGTGTTTTGATACTCAATGTTTAGGTTGGGCTGAACATCCAAAAGCTGTAAATGTCACTTTCGAGGAGATCGATGGTTGTACTATATGAACGATTGATGATGCAAAGCCTCCCGCTACTCCCCCTCCACTCGATGAGACTTTCGACAAGTACATCGAATTGGCTTTGAAGGATGATCCCCACAATGAGCCTAACCAATTCAAGATAAAACTGATAGTACAACGTCTATTTCCGGGCGCCGGAATCGATGCTAAATACATTCGTGAGAGGATACGAGCAACAATGAAGGAGCGGGACCCGGATTGGACACCATCGCCAAGAGTCGTCGAACCCAAGCCGTACAAGGCAGTGGAGCTCACTCTCCACGAAGCAGTGGATATCGATCACGTCAACAAAGAGTTGGACAACCTGGTCGACGCAGCCTTCCGATTCCAACATGAAAAAGTACTAACTGCCTCTCACCTGCTCCGAGCGTTGAATGTTTTGTGTCCGGACTGCGGTTACACTGTCGATCATGTGGTGAAAAGGGTCTGGACGCGGCGTTACGAATTGGCTGGGAAGGACTCCAGTTTGAAAGTTAACGTCCGCCGCCGGCGTATAAGACGTGACAATTCACGCACCGCCATTACGTTTTGTTTCAAGGAGAACCTCCTGCAACCGAGGAGGAGAGGAGAGGAGTGCGTCTGCCAAGCATCACTAGGGTCCTAAGAGACATGAGCAGAAAAACCAGCAGATCATGCACTCCAGAACAGTCAACATCGCCTTCAATCGACCTGCCTTTACGTCATCCCGAGCAAGTCTTCACAGAACCCGATTCTCCTGCTCAATCTGCTCCAGCGGATTATAGCGTGAGATCAGAACTTGCAATTGCACAGAGCGATTACACGTCCGAGGAAGAAGAAGCAAGTTATATGATGCAACGCAAGCCAGTCGTGCATGACCTGAGGCAGGATGGCTTGGTGATCCCGGACCCAATTTTCGACGCTTATCTCCAAATCGCACTCAAGCAAGATGAGGAACGAAACTAAACGAGCAGCTTAAGAAGGGTCGCAATCGACCCGACCCAACAGCATCCGAATCATCAAGTCACAGTCCTCTCAGCCTAGGCGGAAACCTTATAGACGCACGAGGACAGTCGCGTAAACACCGGTACCATCCAGCACACACGCCTCCGACATCCCAAGATCTCGCAAACGCACGCATTCAGAAATCTTCGCGGAGAGTTCAGCTTGTCCACCCGCCAGAGTTCAGGACATTCACGAACGCGCAGCAAGAGACGCAACCTACCGAGGGTAGTGATTCTTATTCATACGAGCCCGATAGGGGGAGGTTCGCAGGGCGGAGGGCAAGGTATCAGGGATGGTGAGTGTCATATTCAAAAAAGTAATGAGCATATAGAGAGGAGCAACATGAGAGCATAATAGTGAAATTGTAAAACGCATGAGCATATGAAGGATTGCCGGTTGAAGTCACTGCATATATTCGTTGTCGATTGTACCCAAGGGGAAGATATCATAGAAATACATTTTCATTCATACTGACACATAAGCCATATGCCCTCAGGATATCCCTATCATACACCCCATATATGACTTTACTCCTTTCCAAAAACCTCCTCAAAGTCGGTCAAAACCAACCTATACCTAACATTATCGTTCGTCTTAAGCCTCGTAACCGCCTCCCCACAGCCCTCCTCGCTGACCTTAACCCTCTGCACCCACGTCTTAACACCCTTCCTCACCGCCAAATCCAACATCTCCAAACACTCCTTCTTGGATCCGATATGGGAACCACCGATATGGGCCGCGTTCGACATGAGATCCATTGCGTTGAATTGGGGGAGATCTTGGTCGGGGAGACCGAGGTTTGTGTAGAAGCCGTCGACGGTGAGGAGGGAGAGGAGGGTTTGGAGGGGGATGTGGGAGGAGATGTCGATGGTTGACAAAATGACGTCAAGCTCCGGGATGCCCTCCTCCCACTTGTCCTTGGAGGTATCGACAAAGTGTGCAGCGCCCATCTTCTTCGCGTCCGCCTCCTTGGAGGGGGAGTGCGAGAATGCGTAGACCTCGGCACCGAGGGCAGATGCGAACATGACTCCGAAGTGGCCCAGACCACCGATACCGACGATTCCGACCTTCTTGTTCTTGCACCCCTCGACGATACCGTGGCGAACGAGTGGGGAGTAGACGGTGAGTCCACCACACAACATGGGCGCAACAACTTCAGACTCCAACTCCTTGGGGATGGGGAAGATGAACTGCTCGTGACCACGGACGTGGGAGGCGTATCCACCATAAGTCTTGGATCCGTCGTCGTATTTGGCGTTGTAAGTGTCGACCTGCTTAGCGCAGTAGTTCTCGTTGTCGGTTTTGCAGCGGTTACAGTCCATGCAAGACCAGATCTGTGCACCGGCACCGACGCGGTCACCGACCTTGATGCTCTTCACCTTCTCTCCGACACGAATGGCAGTACCGACGATCTCGTGTCCGGGAACAACAGGGTAATCAGCTGCGCCCCAACCAGAGGTAATGGTGTGGACATCTGATCCGCAGACACCACAGTGGGAGACCTTGATGTCGACGTCGTAGGGGCCGAAAGGCTTGACGGTGTAAGAAGCCTTGCGGAATTTGTTCCAGCCTTCGGCGGAGTCGACCATGAAGCCGGAGAATTGGTCTTGAGAGGACATTGTTGGTTGTTCTGGGTTGTTTAGTTGATGTAGGTCTTGGTTGTGGTGGACCTTGTGGGTTACGTCGAGGGTATTTATGGTCGAGGATCGGTCAGCGAGGAGAGCGGAGGAGGCGTGACGTCGAGGATCGGCGCGCACGAGACGGCGGCATTGCGCGCGCTCGGTTAGTAAGCCTTCATTCAGGCTGAACACCGTCGAACGAATTGATTTGTAATGAAAACGGTATGACGAGCATCTTCTGGGGCTAGAGTCCAGGACGGCCTAGGCGTGCGGGTGGGACGGGGAAAGGCGCTAGGGGAGGCAGAATCGCCGAACCAATTGGGCGGCTAAAACGAGTTTGGGACTAGGGAACCGTTCAACGTATGACCTGTTCGCCGTCACACGTTGCGGATATCGCGGAACGTTTTGCTCACTCTGTCTTGCCGACAGCCGCGGAGCTTCAGGTGGCCGCGGATCAGACGAAAGCCTAAAGCTTAAGGGGGGCGGCGAGGCGTATGACCGTGCGTGCGGCCGTTGACAGCGGAATTACTGCTCACGTTGCGAACATCAGCGATCAGTCAAACACTACTAATCAAGACACTGAGCAGCGAAAGCTTCCTGTACTTAGCCCGAGTGTGCTCAGGACAACTTGGTTAACGGTGACGTGGTGAGAGGACTCCGAGGGATTCCGCATGTCTCGTACGTGACGGAAAGCTGCTCACTCCAGCACAGTTAGGTAGGAGACGAAAAAGTCCCCTGCCTCTGTCTTGGACTTTATTGACTATGCGCAGGTAACAGGTACCCAAGAGGAGATCACAACGAATACGGGAAGGTTCACAAAGGCCCCACCGCCACTCGCAAACGTCAATCGTGATTCCAATCGCGGATGAACGCTTTCATCTAACGCGAGTAGGTGCCCGACTCATAGCGATAGCGGACGCCCCATGTTTAACTGCTATGTTCTTGAACCTCACAATATTGGCACGAGGAAGGCAGAGGAAGAATAACCCAGTAGGTTATTTATTTATCCGTTAAACACATAGTCCCAATAAACCAAAGAGCGTCCATAAAACATCACCATCTCAACTTCTGCTGTGCGCGGCGAGTCGTGCGGAGGATCTCGTCTTCGATCTCGGTGGGAATTGGCGGAGCATTTGAGTGCAAGACCGAGAAGAGAGTGAAGCGAATGGATCAGAGATACTGGAGGGGAATTATCTGATGGAAGAGGTGTGTATGACCGGATCGTAGGTATTGTACCGTGGTAAGCGGACGAGGTCCGTGGGTACTTTAGATAGGCGAACCCCACCAAATGGTTGATCTTGACTGTCCTGTTTGACTTCTGACCCTCCTGAGAGAAGTTGAGAAGGTTTCTAACATGGTTTTCGCATCTCTGTTGAGCAAGTGCTGGGTGCCACAGAAGAATCAATTCATATCAAGCCCGCCCTCGGACCCTAGGCCTCGAGTCCGCATTGCGCTAGCTATAACCAAGATACCAATTACTCTAAAAATCGATACCGCAAGAAGATGCTCTGAGATCCCTTACCTCATATAGCTACTTCTTGCCATTCATCTATCAACTCATACAATCACCCACCTGCATCCGCAAGGTCACCACTATCCCACTGTCCCTCGAGCAGATCCGTTTCCTCCTCAAAGTTCACCACGCGCCCCTGCTCCTCCGCCGACTCCTCCTTCAATTCCTTCACCTGTGTCTCAAACTCCGTACACCGCTCACAAAACCCTCCTTCAATATTATCCATCCTCGCCCTCAACAACGGGATCTGCATCTTGAAGTCCTCATTCTCGCCGAGTAAGACCTCGATCTGCGCTTGTTGCTCGCCACAAAGGCTTTCCAGGGTTGTGATTTGTGTGCGTAAGCTGTCACTCTCGAGTTGTTCCGGTGATTTGATTTGAGGACTGATAGGCCCGCGTGGTGCTGGTGCAGTCCAGAGAACAGTCCCGGGCATCTGCGGCTGTGAGGACCTCCTTGACTCTTGTAGTTCCCGCTGAAGAGCCAACAGATGTTGTTCGCGCTGGTTTACCAATGCCATAAGGTGCCCCATTCTATGGGCCAGATTCGTATTCGTGCCACCAAGCGTGTTCATCTGCTTGTTATGCCTCCTCTCTGAACTCACTGCCCTAGCCTGCATCCTCAAGCTTTCGGCAATCAGAGACTGATACTCGAGCTTCTGCTGCTGGGCTTCGCTCCTACACTTTCGTAATGAGGTTTCGGCGCTCATCTTATCGCGCTCCGCTTGATCCAGCTTCATCTTTAACGACGCGCGTTCCACGTTAACGGCCATTACCGTCGAAGGACTAACGCTGTTTTTCTGCAACTTCTCGATCATAATCCTCTGAACCTCAGCTTTTGCCTCTCCTTTGACTCTTAGTTGCTCCTTCTCCTTCTCTGCTTGATCTAACTCTTTGCGAAACCTCGTAACCTGCACATGTAGGTCAGATTTCAGCTTGTCTACTTGTTTCGTTGCGTCCTGGATTCTATGGACAAGTTCATTCGTAAAGCTTTGTCCTTTCACTTCTTTCAAATCCTGTGAAGGCGCAGCGTGGTTCTTCTTGTCGCTACCCGCTTGCTCCAGCTGCTTCTTCAACGTCGTTACCTCCTCCTTCAAGCGAGCGCCCGCACCCTTCAGAGTCGCCAGCTCGGTTTGCTGAACCTTGACTGTAGCTTCCGCCTTCCGCTTCTTCCGAATAATCGCAGTAAAGTACGCGTTTATCGATTTCACAGTGTCTTCCTTGTCCGCCTCAGCTTTCTTCAGCTTTTCCTTCAATTTCTGCACTTCCACCTCCAAGAGAATGTTGTTTTTGGAGAACTCTGCGACCTGGACATCATCTTCCCTAGATTTGCTTTTCCAATGAGATAGCTCCGCCTCTAGACCTGCGACTTGCTGGTGAAGACCGCGATTCGCCTCGAGACTTGACACTAAAGTTTTCTGCATTTCAATGAGGCTCGGGTCTGCCGTGACCTGCAAAGGTGCCACGGCGCTCACTTGATCATTCGCTTGCGGCATCGGCGCAGCATCCATAAGGGTTTTCTGCAACCTTGCGATCTCAAGCTTTTGAGCATCAATCGTTGCGTTGGATTCTTTCCCTTGCTCTTGAAGTTTCTGGAGAAGTTTTTGGTTCGTCTGGTGAACCGTTGCAAGCATTTTCTGTAGGTCGGCGACCAGCTGGTTTCCTTTCACTCCCTGTGCTTGACTAGCTGTAATCAACAAGGCGCTCCTAGCCCTTTCCGAATCGAGCATGTTTGCGCTACACTGCTGAAGCTGACCAGCCAAATTGTTGTTGTAAATCTGGAACTGCACAAGCTCCGACTGAGCGCTCTTCATCTTCTCCAACGCCACGACCATCTCACGCTGTAACCTCTTGTTTTCTTCCGTGAGGTGAGTGGCCACAAAAGTCTGAGCTTTCAACTTCTGCGTCTGTTCCTTCATTGCCTCCGTCATTTTATCGTTCGAGTCGCTGAGTCGATCGACTAAGGCGGCCTTGGGTCGCAGATCTTCCAGCTCTGTCTGGACCGTCTTCATATGTTCCTTCGCCAGCACCATCTCACGTTGCAATCGCTCGTTCGCCTTCTTGACTGGATCCAACAACTCGGCCTGGCGACGCAACTCTTTCGCATCTGTCTGCGCGCACGTTTTCTGTTCGTCCGCGGCTGCCATGTCACGCTTCAACCGCTCATTTTCCTCTCTGAGTTGATCAGCGAGGTTAGCCTGATCTCGTAGCTCCTCTACCTCTGACTGAGCAGCATATCTCTGTTCCGCCATCACCCCCAACTCACGCCGCAATCTCGTAACTTCCTCCGCCAGCGCCTCGCCATTGCGCTTAGCTACAGGTGTGTCCTTCACCAAACCACGCCGCAAGCGCTCATTGTCTTCCTCCAATTCCACATTATGTCGTCCCATGCGTGAATTTACGTCATCTCCTATCTTGAGTTGGAGCTGCAGGCTCTCGTTTAGGCGCTGTAAGCTCCGTACTTGTGAGCGGAGTCGATCGAGTTCGTCCCGAAGGTCAACTGCGATGCCTGACGAACCAAGATCGAGCTTTAGTCTTTTTGACGGATGGGGTCGCATGACAATTCCCTGCTGGCTTACCAAGCCGTTGGTTTGACAAGAGACGTGCAAATGTGATAGTACAAGAGAGTCCGCGGTACTTCAGAACGGTCAAGCAGACATGTTTCAGCTGCGCCGTAGCCGGTTCTGCTTGTCGGCTTCGTTGTTTTATGTTTGACGTCCGGTCTCGTATCGATCCATGCAACCTCATGCTCCCCCTGCCAGGGTCCACCCCGTACACCGATACCGCCAACTCAAGTCTCCTCGGACCTCCCCATCCCCAGTCAACCTCCAAAACACCCAAAACCATTCCCATATCTCTGTCATCATACGAGATGTCTGTCAGAGACTCCATCGCCGCCCTAGAACGGCGTGCATCCTCCAATTCCGTCCCGTCGTCCCCGGCACCAGCCAAGGCCAACACTCCGTTACCATCCTCACCGGCTCCCATCAGCGCTAATTCCGCGCTGGTTGATGCCTCGATGAAACTCCATGCCGTATCCTCGAATGCCACTGACAGTACTTCGAAAGAGGATGGACAAAGCCGTGATTCAAGCGCGACCGAAGCAACCGCAGTCGACGCTCCCGAAACAGTCACTTCTTCGAAAGCGTCACCCGCGCCGAGAAAAGTCTTCGGAACAGTCTCTGGCCCCAGGAAGCCCGCAACTACGCCTACTGCGACCAAAACTACTCCTTCTACAAATGGAACCACAGCTGTGAAGAGGGCGTCGGTGAGTGTGTTTGATCGTCTTGCCGCTACGGAGACAGTCGCTTCTCAGAATGTCCGGCGTACGTCCTCGGTTGCTAAGCCTCCTGTGACGACTACCAATAAGCGTCTCTCACTCGCGCCCACGAGAGCTACGACATTGTCCGCCCCATCATCGAGCCCGATCCGTCGAACACCAACGAGGAGCGTTCCACTCCCCTCAACCGCCGATAAGAAACAAGCTGAGCTGCGGCCGAGGACGGCAGGGGAGGAGACGAGGAGTGTCCCGAGATTTATGCAGAGCACGACCTCCTCCGCAAACCAAAAACCTCTATCCCGCACCGCCTCAATCTCCTCACGGCCCTCTACAGCAACCACCGGCGTCACCCGGCCCACATCAACAACCACGAGACCCACGTCAACCTTACGAGCCTCCTCAAGCGATAAAGAGATTGCGGCGTGGAAAGCGAAAGTTTCGGAGTTGGAAAAAACCATCAAACAAAAAGACGCCCACATCGAATCTCTCTCACTCACCCCCCACTCAGACGATACCTCCGCACAGGAATTAGAGAATGCACAAAAGGATGCTGAGGAAGCGAGGAAGGTGATTGCGTCGTTGAAGAAAGACATCTTGGCTGCGCAGGTGGAGGCAAGGGAGGTTAGGGAGGGGTTGAGGGGGAGGGTTGAGGAGTTGGAGAAGCAAATTGCCATGACCGGGGCTTCTGCGAAGGCGGCTGAGGAGGCTCAAACCAAAATTGTGACTCTGAAAGAGAAACTCGCGACTTTGGAACAGCAGCTATCGACGGATGATTTGGAGGCCAGGGTTGAGGAGGCCCGGAAGTCTGCGCAGGGGGAAGCCGAGAAGAGGGTCTATGCACTCGAACGCGAGCTGGACGCGAAGGGCGGTGTTATTGCTTCCCTCGGCGACGAACTCCGAAAACTGAACGAATCGAAAGAGCGAGAGCTAGCCGACGTGAAAGCTCATGCCAACGACGCGAAGAATCGTGCAGAAAAGCTAGAGGGGGAGGCGAAGAAACAGGCCGTCGAGTCGGAAGAACTGAGGCAGAAGTTGGACAAGACACGGAAAGATGTGGAGGCGGCTGGTAAGAACGTCAAGTTGGAGCTGGAGGAGAAGCATGCGAAGATGGTATTTGAGCTGCGGAAGGAGATTGAGAAACAGCAGGCGGTGGCTGTGGGAGCTGTCAAGGCGAAGGCGGAGGTTGAGGCAGAGTTTAAGAAGCAGGCTGAGGAGGTGAACAGTTTGCGCCAGAAGCTCGCACAGGCCGAGAAGGATGTCGATTCTGCTGTCCAGAAGACCAAGGCTGAGCTCGAGGAGAAGCATAATCAGGCGTTGGAGGCTCTTCGTGAGGAGTTGGAAGCCCAGCGAAAAGCCAACTCGGAGCTCCAAAGCAAGCACAGTGACGAGATGAAGGCACTCAAGAATGAGCTCAATGCGCAGGACTCCATCGTCGCTGACGCTAGAGCGCAAGTCGGTGCTATTGAAAAGGAGTTGCGTGAGGAAATCGCGACGCTCGAGGAAGCGTCCAACCGTGAAGATGTTGAGGCAGCCGTGAAAGAGGCATTGGAGAAGTTAGACGCGGAGTGGAAGGCGAAACACGATAAGGAGATCATTGCGGTTCAGGACGATCGTGTAAAGCAAATCACCGCACTCCGCTCTGATCTCGAGGAGACGCGGAAGGAGCTGGATGCTATCACGGTCAAACGCGACACAGCCGTCAAGGAAGCGACCTTCGAGAAGCAGCAGCGTGTCGAGGCCATAGAGGAGCTCAGGAAGGAGCACGAGAAGGCGAACAAGGAACTGACGGAGCAGTTGAAGGCAAGGGAAAAGGAGATTGATGAGATGAAATCCGTCGTCGCTGATGTCCGAGCAAAAATGGAACAATCCACCATCACCAAAGAACGCGAACTCGAAGACATGAGACACGTCGTCGAGGAAGTGCGTGCGAAGATGGACAAAGCATCCCGCGAAGCAGACGAGATGCGCAAATCCTACGAATCCACAATCGCTGATTTCCAAAAGAGGATTGCCGACAGTGCCGGCAAGGATGAGTTGGAGCAGTTGAAGGAGGAGTTAGAGAAGGCGAGGCAGGAGAAACAGGTTGCGGAGGATGAGGGGACGAGGTTGGTACAGATTAATATGGAGTTGCAGATGCAGATTGCTACGATGCAGGAGATGGGAAAGTAAATCATGGACAAAAGTTGTGGTTTTGGAGCAGTATTCGTTGTTGGCGTTTGAACATTGCGGAATATATCACTCACATTGGGCATGCACATCTGGTTCACTTTTTTTTAAATGTCTATTATACTCGTATACCTCTTCCTATCGTCTCTTCACCATTTTCTAATACTCCTAATTTAGAACTTCTCACCCCTCTCCATCTTAGCCTGACCGAACTTCCTCAACCTGATAGACTCAATAGCAATGAATCCAGAAGTGTCAGTAGGCTCGAATCCACCAAGCTCATCCATAGAAGACTGAGTAGCATCGTACAACTTCTCGGTCTCAGAGGAACGACCAAGGATGATGGTGTTACCCTTGTAACATCCAACCTCAACCTGTCCGTTAACAGTCTTCTGGGAAGCCTCGAGGGCAGCAGAGAGGAACTCGCGCTCGGGGGAGAAGTACTGTCCGTTGTAGAGAATCTTGGAGAAGCCGACGGTGACGAAGGCGTCACGGAGGGCACGGACCTCACGGTCGAGGGTGAGTCCCTCAATGTCCATGTGGGCGAGGCGGAGGACGGTGAGACCGGGGGTTTCGTAGCATCCGCGGGACTTGACACCGATGAAGCGGTTCTCGACGATGTCGATACGGCCGACACCGTTGCGGCGGGCGATGGCATTGATGGCGAGGAAGAGGTCGAGGGGGTCGGTGACGGTCTTGCCGTCGGCCTGGACGAGCTTGGTGGGGATACCCTTCTCGAAGTAGAGAGTGAACTTCTCCATGGCGTCGGGGGCGTCCATGGGGTCAACGGTCAACTTCCACATGTCCTTGGGGGGAGTGACGGCAGGGTCCTCGAGGATACCAGCCTCGTAGGAGCAGTGAGCCAAGTTCTCGTCCATAGACCAGGGCTTCTTGGTGGTCTGGAGAACGGGGATGTTCTTCTCGGCGGCGTAAGCCAAGAGGTCCTTGCGTCCAGGGAAGCGGTTGTAGAATTCGGGGATACGCCAAGGAGCGATGACCTTGATCTCAGGCATCAAAGCGTAGTAAGCGAGCTCGAAACGGACACAGTCGTTACCCTTTCCGGTGGCACCGTGGGAGACGGCAACACAACCCTCCTGACGGGCGATCTCGATCTGGCGACGAGCGATGACGGGACGGGCGAGGGAGGTACCGAGGAGGTAGATGTTCTCGTAGGCGGCGTTACACTGGACGGCGGGGAAGCAGAGCTCCTCGACGAACTCGCGACGGAGGTCCTCAATCAAGACCTTGGAGGCACCGAGGGAGAGGGCCTTCTCGCGGGCAGCCTCGAAGTCTTCCTCCTGACCGACATCAGCGCAGTAAGCGATAACGTCGTAACCGCACTCGATAAGCCAGACGAGGATGATGGAGGTGTCTGTGAGCGAAACATGTGTCAGATCAACGCGTTTCGTCCGAGGAAGGGTCGCAGGGAGCACATACCGAGACCACCAGAGTAAGCGAGGAGGACCTTGTCCTTCTGACCAGAGACGAGAGCAGACATGTTTTATAGATTCCTGTGAGCGAATACCAGCTTCAGTATGGGATGCGACGGGGCAATAAGGGGAAGATCAAACGGAACCTTCTTGTATGGGTGATGGACCGACGGTGACTCGACGAAGAGGATTTAGAGATTGATACGCGGTAGCGTCTGACTAGACGGCGGCCGGACATGGGGTCGCAGCTGCTGATTTCTGCTGGGCGATAAGCGTAACCGTCCGTCAGTCCTTCATCGACCTCGTATTTTCTTTTATCCTTCTCCGAGATCATCTTCATGAACTATTCCAAACACCAAGTTCATTCCCTACATCCCACGCCGGAACTCAACCAACTCCCTGAGGATATTCCCCGGTCCCTTAGGGTTGCTAGGTACAAAGCACGCACTTTCAAAAGAGTATTATGGGTAATAACCAAGTACAAAAACATCAAGCAATAAAAAGAAAGCAATAAGCAACACATCTCTTTCCACCTCTATTGACAACAAAAAAACACCCATGCACCCCTATCCTTCAGTTTGGTATAGCAAGTTTTTTGGCGTGTTCTCTCTCACACTCTTATCTTTCAGCTATTGAGGAGCTTACATGTCCTCCTGGGGCATCTCCTCCTCGTACTCGCCCTCCTCCAACTCCTCGTCGACACCTGCCTCCTGGTACTGCTGGTACTCGCTCACCAAGTCGTTCATATTAGACTCTGCCTCGTTGAACTCGAGAACATCCATACCCTCACCAGTGTACCAGTGCAAGAAAGCCTTCCTTCTGAACATGGCGGAGAACTGCTCGCCGACACGCTTGAAGAGCTCCTGGATGGAGGTGGAGTTACCGATGAAAGTGGAGGACATCTTGAGGTTGCGGGGAGGGATGGAACAGAGTGCGGTCTGGACGTTGTTGGGGATCCACTCAACGAAGTAAGAGGAGTTCTTCGTCTGGACGGAGCGCATCTGCTCCTCGACCTCCTTCATGGAGACCTGACCACGGAAGATAGCAGCGACGGTCAAGTAACGGCCGTGACGGGGGTCCGAAGCGGCCATCATGTTTTTCGCGTCGAACATCTGCTGGGTCAACTCAGGGACGGACAGAGCGCGGAAAGAACGGGCGCCAGGGGCGGTGAGGGGAGCGAATCCGACCATGAAGAAGTGGAGACGGGGGAAGGGAACCATGTTGACAGCCAACTTCCTCAAGTCAGAGTTCAACTGACCAGGGAAACGAAGACAGGTGGTGATACCGGACATGACGGCGGAGACGAGGTGGTTAAGGTCTCCGTAAGAGGGGTTGGTCAACTTGAGGGTACGCATACAGATGTCGTACAAAGCCTCGTTGTCGATACAGAAGGTCTCGTCGGAGTTCTCAACGAGCTGGTGGACGGAGAGGGTGGCGTTGTAAGGCTCAACAACGGTGTCGGAAACCTTGGGGGAAGGAACGACGGAGAAGGTGGCCATCATTCTGTCGGGGTACTCCTCACGGATCTTGGAGATCAAAAGCGTACCCATACCAGCACCGGTACCACCACCTAGAGAGTGAGTAATCTGGAAACCCTGGAGGCAGTCACAGCCCTCAGCCTCGCGACGGACGACATCGAGGACAGAGTCGACGAGCTCAGCACCCTCAGTGTAGTGACCCTTAGCCCAGTTGTTACCAGCACCGGATTGACCGAAGATGTAGTTGTCGGGGCGGAAAAGTTCACCGAAAGGACCGGCACGGACGGCGTCCATGGTTCCGGGCTCCAAGTCGACGAGGACAGCACGGGGGACGTACTTGCCACCGGCAGCCTAACCACAACCGTTAGCGAGTGTTCTCATAAATCACGAGCATTCGAGTCCGAATTGCTCGTGAAGGGGTGAATAGTCGTCGCGCCATATTGCCATTGTTTTGACAGACATAGTCACGACCACAATTCCCATCTCCAACTCAATCACCACGTACCTCGTTGAAGTAAACGTTCATCCTCTCCAACTGAAGGTCAGAAGTACCCTCATAGTGTCCAGAGCCGTTAATACCGTGCTCACCGGCGATGGTTTGCCTGTACGAAAGAACACGCGTCAGTCACCCTACATCGATTGCATCGTTCAAACAGGCAAGACGAACCAGAAAGAGGCACCCTGTAAAGAAACATAATGTTAGCAATCGATTCGAAACGAATTAACGCGTCCTCTTCGCCGCATACAACTCCCAAGGGCCACCACACCGCCCACGGAAGCGCAAACGCGGAGAGAAACGGGACAAGAACGGGAATTGAACGTACAATCTGGTTACCACACTGACCGGTCTGAAGGTGCACAATCTCACGCATATTGTCTGATTTGTCGGGGTATCGTTGGTTGTCGGTTGGTCGAGGATGGTGTTCTTTCTACGTTGTGTTGTTGTGTTGGCCCTCGAGAGGGAATTTGGCGCGTTGCCTTTTTGGGGCTGGCGAAAGGGGGACATGTAAGGAGGCGCGACAGGCAGTTTATTCGAAACTCGTAGGAAGATCCGTGCGACAGTGGGTGCATTTTTATTGTTTTGTGCTTTGATATGATACGATTACTCGCCTCGTTCTTTGTGGATTTGGTGCTTCATCGACGGCGTGCTCGTTGCTGGTGGTGTACATGTTGAGGGGCCCGGGAAAGGAGCGACGCGTGTGAAAGCAGTAATGACCGACGGGAAGCAGAGTATAACGAGTATCGAATTGGTATATGTGATAGGTGAGGTAAAACAAAGTAACGTCTTCAGTAACTCCAGCGGTAAGAGAGCAGGCCGTGCTCTCGAAGGAAGATATGGACGTATGCGTATCCCGACGTCAGTAAGGTCAACGCTCGGTTAACAACGACAACCTGAGACAGTGTCAGTATGCTCGCGATACTCATCTTCAAGTTTTTTCCCGCCGCATACACCTCCAGTTTCATAGCATACACCCCCTATATCGCCCTCGCACCATGACTCCCATCAGCATCACTAACAACTACCACCGGGATGCAAAACCCCGCTAATCCAATCGCCCTCTTTTGTCCCTCCCTCTCCATATCCTTCTCATTCCCCGAGAATATAACAGTTGGCGGAACCAAATCCCCACTTTCCCTCTTGCGCTTCCAGAACAATTTATAGTCGGTCATAACGTCCGTGCCAGGACCGTCTTTAGAGGCAGCGAGGCGACGATGGCGGTAAATGTAGAATGCGATGAGGGCTAGCACAAAGAGGGCTGCGACGAGGAGCGTTGTGACTGCGAGGATGGTAATGACGGTAGTCGAAGGACCGGAGCTGTAACTGTTCTTGACGGGGAGAGCGGCGGAGGCTTCAAGAGTAGCAGTTGAGGTTGCAGTCATGAGAAACGCGACACCGACACCCGTGTTGGACGCAGCATCGGAAAGGGTCACGGTGGCATAATAAAGCTTCTGCTGGTCTGCGAGAAGGAGAGCACGAGGGATGTGCTTGTGTGAGTCAAGCATTGTAAGAACTCGGCTTGCGAAAACGAGCGAGGGGGATTGCAACTTTGCAAGGAATGAAGAGTTAGCAGTACCGATGGACGCGAGCAACTCAGGCGAATCGGACAAGTGGTCAGCCATACAAATTGGGGGCTCGTGCGGCGGCCGCGGGTATATGGATTTGACAGCAGCCGTGGGAACCGTTGACCGCACGCGCACGGAAGACTTGCATCATATGAAGCAGTCGAGTATGACAATTGCAAGATAAAGGAATGGAGACGTTCGTTTCAGGTTGGTATCGTTATCTTCTCCCATGCAAGACTCTGACTAAGCTTCCTCCTCGCTTACTCAACGCCCTCAACAACAGCCCCATACCTCTGCAACTTATTCAAAACCCCATCACCAACCTTAATCAACTTCGTATAAACCCCGTTCTTCTCATCCAACCTCTTTGTCTCAACTGTCCCTCCAACCCTATCAATCGTAGCAGCCAAGCCACCCCCAACAATAAACCTTGCCAAATCAGCATCGATATAGGAAGTGCTGACTCCGAATGCCGCAGCCATATGTGACAGAGACACGGAGCGGTAGGACTCGAGAAGCTGAGCGTAGGATCGACGACGGAGTTCGCGGACGTACCAGCGAGCGTGGGGGCGGGTGTACCGGGTCGTGAGAAGGACGGATTGTTCAGCTTCGGCGAGAGCGCGGAAGAATGAGGCATAATCGCAAATATAGAGGGATTGGGTCAGGGTGACAAGAGCGTGTGTAGGAGGCAAGACTGCCAATACCTCGGGCGAGTCGATGACGCGGGTCTTGAGCTCCGTTCGTGGGAGGGAGACCACGGCGGCTACGACGGCCCATGCGACGATTTCTTCGTAGGTGCAGAGCTCGGTAGATGTGAATGTGGTGGCGCAGTCGAGCAAGAGGTTGGCTGCTTGTGCGTATTGTCTTTGGGAAAGGAGGAAAAGGCCCTCGTAAGCCTTCAGCTTGTTTCTGCGGTCCCAATCACCTCCTTGGTCAATCAATGTGCGAGTAGACTCGATGGTGGATGCGGTAAGTGCAACGTCAGCGACGAAGAGTGCCTGACGGAGGTGGGTGAAGGAGAAGTCAAGCTTTGTCGGGATGGAGGTCGTGGGGGCGGCGAGAATGGCGTCAACCAAAGTGCGAGAGCGCTCGAAGTCGTGAATGCGTGTGACAAGGTTGATCCTCTTGAATTCAATCTTGCGCAAGTCCTCCTCGCCTTCAGCCTCCTGTTCCTTCGCCTTCTCCGCATCGTCATCCAGCAGCTTCTCCTCCGCCTCGGCTTTGGACTTCATCTCGTCGTATACCGATTGCTTCCATTCACTTCCAATCAGAGACTTGAGCTCAGCATACAGCGGGTATGCCGACAATTCATTGATTTTATCGAGGAGAACGGGGAGAGTCTCGGCATGGAGGTGTTGCAGGCTCGGCTCACGCAAAACGAACAATTGCTGTGCCAACGCAAGCGAAGGGTATTGAGGAGGTGCTACGTCGTTATCGGTAGCCATATTGGTATTCGTCGCCGTCTTCGAGGGGGGTATAATTTGGTGTATCGCTTTCGTACAAACAGCAGTACGCGTCGTCATTTGTGTGGCCCGTCGTGGCGCAGTACCCTGAGGTCGAATGGCTCCTGGAAGTCTACGTTACACCAAACCACCAAAATGTCTTTCGGTCGGCCAGCCAACAATTTAATCAAGGGATCAACGCTCCCGCCAGAGCGTGGTATCTTTCCACTGGATCATGCTGGTTTGTAGCCAAAATGCGATGGTGTGGAACCGTGATCTGACATGGGAACAAACAGGCGAGTGCAAAGAAGTGATGCAGATCTATCTCAACTGCCTTAAGGCCTACCGTGGTGACAATAGTCAGTGCAGGCTCCTCGGAAAGGATTACCTGCAGTGTCGTATGGACAAGGAGCTTATGCTGAAGGATGATTTCAAGAACCTGGGATTTCAAGAGGAGGACTCACAGAAACAGTCGATACCGGGTACGCCGAGTGCGCCAGGTGGAGCATGACGAGAGCAATCGGTGATGCGCTGAATACGAAATGGGAAGGACAAATAAAGACAAAAGGCAGGTGATACAAGGATGCATATGTACGATATGAGCAATATGATACCCGCAGGTCGGTGAAAGTATGTATTGAAGACACGTTCACTCCTCTCTCCCAGTTATTTCTGTGACTCTCTCTTTGAAGGACGCACCTTGGCCTTTGATAGACTGCTGCTGTTTTCCGCCCCGGGATTCTCAGGAGTTATCTTCGGACCGACCCCCAACTCCTTCCTTACCAACTATCCGATACCCATACCCTATGCTGCTCCATACTGTCATGATAAGTACTTAAACCCCTCCTGAAGCCGCTGAACTGCCCATATATGCCAAGGAACCGATTGCCTACTGTTTGAATAGCGCCGTAACACCGCCAAATTCCGATATTGCCCCAGAATATCTTTCATCAACGGTCGTAGTTGATCTCGCGCGTAAAGGAGGTGAACCTGTAGAATGGTGAGTCAGCCACGGAAGCAGAGAGATGATAGCCCGAACATACCTGCACCCCTTCACATACGTCGCCTTCTGCTCTCCGTAGTAGATATGCACTCATCGCCGGATACTTCATCGCGCCTTCAGATTCACCCTCGCAAGGCCAAGGGACGCGATAATTCAGTATCATGCCCCACGTCTCATCGTCCTTGTATCCCAATCCCTCCTTCAAGGTCTGGTCCACACTTTTGTACTCACTAAAGTCCTCCGGATCGAATAGGTCATCTAACCTCAACGGTTGATCCCCGAACGTGCTCAACGCAAGGTTAGAATCCACGTCTACGCTTGCTAGAGTAAGGCTGTACGGAGAAGCTCCCTCGTTCGCGGTAGATAGGCGCAACCAGAAACTCATTTCATCCGTCGTCATGAAACCATGCTTCGCAACAACAACTCTCCAATGGATCTTCATCACGCTGATGATCTCCATCGTCTTTGTCCAGGCCTTTTGGTACGCCTCATGCCACCCCTTCGCACCCGGGTCCTCCAGATTGATTCGAAAGGCGTCGGCGAAAGTGTATTCGCCGTGTTCGTTGCACCAGGCAACGCAGAGCCATCTTCCATCCTCTGAAACCGCATATGCGACATGCAACATCATATTCTCGTGTAAGATCGACGGCGACCGATGCGTGGACAACCTGAAGTTGATTTGAGTTGGGACTGGATGCGCCAAGACCCATGGCTTTGCGACCGGTGATTTGGAGAAGACCTGTATGGTCACAGGTCAGCACAGCACGAGAACAAACAGAATACACTTACATCGAGAGCCTTCTGCTGCGTAAATCCAAGCCTCTCATACAATGCCAATGCCATCTGGAGGTACTCCCTCTGGTTCAACTTCCCTCTACATCCCCACTCGTCCCCCACCAACATCCTCATCGGCAACAAACTCACAGAAGTCCGCGGCATCTTATCTCCACCACTCTGATAAAGCTTCTCCATCTGTGCAAAACTCCCACACAGAGCTGCCGTAGCGGCGGGATTATTGAATGGGTTAACGATGTACACAACGAAGTGCGCACCACTATCTTGAGCAGCCGAGGAACGGAGCTGTCGACCTGTCAAACTCATCATGTTAGGATTGAAAATCACTTGAAAGGTTTGATGATACATACCAACGCCCAAAATCTTCGCATTCATCATCCTCCACGCACCCTCCCATTCACCCTCCTTCTCACTTCCGCCAAGGTTGACAGCAACCTTACTGCCCCCCATAAAAGCCCGATGCTTCCCCAACTTATTAAGCTCCCAAGTCCCTCTCATCCTGTTCAGGAAGGAATCGGCCGCATAGCTCATCGCCTCAGAACCGGGGTAAACAATGATAGCCGAAACGTTTCGCGGGCCGCCTAAAGGCGCAAGACCAATCGTGGTCCAGTACCGCTGTGCAAGGACCGAGTACTCGATCTTCTTCTCCTTGAACATCGTCGTCAACTTCGGAGGCGGGATCAAAAATAAATCCTTGCTCCCTTCCCCCAACGGCGCATCTTCCATCGTCACATCGCCGTCCACAACAGAATTCTTTCTTGCACTCCTCGGCACCGCCTTCGGCTTAAACCCCGTCTTCCCTCCCCCTCCTCCAACAGTAGATTCAGGCGGTACAGGGTCAGCGATCTCACTTAATCCCCTCGCCGTCAAAACCTCCGTCCCCTCAACCTCCCCAACCGCGCTCCTCAAAGCCTTGCACAACGTATTCCCCTTCGGAATAAAGCCATCGTCCGGCGATGGCAATGGAGGTACTTCATACCCAAAGAGCACATGTTCGACAAACACCTGTACAATCCCAGCTTTATCCTCGCTAATAACCCTCTGCGGTTCAGGATCGCCCATAAACCCGTCCCGAAATAAGTGATTGGAATCCCACTCCCACGCCATCCCCACCAACTCCGTCTCCGGATCAACCTCTTCCGGTGTTTCCGCAACCTCCGATGGCGGGGGCTTGACCAATACCTTCTCGAACGCCTCTTCCCACGGTCGTTTCCGCTGGACTGGCTGTGGTTCGTCTTCGTCGTCATCATAGCTGGTGGTGTCGGAAGAGGAGGATGAGGACGATTTGGGAGGAGCGTAATACCGTCCCCCAACTCCGTATTTCTTGTCGTTCTTTTCGACTTTGGCGGAGAACTTGACTGCCTCGAATCCCTTCGGTACCAAAACCTTGTTTTCCTTGCCTCGAGGTTCGCTGTTGACCTCGGCTGCGGCGCCGAGTATCCCGAGCGACTTAGGTTGCGGTGTGAGCACCCGTACATCTTTCGGATGAATCGGCGTCGCTGCAGGCGAATCATACTGCAGAATCCCCGCCGGGTATTGCGCCTCCCTCTGCTGCACCCTCGCTGGCTGCTGATCAACCTCCATCCTCTCCTCTATGTCCCCATCCCAACCCCTTTTGTCTCCTGGGGGCCCGGGCAGGACATGAGCCTCCCCTATCTCCGCATCTCTCGTATCCTCAATGCCCTCCATCACCTGATCTTGCACAGGTTCAGCGTAGGGCTCGTTCGCGGGTTTGTCGAAAAAGTCCCAATCAGCATCCGTAACACCCTGTCCGAACCCTCCTACCCCGTCATCGTCTTCGCCCCATAAATCATCTTCGTCGAGATCTGGTTCATCAAATTTCGCGTCCCAGAAGTCGAAGGAGTTTTCTTTTTTGCTTTTAGACACAGTTTGCTTGACGTCTTTCGGGTTCGGTGCTTCGACTGAGGCGGTTGAAGCAGCCGGAGTAGGGGCAGGTTGCGGTGATATCTGCGCCTGTGTTTGGATTTGCTGTTGTTGAATAGAGTGTACCCCAGGAAGATGCAACAACGCATCCGGCGGAGTCGGATACACAACCCCCACCGCACCCTCCTTCCTCCCCTTCGGCCCTACCATCTCCTCCTCCACATCCCCATTCTTCTCGCCCGATTCCATACCCAGTTTGAACTCACGACACATCCTCAACGCATCCATAATCGCGTCCTCTTTTTTCCATATTGTTAGGTCTTCTTTGGGGGGCGTTCGAGGTTCGTAGTCGGTGAAGACATGACGGGCGGGGACGACTTTCTCTAATCCATCGACCAAGACCTTGACTTCCGGCCAGTAGCGGTCGGCGATGGGGATGTGTGAGAGGACTTTGCATTCCCTCCCTGTAGGTGCGAGCCAACATCTCTCATGTGCCTCGACTGGATGGATATACCCACGACGATCATCACACAAACATCGCAACCACCTCCCCTTCTCCTCACCGTTCAACGCTACCAAGACACTCCCATCACCCAAAACCCTCGCCTCCAACCCACACAAAATCCATCTCCTCGCATTCACCACCCCCAACCCAGCCGTCGGATATAGTAGCGACGACCCGAGTGGGACAAATCCGTGGGATTGGGTGAGTTGGTGAGAGAGAAGGCCTTTGAGGGAGTTGAGAAACGCGGTGTGTGTCGTGGGTGGAATATGGGTTTGCGTATGCGGCGAGAGATGTTGAGGGCGGATAATAAATGCGCCTGAAGACGTTTCTGTTCCTCCTATCAGTCACCGTATATCTCTAGGAAGGGCATTTAGTCTCACCTTGGAGTTCATGTTCATGCACATCAATCTCCGGCCATACAGCTTCACCCGTAGGTGTCTTTCCCAAAGTATTGGCAAACACCCATAACTCCTCCCTCTCAACACTACACAACGCCCCTTGCTCCGTCCTCAACATCCATTCCGCTTTCCGTAACCTCAACTTGCTTGTCGAATCATATACGCGATACTTGATCTCTCCAACATTCGCCTATCACCATCTATCAGCCCGTGACCCCCGTGTATTGCGCACAAAGCTCAAGGGTACTCACAATTCGAAGGATATTCGAACTCAGCCCAGGGATCGGAATCGCTCCATACGGCGGATCCTCGTCAGATTCAACCATTTTCTGTACAGATCAGTCGCAAAGGCCTTCCATTCGTCTCGAGATTTTTACGTTTAACGTCGGTCGTAATTAAGGTGGGACATTGGCGACGTATGGGGATCGACGCTTCTGCCAGGCCGCGGCGAGGAGCTGCAGAGAACCCATACACCGTCGAGGACCTGCGAAAACACCAGAGATCAATTGCGACGGATCAGGGTGATTAAGAGGGACAGACAATGTCAGAGTCGTTCTTTGTTTCTGCGCCAGGGAAGGTCATTCTCTTCGGTGAACACTCCGTCGTTCACGGGAAGGTCCGTCTCACATTCTCCCCATCCTCCTTTATGTTTCCTCGGGACTAACCACCCCTATAGGCAGCAATCGCAGCAGCCGTCTCACTACGCTCATACCTCCTCGTTTCCTCAACCCCTGCGACGGGCGTGCCGAAGGTTACGCTTAACTTCGCCGACGTACACCTCCAACACTCGTGGGATATCGCTTCCCTACCATGGTCATCCGTCACCTCCAAAGGTGTGCCGTCTACCACCACCCCCATCTACCATGATGCTGATTGCTGTCAATAGACCCCCTAATCGTCCCGCACAACCTCGAACCAGTCCTCACCGCTGCTCTCGAACCCCATTTCGCAGACTTCGTCTCCTCCCCCTTCAAACACGCCGCAGCCTACGCATTCCTCTACCTCTTCCTCCACCTCGCATCCCCCTCCTCCGCATCCCTCGACATAACCTACACCCTCCGCTCAACCCTCCCAATCGGCGCAGGACTAGGTTCCTCAGCTTCGATTTCAGTCGCGATCGCAGCTGGTTTACTCCTCCAAAACACCCACATCACCCCACCAACACCCACAAAAGACCGAGGAACGGAGTTGAAATTGATCGACGCATGGTCCTTTATCGGGGAGAAATGTATTCATGGGACGCCCTCGGGGGTGGATAACGCCGTTGCTTCATCCGGCGGCGCAGTCGTTTTCCAACGCTCACTTTCCTCACCCACGACACCTCCGGCAATCACGAACATAACCACATTCCCCGCTCTACCACTGCTGCTAACAAACACCCGCGTAGCCAGACGAACAGCAGAACTCGTCGCGGGGGTGGGGAAGTTAACGGGTGCGTTACCGGATGTCGCTGGGCCGATACATGAGGCGATTCATGGGATTTCCGAGAAAGCTACGACGCTTTTGCTGTCACCGCCCTCTCAGCAGGAATTCGTCGAGGAATTATCTCAATTGGTTCGAATTAACCACGCCCTCCTCGACGCCCTCGGCGTCTCCCACCCCGCGCTCGAGAATGTCCGGAGACTCTCTTCCGAATTCGATGTCGGTGAGACGAAACTCACCGGTGCCGGAGGCGGGGGCTGCGCCATCACACTCTTAAAGCACGACGTACAAGAAGACAAGTTGAGGGCGTTGGAAGAGAGGTTGAGGGGGGAGGGGTTCGAGATGTATGAGGTTACGTTGGGTGGGAGTGGGGTTGGTGTGTTGAGAGAAAGCGGGGTGGAGGAAGCACAGTTTTTGGGGGCGGAGGGGAGGGATGGGGTTGAGGATTTGGTTGGGAGGGGGCGTGCGTGGGAGTTTTGGACTCAATAGAGGTATACGTAGTGATAGAGTGATATACCAACCTTTCCAATGCCAATGCTATTTTCCGTGACTACTCATACCCGCCACAACGTCTAAAAGTTATAGTACGGCATACGCGCCCTGAGCGGCTTATTCTCCAGCGGCACCCAAACCTTCTTATTCAACCTCTTCCTCTCCTTCTCCTCCGCCACTCTATCCAACGTAATCTTACTCTTAACAACAACCTTCATATGCGCCCTGTGATTAACCCTAATCGCAAACCTACCCCTACCCTTCGTCCACAACTTCTTCCTCTCAACACCCTTTCCGACCCATGCAGCGTCGACGTAGAGATCTTGTCCTTGGAGCGTCTTGTTTTGTTTGAGGAGCCTTTCACGGGCGGTGCGGAGGAGGTTGGCGATTTCGGGACCATGGCGTTTGAGGGAGAAGTCCATTTGGGCGATTGCGTGGTCGATGGGTTTACGCTGGATTTGACGGGCGAGGTCACCGAGCTTTCTGTATGAGGTTTCGAGGTCGGCAGTTTCGACTTTGGTCTGTGTGTGCTCCAATCGTTAGTCACCGATCACCCACTTTCAAAAAGAAGTATGGAACCATACCTGTGGCTCTTCAGCCTTGATCTGCTCCTTTGTCTTCTTATACACGACCGGCTTCTCCGCCTCCTCGCTCCTCGGCTCCGAGAACAAACTCGACAGACCCGCGAGGGTCTTATCCCTCAGCGCTGCGGTACTGGCAAACGTGCGGACCAGGGTGTGTGATGGTGTTGATAGTGGTAGACGGGCAAACATGACGGGCGATCTTCGTAATGAGAACATTTCTGCGATAGATTTGTTCGAGTCAGTGGAGTAGTTGGTTGTCCAGGAGGGCAAATAATTCGAGGGACGGTGGGGGGGGCCATGCAGGGGTGGAATCTTCGTTACACCTCCCAGTCGACCCGCGTGTGAAATCGCTATGTTTTCCAGGTTCTGTACCCGGGCGCCTCTGCCGGCTCGGCCAATCTTCTCGCATTCCTTCTTCACAGCCAGATCAGCGCCTCTACCAACCCATGCCTCTCTACTCCAAAGAGCTGGACTGAGCTTCAGACAATACGCCACTCACAGCTCCCTCCCCCGACCCCGTCTGTCCACTTCCAACTCCAGTCCCTCCAATACCACCTACATCACCTTCGCCCTCTCATTTTCCGCCCTAACGTCCTACGCCGCCTTCAAATACGACAACTCCTCCCTCAACCTCACCGCCACCGTCAACCGCCTCACTGGCCTCTCCCTCTCTTCTCAATCTCTCACACTGTTTGCGCTTATCGGCACGAACCTCGTGGTGTTCGCGGCCTGGCAGAATCCGGCGTTGAGAGCGAGGGTCATGCCGAGGTGGTTTTTGACTAGTGCAGGAAGTCATCCGGTGACGTTACTAACGAGTACGTTCTCGCATGCGGAGTTTTGGCATTTGGGTCTCAACATGGTCGGTCTCTATTCATTTGGTGGATCAAGTATGTCCCCTCCTCCCCACCTCTCTGCGTCCTCACTCCCTAACGTCTCGTGCCATAGTGATCACAGCCATGGGCGCACCCCACTTCACAGCCTTCTACCTCTCCTCCGGCGTCCTCGCCTCCCTCATCTCCCACCTCTTCCGTACCTCCTCCCTCCGCCTCGCCTCAGCCTCCACCCACACCTCCTCCCTCGGCGCCTCAGGCGCACTCTACTCCCTCCTCGCCCTCACGGCCTATTACTACCCCTCCACCTCCGTCTCCCTCCTCTTCGTTCCCTTCGTCGCGTTCCCGCTCAAGTTCTTCATGCCGGGCCTCATGGCCATGGATGTCGCGGGTATTTTGGGGAGGTGGGGGAGGTTCGATCATGTTGCGCATCTTGGGGGTGCGGTGGTTGGGTTTGGGTGGGCGATGATGGGGGTGCCGATGTGGTTGAGTGCGAAGAAGGAGGTTGTTAGGAGGAAGATTAAGGAGAGGAATGAGAGGGTTTGGAGGGGGGAGAGGTGGGAGTGAGGAGGATAGCTTGTTGGGAAAGGTGCGGTGTACGATGTAGTGGTATTTTGGGTAATGTGGATAGAATGTTCTTCTCATGTTACGGGTATCAAAGTGTCTACTGCGTCAACACCGACCCCATATCAGTCGTCCATTCGACCATGATATCGATCTTGATTCAGTTACTGTTGCTTAGAATTGCATCCGATTACATGCCTCGTAAGCTTCACATTGTGCAGCTACAGCTATTGATTGACCAGGACGGAGAGTCTGATTAAGGAACGCGGAGAGCCCGGTGAAGAAGCCACGACACCAGATGTGCCGGGCATACTTCAACGTACCCTCAGCCTGAAATCATCGAGGATTAGCAAAACAAAACGACGGTTCCAGTCCCCCAAGCATATCAAAAGTCCTAGAGACACGCGCATGCGTCAGAATACTTTCTGATGGTCATCGTTAACATGGGTATAATTCCGGGTTCTCACGCGTCGAATCGCAGCGATGGCCGAGCGGTCTAAGGCGTCGGATTCAAGCGTAATAAGCTTTCCCTAGCAGGAAATCCCGATCTCGAAAGAGGCGGGGGTTCAAATCCCCCTCGCTGCACATTTTTGTTTTTTGCTCGTTTGTCTGTGTTTTGTCCCATCGTCAATCGCAGCTCGTCTCAAATCAAGTAGGTATCCGGTCAGGCTTGAGAGAGTAGTAGTTCGACGGTGTCGCCAACATCAATTTCTGCTGTACCGTCGGAATCGATATCACGAATCAGATCCCTCTATCACAGGGCGAAGCCATTGCAGCTTCGGAAATGGTCTCGCGAGGTCAATAATGTCTTTTTTACTCAAATAAATCCGATTACGGGGGAAACTGAACATCATATCTCTGAGAGGCGGAGGTGAGCAGATAGCCAGTAGTGAAGGAGATCCTTCCTGGCGCCATAAACGCCTATCGAAACACCACGAAGCCTGATGCTCCGGAGATTCCTGCACAGGGTAAGCCATGAAACCTCCTCGTCTTGGAAAACGATATCCTCTCGATAGTGGAGGCGACAATGAGATTTCCAAAAAAAGACGAGGCGTGATGCCGAGCAAGTGGCTCGCAGCCCATGTTCTCAAGATGCAGTACCTGTAAATTGTCCTTTCCAAGTCTCAAAAAGAAACCTGTGACAGATCCGGTATCGTAACACGTCTCTTATCCAGTGTCCGTTATTGCTGTAATCGCGTTCATTTTGTGTTGGAGAACCGCTCAGGTGCCATATCTTTTATAGCATCAGCAAGGATTGGCGAGCACTCGTACGGCGGCGCATCAACGCCTGACGACAACCGCAGTTCGAGCTTGATAAGAATCCAACTCTGAAGAACAATGCCAATGTCCTTTGAAACTGTGTCTCCGTTCACATGGAGAGCCGAGAACGATTCGATGGGAAGCTGTTGCAGAAGAGCTATCCCTCCATCGTTCCTCAAGAAACATTGAAAAGAGATTTTCAGTCGCTAAGTCGGCGGCAGTTAGATAACGCCTTCCAGTGCTCTACACCTAATTGCATCAATGGCGAACACGGAATAGACCTATATGTATTCAGGTCAGCTTTTCCAAACCGTCTACCTGTTAAAAATATCGAAATCATGGCGAATCTGTCATAAAATGGTGCCTCTCCCGTCGCTGTAATTCGTCGTTCTCGACCAAGAACCCACAACTTTCACTAAAGTATGCACGGATCGCAGGAGAACGACTTTGACACTCAGGATTAGTACTGACGGGGGAATCCCACACCTCCAGCGATGCGCCTCTTGATATATTTCTGCTGATATTGGACGCTGCGCTTCCCGGTTGGAATAAGGAAACGCCTCCAACTTCTAGGCGAGACTGGTGGGTGATCCGGTCGACATTGCGACACTTTGGGTGGTGTATTCTTGAATGACGGTCCAACGGTTACTCAGGGATGAGTATGTTCAATTTACCGCCTTTCTCGCCAAAGGTTGTTCGATCAACCGTCACTTCGACACGATTGCAACTCCGCTACTTTGGCGGCGAGTCCAATTCGCCGATTCCCACCCTACCGTCGCTCGCCGTCGGCAACTCGGGCGAACTTTTGCAAAAGCACTGCATTCTATTGCGAAGTTGAGGGACAAGCCAGCTAGGAAGCTAGACATTCCGGGCACTGGGCCGTTAGTTCATCAGCTTCACGTCAACGCGTTGTACCCGGACTATGCTCCGATGAATATGAGGCCAAAAAGAAACTCAGCGACCTCGTTTACAGGGCTTTTGCTTAGATGCCAAATCTTAGCTCTTTGAGGTAAGGGCAATCCTCATTCTTGTCTGCCTCTTGTTAACACATATTCCGTTGGCGTTCAAATCCTTCTTTATCCCAAAGAGCGTATAGGACCCTCGCCAACAACTGTCGCAATTTGTCAGCTCTCAGTTTTGACTTCTGGCGAAAGCCACAGAACGTTGGTACAGACTTTGGTGTTTCCAATATGATTTACGCGCAAACGGACGTTATCACAGGTATTGTCTGCCTTTGGAACGCTAAGATATGCTAAGATTGGGTAGCGGGAGTATCAAGTCAATGCGTGAGAACAATGGTTGTTGGGGTGGGAAACGAAAAAAGGGCGGGAGTGAACCGTGGTATCCTTGTATATGAGATAGTATTTGATAAGTTCACTGTCATTTACGTTGCAGGCGTTGCCGGTGGAAAAGCTCTACAGGGATCTCCGCCGAAGAGAAGGAAAAAGTGCTCCCTGACCGAGGATTGAACTCGGGTCCCGCGCGAGCCTGATGACAGGCGCGTATACTAGCCACTATACTATCAAGGATGGTTGAGAACTAAAAATCGTCCGTTATTTATGCAGCACACACATGAACAAGATGCGTAAAACCATGATTTGATATTTTTTTCGCCGTGGCATCCTGGGCACCCTCCATAGAACGTCCCTTCAAGTGTCTCAAGCTGAACTTGTCATGTATAGACAGAAAGAGATACGTTATGTATAGTCACGTCGTGGGAGTTTCACGGTTTCCCCGGACTCCAACCCTGACTTGCGCGAGTCGTCGCAGCAGGCCCGAAAAGTCCGCGCCAGCGTGTAACGTAGACATCCAGACTCTACCAGCCGAGATTGTCGCCAATTTACCATGTCGGCCCTTCTACGGATGGCAAGAATCATTCCAGGTGCCAGGTCATCATCATGTCAATACATGCGATCTACCTCCTGTGCGTCCCAATTGCGATTCATCGCAGCGCAGGCATACCCTGATCGACTTGACTATTCGGCAGTCGAATCAAAATGGCTTGCCAAATGGAAGGCGGAGAAAGAGCAAAACATCAAGGATACTGCTACCAGTAAAAAGGACAAGTTCTATGTGCTCAGTATGTTCCCTTATCCAAGTGGGACATTACATTTGGGACACTTGCGAGTATACACAATCAGTGATGTGATCTCTCGGTTCCGAAAGATGCAAGGGTTTAATGTGAGCGAACCAGTTCTCTTTCAATGTTTATGATTCTTATATATCATTCAGGTCCTTCATCCAATGGGCTGGGATGCTTTCGGCCTTCCCGCCGAGAACGCAGCCATTGAACGCGGTATCTCGCCAGCCGAATGGACCGTCCAGAATATCGAGAAGATGCGTGGCCAGTTTCAGATGATGCTCGCCGATTTCGATTGGGAAAACGAAGTTACCACTTGTAGTCCAGACTACTACCGCTGGACACAAGATCTCTTCTTGCGGATGCACGAAGCAGGCTTGGTATACCGGAAGGCAGCGGTGGTCAACTGGGACCCGATCGACATGACCGTCCTTGCGAACGAGCAGGTTGATGCTGAGGGACGTTCGTGGAGATCTGGTGCAGTTGTCGAGAAAAAGAAGCTGGAACAGTGGTTCGTCAAAATCACAGATTTTGCAGAGCCTCTCCTGAGGGATTTGGAGACATTGGAGGGCTGGCCACAGAGAGTGAAAACCATGCAGAAGAACTGGATTGGAAAGTCTTCTGGGGCAGAGTTCACGTTTCCTATCAACGCGCCTGATCTTCCACCAATACAGATCTTCACCTCTCGTCCCGATACTCTCATGGGTGTGCAATTTCTTGCGGTTTCAGCATCACATCCGGTCGTCAAGCACGTCAAAGACACTACCCAGGATGCTGCCCTACAAGCTTTTCTCGAGAAGATGCCGACATTGCCGGAGGACAGCAAAGCGGGTTTCAAGCTTCCCGGAATCACAGCCAAGCACCCTCTGGACGACACTCTAGACATACCAATCTACGTCGCACCGTATGTGTTGTCAGACTACGGCCACGGAGCGGTGATGGGTGTCCCCGGTCACGATGTTCGCGACAACAGGTTCTGGAAAGAGAACGAGCCAGAGACACAAATCAATTACGTCATCAAAACCGAGGAGCTCACCGAAGGTGTCCCTACAGGTAAGAGTGGGGTGTTGACTGAAGCGAGCGGAAAGTTTTCATCGATGACGGTTAAGGAGGGCGGTAAAGCGATCGTCGCAGCAGCTCAAGCAAAGGGTTTGGGAAAGTGGAGTAAGCAGTGGAGATTACGTGACTGGTTGATTAGTCGACAGAGATACTGGGGTGCGCCTATCCCGATGATTCACTGTGGTTCTTGCGGTGTTGTGCCGGTGCCGAGGGAGGAACTGCCTGTGAAGTTACCTTTGGATATCGAGCTGACCGGACGGGGTGGGTCACCGTTGGGTAAACACGAGGACTTCTTGAATTGTAAGTGTCCCAAGTGTGGTGGTGCAGCGAAGCGGGATACAGATACCATGGATACCTTCGTTGATTCAAGCTGGTACTATATGCGATATGTCGACCCCAAGAACACCCGAGCACCGTTCTCGTATGAGAAGGGAAGCAGAATGTTACCAGTGGAAGTGTACATTGGTGGAGTCGAGCATGCTATTCTTCACTTGCTGTACTCCCGTTTCTTCGCAAAGTTCACCGCGAAGAGTGGTATGTGGGATGGTGGAGACACTGCGGAGCCTTTCAAGAGATTGATCACCCAGGGCATGGTACATGGAAAGACCTTTACTGATCCTGTCACTGGACGGTTCCTCAAGCCGGATGAGGTTGATTTGACTGACCCGAAGGTACCCAGATTGGTGTCAGACCAGACGAAGACGCCAAACATCTCTTTCGAGAAGATGTCCAAGTCGAAATATAACGGAGTTGACCCCGAAGCTACGATTAAGGCCTATGGAGCTGATTGCACAAGAGCACACATCCTATTTACAGCACCTGTATCCGATGTGCTCGAGTGGGACGAGGATAAGATCGTTGGAATGCAAAGGTGGCTGTCACGGGTCTGGCGTGTCGTTACCTCTGCCGCAACCAGACTGGAGGACAAGAACGTACCAGCTTTACCAGCACTTCACGAGATGACCCCCGAAGAGAAGAAGGCGTGGAGGGACGTTCATCTTACTATCAAGATGGTTACTGAATCCATGAGTACAACGTACAGTTTGAATACGGTGGTATCTGATTTGATCAAGTTGACGAACGCGCTCACGGCGTATACGTCAATAGGAGAGGCGTTACAGTACCATGCCGCGGTGACATTGGTCAAGCTTCTTGCTCCCATTGCGCCGGCTACAGCGGAGGAGAGTTGGACAGTTCTCGGCAAGGGAGCTACGGGAGGTATTTTCTCACAGCCGTGGCCGGAATTCAATGAAACGGCAACCAAGAGCAATGATATGAAGGTTGTACTACAAGTCAATGGAAAGATGAGGAAGGTTATTGAAGTCGACAGGGTGATGAGCGAGGACGAGATTAAGGAACTTTGCTGGAAGGAAGGAGCGCAATGGCTGGTCAGGCGCGACGGACAACAGCCGAAGAAGGTGATCATCGCGAATGGCGGAAGGATCGCAAACTTTGTTTTTTGATACTTGAATTTCATGTCATCAACTACCGATAGATAGATGAACACACTCAAGACATAATGAGAGCAAATGAACCAAGAAATTCGAAAGGACAAAACCGGATCAACGATTAGACATCCGAAATCCGCATTGTATTTTGACCAAGAGCTCCAACGCCGAGAGAGCACTTTTGCAACCCATTAACACCTAGAAGTTACAAAAATGACCGAATTTATTGAAGGGTGACTCAAAACAACAACAGACCGCACTTAAGCCTTGAGGGCGAACTGTAGAAAAACACAACCATTAGCAACTGCACAACCTTTCAAACCATAAGAGGTAAAACTAACCTTGCGCTGAGGGAAGTGAATCAACTTCTTCTGCGCCTTCTCAGTAGTCAACCTGGACTCGTGCTTGTTCAAAGCCCTCCTCAAAGCCCTAGTCTTCTTGGCCCTCAAGTCAAGAGGAGCGTACTTCTTGGTAGAGTAGAAGATCTTCAACTGCTCGCGCTGGGTCTGGGTAATGACGGTGTTGATGCGAGCAATGTCCTTGCGAACAGCGGTGATCTTGGTGAGCTTGGAGGCGGCGGCACCAGCGATCTTCTGAACGCGGAGGGAAGCGAGCTCCTGCTTGGCCTCCTCGAGCTGCTTGGTGAGCTCAGCCTTGGTCTTGTTGCGGAGTTCGTATGCCTTAACCTATTAGATGAGGTTTGTTAGTTATCTTCGATCCATACGAGAGAGATGGATTCCGTCGTTGCTGTTTGATTTGAACGCGAGGTGTTGGGATGCTGTTGGGTGCATTTGGTCGACGGACATGAACCTTTCCTTCCTCGACCCACAAACTCCTCAGTTTCGATGATCGCACTCTCCGAGACGCTTCCCTCATCCATATCGCCATCCCAGCATCTCATTCCACCCCATTTTCACGCCCGATTCCCCCCAAGTCCGGCGCGATGCCCCTTCCCACCGTCGTACCTCCCAAACCCCATCCACCCATCCATCACTCCCAACACCCGATCCACCACATTACCACCGTCCGAACGACCGCAACAGCATTTCCGAGAGCGTATCAAACAGCAGCGACGTCGATTTACGTACCATCTTGAAGGATTTGTCGATCACGAGTCTCCTTCGCTGCACCGCGGTCGAGTCGTGAATTTGCTGCTTGGAGGTGTGGCGCGTGCTGCACAGATGCAGGAGCTGCCTTGCAATTTAAAACACTTCGCATTAATAAAGTCAATGGAGCTGCGTATAATTATGTTGGGTATAAATACCTACCGTCATCCTGACTCAATGATCCTTCCCCTCTACATTCGCGATCGTGCAAAGCTAGTAGCAGTGGACTCATCTACCTATGATTCTAACTGCCGCTCTCTTCGGAGGCTTTCCTTCCAGGCCTTGTGTGCGGCATCGTACTCCTCTTTCTGTTGGGCATACATCTTGACGTAGGGCTCCTTCTCCGCATCACTGAGCTTACGCCAGGCCTCACCAAGAAGTTTAGCGCCCACGCCGCCGGGCATGTGTTTGTCAATACCATACTCCGCAGACAACTTCGCGTCAGTCCTTACCGCCTTCGAAAAAAGGATAAACGATGTCGTAGGCTTCTTACCCTCGTAAACGGGCGCGGCTTCGGGTTGGTGGGCGGGACCATCAGGAATAATCTTCTGCAGATTGTGCGCTTCGCGACGCGCGTTCTCGGCGGCCAATTCCTCGGGCGTCATGGAGTCGATAAACGCGCGCATTTCCTCGTCGTATTTCTCGATTCCGGCGCGAGCTTTTCTGTAGAGCCGGAGCTGCCTGGAGCGGGGCAGGGGTTCGAGCCAGCCAGCAGCGGTGTCGAGTTTGGCTTTGTCCAGGATCTTGACACGGGCGGTATCGCTGTGGCCTTCGTCAGACCTCAAGATTGCGTGAGCCCAGGCGTAGTCGGGAGCCCGGGGGAGAGGCGTAGGGGGGGGACCGGAGGTACGCTTGCTGTGTTTGGTGCGTGAGAAGAGGCTGTTGACGGGGACGCACACCCGGTGGACGGAGATGCGGGAGACGTTGCGAACGATGGACATGATGGTTGATACCTAAGAGACGAAGAAGGATGTTAGACGTTTGAAGACGATGATGCTTCGCGTACTCATGCGATCGCGTCGTCGCGTACGCGAGACTCGCCCCCCCTTGACGATAAGCTCTCACCCGCGGCCGCAGCCCCCTGGCAATTGCAACACCCTGCACCTCCCCGGACTTGCCCTCGAGAAACCACCAAAAAAACACAGGCCATCCGCATACATTCCCTACAATGGCTCGCTACAGATCACGGAGCCGTACTCCAGACTCGGCATCAAAACGGCACCGTTCCTCCTATGATTCCCATTCCCGTGATCGCGAGCGCGAATACGACTCCCGTGGTTCCAGTGACAGGAGGCGAGACCGGGATCGGGACTATACCCACGACGACCGCGATAAAAGACGAGACCGGGACCGCTACGATGGCGGGGAGAGATCCCATGATGACAGGAGGCAGAGAGACAGGTACGATGACCGTAGGTACCGTGCCTCGGAGCGCGACCACCGCGACAGGGATAGGGATCGAGACAGGCGGAGGGATTACGATCGCGATGATAGGGGCTCGAGGACGGAGAGGAAGAGCGTGGAGCCTTCGCGTACGACGCCGCTGCGGGCTGAACCTGAACTACAGTCACAGTCTCCGAAACCCACGTCGACGACGACGGCGACGGCAGTTACAGTTACGCCAACGCCCCCGGTTGAGGATGAGAAAATCCGGCAACGGCGTGAACGACTCGAGGCTTGGAAGAAGAAGAAGGCTGAGGAGGCTGCTGCCGCAATTATGACAACAACTACAGCCACAACAATAGCTACGACTTCAGTTCAGGCTGAGACGAAGGCACAGGCAAAGACTACTCCGACCGTGGTGAACTTAGCGCCCGAGTCCGCTGCTCCACCTTCTCGTTCAGACCAGGTGAAAGCTAACTTTGCTCCAGTTGCTCAGATACGATCTACAGGTGTGTATTTACCCCCGTCCTCCTTCTTTGCATCCGTTAACATCGGCTCTCCAGGTTCCGCAATCGCCTCCCAAGGCCTCTCCGGCTTCGGTATCGGCATGGGTCTCAGTGGCGCGAAGAAGTCGAGTGGGGTGAAGGGACTGTCCTTTGATGACGACGAAGGATCGACAAGGAAACTCGCGAAATTACCGAGCTTTGACTTAGGTGAGGAAGATTCTAAGCCTGACGTTTTCGCTGAGCAAGCTGAAGGTGAAGAGATGGAAGATGTTGAACAAACACAAACACCCCCAAGGCCCGCTCAGGAAGCGGAGGAGGAGGATGAAGATATTGATCCGTTGGATGCGTTCATGAATGGATTGGAAACGAAAAAGGCTGTGTCCGCGCCCGAGACAAGGGGTGAGGCGATTATGTCAGATGACGACGGCGCAGGCACCTCGAGTGACGACGCGCTCGAAGCAGAAGATATCCTTGCCATGGCAGCAAAGAAGGCAAAGAAGAAGGAACTACCAAATATCGACCACTCCACCATCGATTACGAACCCTTCCGTAAAGAATTCTACGTCGAGCCCGCGGAGTTACGCGAGATGACTGAGGAGGAAGTCGATGAGCTTAGGCTCGAGTTGGATGGGATTAAGATTCGGGGTGTTGAGTGTCCGAAGCCTGTGCAAAAGTGGTCACAGTGTGGGCTGAGTGCTGCTGTGTTGGAGGTTATCACAAGGCTTGGGTATGAGAAGCCTACCTCCATTCAAGCGCAGGCGATCCCGGCGATTATGTCTGGTCGCGATGTTATCGGTGTCGCGAAAACTGGATCAGGTAAGACAGTCGCGTTTTTGTTACCGATGTTTCGGCACATCAAGGATCAGAGGCCGCATGAGGCGAGTGAGGGACCGATTGGGATCGTGATGACCCCGACACGGGAGTTGGCTGTGCAGATTCATCGGGAGTGTAAGCCGTTCTTGAAAGCTCTTGGGTTGAGAGCTGTTTGTGCGTATGGTGGGAGTCCGATTAAAGACCAGATTGCTGATTTGAAGAGGGGTGCTGAGATCATTGTTTGTACGCCTGGACGGATGATTGATTTGCTTGGGGCAAACGCTGGACGTGTCACGAATCTTCGACGGGCTACGTATCTAGTTCTTGACGAAGCTGATCGGATGTTTGATATGGGTTTCGAGCCGCAGGTGATGAAGATTGTGAATAACGTCCGACCACAACGACAAACTATCTTATTCTCGGCGACGTTCCCGAAACAGATGGAGGCGCTTGCGAGGAAGATTTTGCAGCATAGGCCTGTTGAGATTACGGTTGGTGCGCGCTCTGTTGTCGCGCCGGAGATTACGCAGATCGTTGAGGTGAGGGACGAAGACACAAAGTTTTTCCGGACGTTGGAGCTACTGGGCAATCTCTACAACGAGGATGAGGATGCTCGTACTCTGATTTTCGTGGAAAAGCAGGAGAGTGCGGATCTCTTGCTCGGGGATTTGATGAAGCGGGGATATCCCTGCATGTCCATCCATGGTGGTAAGGATCAGGTTGATCGTGATTCTGCGATTCTTGATTTTAAGAACGGGGTTGTGCCGATTTTGGTTGCTACGTCTGTTGCTGCACGCGGGTTGGATGTGAAACAGTTGAAGTTGGTCATCAACTACGATTGCCCAAACCACATGGAAGACTACGTCCACCGTGTCGGTCGAACTGGTCGTGCGGGGAATACGGGAACGGCCGTAACGTTCATTACCCCCTCCCAAGACCGTTACGCCGTCGACATTGCCAAAGCCCTCCGTCTCTCCAAATCACCGATCCCAGCCGAGGTCAAATCCCTCGCCGACCAATTCGGCGAGAAAGTCAAAGCTGGGACCATCAAAGCCGCTGGATCTGGGAGTGGGTTTGGAGGGAAGGGGTTGGAAAGGTTCGATAAGGAGAGGGATATGTTGCGGAAGATGCAGAGAAAGGTGTATGGGGAGGAAGATGGGGAGGAGGAGGAGGGGGAGGAGGATGAGGAGACGAAGAAGAGGGTTGAGGCGGCTGCTACTGTAAGTGGTGGAGTGCCTGCTGAGACGGCGGAGACACCGGTGGCGGCGACGACCAATGCTAACGAGGTTGTTCTTAACGCGCCTGCTTCTGCGCCTGGCGTTGCTTCTGGTGCCGCTGGTGGTGGTACGGGTGCTGCTCCTGCGGCGACCGCTGACGGCAAGGCAACCAAGAACGCCGCTTTGGACAAAGCACTGGCAGCCATCGCAAACATCAATTCTCGCCTCAAATCCGCCGGCCAGCTGCGCTCCACAACCGCCATCGATCCCAAAGCCACAATCGCCCCCGGCGCTCTTCTTCCCCCGGACGCAGGCGAATACCGCGCCATCCTCGAAATCAATGACTTTCCCCAGAAAGCCCGCTGGGCCGTCACCAACCGCACAAACATCGCAAAGGTGTTGGACGCGACGGGCGTGTCTATCACGACGAAGGGACAGTTGGTTCCGAAAGGCGAGAGTGCACCGGTTGGCAGTAGTAAGTTGTATCTACTTGTTGAGGGTGAGAGTCAGATTAGTGTTGATGGGGCGATGAAGGAGTTGAAGAGGTTGTTGACGGAGGGGACGGTTGCTGCTATTGAGAATGAGGGGAGGGGAGGGCCTACGGGGAGGTATTCTGTGTTGTAAGCGTGCATATGATTGTAAGCGTAATCTTTCCCTCATTTGAAATGTGTGACTCGGATAGGAGTAGCTATAGGTTTTGTCATTTCATACTTTTGTTGATTTGCTTCAATACGACTTGATATCCTACAATTCCTCCCTCAATCTCATACAGTATGCGTATGTGTGTAACCTACAAACTTCGACCTTACTTCTTCTGCACGGCCTTCGCCAGGTCGGACAATGCCTCCTTCCTCTTGAACCTCGCGTCCTCGATCACGCCAGCATCTGCATCGCTAGAGAACAATCCAGACCACTGAATGAAGGTACTACCCTCGTCCTTGCCTGTGGTGATGGCAAAGAGACGGATGGTGGCGAGAGCAGAGGTGAAGGTAAGAGAAGGCTCAGCGGTGATGATGGAGTAGGTGATGAAGTGGTCAATAGCTATGGTAACACTGTTAGTATACCAATGTCGATCGAGGTGAAGGGGAACGGCGTACTAGAGTGCTCCTCCTGCTTCACCTCCCAAACCGTTCCATCCTTAAACTCCCACTTGTAGATATCAGTCTCCTCCGAGGTATCCTTAACCACGGACGAAGACTTGAGCGCGGACCAGAAATCGGCGAATTTGCCGAGTTTGATGAGGTGCCAGACGGAGGCGAGGGGAGCGGGGATGACGGCTGATTCGGTGATTCCAGTGGAGGTTGGGATTGGCATTTTTATTTGTTGGTATGGGTTGGTACTTGATGGAGAATTGTTTGTGGTTTGGATTTCTGGTGGTGATGTCACCCGAGCAATCCTACCGCAGCGAACGGCGTGGGAGACGAGACGACATGTTTGCTGAACTGCGACCGTTCAAGCAATTGCAACTGGAAATCTGGCGAGATTGCGATTGATCCGCTCTGTGGCAGTCATCCTGTATCTTATTGCTTGGCTCTTGATCTACCGACGCTCCGAAACACCCTCCATGAAGACGCACATTACACCCCGTCCTCCCGTCATGGCCAGTGCCCTCTCCGACGATGAAATCGACTACTCGAACTGGCATCACACTCTCTTCTCCTCCACCCCGTCCTTTATCGAGCATGCGACCTTCAAAGACCTCGTCTACCCCGGCACCCACGACTCAGGCGCTTACGGCTCCGCCCTCCTCACCCATACAGCAGACAACAAACCATTCCCAATGGCTCTCCCCTACCTCGGCTCGAAGGGCGTAGAGAAGTTAAGAAATGCCGTGCAGGGTGTCACCAGAATGCAGGAGAGTGATGTTACAAGTCAGTTGAAGCATGGGGCGCGGTATCTGGATCTACGGTTTGCGACGCCGAAGGGGAAGGGAGAGGGGGAGCTCTGGCTCACACATGCCTTTGCGTATAACCCCGCGGAGGAAGTCTTGAGAGAGATCGCTTCTTTTGTACAGGAGCATCCGGGAGAGATCTTGATCTTTCTTTGTCGAAACGCGTACCCACAGAATACCCAAACACCCCAAATCACCTCCCTCGTCCTCAAACATCTGGGCGCATACGCACACCCGAATCTTTGCAATAACTCAACGTACACCTCTCTGGCACACATGCTCTCTACGAACCAAAGAGTCATCCTAGCATGGGAGACAGCTCCCTCGGTGCCATATGACAAGGAAGTACCCGAGGTAGTCGAGGATAAACAATGGTGGCGTGCTGAGCAACTATTCAGCTGGACATGGCTCCCAAACAACGGCGACTGGAAACCACGAACTGCATACATGGTCACACATGCACGCACCTGGGAGCACGAATATGGACAATGGAACCCACGGGTAGATTTACATATCCACTCTGAGCTCGACGAGGAAGAAGAAGGAGAGGTAAAGAGGAGATTGAGGAATGGGAAGAAGATATTGATCTGGAGTCATCAAATATCGTATTTGGGGAGTAGAGCTATACCGGCTCAGTTGATGCCATGGAATAATGGACGGACGTTTAGGGAGTTGGCGAGGAGTTACAACAATGTCTTCCCACAGCACTTCCCATTTTCAGAGCGAGAAGCAGAGAGACATGAAGCGACGGAAGAAGCATTGCTGCCGGTACCGGAAGATGTGAGAGACAATATTGGCATCATACATGTTGATTTTCATAACGAGGTGTACAAGGACTTGATGGCCTTTACCATATCCTCAAACAAACGAAGAATGAAGGCTATACTGAGTGAAAAACGTTTGAGTGGGCCATACGAATAGCCATAAAGAGGGTATCAAATAAACTACGTTCCCCATAAAATAAATCCCTAGTCCTACAATCCTCCCAATTATCTTAAATCCCTGACAGATCAATTCTCACGAGCCTACAAATGCCCATCCTCTACCTTCTTCGCATACTCTCCCCTCGTAACCCCCAAATGCACAATCCGACTCCCAGAACTAGCGACCGGATCAACCTCCTTCCCAACAACAATCCCGTCCTCCGGCGCCCGGATCTCATCCAACAATTGTCCGAAAATCGAATGAATCGTCGCGATGACCTCGTCTTTCCGCACCCACGTATTGACTTCTGGGATCACAGAGAGGATCCCACCCTTTTGGCAGAAAATCCAGTAAGAGCGGTCGCAGATTACGGGTTCGTATTCGGGGACGGAGTGGTCTTCGGGTATCATGCCGAGGTTTGACATTATGTTTGTGACGCCGAGGAGCGCGGACTTGACGAAGCGTTTCTGGAAGACACCGGGGTTGCCGATCTGTAACCCAAAGTTAGCCCACGATACAAACGCGACGACATACTTTTCGAGTTACCTCAACAGTTATCGATGGGATGTCATGAATTGTCATCGCACTCCCCCTCAGACTCCCATCCGGACTCGTATTATGCACGATAATCTGCGGGTTCTGCAACGTTGCCATTCGCCTCGTCCTCGGATCCAGCATATTCGCACGCACGTACAAACTGTTGACACGTCCCTTACTCGCGGTATGTAAATCAATCAAATAATCAAACTTCCGCACGATCCGATCGAGCAAGGCATACGCATATTGCTGCGGGGTACTCCCATCGAGCTTACCGGGCATGAGTCGGTTAAGGTCTTGTCCGTCGAATCCGCGTTGGGAAGCGAGGAAACCTTGGACGTTCGCGACGGGGACTGCGACGACGGTACCGTGGAGTTGTTCCGGGTCGAGTTCGGTTTGGAAGAGACGGTGGATGACACGGACACCATTGACCTCGTTTCCGTGGAGTGCGGAGGTCATACCCACGATTGGGCCGGGTCTCACGCCGCGTGCGATCAGGACGGGGACTTGGAGTGGTTTGAGCGAATCTTCGATGAGGGTGATCCAAATTTTCGTCACGCGCCCATACGGAACGGAATTCAAGTCCAGCTCGGAATACGTCTGGATATTCGATTCCGAGATCGAGAGATCTTGCATGTCGTTGATTGGCAAGGTCGCGGATGGAGCCGGGGGCGCATGACGACGCCAGAGCTCGCGGGCACGGGAGAGGAGCATTTCGTCTTTCTCGGTAGTCGAGAATTTGAATTTCATGACCATGCGCCACATGTCCTTTCCTTCTGGCCCCATACTGTAGCGGCGTTGTGCGAGGTGGATAGGTTGTTGAGCTTGGTAGCTGCCCATCCCAGGAGGGCTATTGGTGCGTTTCATCGAGTCGTTGCCAACCGAGAATGAGATTGATCCGGAGCGAACGGGAGGTGAGTTAGCGGTCGACATCAAGGCATCATGCGTGGGACCCGATGCGACAGCTTTCGCAGGCACCCCGCTCGACTGCTGTCGAAAATGCTTATCGAACTTCTTTAAGATCTTGTGAAATCCCGTAACATTCGCCTGCGTGAACTCGATCAACTCTTCAATTAGATTTATCCTCCCTTGCAGCCTCTCCCTCCACTGCTTCTGCTCCTCCTCAGTCATGGCATTATGCCAAGTAGCATTCAGATCATCGAGTTCTTCTTCGGAGTCGGCTTCAACATCATGGAAGCGGTCGTCGACTTTTTCGAGTTCGTCGGAAAGGAGGTCCCGAAATTCATCGACGATTTTAGAGGCGAGGTCAGGATCGTAAGTTGAGGAAGCGAGTTTGATGGATTGTTGTTTGATGTACTGTACAGCAGACTCGTGAATACTACGTCAAGCAACAGTCTCAAAGCCATGTGTACCTGTTTTAACTTCTTGTAATCCTATACTCTCAATTAGCACAGCATTCATCACCAGATCACACCCCCACCCACGGGCACAGGCAGAACTCACGATATAATACTCCGACCACTGAGGCACAGCCTTACGCAGCGCCAACTGCTTTCCAAACTACACACCCGCATCAGATCAACCATCCTCATCAACTGTATGCTGTGTGAATTACCTTCATGATTGGGTTTGTGTTTGCAACTGGTGTGGGGGTGTCAGTGAGGGACTTTGGACGACGGCGCACTGGAGCACCCGCGCAACGTCCAACTCCACTTACGCTTTATCGATGGGACTCCGGGAACCAGGGGTAATGGAATTGCAGCATGGGGATTTAAACTTGGGAAAGGCGAGATTGGAAGGCAGTTTGGAAATGGGTGAGAGAAGTAGGCAAAATGATTGTCAATTGCTCCATCAATATGCTAATCACACGCATCGAGGTAGCTGTAGGCACGGAGGAAGTCAAGGAGAACTCTATAAGATACAACATTAGCACTCGCTCGTACAAGTACTCAGATACCACGGTTAATGGCATAGACAACTCCAAATGTTCAGGTTAACGAGATTCAAAAGTTTGTTCCACACGAGTTATTCAGTTGAAGAAATTCAATGGATAATTTGGTGTTCATCTTTTTGGAGTTGATCGCAGAGCACGTCACTTGCAATGCTCTGCTGTTCCATGCCAGTGACCGTAGACTAGGATCGACTTACCGTTCACAGGATTGAGGATGGTTGAGTGTGTTGGTTGTTGGTTGAGGGTGTTGGGGGGAGGAAAAAGAGTCGCGCCTAAAAACACCCCCTCACGTGACGCCCCAAAAAAGTCCCACACTTCCAAGAAAAGTAACCAACCGCGCGTAACGTTGACATCCCCAGTCAACCCCCACCCCCCCTCGAGCTCTATTGCCAAGATGCCTCCCTTCCCGGGCTCGATCCTCGTCAATTCATCCGGAAAAGCACTCAAACGAAAGCGCTCTTCCGCCTCCGCCTCCGTGTCCTCTGCTCCCACTCCCAATCATTCCGCACCCGCCAGCACCGACAACGGTCGTGTCCGCGTTCAAGGTGGCATCGAATCCCTAAAATGGAAAAGGGTCAGATTGCCAGATCGTCTCGACGACATGGAAGGTCTCATGGGATTGGAAGAGATCGACGGTGTGGATATTGAGATGGAGGAGATCGGGGGTGGTGCGAAGAAGTTGAACCTGTTTATGAAGGCCGCAAAGAAGGCGGAAGAGAAGAAGCAGGCTAAAGAAGCAAAGCAGGAGAAGGAGGATGGAGGTGAGGAGCAGGATGTGGACACGGTGGATGAGGCATCGGCACCCAAGGCGGAAGAGGAGGAAGCGGCACCAGCACCAAAATCCAAGAAGCAAAAGCAGAAGAAGGAAAAGAAGGAGAAGAAACCCAAAACTCCCGTCGTCGCCGAAGCCCTCGCAACAGAAGAATCAACCTTCGCAGGCCTCGACGAATCCGAAGAAGACGTCGACCTCCCCAACTGGTCCGAGTTCTCCCTCTCCCAGCCCCTTCTCCGCGCCCTCCACTCTTTCAACTTCTCCGCTCCCACCGATATTCAAGAACTCGCACTCCCACATCTGCTCTCCGGCCGGGACCTAATCGGTAAAGCCGCAACCGGATCCGGAAAGACCCTGGCATTCGCATTGCCGATTATTGAGCATATCATCTCGACTGGAGTGAGGGAGAAGACCCAAGCGTTGATCTTGGCGCCGACGAGAGAGTTGGCGCATCAGATTGCGAAGGCTGTAGAGGGTTTGGCGAAGTTTTCTGCTGTGAACGTGATTACCGTTACGGGTGGTTTGGCAGTACAGAAACAGCAGCGTCTTCTCGCCAAGAACCCGGATATCGTCGTTGCTACCCCGGGACGTTTGTACGAGGTTATGAGGGATGGACATGGACTGATTGCTGCGTTGAAGGGGATCAAGTTCTTGGTCTTGGATGAGGCGGATAGGTTGTTGCAGGAGGGGCACTTTAAGGAAGTCGAGGAGATCTTGGAATTGATTGGTGGAGGTGAGGAGAGCGACGGTCGACAAACGCTTGTTTTCTCCGCGACGTTCCAGAAAGATTTGCAGCAGAAGTTGGGATCGAAGAAGGGGTTCAAATTGAAGAACAAGAAGTTCTCGGATGCGAAGGTGATGGATAACAGTGATACGATGGCATACCTCCTACAGCGCCTCAAGTTCCGGGAGGATGCGCCGGAGTTCGTGGATGCAAACCCGGATGACGCTGTTGCTAAGAAAATCCATGAGGGAATCATCGAATGCGGTGCTCAAGAGAAGGATTTGTATCTCTACTACTTCCTCCTCCGATACCCCGGCCGCACACTCGTCTTCGTCAACAACATCGATGCCGTGCGACGTATCCACACCCTCCTCTCCGAACTCGGCGTCCACATCGTCCGTCTCGACTCCAACCTCATGCAAAAACAGCGATTGAAGGCCTTGGAGCGGTTTAAGGCGACGGCAAAGTGCGTCATGATCGCATCTGATGTCGCGGCGCGTGGATTGGATATCCCGGGCGTACAGCATGTCATCCATTACCACCTTCCCCGTGCTGCGGATATGTACGTTCACCGCTCTGGTCGTACGGCGCGTGGTGCTGGGAATGAGGGTGTTGCGATTATTTTGTGTGCACCCGATGAAGTCGGGAATTTGAGGAAGATGATCGCCAAGTTGGATAAGAATGTGGAGGAAATGGCGACGTTCCCGATTGATCGGCAACTTGTTGCGAAGCTGAAGCCGAGGATTACGTTGGCGAAGAAGATTACGGAGGGGGATAAGGCACAATCCAAGAAGGGTCACGAAGACGCTTGGTTGAAGCAAGCGGCCGAGGACTTGGGTGTCGACATCGATGAGGCCATCTCCGTCCCCGACAAGAAAATCAACTCCAAGTCCGCACGTGCGGCGATGAAAGTTGAACTGGTGGAGTTGCTGAAACAACCTGTGAGAGGCGGGTTCTCGACAAAGTACTTGACGAGTGGAGAGGTCAATTTGGCGCAGCAGTTGTTGGATGGGAAAAGTCATTCCATGTTTCTGGGGAAGGATGTTTCTACTGCTTTGGGAGATATTCCGAGGAAGAAGAAGGAGTGAACATGTACTATTATCACTTAGACCGGCGTTTGGGTATGTGATATTTATAGCATCCAGTATTTCTACCTTGGTGAATCCGTCCAATTGACCGTCCTTCACGTAGGCGGCCTACCTTATCGACCCCGGTGTTGCTGTACCCGCGCCACACTCTACGTACATGCTCCCCAGGCCAGTCGACCCAGACACCGAGAAGACCGACAATTCGTAGACGATAGAGGAATTGTCATGGGCGCATGTCTAAGTCTCTGTGGGATTGGAAAGGAGGCACATAACGATGAGGTTCGAAGGATCTCGCCACATTCCGCAACAGCGGTACTGACAGATTGTTCGAACAGCCCAATGAGCGGAGTGCATTGCTAGGAGCGGATGCGCTGAATCAACGGTATGGCTGTTCAGTGAGGCGCTATGTGCTGTGCTGGACGACTTACTGACGACGCGTGTACAGGAATGTGATCGCACAACCCCCACCACCACAAGCGGATCCGCATGATATCGTTCGGGAACAAGAAGCCCTGTCCCGAATTGTAGCAAAAACTGCAGAGTCAGTAGCCGAACATTTCCGCCACTTTACAACGGCTAATATGAGCTTCTGACAGTAATTTGATCGATATCTTTGCTACGAATGCGGCGGGTGCGACGGAGCGGATAGGAGGTGGTGCGCCTTCAGGGGGCGTACGGGATCTGCAGTACGTCGAAGTCTATCTATTCCGTCGTTGGTTGCTGTGCTAACTGTACGATGACAGAAAATCAATGAAACAGGGCCCGTTTACGCCGAAACGACCGAAGATCCTACCAGATAACACAATAGCGGCGGCAGACAAGGCATTATTGGAGAAACTCGTGCGAGGGGCGGAGGAGGCGATGAAGGTTGTTATGCATGTGGAGGATGTTGGGCCAGTCGTGGTGAGCTTGGATTTGGAGGGCGAGAATGGGGTATGACAGATGTAAGAAGGAGAGAGGGGGATAAGGCACGCATATAATTGCGGAGAGCAGATCGGTTTGGTGGTTTTGAGGAATGCAAGAACATTACTAGGGCAATGATGGATAAGACGGCATTTGGGGGTAATACGCATCAACATCGCGACGTACGGTCGCATGCCGGCGTTACCGGCGTAATTGCGGCGAGGCAAGTAGAAGGCATCGCTAGGATCATGGGCTATGACACATAAAAATGAGATGTTACCTTAACCCAATACGAAGGACTGCCTATGCAGATGGCCAGGGAAGCTTAAATGGTTCACGCGCGATAACGTTCACATGCTTCAACTGTTCGATCTCGAGATGTTTTACGTCATCCGCGTACCGAGAGACGCGACTAAGCCAATCTCGAGGACGACTACCAGCATTCACTCGCAAGAGTCAATTCGGAAAACAGCATACATCCCAACAAATCGCAATGCCAACCCCTCCACCTCGTCCTCCGAACTGTACCCCCTCTCTCCTCCCATTCTCACCCTTCAAGAAGGGTACGATCCCCGTCGGCACGGCACCACACACTACCCCCATCGCTTACGAAATTCATGGCCATGGACCGGTCCATATCGTTTTGCTCATGGGCTTCATATCCTCTATGTACGCCTGGCGCCCACAAATCCAGTATTTCGCCCATGAGGAGGGTAGGGGAGAGAGTACAGTGTGTGTATTCTGGATAACCGGGGGTATGGATTTAGTGGCAAGCCGTGGGGGTGGTATAGTACGGCGATTTTTGCGAGGGATGTGGTGGAGGTGCTAGAGGGGTTGGGGTGGGTTGAGCCGAAGTCCGTGCATGTTGTTGGTGTCTCAATGGGTTCGTCCACCCGCCGTCAACAGACAGTACAAACGCTGATATTTGGGTGATGTTAGGCGGTATGATCTCACTGGAATTGGCCGCACTGATAGCAGACCGAATCGCATCCCTCTGCCTCACCAGTACCTGCGCGAAACTTATACAGCCGGTCCGTACCCGGACTGAAGCCGTCACCAACTGGATCTCGATTCTGACCCCAAAGCTCAGTCATCGATCCCAAGCTGAACACGCCGCTGATTCGATCTTCCCGCGGAAATGGTTAAAAGACCACGACCACAGATACCCGGAATACAAGACGAATCGGGAGAGGGTTGTGCAGAGTATGGTTACGCGGTTTACGTTTCTCCCGAAACAGCCGACGCATGCGACACTTTCACAAGGACTTGCGTGTCTATCCCATAACGTCCCCACCTCGAACCTCAGAGCCATCGCTGAGGCAATCCCCGATATTGTCGCCTGTACCGGGACGGACGACCAACTCATCAACCCAATTTGTACGGATTTGCTGATTGAAGGTTTCGGGGGCGAGAGAGAAGGCGTGAGGAAGATTATCTTTGAAGGAGCGGGGCATGCGGTGCTTGAGGAGAGGGATGAAGAGTATAACAAGACGGTGGAGGAGCTGATTGAAAGGGCGGAAAACAGGTATGGAAGGAGCGTCGAATGAGTCTGGAGGTAGACATTCAGGGATGTGGAAGACGGGCTCTTGCTGTGGAGGTAGTGTAGCTTTCAGGCAAGCGTGGGAATTTGCCGTTGTTTTTGCATGATACAGGTCAGACTTAGGGGCAAAGCTTATGTCATTGCATTTAGGAAGGCAGAGCCGCATAGCAACAGTATTGGACGAATACATAAATGTTTAAAGTTGCCAACAGCTCTGTAGGTATCTGGTGTTCGTACCCTCTGAAATCCAATCGATGAGTCCACAAAAGCCCAAGAAAGCAAGGAGACAGGGTCTCGTTAGGTTTCAAGAAGCACAGAGAATGAATCCAAGGGATGGTGCGTTGCAGCTATTTGAAACCTACCCGTAACACAATTAGAATACAAAACGCAAAACGGGATTTTTCAAGATGTGACATCTACCAAAATTGGAAAAGGAGACATCAACCATCCTTGATAGTATAGTGGCTAGTATACGCGCCTGTCATCAGGCTCGCGCGGGACCCGAGTTCAATCCTCGGTCAGGGAGCACTTTTTCTTTTTGGCCCTTTGACATTTGCAAAGCTGAGGAAGACTGCAAGAATGGACAGACAGAGGGGTGGGATAAGACTGAGGGGCGTCGTTGGAATTATCCCCCTACAGGAAGCCTACCTGACCCTCTTTGACCCGCAACGTTGTTAGCATTACAGACATAACAACCTAGCCCATGCGCATGCCAGCATCGTTCTCCGCCGTTTGTACAGTTCGTGATTTACGGATAACCCAGAACCAACATATGTAACTTTCATATGGACAACCGCAAACACCGCGGACCCGGACGTTATGCCGATCGATATTGATGCAGGGTCCCCTTCGGTTCCGCCGAACGCCGGCACGCGCACTTTATCGATAATTATAACCAACACCCTCCGTTTTCTCAGCTGTAATCCATCGGTGAAGTCCGCATTCAGGGTAATGAGTGAGTCGACCAACTCCTCGATCTTCGTGCTCCTCGATGGCAAGGAAGCCTACCTCCGCATCACGGAGGACTGCCTTGTTCTCCAATACGCACACGAAGGTACGGTTGTCTTTCCGCTGTCGAAAGACAAGGACTGACGATGATGCAGACGAACCAAGACAGTGTAAGACCTTCCAAATATGTCCGCCGTCGATATGTATATGTCGATCCAAGAAGCGGACGAGACCGAGGGCAGTGATGTTACGAGACATCCTCTGGGCGGAAGCAAGCAATGGCACTCTGGAAATCAACTACGCGAAGCACACGTCAAAGACTGAGGTCGCACCAGCGACTAGGAAGTATCAACTCATGTTCGACAACCAAAGCGGGGCGCAAATGTGGATCGAACAGCTGCTGGAAGCGAGTTACGGGAAGTCCCTCCAACGCAAGCGCCTGAAAGTCCTCATCAACCCCTTCTCTGGTCCCGGCAACGCAAATACAGTCTGGAAAATCCACGCCAACCCCCTCTTTCTTGCCGCACACGTCACTCTCTCCATAACCCATACGAAATACAGAGAACACGCCATCACTATCGCTGAAGAGCTGGATATCGACGCTTACGATGCAATTGTCTGTGTTTCTGGTGATGGGTTACCGCATGAGGTGTTCAATGGGTTAGCGAAGAGGAAGGATGCGAGGAAGGCATTGAAGGTGCCGGTGGTGTTACTGCCGGGTGGGTCGGGGAATGGGATGACCATGTCGACGTTTGGGACGCCTACGGTATCTCACGCCGCACTAGCAATGATCAAGGGTATCTATACCCCGATTGATCTCTGTTCCGTTACGCAGGGATCGAAACGGACGTTATCCTTCTTGACACAGAGTTTTGGGATTATCGCGGATTGTGATTTGGGGACGGAAGGATTGAGGTGGGCTGGGGGACAGAGGTTTGTGATGGGGTTGGTGCAGAGGGTGTTGGGGTTGAAGGTGTATCCGTGTGATGTTGCGGTGAAAATCATTGATTCGGATAAAGATACAATCAAGCGGAAGATCAAGTACGACGTCCGGAAGCAGTTCAACACGAAGGAGGATGGGGACGCGACCGAAGGCATACCCGACCTGGCGTTCGGTACAGTACAAGACCCGGTGCCAAGTGATTGGACGGTCGTCAAATACGAGGACCTAACGAATTTCTACGCCGGGAAATGTCCATGGGTGAGTATGGATTCCTGCTTCTTCCCCGCCGCAATAACCGACGACGGCCTCCTCGACCTCGTCATCGTCCGCGCCCCAAAATCCCATCAATCGTCCGTCTCCGCCGACGGCTCCCACTCCGCACTCCTCCCACCCCCAGCTGGAAGGTGGCAGAGTATCAAATACCTCACAGCAACAGAAGAAGGCGGAAAGCATTTCAATATGGATTGTGTTAGTTATTTGAAGGTTGCTGGGTTTAGGTTGACGCCAAGGAAGAGGGAGGGGTATGTTAGTATTGATGGGGAGCCGATTTTGCATGAGGCGTTTCAGGTTGAGGTTCATCAGGCGTTGGGGGCGACGTTGACTGTTGATGGGAAGTTTTATCAGGGACATTCGCAGACTTGGCCGTAGACGGTCACTTTGGTAGATTTCTGGCTAGCTAATATGGTCATGCTCGTTTGGGTATGCTGAAAGTTTTCGAGTCATGCATTTGTTCTCCTTCCTTATTCCTGAATACCAGCCCACTCCTCGCCGTCATCACCATCGTCGTCACTGTCATTGTCCAACCAGTTGTCTGAATCCTCCTCCGCATCCTCGAGCCCCATTTTAGCGTCCAATCCCAGCGTGCTCACGTATCCCCACTTCTCTAACCGTCCGTCCCTAAGCACATTCTCCTCGGCCCGTTTTCTTACCAACTTGGTAGGTGAGTCGGTATACAGTGCCTCAAACGGCTTCACCAACGCACCGATCGGCAACTCCTCTCCTGACTCCGCGTATGTCTCAGCCGGGACGATCTTATCCAGTTCGTCGAGGTAAATTTCGGTGATGTGATACCGCAATCCATTCGGCATCTTTTGGTCTTTGGGGTGCAGAGATCCCTCTGACAGGATCCTGATATACTCCTCAACCAACCCTTCATTCCACTTCTCGCTCTGTAGCAGCTTAAACGCAGCCGCCACAAATCTCCTCACCAACATATAAAATTTATCCATCCTCAACACATCCAATCCAGGCCACTCCCTACACATCGTTTCCCAGAAAACTTCGAGGAACAACATGGCGTTTTCCCGTCGAACCTTGGCGACGAGGGATGCGAGGTCTTCTGCGAGGCGTTGTTGAGTTCGTGGACGGTCGGACATCCAGAAGCAGTAGAAGAGACCTTTCCAGAGTTTTAGGAGGTCTTTTTTGGAGATGTCTTTCTTTGCCGACAAGAATTGAGAGAGCGATGCGACGGCGGCATCACGGGTTGGCCTGTCTATATGTCGATTGGTCAGTACGAGTAGCCACGAATCAGAGAAAGCAGATCATACCATTCGCAGCAAGCTTCTTGACAAACGACGAGTTCGCAGCAGCAGACATATTGATCTTATTGTTCTTTCTGGTGTTTACCCTTTCTCCCACGTCCCGCCAAAAAAGTTCGTACCAAGTTCGTACCCCAGGCACTGCTCTGCACCGCCACTCAACCACAAACACCAAACCAAGCGAAGCATATATTTGCGATGGTTCATCATGAGGACGTAGACACTGTTCCAGAGGTTGGGCTTGTGCGGAAAGTGCAGTGGCGGGATGCAAAGACCGGGGATGAGGCACGGAAGGGATCACTCTCTGATCCCAGATCAGACTCATCTGCCATTCGAGTAACATCACCATACTGCTCCTCCTACCTCCGGCCTGGCTCAACCTTCACCGGGACTCAACAATCCGGCCGTTCCTCCTACGAAGTCACCGTCCAAATCCACTCCGTCAACATGCGCTCAGCCCGTCTAAACGGAACCCTCTCCATCGCGAACCTCACAGCCGAGAACCCGTTCCTGACGACCTTTTTCGAGGGCGAGATTATCGATGGGAATGAGTATCGGTTTAGTACGGGGGATAGATGGGGCGCGAGCGAGAAGATTGATATGCAGCATTGGTCGAGGTTTGCGTCGTTCAGGGCGATGAAGAAGGCGATGAAGAGGGACTCGACGATTGATTTGGGTCATTGGAGTACGCGTGGGCATGTGTATATGAGATGGAAGGAGTGTTTTTTGTATAATGAGCCGAATGTGGAGCATATCGATGGCGCAAGCTTCGCAGGGTTCTATTATATTTGTTTTGAGCAGGGGACCGGGGTGTTAAGTGGGTTGTACTACCATCAGAATTCGGAGATGTTCCAGCAGCTGGGTAATTCTCGCACACGAAAGGTTGCTTGCCTATGCTAATGCGAGAGTTACAGAACTTCGACCGAAAATCCTAGCAGGATCACATTCACCAGCATTTCCGTCGTTCGAGTTTCGGTGAGGCAACATTGGAGAAAATCGGAAGCATTGTTATGGAGTCACGGCGTTTCTTTATTATTTAATCATATAATACCCAGCTATCAGGACGGTTCACAGGAGACAGGGGAAGTCAGAACATGTTACACATCATATAAGAGCTATTAGTGGGTATATTCTGCTGTATAGTATGCAATGTCCGCCAAAACCTGTCCCTCATACTCCCCCAAAGTGAACCACCAGCAACCTATGCAAGCTTATGAATATTCTCCTCATCCTTAACCGCCGCCAAATCATCCTTCTCCTCCAACTCCTTCCACCACTTGAACAAAAACGTCTCACAAATCAACTTGAACCACGGCGTGAACTTCCCTTCGTACGCCGGGTCCACAAACATGCTCTGCATCTCTTCTCTGGAGACGTATTTCACGTCCTTGATCTCGTTGGGGTTGGCGGCGTGGGTAACGGGTACGCGGATGAAGAGGATGTAATCGATTTCGTGTTCGCCCCAGAGGCCGTCGGAGGGGGCGACGTAGTGGATGCGGGTGAGGTAGGTGAATTTGTCGATGGGGACTTGGGAGGCAGGAATACCGAGCTCCTGGTCCAACTTCCTGATCGCAGCGCGTTTGACGCCCAATACTGCCGATGGGAGATCCGATCCAGTCTCGCTGGGGATAGAGAGAGGGTGCGAACAACACGTATTCGTCCACATCCCCGGAAACGTGATCTTCTCATCCGCGCGCTGCTGCAACAACAGCCTATTCTCCTCATCGAACAAAAACACCGAGAATGCGCGGTGGAGGAGGTTGTTGTTGATGTTTTCCATCAAGTGACAGGTCTTTTTCGAGGCGGAGCCGAGGGGTTTGTCGTTTTCGTCGATGACGATGCAGACTTCTTCCATGAGCTTTACTTGTTCTGGGTCGTAGGTGTCAGAGTCCAGAGAGATTGAGGCAGAGGCGTTGGAGAGGGCCATGCTGGTTCAATCCCGAGGGGGGGTGGGGGTGTCGAGAGGCCGATGGATCCAGTTTACAGTTCAGGTAAATAAAGGTTAACGTTGCCACACCAAAGCACGCCACACTGAAATTCTGGATACAGACTTCTAAATTTAGACACTCTTCACCCATCAAAACGCCTGTTATTTCGCCTTCAACGACCTCCAAAGCAGTCAACTCGTCGAGGAACTTAAAGGCAAAATGAAGCTCAATACCCACGCTATGCGTTACCTCACGAACGAGGACTTCCGCGTCCTCACCGCCGTCGAAATGGGATCGAAGAACCACGAGGTCGTGCCTACACCTTTGATTACACAGATTGCGGGTCTGAGAGGTGGAGCAGGTGTCGCTAGGATGATTTCTACACTCGCGAAAACGAACTTGATCGCCAAAGTCCCCAACGCGAAATACGATGGATACAGACTGACATATGGTGGCTACGATTATTTGGCCATGAAGGCATTCTCGAAGAAGGGAGCGATTTACAGTACCGGAAACCAAATCGGTGTCGGGAAGGAGTCAGATGTTTACGTCGTCGCCTCAGAGACAGGCGAACAACGAATTCTCAAACTCCATCGCCTGGGCCGAATTTCCTTCCGCACAATCAAGCAAAATCGCGACTACATGCAGAATCGAAAGAGTGCGTCATGGATGTACATGTCCCGTCTATCTGCGGAGAAGGAGTATACCTTCATGAAGATCCTATACGAAAACAACTTCCCGGTACCGAAACCGATTGAGCAGAATAGGCATTGTATCGTGATGGAGTTGATTGATGCTTTCCCTCTAAGGGGTATCGAGGTCGTTGAGGATCCAGAGAAGTTGTATTCGGATCTCATGGCGCTCATCGTGAGACTCGGCCGCGCGGGCCTAATCCACGGCGACTACAACGAGTTCAACATCCTCGTCTACCCCTCCGGCCAACCCATTCTCATTGATTTCCCACAAATGCTCTCAATCGACCACCAGAATGCGGAGGAGTACTTCGATCGCGACGTCGATTGTATCATTACGTTTTTTGAGCGCAAGTTTGGATATGTGGGTGGTGAGAGACCGGATTTTGAGAAGGATGTTAGGGAGAAGAGGAGTGGGGATTTGGATGTACAGGTTGCGGCGAGTGGGTTTACGAAGAAGAAGTGGAGAGAGCTGGACGCTTACCGCGCGGAGTTCTTGAGTGACAGCGACAGCGAAGATGACTCGGAGGAAGACTCGGAGGAGGAATCGGATGAGGAGGAATCCGGATCCGAGCAAGAGGAGGAAGGATCAGCACAAGAGTCCGAGGAGGAGGAGGACGAAAACAAAGAAAAGAGCGCGGAGCAGGATTCAGATTTCGAGGACGACCTCAGCGCATCCGAGCTCGACTTCAAGAAGGCAACACTATCATAACCTTCCCCTACATAACCAAAGCAAATTACAAGATCAAGATCATTCATTGCCTTACTGTTTCGGAGAGTCTTCCGCATCCAGTCACTGTGATAAAGTTTGGGACTTTGACTGTGAAAACGTTCACTTCCCACGGCATTAATGAACAGAAGACAATTGACCACAGTGATAGACGGCCGTGCCACACACAGAATCGATGATAGCAAACAACATGTTTTCCCACTAAAGCATATAGCAAAAGTCACCCACAAACTACAATCGTACACATATAAGGGCCAACCGCAAAGGAATCGAACAAATAACAACCCAACTTGCAGAAGTAAAAGCCACGAACAAACACAAACACAAATACACAATCTTTCAATGACCTCACTCACAAATATTTCTCAATCAACCTTCCCACTTCATCGACTTCAACGTCATCCTTCGTCTCCGCCGGTTCTACGAGGGAAGTCTCAAAACCGGAGTCATTGGGTTCCTGGATGTAGGCGTGCGAAGCGTGATACGGAGGATGGATGGGCGAAAAGACGGGTGGGTACATCCCGTTGGGTAAGAGGGGGGAGTCAGGGTTTTCTTGACCAGCCGCGCCGAGGGTAGGGACTGAAATGCCGAATGTAGCCAATGTACCCGGATCGAGACCTAGCTCCTGGAGGTCGCTGAGGCTAGCCCTGCCGGTCAACCTAACATATCAAAGTTAGCATCGTGTCTCCACGATTGAACGCAAGTTACCGTACACGTTGAACTCGCGAGCCCTCCAGATGCGACGTCTAGCAGTAGTTGCCTTCAACCTCTTCTGAGAAGCAGAGTCTAAAGTAAAACGTCAGTAGACTTCTTCAACGATGGAGAGCAATATCACATACCTGCGTAGCGGACTTGAAGAGGAAGATCAGACCCAGGGATCTGAGCTCCATTGAACTTCTCAATGATCATCTCAGCAGACTCCTTGTCGGCCATACGCGCAAATCCAACTCCACGAGACTGGTTGTCGGTGTCACGAAGGATTCTGTTCGAGATAACCTGGTAAGGTGCGAACAATTCCTCGAGATCACGCTCGTGCATATCAGCGGGGAGGTTGGAAAGGTACAAGTTGGTGCTGCCGGGATCCGATAGGTTCTTGAGACGCGTACTGAAGCTTTCCTTGGCAAATGAGACCTGGTAGCCGACTTGCATCATCCCAGCGATGCAGTTGATGGCTTCGTCTTCCGTGTCGAACATGGCAAACCCGAAACCCTTGCACATCCCGTTTTGGTTTTGGTCGAGGATGGCTTTGGAGGAGATGACGCGACCGAACTTTCCGACAATGGTATGGAGCATGTCATCAGTAATGTCCGGGGGAAGACCACGGACATACACGTTAGTGCCACCGCTGGGGTTGTACAACGCGGCCTCCAATGCAGTTTGAGCACTCGCCGGAGTGCCGTTCGGGTTGGTCGCAAAGAAGGAAACCACCGGAGGCGGAATCGGCGGCGGGGAAGCCAACGCCGCAGCGATTCGGGCGTGCTGAGCCGGAGTGGGCATCTTGACAGCGTGCTGCTCGTGGCTGGAGGCATCGCTGGGCGACACAGGAACCTGAGGCATCATACCCGGAGTTGCATGCATGAAGCGAACCCCACCGTTGGAGGAGGCAACATACGCGGCAGCAGCAGCTTGAATAGCAGCTTGCTGTTGAGGACTGAGCGGGAACTGCGGGCTTCCGGGGGTAGGCGGCTGCATCATGGCAGCGCCAGGGGGAGTCCATAAAGTACGGCCTCCCACGTTCATCCCCGGACCCTGAACCTGAGGTGCAATGAGCACACTGGCAGGAACATTGGGCGGACGACGCTGTTGAATACCAGCAGGAGGCCCGGGCATAAGAGGCGAAGGAGGTCCACCATTCATACGCCCTCCAGGAGGTACATTAGGGTTGCTAACGAGATACCACGGCAAACTGTCCTTCCTGACAGGCGGTATTCCGAATCCTCCAATGGGACTTTGATTGAATGCGTTCACGGCACCACCACGACCACCAGGTCCAGACTTCCATCCGGGGCCACGAGGACCAAGAGTAGGCGACGGACCCGGAGGACCCATGAATTGCTGAGGAGGCATCATGGGCGGAGTCGGGAACATAGGCGTGCCAGGTCCGGACGGAGCGAATGTATAGACCGGAGGCGAGAACGGAGTAGGGAAAGACGGAGAAGCTCCAGGAGAGGGGTAGTAGGCTCCACCGTGCGGACCAGGACCAGGATCGTTGGTGTTGATGAACGCCAACGGAGGAGGTTGGTGGACCCCTGGGTGAGAGGTAGAGAACCCAGCACGCGGGTGACGAGGAGAAGCAGCAGCAGGGGAGGAGCCATACTCAGTCGCCTCGGGCGTAGCCTCCTGAGCCATACTCGCATCCGTTGGGACAGAAGTCGACTTGAACGACGGAGTTGAAGGGGTGATTGGGATAGCGTTTGTGGAAGCTGGGCGTTGGGGAGTGTTGAGGGAGTCACCCAAGCTGCCCGTGGAAGAAGACGAGGACCCGTCCTTTGCCTTGACTGAACTGAGGGAGGAAACGCTATTGCTTGAGCGATGTGTGTTGGTATGAACCGGGGCCGGAGAGGCGACGGTATCGGAGGTTGGCGGCGTAATTACGTCCGTCATATTGATATCGAGTGGTATAGATGGTAAACCTATTATATGCTAACGTTAGCAAGCAATCAGGGGGTGTATGCTGACCCAACCTTACCGTATGTATTGTACAGGAGATGAATGCTAGACCAGAGATATCGAACTCAATGCTGCCGAAGAAGATAAACCGAACTGTTAAAGCACCGAAACACCAATCGAGGAGGTCGAGAGGATGCACGACGCTGGAAACGATACAAGAAGTTCCCTTTGCAAGCGAAAGCAAGGAAGAATTGGGCGACAAGACTGGGAGTCAAGGCGTACCACCAGGAGGTTGGAAGGTAGACGATAACTTCTCAAACCTGTTGACGGGTATTTGGGAGTTTGGGTAAAATAGGTGGAGAGCAGAAGTAGAGACCGGCGGAGTGCTGGGTTATATGCGGTTGACCAACGCGGTGGGTTGAGAGGAGGCCTGAGCTCTGATTAGAGTTGTTGCAGGGGGTTGATGCTTCAGTGTGCTACGTGAGCGGACCAAAGAGTTCAGAGCAGGGCAGCGAATAAATTGATCAACCGAATAGCATGTGAAAACCTATCTCCTTTTTGTTTGCAGGCCTTCGATATCGTATACTGACGAAAGCCGGTCAATTGGGTCTGAGCGACATGGATGATGGGCTTGGAAGCCGAGGCCTAAGAGGCAGCTCCTCCGGTTACGAGCCGCACTTATAATGACCATGCTGCGAGACCTTGCCAACCGCAAACACCATCGGGAGCAGCTACTGCCAGGAGCGTTTCGGACGACCAGCGCTCCCGTAGGACCCTCGCGGTCCCCTCCCCTCCCCTCCTCCCTGCCCAGCTGCCCGGGGGAAGCAACCAACCCAGCCAGGGTCGAAACAAAGCTGGAATCCTTCAGGTCTCAGTAACCGCAATCGTCAATCAGGACTCTTTCACGTGGTCCAACAGGCCACGTCGACCAACCGCGGGTGTGCCCCGAGCCTCCTACCCTATGTACGAATCGACCGGCCACCGACGCATACGAGACATGTGGCCCGCCCGCTTAGCAAGCTCACACGGCAAAGGGGCCATATACATAATCCGTTATTTTTGTTGAATTTGCTAGATAAACAATCAATCTCTGTATTGTTGACTACCTGTCAAACATCAATCGCTGTTGTGGTGTTCAACGTTACAGGGCCCAGATCCGCCAACCCCACATACCGGCAGTTACGTTCGTTGGCTGTTCCCACTCAGCCGCCGTTGACCATGGCTCCTGATGCAGAGACGGACGCGGCAAAGGTCGTTACGGGAGCGCGATTGAAGAACCAGAGCCGGGTAGGGCACTCCGTTATGTCTGTGTTACGCTTGCTGACCTCTTCGTAGTCCATTGCAACCGAATCGCCATGGCACTCCATAGCAGAGCAAATCCGAAAGCGCCGTCAGAACGAGTTACGTCGAGACAATTTTGCAGTTTCTGTAGACCTTCCAAACCCTCTCAGCCCCCTGAACGGCACGGAAAATGGCAGTACGGCGAATGATTTCTTGGTGGACCCCGAAGCTTCCAATGTCCAGGTGGACATGACCATTGATGACTACTTTGCCAAGGGTTTCGAAGCTCTAACGTCTGAGTTGTTAGCCCGTTCGTCCAAGTCAACAGAAGGAACCATACCGTCGCCCGTTGTTGAAGAAGACAACGATAAGTTTAAGGTCATCACCGATCCGAGGCCTTATCAAATGGAGCTGTTCGAGAGAGCTAAGGAGGGGAATATCATTGCTGTACTGGACACAGGAAGTGGGAAGACAATGATTGCATGTCTCCTTCTCAAGCACATTCTCACCGTGGAACGGGAACGCCGTACTGCAAACCCCGAAACACCCAAGCGTCTTGCTTTCTTTCTCGTCGACTCTGTCCCGCTTGTCTTTCAGCAGCATGCGGTCCTACAAGCCAACACACCTTTCGATATTGCTAAGTTTGTCGGCGAGATGGGTACGGATTTGTGGTCAGAGTCACAGTGGCGCAAGATATTCTCTGAGGTTGATGCCGTTGTGTTGACGGCTGAAATCCTTCACAATTGCCTCGTGCATGGTTTCATTCACATGCGCGAAGTCTCGCTCCTCGTCTTCGACGAATGTCACCGAGCGAAGAAGCAGCACGTCTTCGCCCGTATCATGCGGACCTTTTATCACGATACAGCGACAACGCCTGTCGAGGAACGGCCTAAAGTGATGGGAATGACGGCGAGTCCAATCGAGGGAACAACCAAGGCGAATTTTAGCAAAGTTGCGGAAGAGCTGGAAGAGACTCTCGATGCACAGATTGTGACAGCGATGAACTTGAGCTCTGTCGCGAGTTTGGCACAGGTGGCCAACAGACCTAAGGAAGTCAAGGTTCTTTACAAAGGCTTGGGAGGCATCGCACGACAGCCCCAATTATTTGTCGTCGATCGAACCGTATTGACGCCGCTCTATAGGGCGCTTTACAAGGTCGCCAGTACGGTCGGCATCCTCAAGAGAGCGTTCGATTCATCCGCAATCATGTATCACATCCTCGGCCCTTGGTGTGCGGACAGACTCTGGGCATACATTCTCTCCGAACTCGAATTCAAGCTCGATAATATGTCAAAGTTCGACCGGTTCGTCGATCCGGAAGGCTACCAGAGGGAAAGGATTGCGATTTCGCATGCAAACGACATGATCAACAACTGGTCTTTTACGAAGCCTGTGATTACCGGCAATCGGGAAGTTGATGAGATGATGTTTTCAAACAAGATATTGGTGCTGTTGGATATCCTCGGGGGGCTGTATGAGGATAATCCAGAGGGGCACTGCATCGTGTTCGTTGAGCGCCGGAGCACAGCGCATTCTCTCTTCTTGCTCCTCAAAGAGCTCGATGACCCTCGATTGGCACCAATCCGCCCAGAGTTCATCGTAGGTCACGGAAGCACGGGCGAAGGCGACGTCGCAATGAAATACAAGAAGCAAAATCATGTCATTCGTCAGTTCAGGAAAAGCCGGGTAAATCTCCTCATCGCGACTAGTGTCGCTGAAGAAGGCCTTGACCTCCCAGCATGCGACTCCATCGTCCGCTTTGATCCATGCGGGACAATGATCCGTTATATTCAGTCGCGTGGCCGTGCAAGGCGGGGAGAGTCAATCTATGTGGATATGGTTGACTCGGTACTTGGAGCGGCTGGTATTCCGGATTTCAGGGGCGCTGAGCAGGTCATGAGGAGTTTCTGTTCGAGTTTGCCGGAGGATAGGCTATTGGGACGGGATGTTGACGACGATGACGAGGATGACATGGCGTTGAGTGAGATCTACCATGTCGAACCGAGTACTGGGGCCAAGCTGTCACCGCACGGTGCAGTGAGCGTGGTGTATCATTACTGCTCCAGGTTGCCAGGAGACGCCTTCACCACCAATGCTCCGATCTTCCAGATTACTGGTGAACGTCAGGCGTACCGGTGCTCTATTAAGTTCCCCGTCAATTCTGCTGTGCATGACATTGTGGGAGAAGTTCAGCCAAACAAACCACGCGCCAAGCAAATGGCTGCCTTCGCTGCTTGTATCGAGCTGAGGAAGCGTGGTGGGCTTGATGAGCGCCTTGTGCCGATTCGAGAGAACCTCGAGAAGATTGTGGATGTGGATGACGAGGGCATGCAAGTTGGCACAGCCAAGGCATTGAGATCCTATACAATGAAAACACCTGACTTTTGGAAGGTTCGCGAAGGCGAACCTTTGCCAGGACAGGTGTACGCAACTCTCATCAAAATTGTAAAGCCCAGTAATGAAGGTAATGAAGGGGTGCCAAGTCAAGGACATCGGCCGATATGTCTGCTGACGAGACGGCCTTTCGACATTGACCTCGGCTCTATTCAGCTCTTCAGCACCGTGGAGGCGAAGGTGTATGCAAACGCTGAATGTACAATCCTACCTGATCCCATCAGCCTGTCGAGAACACAGCTAGACATACTGACTGGCTACGCCTTGCGTGTGACGTCGATGATTGCTAACCGCTCATTTACCTGCGATCCGGACAGAATGCCCTACTGGGTAACGTTCCCCACTACCCACGAAGACGGGAAGGTCGCAGACTTGATACCGTGGGGAGAGATCCAAGCAGCTGTGTTGCGGAAACACACACCCTGCCCCGCTGATTTGTCCGACCTTCAAGACAAAGTACTTTTGGAAATTGGAGATGACAGAACGCGATATCGACTTACCTCTGTGCGGACTGACCTTAATCCCTTGTCGCAACCACCCGCCGGTTCAAGGGAAGCGAAGTTCGAAAGCTTTCTGGAATACACCGAGCGTAAATGGAGGAATCATGAAGTCAAGGTGAAGGACTTTGAGCAGAGTATGCTTGAGGTTAAAATCATTCCTCGTGTGCTCAATTACCTGCACAGACCAACAGCTAAGGATATGCCGCGCACAGAATTGCGCTCCAGAACTCCCGCCCACTTGATGCCTGAGCGTGTCCTTGTGAGCACTATCCCAGCACCAGTACTCATCACAGCTGTATGTGTGCCATCCATCATGACCCGCATTGATGGGTACCTGATTGCGAGCGAAGTCAATCACATGTTGGGCACAGATGTCTCCCCGTACGACACGTTAGCCGCCTTGACTCCACCTGCAGGCAACATGGAGTTCGACCTTGAACGTATGGAGCTACTCGGCGATTCCTTCCTCAAGCTTATCACCTCCCTATACCTCTATGTCACTGAACCGGACAACCACGAAGGTCAGCTGCACGTAAAGCGCATGAGACAGATTTGCAATGCCAATCTTTATCGCCTTGCCAGGGACAAAGGACTGTACAGTTACATTCGTCCCAAGGCCTTTGCGCGAGCCAACTGGCGACCGGCGGGCTTTGTGGCAAAAGAGGATAAGGAGGATACAGTTGCCAACATCTATGGCTATGTAATGGGAGATAAAGGCCTCGCTGATGTGGTCGAAGCTCTCATTGGAACCGCACTCTATCACGGTGGGTTGGACCAAGGTGTGAAGGCCGCCCTTGCGCTCGGTATCAAGATGCCAGGAATCGAGGGACAATGGAGTGACTTCAGCCGGCTATACGACTACGTCACGTCTCCGCGACTGGATATCGGTTTCTCATCCCAGGACGTGCGTGGGCTGGCGAAGATCATTGGCTATGAGTTTAAGCAACCGTTGCTCTTGACTGAAGCTCTTACGCACGCCAGTATCAACACGACGAACATCCCGTGTTACCAACGACTCGAGTTCCTTGGTGATGCACTTCTCGAGACTACAGTCCTTCTATACTTTCTCAAACGCTATCCCAATCATTCTGAAGGCCGCTTGACAGAGCTGAAAAGCGCGATGGTATCGAACAAAATCCTCGCCGCACTTTGTGTTCGGTTGGGGTTGCATTCTTACATCAATCACTTCTCAGCTGCTTTGCCCAATGCAGTAAAGGAATACGTGACGGATTTGGAGTACCATCGTCTCGATCACGCCGAGAAGGAGTACTGGTTGGATCTGGACGCACCGAAGTTCTTGTCGGATATCGTTGAGTCGACGCTCGGAGCAATTTTTCTGGATTCCGGCTTTGACTTGCGTCATGTTGACGAGTTCTTCGTCTCAAGGTTGTTGCCACTGTTCACTACCGATATAAAGCCAACTGTGAGACAACACCCAATGGCTTGTCTTACACAAGGAATGCAGGCATGGGGTTGCTTGAACTTTGAAATCCAAAGCCTTAAAACCATTGCTGAGGATGGTGACCAACACGGAGCATCACTGAAGAAAGCCATGTTCGTCATCCACGGGCACGTCTTTGCGACCGGCGAAGGACCCTCTCTTCGTCAAGCGAGGTTGGATATGGCACACAAGGCTCTCTGTGAAGCTCGGGCCATGAACAGTTCTGAACCAGATATTTTCCCACGCGTGTATTGTGATTGTCCTCCAAGGATGCGTACTATTGCCTCATTCGAGAAAGATGATGGCTGGATCGATCTTTAGATCATATACTTGCTATGCTGCCAAAGTCCGCGAGTCAGAAAGTTTCTCTGACGATCGAACGAGATCACCATTAAGAATACCCCACGCGGTATTCCTGATAGTGGAGACGAAGTGCGAATGCTCCTGATATTACGATTGTGAAGATGGACCATTTCTTACTCGCGGACTTTGACGGTATCTCTCTTATATATTATACCAGACATAAGCTATAGCTTGACATCTTCTTGGTTTTGCAGCAATTTCACCTTGCTTTTTGCTACCCCTAATCCCTCTCGCTCTTCTTGTACTCAACGAACGCAACCAAGTTCTCGTATGCTTCATCAGCCCTCATTCGCAGATCACCGTTTCGTCTCCTGTCCACAGCCTTCACCATTGCCTTGACATTATTTCTCACACGCTCCAAAGCTCTAACGAAGTTCAACTGCACGAATACAGGCTCGTCATAATCGAACTCTGCATCAGAGTACACATCGTAGATCACGTTCAACGCCTCCACGACGACAGGAGTAGGAGTGTGTGGCAGAGCAACGATCTGGGAAATCAGGAAAGACCCAATCTCCTTGTTCTGCGCAATCTGGTTCTGCTGCTGTGCGATGCATCCAAGGACACCTACGGCCTTCACCTTCAAATCCACCGACTCCACCTTGTTGTACATCTGAATGAGGGTCTGTACCTCACCGGCACTCACATCCACCGCACCCTTGACACCCTTAGCAATACCCCACGAGAAACCTACGACCGCCTCCAACAATCTCTCATCCGCGCTGAAAGCTGGTACAAGGGTCGTGTAGCAGCCCTTCCAGAGGTGACCAGCCTGCTCCTGCCACGTACCCCACAACTCCGCCTCACGAGGGATGACCGAATCTGACGTCCATGCAATGTTATTCAACGCATCGATTGCTCTCAGGTTGACTGTCTTCAAGTGCTCCGTCGGCCAGCCTGGGTGGTCATTTGTCGGTGCTGGGGTTGCCAATCTGACGAGGATAGATGTGACGTTCGTGATGAGCCATGCAAGGATGGACTGCGATGATTCGCTGATATCGGGCACACGGTCGTCTTCTTGCATCAGCTCTTCGGGGAGTGCGTCGTCTTCGTCTCCGATGTGCTCGCCGTGTTCATCGTCCATGACCTCGTCATCTTCATCCTCCTCACCATCTTCCTCCTCGTCTTCATCGGCCGGCCCCGAGATGATACCGTCCTCCTCCGAGACACCCTGCACGGCAGTGGCGATACCAGCGATGATCTCGAGTGCCAAATGAGAAGCAGCGAATTGCGAGTCAAGCTGAGATAATCTGTCCGCCTGCGGGTTCTCCTTAATATCGATCTCCGCACCCTCAGCTGGCTGCGTTGCGCCAACCACCGTGTATGACTGCGCCAGCGCGGTCAAGTCGATGGAATTGACGAAGTTGACGAGATGAGGAAGAATATGTTGGTCGGCGTGCGTCAAGTCGTCCCTAAGTGTAAGTGTTGGCTTCTTTGCGATGGTGTCTGCGATATTGTGGAGGATACCGCAGATCAAGGCGAATGTGAGTGGCGGGGATTGCTGAGGCTTTTGTGCCAGGGAAACGAGGAGGTCGGCGTATGCGCTATCTCCAATAAGCTGCTGCACGGCGAACTCGTTGTCATCAGTAAGGGTGTATAGACACTGCGCTGCAGCCAGGCGGAGCGTGGCAGGTGCTTCGTCCTCGAGTTGAAGGATCAACATGATAAACGGGACTAGCGGGCTCATCTTGTTGATTGTCTTCAAAATATCCTCCGTAGTCTCACTCAAGCTCCAGATTAATGATACCACATTCTCTGCGTATGTCCAGACCAACTTCCTGGTGATCTCATCTTCCACCGTGGTGACAGGCTTTTTGAAGATGATGTCGCTAATCACACTGCTGAGACTGGGAACAGCAGCACCGAGGGGTGTAAGGATGTTCTTGGCCCACATTTCACGGCAGACTTCGAATCCTTCTTCCAATGCAATATTCCGGAGGGCACCGCAGGCCTCAACGACTACTTCCTGGGAATTGTCGGTCAAACGATCCACCAAGCTCGACACAACACCCTCCTTCAATAGCAACTTCCTGGTCTGCGCATCTGAAGTAACCAATGTAGCGATTGCAGCACACGACCATGTCCGCTCTCCAGCATCCGCCGAGGAGAGTTTGTTCACCACAGGCAAAACCTTCGCCTTCGCAACTTGCATCTCCGCATTATCCGTTGCCTGACCGGTAGGGTTGACCCTGTTCTTCCTGTTCTTCTGTCTGGGCTTTGACCTGGGCATGATCGATGATATAAGACGATCCTATTGACGTCTTTTTTCCTAAAGTCCTTTATTTTTGCCTCGGAGCACCGACGCACTGCCACCCGCGCCACCGTGTACCCGGCCGGCGTACGAAGCTACTGTTGGGAGAGGAGGAGAGAGGAGCACCGAGAATGGCAGATAGTGACCGGCGAGAGCCCAAGCCTATCAAGGCGTTAGACGTTACCGTTGTTAACAGGTGAGCTGCTTTCTGCTTTCCTGTTCAGCCTTTGCTAAAAGCGTCTCCCAGGATCGCGGCTGGCGAGATCATCCAACGGCCAGCAAACGCTCTCAAGGAACTCATAGAGAACTCTATTGATGCCGGCTCAACTTCAATAGACGTTGTTGTGAAGGAAGGAGGTGTTAAGCTGCTGCAAATCACGGACAATGGTTGCGGTATCCGGGTATGTATGCGCATATTCCCACAATGACACCCGCTGACTTTGACCAGAAAGAGGACATGGAAATCTTGTGCGAGAGATTTACGACATCCAAGCTACAGAAATTCGATGACTTATCGAGTATCGCGACATACGGCTTCCGCGGTGAAGCGTTGGCCAGTATCTCACACATTGCTCACGTCACAATCACCACGAAGACAGCGGAGTCACCCTGCGCATGGCGAGCAACCTACTCTGACGGCAAGCTAGTCCCCGCAAAGCCCGGACAATCTGCGGACCCAAAGCCAGTGGCAGGGAAAACTGGCACACAAATCACGGCCGAAGACCTCTTCTACAACGTTCCAACGCGTCGCCGCGCGTTTCGAAATGCCAATGATGAATATATGCGTCTCCTGGATGTCGTACAAAGATATGCAGTACATTCAGCTGGTATCAGCATGAGTTGTAAGCGTCATGGAGACACTGCGTATGGATGCTCCACGGTGCAGCGAGCGACGACAAAAGACAATATCCGGCAAATATATGGAGCATCGGTTGCTGGGGAGTTGTTGAGTGTCGAGGTGAAGGACGAAGGACTCGCATTCAAAGTGGAAGGACTGGTTACAAACGCGAATTATCATGTAAAGAAGACAACGATGTTGCTATTCATCAATCGTAAATGTTTCTTGAGGAAATTCGGGAATTATTGGCTGATGCTTGACAGATCGTCTCGTGGAATCGACATCCCTCAAGCGAGGACTGGAACAGATATACGCAACCTTTCTTCCCAAGGGTGGTCATCCTTTCATATACCTTTCTCTCGAGATCGAACCGTCTCGAGTGGATGTCAATGTGCACCCCACGAAACGTGAGGTCAACTTCCTGTACGAGGAGGAGATTGTGGAATGTATCTGCCAGGCAGTGGACGCGAAGCTGAGAGAAGCGGACAGCAGTCGAAGGTTCGAAGTACAGACACTGCTGCCGGGGGTGAAAGAGCTGGATGCTGCGGATAAAGCTGCAGCATTGCAGAAGAGTGAGTGACGATAAACACTCTTGGCTTTAACGAGATGCTGACAACCGTTACTCACAGCCCAAACGAAGGTTTACGAAAAGAACATGGTACGAACCGATTCCCGCGCTCAGACCATTACCTCCTTCCTCTCCTCTACTGGCGTCCCAAGCGGTTCCAGTGAATCTCAGGGCCCAGCCTCGTCTGATACGCCATACGAGTATGAGCACACCGAGAAGACCCGGACAAACCTAAGACTCGCATCAATGAAGGAGTTGAAGTGTGATGTGCGGGATCAGGTACACAATGGACTTAGCGATCTGTTCGCAAATCATACGTGGGTAGGGCTCGTGGATGAAAAGAGGAGGTTGGCGGCTGTTCAACATACAACGAAATTGTATTTGATCGATTATGGCGCTGTGAGGTGTGTGAATTCGAATGTCCTATATTTTGTTGATATTAACAAGAGGTAATGCAGTTGCGAGCTTTTCTACCAAATCGGATTGACTGAGTTCGGGAATTATGGGTCCATTCGACTGCAGCCGCCACTAAATCTAAAGTCATTACTGAAGGCCGCGATGGAGGTGGATGAAGGAGGGGACACTGCAATGGAAGATGACGAGAGAGCGCTTGACAGAGCCGAGGTCGTACAGGTGTGGTTTCTCTACAGCAATCTTTAAGCGTACTGACAGTGGCATGCACAGGCGGTTCATGAACAACTCGTCTCGAAACGTGAAATGCTCGGCGATTACTTCTCCATCGAGCTTTCCGAAGACGGTGAGATTTCGTCTATACCTCTGCTAATCAAAGGTTACGTGCCGTCACTCGCTAAACTGCCGGGCTTCCTGCTACGTTTAGGACCCAATGTGGACTGGTACAATGAGAAGGCGTGCTTCGAGACCTTCCTTCGTGAGCTTGCGATCTTTTATGCGCCTGAACCTATTGTCAAGGGATCAGATGAGAAGAGATCGACTGAAGTTAGAGCGGCGATTGAGAAGGTCTTGTTTCCGGCATTCAAAAAGAGATTGGTTGCTACGAAGAATATGTTGGTTGAGAAGAGGGTTATCGAGATTGCGAATTTACCGGCATTGTACCGGGTGTTCGAGCGTTGCTGACCAGGTTCACGTGGGACATTGGAGGGATATATCTGGGAGTTTACGGAGTCTCGTTTGCTTGATATAGGTATGGAAATGGAAGTTCAAATAATTCACACGGCTCCTCTGCAACGATCCGCATGAGGCTGCAAAATGAATGTCGCAGTGCCACTACAGGTCGCGAACCTTAACTAATCTTTCATCGAGAAACCTTAATAAATCCAAGAAGGTTCAGAAGTCTAGCAAGGTAAGACGATAGATGGCGACCTGAAGGACGGATCCCAGCTCGTTTGTGCGATGGAGATAATAAATATGTATGATATTCAGTTCTGTGCCGGATACCCTGCAGCTAGCATCTCAAAGATTTAATAATCCACCAACTCCATCGAAACCTTCTGTTTTCCAGTGTTCTCCTCCTTGACAACCTTAACCCTAACCTTGATCTTGTCAAACACAGACACCTTATACGGCTGCTTACTCTTCCTCTCAATCGCCAACGAGTACTCCTCCGGCACAAACTCAGTCTCAGGTTCAGGCTTCGCCAGATCACGAACGTAAATCAGAGACTCGATACCGAACTGCGCAATAAACACAGCGAAACCGTTCTTGAAAACCTTCATAACGAACGCATCAACCTCAGCAACCTTGTTCTTCAATGCCTGGCCGACATAGTACTCAACTGACGCACGGCCCGCAAACTGCGCATTCCTATGCCTAAAGTTAATGTTGGAGCAGATATCCTCCAACTTGACTTTGTCAACGAGGGAAGGATGCGGCTCCTCGTATCCAATCGCGGCGGCGAGTTGTCGATGGACCATGACGTCTGCGTAACGACGGATGGGGGAGGTGAAGTGGGTGTAGATGTGAGTCGCGAGACCGTAATGTCTGAACTCGGATTCGGCGAATTGGCCGGAACCGAAGTACTCGGCGGCTAACATGCAACGGGTAGCCATGATACGGAGAAGGGTGTTGAAGTACGGCTCTTTCGGGTCCGTGCAACGATCGAGAGAGTCAGCAACAGCCTTGGATGAGGAGACATCCAACGACATGTTCTTCTTCGTCTTGAGCATATCCTGCAAAACCTCAAAGTTGGTGGCAGGAGGAGCTCCGTGTCGACGTAACATCGCAGACTCAGGGAACTTCTCGTAAATCTTATCAGCAACAGAGATATTCGCGAGCAACATGAACTCCTCAACCAAAGAGTTCGTCTCAAAAAGCTGCTTCACCTCAACCTCAGCAGGATCAGACGTCTCAGACTCAACCTGGACCTTGACTTCAGGAGAAGCGAGGTTAAGCGCTCCGGCGTTCATACGCTTCTGTTTCAACTTCTTAGACAAGGCAAGGAGAATTCTCATACCCTTCGTCAAATCATCCTGCTGTGACTCATCGTTAATCCTCATCTGCGCCTGCTCATACGAAAACGATTCCTTAGACTTGATAACCGATTTGGTAAACTCGACATTCACGATATCCGCCTCGGGGGTAACCTCCCAAATCGTCGAGAAGGCGAAGCGCTCAACATAAGGCTTGAGCGAACACAAATCTGTTCCAAGCAAATGCGGTAACATGTCGATACGCTTGTCAACGAGATAGACGGTCGTACCACGGGAAGCGGCTTCATCGTCCATCGGTGTATCAGGTTTCACGAAATGCGTGACATCGGCAATGTGAACACCAACCTGGTAATTCCCATTCGGCAATAACTTCGCATGAAGCGCGTCATCGATATCTTGACACCCAGGGGGATCGATACTGCACACAAGCATATCCCTGAAATCCTTCCTATCTTTCCATCGAAGGTCTTCTTTTGCTGGTACGACCCAGTCGTGGCCTTCTTTGGGGAGACAATCAAGGACGGCTTTGGGGAAGGGCCGGTATTGGACATTGTACTCCAAAAGGATAGCCTCAGTTTCGGCACCCTTTGATTCGATTTCTCCGAGGGCACGGACGAAGTGGCCTTCCGGGTAACGAGAAGTGCGTTCCCATGCGTCGATGGAGACAACGATACGTTGGCCTTGCAGGTTTGTCGCCTGACGCGTCCTGATCCTGATCTTGGGGATACGCTTGTCCATGGGAAGGACAAAGACCGTTTGTTGTCCGCGGCCCTTCTTGGATGCGGAGACGGAGGAGGGGTCGATGTGGCCGACGTACGATCTCCATTTGCGCTTGATGACACCAACAACCTTCGCGGTTGGTTCGGGCTTGATCTCTTTTCTGACCCCCTTAGCTTTCTCGTCCTCCAGTTCCTTTCTCTCTTGTTCCGAGACGACGCCTTCTTTCTCGTCATCGTTGTCTGCTCCCTCGTTCTTGTTCACCTCCTCATCCTCGATGATCTTGGCGACGGGGGTGTACCACTCGGATTCTGGGAGCATCTCGACGACGACGACGTCACCCTGAATAGCACGGTTAATATGCTCGCGTCCGATAACCTTCAGAGGACGGTCGAAAGCTGGAACAGGCACAGATCCTTCGAGGTAGTTGTATGGCGAGACGTTGAAGACTCCCTGGTGGTACTTCATCGACTTCACACCCTCCAACAGACGAGCGGCGGACAAGTATTCTGGATAAATGTTCTCGCCCTTCTTCGTGACCTGGTTTTCCTCATCGAAAGCTGCAGAGATCATGTCGAGCAACTCGTCAGCGTTCGAAAGACCAGATACGTAGTCGTTCACCGAGCTGTTCACAACACCCTCCGCCTTCGCCTTCTCACGGTTTCCACGGTCATTGGTCAACATAACCACCTCCGGTACCTTCGTGCCCGATCCCCTAACAGCCTCCTGCAAATGCTTCTTGTACCACGCACACGCAACTCGCACAGCCCTGTCATTCCTGTCGTTGATGGTCTCCCCAGCATCCCTGATCACATATGTCTCCTCCCTGAACTCATTATGAAAGACATAGAACCTCTTATCACCATCCAAGCAAAGCTGTCTCAGACGGTTATACAGCGGCGTGCTCCGATTTCTCAGCTCGTCCAATACAGTTTGTAGGACGATCACGTCAAAAATCGCATCTGTTCTCTCCATCAAGTCCATACAGTGAAAGAAGATGTTGGTGTCTGGTACTAGGTAGTGAGGACCGAGGGACTTTGTTGAGGAGGGAGTCGCGGCGAGAACGGCATGGCGGATCCGGCCTTTTGCGTCGGGTGGGGCCGTTTGTTGACAGCGAAGGCAGAGTTGTGATGAGCATGGGATATCGTTACGGAGATAGTGTTCACGGACGACCTGGATCGAGGCGGATTAGCAGGAGGACGGGCGAATATGGATCAGGGTAACGTACCTTGGTCGCCTTGCCACGGTTTGAGCGGACAAAGACTTTTTGCTGCAGCCGGGATAGCTGGGTCTGGTTCCGCTTGACTCCAATGACGCTGTCAATCTCCATGGCCGACATGCTGGTCGTCGTAATTGCCTGTTTGCTTATTACGACTTTTCGAAGCTGCCAGCAGCGAAGTGCAGGTGCCGTGCTTCGCCAAACGTGGGAGTCATAAAACGCTAGATTGAAGTATTCCAGCGATGTTTTTCTATTCTAACTTTGCTAAACAGTTTGACGGACTGTCCGCTTCCTTTCGCTTGTCATCACATCACTACGCAGCTCGTTGTACGGCGGGGATGCACGGTCCCGCCGGGCCGTTGTATACCAGCTCGATCGCCCATCTCCATTTCCATCCCATCTGTTCCAGACGCGACATGGATTCTGCGGATAAGCCGTTGCTTATCGAGCCTCTCGTGAGCGTGGAAGATGACGCACCCGTCTTGAACGACGAAAAGTCGCCGTTGCAACCTATCGCGCCGGACAACGACCCAGTTGTTGACAGGCTCTTTGGCAGTCTCGAAGGCGGAGAACGTATCGGAGAGCCCGCTGAGCCGGAGCAGCGAGAACCAGAACAGAGGCCGCGAAGCGCGACTGTTGACGAGCAGGTAAAGCAGTTCTTCGGGCAGGCATCTCCTGTTACGGTCGGTGATGCACCCGCAACCGAACACGCAGACGAGTCATCTTTGTTCACACCCGTCGACACCAGCGACGCGCCAATTGAGCTTAATAGACGCTCGGAGTCGCTTGAACCTCCTCCTATGAAACGTGAGAACGATACGCGTGGCATTCACTCTCGCAATTCATCAATCGGCTCGGCAGCTCTTGGCGATATTCTGAGTACGCCTGCTGGTGGGGAAGAACGGTCTGCCCCAGCCAAGGAGGAAACGACAACTAGCGATCCGGACGCTCCGCCATACAACCCGAGTCCTGCTGTTGTGCCGGAGACTGCGGAGCCATTCGAAGTTGAAAGAGGTGCCGAAGAGAATCCTTTGCCGACCCCGAACGATCCGTCGGCGTCTTTCGCTCCGCAAGACCCTGAACAGCGAAACGTGATCGAGGAGACTGCGCGGGAAGCGCCTGCCCACGCTTCTGAACCAACGGCAGCTTTTGAAGAAGAAGAAGTCAAGCTACATACCGCTTCACCGCTATTGCCCGTCGCAGAAGAAATGCAGCCAGTGCAGACGCCCCCTCCGACCGCTCCGGTGGACCCACAGGCAGCACCCAGCGAGGACCCAGCAATCATCGCAGAAGACACAGACGCCATCACCACAGAACCAGCACCTATGCCAAATCTAGAAGTCATTCCACCCTCCGACGGTCCAAATCCAAAGAAAGACGCAGACACGGCTGAGGCACCACAGCACAGCTCCGACCGAACGATGAGCATGCACTCCCCAGCCCGAAACTCAACCACGGAGGATAAACTGGCACCGCCTGAGACACCCCTTCCTGGGTCGCGGAAGCGGAGACGTTCGCACACGGGAGAGGATAGTGCTGACGAACGTCAAGATCATGATACTTCCTTCGAGGGCCCGGAGGAGAATGTGAGTCCGGCAACGATAAACAAGAGGAGTGAGCGGGCGACGAAGAGGTTGGCGATGGAGGTCTCACAGCCTTCTGCCGACCTAGGCCTCCGTCAATCAACACGTCTAGCGACACAGGCCTCATTACAAAGCGCAAAAGCTGGTCCATCTCCGCACTCGAAGCCAGCTGTTAAGCGTGGTCCACCTATCTCAATGACGGAGCTTAGCGCAGACGGTGACGAGTACCTCCAGCTCGAATACGATTCTGCTGGCGAGAAGAAGATTACGGCTTCGGGTGAGTTATTGGGTGGTCGTCGGTATAAGCTGAAGACGTTCCATTACGGGGTTAACAATAAGCTTTACATGCTGGCTACGGATGTTGCGCGGTTGTTTCAGTACCGCGATTCTTATCTCTTTTTCAACAAGAATAAGTATTTGCTCAAGGTTTCTACAACACAAGAGGACAAAGATGAGATGATCTCCCGGGGCGTGATCCCACAGAACTACCGTTCTCGCACGATCTCCTTGGTAACCGCTCGCTCGATCTTCTTACATTACGGTGCTCGAATCATCGAGGACGGACGTCACATTATCGATGATTACTTCGAGGAACGCGCAAAGGAGAACGGGATGACCGAAGATGACTTTGCGGACCCCGCGGACGCAAATATGGCTCCTCCCCGTAACAACGGTCCCGGTGTGACGTTCGCGCAGGACAAAACCAGGCTAAAGGACTACCTCGATACATCACGTCCAACCTACGAAGCTGTTGGTCCAGCATATGTGGACCAAACAAAGGCGAGTGATGCGGCTAAGTTGTTGGAGGCGGCGAAGAGTGCGGCGGCGTACAATAAGATTGTGAGTACGGGACGAAAGGGAAGGCAGGAAATGTTCATGAACTTCTTTAAGCCAAGAGTGACGCAGAGGAAGCCGGAACCAGTACTGATGGCACCGCCGCATAGAACGCCCATGCAGACTCATGCCTCTGTAGCTGGTCAGTCTCCGTTCCGTGCGCAGCGTTCGCATCATGCGCATGCCGGCTGAGGTTTAGTGATCGTGGCTCCATGGTTGGTGATTGAATGGCCATGACAGGCACCTAGGTAGACTTGGACAAGCTCTGCTTTTAAGGATATATTTGAATCATAAATGTCCGTACACAGCTGTGCACCTAAAAGGATAAAGATAAAAGGCAAACGCCTGCTGCCCAGCAGCATTAAACGAAAAGCACACTTTTTTGAAAACCCCCGCTAGACATCAGAAACACATTCCTCACATACATCAGAAGATTGAGCTTCCGATTTCGCCCAGCGTATCCGAGCTCCAGAGGCCGTCATGAGCCATTTGCGGGGTCATGGTAACCTTGAACTGCTCCTCCTGGTTGTGAAGATCACCACCATGCGGCAACCCAAACAAATCATCAACAGGAACGGAATCCATTGCAGTGTTGTTCCATGACTCCATAGACACCATATGACCATACCCATGCTCATTGATCGTACTCAACTTCGGAATGGTGATACCAAAAACATCATCCTCCTTCGCCGGCAGAGTCGCAGTGATATTCTGCGAGGCAGACGCGGCCCAGATCGGGGTTGGTGGGGGGGAGTAGTTGAGCATGCTGCACGCGCTTGGTTGGATCTTGATGGTTGCTGCGTTTCCACGCGTGTCGAGCCTGCAGACTGGACGAGGGGTGGTGTTCGGATCCGCGGCGGCGAAAGCACCCATGGAAATGGGGTTGTGCACGTCGAAGGGGGATACGGGGGTAGGAGGTGCGATGCTCTGCTTGGCTGCTTGCATCTTGGCGAGAGGAGTGGGGTAGCTCTTCATGACGAGACGGCCATCATCCTCGCCGTCTGAACCATCGATGTCTTCCTCGTCAGTGGCATCATCGACAACGGTCGGAGGTTGTCCTAATGGCGAAGGCAAGATAACGGACTCGATCGATGGCTTGCGCTGAGTTTGCTTCTTGACGGTGCTGCGAGTGAGAATCGTCGCACTCGACATGGACCTGCGAAGAGGAGTAATAGGACTCGTCTCACCATCCTCAAGCTGCCTGTCGAATTCGAAAGGCGAAGCAGCAATCTGGTAAACCGGCACAGCCTTTGCACGAGTAGTGAAGCACTCGCCCATCGAAGACTTGGACCTCTGAAGAGGCACACCAAGCGGGCTCAGGTTCGGCCTGCGACGTTTAAGCGACATCGTCCGCTGATGACCCTGAATAGGCGTCTGAATGGCAACAGGCTCTTGCTGCGGCGCACTCTCGAAGAACGGCGACTCATTGAACTCCAAAGCCGGGGTACTCCTGATCCCAACATTGTCAAACGCCTGAACAAAGTCCGCAGGACAAGAGTTCATACGGTCGACATGTGGCCTAACAGGAACAAGAGGCCGAGCCTTGCCAATCTCACGTCTCAAAGCATTCGCCTCGATGGCCGCCGCGAAGTCAGGGAACTGTTCCGGAGCCAAACGGGTATCCGGAGTTTGAGTTCCAGGAGTACTCACGAACGGAGTCTGAACGGCCGAGCGGTCAAACTCGAAAGGATCGTCACCGCAGGGCGTTGGGCACGCTGAGCTGTAATCAGAGAACTGCGAGGTTTGACGGTACATCATCGCAGCTGGAGGAAAGTACGGCGGTGGTGCTTGCATCATGGGCGCGGGAGAAGGAGCAGGGTAGGTGGGTGTAGCAAACGCCGGAGGAGGAGCGAAAGCTTGTGGAGGAACGGATGCGTTGTGACCGTGGTTTGCAGCGGCAGCGGCAGCAGCGGCGACAGCCAATGATCTTGCGAGTGAAGCGTAACTGGCTTCTGAAGGGGAAGCATAGTTGGATTTCGAGTCCTGTTGCAGCATGGAGGTCGAAGGTGTAACCGGTGCCATCGACTTTGCTGACTCGGGTTTCCGGGGCGTAGCATCGATATCAGGCTGAAGATCGGTCGCTTCCGAGGAAGTGGTACTCATACTTGAAGATCTCGACGTCCTCCTCTTCTTCTCCTTGTTGCTCTCGTTCGAAGCATCCTCCAACACCTGAATCGCCCTCAGTTCATCCTCCCTTTTCTGTGCCCGAGCCTTTGCACGACGATTTTGGAACCAGATCTGGATGTTACGAGAGGTCATGAGCAAACGCTCAGCGAGGACATTGCGAACAGCGCCGTTGGGCTTAGGGTTCTCAGCAAAAGCCTTTTCCAGGATACGAACTTGTGCTTCGGTAGTCTTTCGTCGGGTCTTTGATTCAATAACGCCAGCGATTGAGGGATTGAGGTGAGAAATGTGCTGAGGTGGCATCATCATTGCTGATTGAGGAAGTGCTGCAATCGAGGCATCTGTGATGTGCTGCTGGTATTGCACTTGCAGGCTATTGTACAAAGCATGTGAATATTCCGAGGGAGATGGTGGGCAGTTCCAGGTATATCCGGCCTGAGGTGGTGGGTATGACATTTTTCTAGTATCTGTAGATGCTTGGGTTAGCAAATGAACAAAGCCGGCTTCATGGTCATGGTTGGATCAATGACAAACCTTACAACGTTTCGAACTCTTGATCCCGGATCAATTGACAGACAACGCCCAAAATATGTGAACAGATCGCGTAAACCAGACGCGAAAAGGTATTGGAAAGGATTGTTCCGTCAAAAGCTGAAAGTTCGAGCTTATCCAAAGAGATGGACCGGAGATGAAACCTTGTCGACGTGAAAAACGACCGAAGAACGCACACGTCAAGCGACTGAGCAGGGATATCCTTGCAAGTTCGTGGCCACGAGCTCCGTGTACGATGGCGAAGGTTCTTGCAAGGGTCTTCGACAAGGGGCTCGGACCTTCACTTGAAGGTGTGGGACGTACGAGCGTTTTGTGTGATGCGAGCTGGTTAGGGCAGTGGACGTCTGCAGGGCAAAAGACCGGCTAAAGCACTCAAGTCTATTCAAGCAAGCAGAAGTCCTCCGGCGGTCGCGTAGATAGATACTCAAACGGGCACAGCCTGAGCCCAATCGTAAATGAAAGGTTGGGTGAGGGCTTGCAGGCCGCGATATGAGAGCAGTGGATCACGGCGGAACAGGAAGCCTGACGGAGTGGCCGTTTTGGACTTGAACTCTTTTGGACGGCTAGACCGAACCTCGGCTTTTCCAAGGTGTTTAAACTACTGCAGGTATCCTTTACCCAAAAATTTGTTTCCAGGAGGTGTGCAGTGTGCGATACAAGCCAAGGAATGTGCAGCTGGTGGTATTGTTTTTGTCCAGCTCAATCTAGAGGCTAGTGGGGGCCATGGTGGTGAGGTACGGCACCCCCCCACCATGCTCGCCCACGCTGCTGCCCTTATGTAACGAGACATCGACGGCACAGTACATATACGAGATATGACAGCTGGTCACTGCTTCGCCCAAGGGCCAGGCCTCAGGCTCGAGCTTTCAGGGTCTTGGCCTCAAACACGGATCAACTGTCAAACGTGAAGATCATGCGAAACCTTAAAAAGGCGTCATTCCATCCTCTAGCCACTGTTCAGTGAATAATAATGCCGCTGACTTGACGACATTCGAGATCGTCGCCTGTACGCAACCGGCTCTTCTCATGTCCCTCGTTGACAATGCAGGGTGCTCGTCGGGCTACGGGTGGGGCGCAAGCCGTGTCACAATCTATGCGAAAAACGAGCACCTGAAGCACCGCACGCGTGCCTTAAGCTTTAGATAGCGGGGTAAAATCACAGTACATGACCCAGCGAGGTTCGGCTACCCTCGGGGTATTCGAGGTGTGCTTAACCGCCAAGGTTTTTGTTTTCCGCATCTTCGCTTCGGATGGATGACCTCGATTGAAGAGGCGGGGAAAGCTCGAGGGTGATACAAGATCTGACTAAGGTCCGCGGAGAGTTTCGACTTTCGCGCATGAGCCCTTTCATCTTCGAACAGAAATTCCTGCCGGCGTTCGCCGGACGATAGAGTCCGTCGTCGAACGCCGCATGCAGATCCAGCAAGCAATCTCCATTTCGCAGTTTTCCGTCGGATCATGCCACGTCTATCTTTACCTCGGCTGTCAAGAGCATGGCAGATAGACGTCAGTCGTCTGTGCGCGGGTCTCGTCCACCGCACTCTGCTTCCTGTGAAGTGATTCCCTCGGGAGAGTCACACACAGGACTTTTGCACCAGTTCGAAACTCGACACTGAGAAAAATCACCTACGGGACTATCGTTTAATTAACAAAGCCGGCCAATTTAAATTCCAGAGTGTGGCCTGAGGGGGACAAAGCAGTTGCGGCTGGGCTGGCACTGACAAAGGGAGATCAATTCATATAACGAGATATCTAGACCAAGAACTGGGAGTTAATCCGTTTCACCGCGGCCGGCGGCAAATGGAAGGGAGGAACGTGTTGAGAGATGACGCCGACGGGGTGGTGGAAGGCGAGAACAGGCGAACAGGCAAACAGGCAAACGGCTGCGTGACGAGGTACACCAGCCGCCTTTGGGGTATTGTCGTAGCCAGGCATTGTCGTGCACGGACGCTACAGTGCTGGTGATCGGCAGGACCACGTCTGACCGCGACAGGACGTTATTTACCCTTCCGTCGACTGCTGTATCCTGTTCCTCAGTTACGTATGTGCTAGTCGACGTTTCGGACCTTCGACCTCGTCTATGAAATGAAGGTGGAGCTCTATTGTGCTCAGGTGCAGATGCTTCGGAGGGGTTTGGGCTAGCTACATGTAGGTATAATAGAAATCTAGATTGTAACGTCGCGTTTTTATCCGACCGTCGACGTCGACGTGTTTGTCAATCGCAGAGTCCCGCACAGTCCAGCCCGTGCGCAGCGACCGGTCTAACTCTCAGCCTTCCCTAAGCCTTCAAGCTCCACCCGTAAAATGTTAACAACGTCAATCTACATAGCCACCATGTACTCCTTCGAGCTCCGCTCTCAGATAGCCCCAGGATCAGATAGCGTATTTGCTTCCTTGCCTAGACCCTACGATAACGTATCAAACGTAACCTTGAGTTCAACCTCAATCTTCCCCTCCGCATTGACCGAGAACACAACGTCATCCAAATCCCTAACAACCCAATCCGCACCCGCCTCTTTCACCTCCAACTCCGAATGCGAGGTAATCAAGCCCAGGACTTTACACCCCGCAGCTTTACCTGCACGGATTCCAGCAGGGGCGTCCTCGACGACAATCACGGTGTCGTCAGAGTCGGGGATGTCGAGTCGGCGGCGGGCGGCGAGGTAGCCTTCTGGATTGGGTTTTCCCAGCGAGACGTCTTCTGCTGCGATGAAGATCTTTGGGTGGGAGATTTTGAGGATCTATCAACAGACATTAGTCCTGTGAATATTCTTTAAGGAGATGGATACTGACGTCGAGCCATTGCGATGCCATTCCCTTCGTTCCGGAGGTTACGATCGCCCATTTTGCGCCGCCTTCTTCGAGGATCTTGGTGGCTTCCTGTGCTCCTCCGATCCTACACCATGTCAATCAGTCTCCATCCTACACCACGGTAGATGGTTCGTGACATACGCAGTAGCCTCATTCCCATTCCGTCTCGGGATTTCGCTCTCGAGTTGTTGTACGTAAGCCATATCAGCCTTTTCCGGAACATGCTCCTTGATGATCTCAATTGTGCGGCGGCCGTGGGAGGTGGCCAAAATCAAAGCTGGCTCGATGCCATGTTCATCACCGAACCTTAAGTTCATATTAGCCAATCCGTAACGCATTGGAGTGGAGGATAGATGCCCACCTCGTCCAGTGTGCAATGACGGCGTTCGTGGAGTCAATGAGCGTACCATCGAGGTCGAAGAGGATTGCAGATGACGTGAACTTTTGGGACAATTCGTTTGCGTCTCGTGTCGGCATTACCGTTGGCAGGTATTTCTCGAGCATTGTAATTGATCTTTTTTGAGGTCGAGGTCGGTGATCCGCGGAGATGGAGGTTTAGAGTTTGCGGTGCGCAGCCGGTGCGTCACAGTGCAAGATCTGTGGGATTTTGCTGGAATCGCAGGGTTGGGCAGCAAATCTGAACTTGTCCGAAAAACAAGGGACACTTTGCTATTCATTACGAAAAAAGACGCTGCACCAATCCCAAAGGCAACCCTAAACAACATCCTGCTCCCCATCATCCCCCCTCGCAATCCCCAGAACCTTTCCCCTCAACCTCTCCGCCCGGTTCAACCCATTCCTCACAGCCCCCAAACACCTCAAAAACTCCTCACTCCTCTCCAATGCCGCCTGGACTAATCGCCGTGTTTCTTCGGCGGCTGTGTGGTCCATGCCGAGATCGCGGTCGACGCCGCCGGAGGTGAAGAGGGGGTCGTCGGCGAGGTGGGAATGGGAATGGAGGTGGGCGGAGAGTGTGGCGAGCGTTGCTTGGCGGGTTGTGCGGCGCGCGGGGGCGGTGGGTTCGTCTTCGTCGTCTTCGTCGTCGTCGTTGTTCATTTCCTCGTCTGCGCCGTTCACTTCTTGGTCGACGTCGGCGTCGGCATCGGCGTCATATTCAGTCCCGTTGAACGACGTCTCGCCCATAGTCGCATCACCCTCCCCAGTAACCTCAGCCTCAACCACACCTTCAGCAGGCTGTTCCGCGGGATTCTCCACTGAAGGTTCCGCAGGCGCGTCAACATGCTCCTCACCCGCTGGCGGCGCCGCCGCATCCGTCTGCTCCTTCTCAACCTCCGCAGCCGCATCGACATTCTCTGTAGCTGGTTGCTCCTCCACTACAGCGGCTGCTGCGGGTTCCGCGTTGGCGTTGACGACACCATTCACGCTTTCGATAGACTCCGGCAGGCTGTCGTTGTTCTGCACCGAGCTGGATTCATTTGTTGGTGGTGCCGTGGGAAGCTGAGTCGCAGGCTCCGTCGCGGGCTCTGATTCGGTCTCGGAGAATGGCTGTATTGTTTCACCATCCGGGAAGTCCGATACATCGTGGCTGTTTGCTGGTCCGCTTGGGACAGAGCTGCTTTGCTCTCCCTCCTCCTCCTCATCTGCTTCTTCGTCCACCTGCTCCTCCTCGTTTTGTGCTCTCAGGGCCTTGGCCTGTTTCTCCATCAACACCCACGTCGGGTCATCACCCAAAAACGCAGTCAACAGCCTACTCAAACAAATCGTATGCCTATGCTCCGTGCTGATCGCGTCCAAAGCTTGTGTCGCGAGTAATGGTAGCGTACTCCGCTGAAACGTGTTCTGGTACGATGGGTGTCGGAGAAGATCGGATGGGTGAGCGATCGGGCGGAGAAGCGCGTTCAGGTCGACGGCTGCGTATGGATCGGTGTCCGAGGCACCTTCTGTTTGATCGTCGTCTTCTTCGTCGTCGGAGTCGGTGGGTTTGCGGGTGGATTTGAAGGTTGGGACGTCGCGGCGGCGGATGATCGCGCGTTTCTTGTTGGCATATTCGACGACCTGCGTCCATGTTAGAATACTTGTTATGAAAAAGAGCGATGGGACTACCTCGCGATCGGTTTGAAGACCGTACGGCAAGTTGAGTTTGCCTTTGTGCACAAAGCGAGCCTTGCGCTTCAGCTTGCGCCCACGGTTGTGAGTCGCTGCGCCGACTGAAGAGTCTGAATCCGATGCTGTTTGTCGTTATAAGCGTTTGAAAACAATCACCCAATTGCAACAGAAGACAAACCATCTGATCTGGCTGCGAGCGTTTCCTTCAAGGCACTGCACGACGCGGTCAGCCTGCCACCCTTCCACCGTACGTTGGTGACACGTACATGATCTGCTTCTCCGTCTCCTCGTCAACAGCTGGTACTGATCTCTCCCTTTGCGACTGCGGCATCTCTGAATAAATGCTGAATCAATGCTGGACTGGGTGCTGCTACTTGTATCTCGTCCAGCTGGTCGCGGGTCCAGGTAACGTTGAACGCCAGGCACCATATCGATACATGTATATACGGGGAACCTGCGAAACCACAGAAACCACCAGCAGTGAATCTCATGGACTCTTATCCAAGGGAGTACACCGAACATCTCCGCCCTCTCGTCCTCGTCGCAGGTCTCACCCCACCAGCAACCGATCGCCCATCATCTCCCAATGCCACTCCTTCCTCCTCACCACCACGGGACCGTCGTCCATCCATGCCTGTCTCTCCACAGAATTCCTCGGCGTATCTGACGCCTCCACGACCGGATCAGCTGAGGAGACGTGGATCTGTGTGGTCGCCTATGCCGCCTATTGATCAGGAATTGGCGAAACAGTTGCTTGGGTACTTGACCGTGCGGAGTGGTTCGAATGTCTGGGAGGCTAGTGCGATGGATGTCAGTGCTGGGACGAAGTATGTCGAAGGATTGTTTAGGGTGTTGCCGGTGGAGAGGGCGTATCGACTTCCGGCAAAAAAGGCTCGGCCGGCACCGTCGCCGCTTTCGAGTTTTAGGTCGTCGTCACCTTCTGGTCGGCCTCGGACACGCTCGCCATCGCCCGTCAAGCCGAGCACTGATCCGCTTCATTCGCCTGCGCCTCCAGCACCCATCAACCCTGCCAACCTTCACTCTCCACTTTCACCGCTCACGCCAGGTAGCCCTCTCTTTCCCGACGGTCTAGTCACTCCACGCTGGGTCGCAAAGTACGCCCGTCGCCTACCTTCCGCCTTCGTCGGCTTCTACGAGATATACACAGGCGACGACGAACAAACGAAAGCTCTGAAAGATCAAGAGCTTGTCAAAGAATTAACAGAACTTAAACGTGCCTTCGCCGACCGCGGAATCAAATTCGTCGCAGTCGTAACAAGCAAGAAAACCACCGGCGAAGCCCTCGACCTAGATACGCGGCTTAACAACCTCCGTCGCGCCGCGCAACTGGACGCACGCACCGGTCTTTTATTCTTAGGCCCCAGCAGTGCGGTGGAGCTGAGGGGCTTTGTTGCGAATCTGCAGGAAGTACTCTATCCCACCGCCGTAGAGTTCTACAACGACATCCTCAAACACGCCCGCAAGAAATCCCGAAACCGCGGCTCCAGCCCCGCAGAATCCCTCCGCTGGTCCCTTCGCACGGACTTCAAAGTCGGTGTCATGGCCGAATTCCTCCAAAACATCGAACTTGCAGACCGAAATTACCGAAGTGCGTACATGACTCTCCTCGAAATGTTCAACAATACGTCGATATTACCGCCCCGCTCACAGCGCTGGATCGAAGCGAGACTTTTGTCAGATTCGCTGAATTTGAAGATCTGTAAGATGTGCTTGTATCTGGATTTACCAGCGGACGCGATGAAGACCTTCAACCAACACATCGCGCACACAGCACGGCTCTCGTCCACGCACTGGTCCCCCTCCACCGGTATCGATACACCGGAATGGTACTCCTGGCTCGCACGCCAACGCCGCGCATTCGGTGACCTCGTCGTCCTCGCAGAAGGCTCTGGGTTCGATTTTCGGAGTTTGGAGGTGTGGAAACCTACTGTGCCGGGGCCGGGGGTTCAGGTTGGGGGATGGAGGAGGGGGGAGGTTGTTAGGCATGCGGGGTATGAGTATTGGGAGGCGGTGGAGTGTATGAAGGTTAGGAAGATCAAGATGAAGGAGGCCATGGCACGAGAAAAACGGGCTGTGGGTGAGGAGGGCGGAGAGGGGAAGGAAGGTGATGAGGCGGGGGTTGATGTCGATAAGGTTATTGGGGAGATAACGAGGGAGGCGTTGGAGCAGTTTAGGCATCATGGGGATATGAGGATGGTGCTCTACCTCTCGCAAGAACTTGCCCAGACGAATTTTGAGGCGGGGAATTATGATATTGCGTTGACATACGCGAAGAAGCTCGTGGCCGAGTACCGGAGAGAGGAGTGGACGACCTTATTGGAGGGTGCGCTAAGGACTTGCTTGGCGTGTGCGCAAGAACTTGGGAATCATGAGGATATCATGAGGTTCTCTTGGGAGTTGCTCTCGAAGGACTTCAAGGGTGACGAAGCATCCTCTAATGCATTCTTCGCCGAAACCAGGGATCTTGCGGCAGCTGAAGACGGCAAACCGTTGGTTCTCGACAGCTCGGGATCGACGGCGCCGATACATATGTCGTTTGTGTTCAACCCGCCCATGACGTCGGTGACGATGCCGATCGTGTTTCAGGTTACGTTGGAGTATAATGTTCATCCTTCGACACCCCCGTTGTCGCTCAAGTCTTGCGAGTTGCTGTTTGACGGGATATATAGGCCTGTGCATCTCGAGCATAACGCGAATGAGGAAGCATCGAAGGCCGGCTCGCTTGTGCTATTAAAGTTGGAAGATGATGGAGATATCCTCAGGGCAAGCGGGGATCTTTCGTTCCAGCCGGGTGAGAAGAAAACCTTTCAGATGGTCAAGCTCGCTAAACACGAAGGGGTCGTCAACGTCCGCTCTGGTCTCCTCCATCTGGACAGTCCCGGCGCACGACCCATCGAAATCACTTGTGACCTCTCCAGTCCGGACAAACGTCACAAGTTTCTCTGGCTCGAAGAAACGAACAACCGTCAGCGCTCGAGGGAGTTGCATTTGGATAACCCGAGGTCTTGTACAGTCCTCCAGAAACCGGCGAAGTTACAGATCCAGACGGACTTCAAGGGTCTTGCGTACTGCGGCGAGGCATTCCCTCTGATTTTGACCGTGATGAATGAGGAGGATGAAGCCATCCGTGCTTCATTTCAGGTTAGTACCGCGAGTTATGAGGGTGATCCGCTGGAGGTTGCGGCGAAGCCTGATGTGGAGAGTATTGCGGCGCCTGACAGTGTTTTCGATATTGGAGAGGTCAAGCCTAACGAGATTGGCTCGGGAACGTGCTACATCTTGTGCCCTCGTATGCGGACAGATGCAACCGTCGAGTTCACAGTCAAATACAGTCTCGCATCTGACCCAGATACCAAAATCAGGAAGACGCTCGAGATCAGTATCCCAGTCATGGAACCCTTCCATGCAGCGTACGATTTCTCGCCGCGGGTGAACTCGAAGTGGCCTGAACCGTTCTCTACGTCGGATCCTTTGACGTCCTTCCTCGAGATTGCTCAGAGTTGGGCTTTAACTTCGACTTTGTCTTCGCTGGGGTCAATTACGATGGAGATTGAGGGTTTGGAGCTAGTGTTGGAGGACACGCTTGGGCCGGCGTCGGTGAAGGTGCGACATGGACATGGTTGTCGGTCTGATGGGAACGATAATCTCGGTATCTTATTCGACACACGTGTCTGAGTTTTCACTAACCGCATTCTAGTCTGGGATTCGTCCATCGCTCATAAGGCCGAGTTTGTGCTCGACTGTACAAAGGCCGAGGATCAAGTGTATGAAGAGTCCTTCGTGGACACCGTCATTGCTATACACTGGCGGCGACACCAAGAGGTTGAAAATGCCGAGGCTCACTGGAACACGGCGTATCTCATGGTGCCTCGATTGCACATCCCTTCCTTTGAGCCCCGTGTCTTAGCAGGTGAGATCAACACATTGTCGTCAAACCGTGATTTATGCTAACGAATACGGTCTTACAGAAACGATTTTGTATCCGTCATTCCCACGAAAGCGGACAATCATCTGGCACCTTGAAAACCCAACCAATCTGATCCTCAACCTCTCCTTGTTCATGCATCCCAGCGAACACTTTACATGTTCGGGAGTGAAGCACACCCAAGTTCGACTCTTGCCATTCTCCGCTCAGACGATCCAGCACAACGTTATAGCACTCACCCAAGGATGGCTGAAGCTGCCGTCGTTCAAGGTTATTGAGGTACAGTCGGAGAGAGAATTGAGGATGGTTCCTGCAAGTGCGGATATTAGACTTGATAGGGAAGGAGGCATGTCTATTCAGGTAGTAGATGACGAAGTGGATGAGAAAGTATAAGGGAATGGATGGTAGATGCCGATAATATGATACCCTCTATATCCTCAGATGACCTGTCTTCTTGATCTTGTCCTTCATGCCATCCCAATAACGTCCCTATCCTCCGCAAACGCCATCTTCACCTCCTCCTCCCCAATCTTCAATCGTACCCTTCCCCCTCTATCCCCACCCTTCGCCTCCAAAACAACAACCCCCGCATCCGCCAAATCCGCCGCAGCCTTCAAAATCCCACGCACGCGGCCTTTGCCTTCGGTGAGCAGGAGTTGCTGCACGTCTTGATTATCGGAGACTTTGCACATCCGTCCAGCTTCGTCTAAAACGTCGCCGGTTGAGTTTTCAGCGATTCCGGAGCGCCGGGTTCGTGCCATCAACGCAGCGAGGAAGACCTTGCATGCCAGAGGAAGAGACCGGAGGTAGGCTTGGATAGGGGATGAGGTCATCTCCGCAATTGCCTGCTGGATGACCTTGATCGTCACACGTCCAGTCTGCAGTTTCGGCTCTCTCAATTGTGTTGCTGAATCATCCGTCGACGCCTCCGCCAGCTCCACGGCCCTCCGACAAATATCCAGCGCCCGTCTCGCATCACCACTAACCCCCGCAACCTTCCGACTCGCAAACCCAATCGCATCCTTACTAACAATATCACCCGGGACCCCCTCCAACCTGCTTTGAATAATGGTCTCAAGTTGACTATGCGTGTATCCGGGAAAGGTGATACGGGTTAGCCCGAGCCGCGAGGAGATTTTGTTGGAGAGCATCCGTTCGGGGAGATCCATCGTGTTTGCGACGGCAGCGACGATGAGGCGGGAGTGCCGGAGGGAGGGCCAGTTGAAGAAGTTGTACATGACTGTTTGTTTTTTCGTCACTAACTGATCCAATTCGTCCATCAACACGACACTACACCATATTAGCAAGCTAAAAGGAGGGGATAGAGGACATACCATGGCATCCGCCTCGGACTTGGCCCAGAAAACTCAGCTTCGAGCAAACTCAACGCATGACTCGGCGTAACTCTCTCCCCGCTCAACACCTCCCACAACATCGCATAAGCCTGATTCGCCTCGGTGACCTTCATCCCATTGATCTCTACAAAGATAAAATCATCCAAATCTCCCTCCTCCACACTCTCCCTCAAACTCCTCACAACTTCCCTGACAGTCGCAGTTTTCCCGGTTCCGGGCGTGCCGGAGATGTAGAGACACGAGCCGTGGCCTTCGAGAATGGAGGTGTGGAGGTGGGTGTAGATGGATTCGAATTCGCCTTCGCGGCAGGGGAGGGAGGTTGGTACGGCGGAGACGTGGAGGCGGGCGCGGGCAAGTTGGTAGGGGGAGGAGAGGTATTGGGAGGGAGAGAGCGTGCGCATTGGGAGAGGGGTGATTTCGAGGGGTTTGAGGATTCTGTGTGGTCGTGTTAGTAGGGGGGGCGGAGACCGTACAATTGGATACAATCGTACCTTCTGTTTGTGGGTGTACGTGTCTTTGTGGGGCTTTCGGGCCCTGGTCGTGCGCTGGATGTTCTGGGTTTTCGAGGCGTGCCCGTTCCCCTCTTCCTCTTCCTACTCCGTCGTTGTGCAACCTCTTCGTCACTGGTGATAACCTCCTCTGATTCCTCTGACTCCGACGACAGCGGTTCTTCCGGTTCGTGGTCAGACGCCTCATTCACGTGCTCGTCACTATCGTCGCCATCCGAAACACGCTTTGCCTTCGTTGCCTTCTTCGCCGGCGCCTTTTTCGTAGCAGCTTTCTTCGGCTGTACCTTCTTCGTTCTTTCTGTCGGTGAACCCTCCCTCTCATCGTCCTCCTCATCCTCCTCGTCCTCACTCTCCGTCTCATAGCCCGGACTAATCCTCATATCCCTATCTGCCTTCCTCAACTTCACCCCCACCTCCTCATCAATCCGATCCGCAATCCCCACAAAATCCGTATCCCGCCCCTTGAGCACCTCCTCGATATCGATATCCACAAACTTCATTTTCTTGTTGTTGATACCGCGCTGACATTGGTAGTAGATGTTGATGTCTTTTGACCGGATGGGGATGCCGCGGGGGAACTTTTGGGTGAAGAGGGAGGGAGGGAGGACGCTGACGTGGTGGAGGATCATGGAAATTGTGTTGTCATCGTTCATAAGTGACGAAATATACACCTCGTTCTGTAAGAGAAGGTGAGCCTTGTCTTTAACACAAGGGCTAGCTTTCGTCTTACCTGTAATGGGGGCACCTCAGGCTTGATCCCTGGGTCATCACACCTCTCAAACCACGCAATAACGAACCTCATCCGCTGACTCGGCACCCTCTCATCCAGATCCTCGAAGAAGTGTCGAACAATAGCGACAAGGGGCTTTAGTCTGGTGTTCTTTACCGCGACCATGTCTCCAATTCGATAGATTGTGTCGCCACGTTGGAAGGCAGAGTACGACTTCACATGATGGCCACCGCGCTTGATGAGCTGTGATGGAGGAGGGATCTCTGTCTCGACCCAGACGTCGCCGGTGGGAGCTGGAGCGGTGCCGCGTCCGCTACGTCTGCTGGTCATTGTATGCTGTCTGCCCTTCAATAACGCGTTTAAATGCTGCTCTGGCCGGATTCGAACGTCGAGCTCCGACCTTGACCGTGCACTAGGTGCATATACGCGCTCCTCCAAGAGAACGTGAGAGATTCGACATCATCATGGCAGAGTTCTCGTCAAGCAACGGGTCCCTTCGAGAGGTATACGATGAAGCACAGTCTGTTCAACAGTCGATAGAGGAAGGGGCAGTTCCAGTGGCGGAGGTTCAGGTGTGCGATTCGTGATGAGATTCAGTGGTGACTCGTGTTAACGACGCATGCAGGCTACCGTCGAGAAAGCGATTCGACTCTACGAAGGATGCTGTGAGCTCATCGACCGTATCTCTCTCTTCAGCTTGAATGAGGAGCTGGAGGAAATCAATTCATCGGAACTACGGTATAGCAGGCTCAATAACCTTCCCTCGCTTGTCGTGAAGCTAACTGGCCGGCTATACAGCTATCTTCTATGTCCATATAATCTCGCGAGTCTCTACACCCTACGCATGACCAGCGACCGGAAATCCACACTTGCTCTCTCGCAGAATACCTTCAAATTGTTCCTTACGCAGATTGAGGCATACGGACTCTTAGCAGTAGAAGATAAACGCGCAGCCGAAGCAGCACTCTCCGGGAAAGCATCCGAAGCACTGGGAATGGGACGCGGCGGTGGAGATCCAGCTGCGAGACGAGCCGCGAAGATCGCACGGTATAAACGCGAAAAAGAACTCGAAAGAAACCTTGAGGTACCTTCCTCTTTATTATGTCCCCTAAATCTGTGCTAATAAGAAGTGTACAGATCCTCCGTTCAGCAGATCAATCACACGACGAAACCCTTCGCTCGGTATGGAGTGCAACAATCTCATTCCACGCCACGAAGGCTGTCGCGGCACTAGAAGGTATTGCCCAGGAATTGGAGATGTTGGCATTCATGCCCCCGGTATCGGATCTTATGCGGAGAGAAGAGTTTGATACGCGGGCACGAGAACGTGACGGACAGCGGGGAGACGACTACGATGATCGCGTTGTAGTCGGTGGGCGCGGACTACCCAAGAGTGGACCCCTCCTTGACCCTAATACTGGGAAACCTCTTAGACCGTTCGTCATAACCGGCGACCGCGAACGCTTCCAACAATCCGTCTTTGGGCCCGGCTACAACCTCCCAACAATGTCAATCGAGGAATACCTCGCCGAGGAAGAACGCAGAGGAAACGTCATCAAAGGTGGTGGCGAACAAAGTGGAGAACAAAAAGAGGAGGATGAGGATGATGAGGAGGAAAGTGATAGGAAGATGTATAAGGCTAGGGAGTGGGATGAGTTCGTGGAGGCGAACCCGAAGGGGGCGGGGAATATGGGGTTCCGGAGGGGGTGAAGTGGACCGGACTAACCGATAGCCGAGGTTGTCGGATTTACGCAACGGATCTAAAATGTTGTTCATCTCATATGCCCGATTTTTGATGTTACACGTCGCCTCCATGTCTTTGTAGGCCTCCTCGTACCAAAACACGTCGCCCGCGCCCGGCCCTGACTCCAAAAGTGTTGAGCCGATCCGCGCCGGCCTCGATCTGATAAATACGACAAACAACCGCTCCACCACTCCACCGAGTTCCCTTTGCCATTGAGCAGTACCAACACAAATGGCACTCGACATCCTCGATCTCGTCATTGTATGCGTCGTAGGTCTCGCCACCCTCGCGTACTTCACCAAAGGCACGCTCTGGGCAAAACCCAAGGCGGCCAAGACATACGGTAATGGCACAGCCGCGACTCCATATGCGGGCGGTGCGAAGAAGGCGAAGAGAACGAGGAATATCGTGGAGAAGATGGAGCAGTCTGACAAGAACGTCGTCGTCTTCTACGGCTCCCAAACCGGAACCGCGGAGGATTATGCGTCTAGGTTGGCGAAAGAGGGACATGCGCGCTTCGGACTGAAGACCATGACTGCCGACTTGGAGGATTATGATATCGAGTACCTTGACACTTTCCCGGAGGAGAAGTTGGCGATTTTCGTGTTGGCGACGTATGGGGAGGGCGAGCCGACTGATAACGCGGTGGAGTTTTATAATTTCGTGAGGGATGAGAGCTCTGCTTTCTCCGAGGGTGGGTCAGCAGACGAAAAGCCTTTGCAGAAGATGAAATATGTTGCGTTTGGGTTGGGGAATAGGACGTATGAGCATTACAACGCCATGGTCCGTCAAGTCGACGAGGCTCTCACCCGTCTTGGAGCCAAGCGTATCGGTATGGCTGGAGAGGGTGATGATGGTGATGGTACCATGGAAGAGGACTTTCTCGGGTGGAAAGATGGGATGTGGGAGGCCGTCGCCGCTGAGCTTGGGTTGGAGGAGCATGAGGCGTTGTATGAGCCCACTCTGCAGGTCACTGAGCAGCCTACATTGAGTGTCGCTGACGATACCGTTTATGTCGGTGAGCCTAGCAAGCATCATTTGGGTTCGAAGCATGTTGGACCGTATAATGCGCACAACCCCTACGTGGCTGCTATCACGACTTCGAAGGAGTTGTTCAAGACGAAGGATAGGAACTGTTTGCATATGGAGATTGACTTGGGTGAGTCGGGGTTGAAGTACACTACTGGTGACCATATCGCCGTGTGGCCTACCAATGCTGATCAGGAGGTCGATCGTTTCTTGGCTGTACTTGGATTGACTGAGAGGCGTCACACCGTTATCTCCGTGACTGCTTTGGACTCTACCACCAAGATCCCTCTCCCGTCTCCTTCTACCTACGACGCTATCCCGAGATATTACCTTGAGATCTGCGCACCTGTCTCTCGTCAGTTCTTGTCTACCCTCGCTCAGTTCGCTCCCACCGAACAGGCAAAGGCTGCTCTCGTCAAGCTTGGATCCGACAAGGAGTACTTCAAATCTCGTGTCGCTGACCGTTACTGCAACATTGCTCAGGTTATGGAGATGGTCGCTCGTGGCCACACTTGGGCCAGCGTTCCCTTCTCCCTCTGGATCGAGAACTTGGTTCATCTCCAGCCTCGATTCTACTCTATCTCCTCTTCTTCTTTGCTTTCTCCTCGCACAATCAGCATCACTGCAGTCGTGGAGCGCAAGGCTCCTATGAGTGTTTCGGGTCCTGACCACGAGAGTATGTTACACGGTGTCACGACCAACTACCTCCTCGCCCTCAAGCGCAGGCAGCACGGTGACGAGCAGCCTGAGTTGAACGGAAAGACTTACGCCATCACTGGCCCGCGTAACAAGTACGACGGCATTCACGTCCCCGTACACACCCGTCATTCAAACTTCAAACTTCCCATGGACACCTCTAAGCCCGTCATCATGATTGGTCCTGGTACCGGTGTCGCTCCCTTCCGCGGCTTCGTCGCTGAGCGCGCTCACCAGGCTTCGGCTTTGGGCAAGACGGTCGGAAAGACTGTTCTCTTCTACGGATGCAGAAGACGTGATGAGGACTTCATGTACGAGGACGAGTGGCCCGAGTACCAGAAAGCCCTCGGCGACAGCTTCGAGATGATCACTGCTTTCTCGCGTGAGGACGCTACCAAGAAGACATACGTCCAGCACCTCTTGTGGGAAAAGGCTGAGGAAGTCGATGCGTTGTTGAAGCAGGGTGCGTACTTGTACGTCTGCGGTGACGCTGCGCATATGGCACGAGATGTTCAGGCAACGCTCGTGAGGATCTTTGAGAAGTGTAGGGGTTTGGAGACGAAGAAGGCTGAGGATTTGGTTAAGCAGATGAGGAATGGCGCCAAGTACCAGGAGGATGTCTGGTCGTAAGCTACGACAGAGGGTTATACAGGCGGGGATGGGGGTGCATTCAAGAACATTCATTATACGCGGGAGTTTTCTGTTACGTGTGGCATGGCATATGATTTCCCAATAGAACAACTAATTCTGGAAATAAACGGATATCTATACCCTTCGTTCATCGTGCTTGGCTTATGATACTCCTTCATCTGAATAGGCTATGCGATGCATTCACCTTTCGCAAGCAAGATCTTTTGCAACCTACGACCATTTCCGCGCCTCCATTCCCTCAGGTGGGGTAGGCGCCTGGTATTCTTTCCCAACCTCCGACCAATTCGTACTCAACTTCGTTCCCCCACTCTCGGTATAACTCTTAATCATCGCCTTCCTAGTATCCTCATCCGCATCCTTATACAACGTCTGGAACAACTGATTCAGCGCGGCATCACCAATCGGCTCTGCGTCAGGTCCCGTAGCACTATCGAGATTCGTCGACAAACTCTCCCAGTTCTTCGGTCCGTTGCGGGACGAGGTCGGGTATGCGTGTACGGAAGCTTTGGGGTCTGGGAGGACTTCAGCCCCTTCAAGGGTCGCCCATTGCTGACCGCCCGTGGCTTTCGCGAGCTTGATTTCGATTTTTGTGGACATGACTTTATGACTGGAGTTCTCCACATCGATTTTTCCGCCTAGGGGATCGATTTCGTAGATATAGTCGGAACCGTCGGCGAGGGGGAAGCTGATGGAGAAAGTGATGGGTTGGAATTGTACAGAGACTTTGTCGGATGGGATGCCTTTTGCGAAGAAGGTGAGATTGATGGCCGCAGGGGTTTGGTACCATTCATGGCGGACTTTCTGGGGAGCTGGGGGAACGGCGGGGGTGGAAGGAGCCGGAGCAGCTGCTGCGGTAGATGTTGCGCTGGCAGCCGAGTCTGCGGGAGTGAGTTGCTGAGCTGTGCATGGCTGTTAGCATTCGTCATTCGATATTGGAACAGGGACGGACCTTCGGTAGGTTGGTTGGGTTCCGTAACGTATTCCTCGACAGCAATATCTTGTCCCGGATCTGTCCATGTCAGTAATTGACTATACATAGATATGTCGTGCACTCACTCTTAGCTAGCCCTGCTTTGGCCTTTGCCTCCCAAATCGGAATCGTCTTCTCATTTGGTAGGATTGCCTTTGCTTTGTGCAGGGTGAATTCGGCATCTGCGAAGCGGTCCATCTGAAACAAAGTGATACTGCGGTACACAGTCAGTCAAACTCCGGCGGGTTAAGGAGGAGAACCACATACCCACGGCGCATCTGTGCCTGTCCTATCAATTCCCTCTTTCCACGAGATCTAGCGAGGAAGAGTGCTTGCTCAGCATCACGCAGTGCTTCGTCATATTTCTTGTCACGGCCATACGCGGTGCTCCTATCGAAAGTCGTAAGTACCAGCACCGTATTTTTTTCTCATATCAGAAACCTTTTGATGTAGTAGTCAACTGCGGTTGGTGACTGCGCAATGGCTTCAGTATAGAGTCGGATCGCTTCAGCGTATTGAGAAGCAGAGAGAGCATCCGCTCCCTTAGCTGCCAAATCTGCTGCTGATGGCATTGCTTCAATTGCTATACAACTGTACTGCTATAGGTGGAGGAGATCAGAGGATGGGGTGTCGTTACGATCCACGTAGGAATGTTCCTGCTGGAATTAAGGTTTAAGGGTTGCATGATCTTGCATGGCTCGCGGGAAGGCAGTCCATGAGCTGAGCGAGTAATACAGGACAGAGTATAAATCATGTTGAGTCATGTCTTTTGTTCTCCATGTTCTCTAGACAGCGAGACCTCTTTCTAAGCGATCTTTCGATGTATGCCTGGCAATGTTCCCATTCCATATGTGCCGGTTTCTCTGGTAAGGCCCCCTATGCTCCCTTCCAAACCGTCTATCACTGCACCAAGTTCTGTCTTCTCATTTCCACAGCCCTTTTGTACGGCGGCGCTGTCGGCGGCTGTACAGGATCCAAACTCACTCTCTCTGCACCACCCTCAAGATGATACGTCGCATCGGAATCAGGTTGACTCAAATCACCACATGCAATAAAAGGCGCAATCCATCCTTCACTTCCTCCACTCGGCAAACTTAATGGCTTCTCCAGCGTAGGAGTGAATCCTTCTGGCGGAGTATAGTTCTCGCACACAACGAAAGCTTCCAGGGAGGATCCACGCGATGAACGAGGTTTTGCGCATGTTACACGCTCGAAAAAGACCTTCAGTTGAGCGTATAGAAGGCCGACATCACGACCACGGAAAATCTTGGCGACGAAGGTTCCTCCAGGGCGAAGGACACAGGTAGCCAAAGTAAGTGCTGCCAGCAGCAACTGAGCCTGGATGTATTCGTCCAAGTCATGGAGACCAGTAACATCTGGTGCACCATCACATACCACCAAATCTGCTGGTTCCCCTCCAAGGTGGTGCATGACGGTTGGTAGTGTTGAAGGATGGGTAATGTCGAGCTGTAGCGTTGTAACACCCGGTAACGGCGCCATGGGTTGCAAATCGAGCGAAACAATCGTCGGGGCTTCACCAGCAGGCACGTTCTGTGCAAGCTTCCTCGAAAGCACTTGCGACCACGACCCAGGCGCCGCACAAAGATCCACGACCCGTCTCACATCCTCGAAAAGATTGAACTCCTCGTCAAGCTGCAACAACTTGAACGCCGACCGCGCACGCCACCCCTGCTCCTTCGCCAGACGGTAGTAAGCATCACGCTTGTCCTTACTCGACTTTCCCATTTTTCTGATCGTTTTACAGATTTTTCGGTCTTATCGGGTTGCGGAAAGCAGCTTTGACCCCGCGGCGCGGGTGGCTGGGTGCAAAGCTCGTACTTGGAAAAGTCCCGAGAGCGGTCGGCGGCCGTGAAGGCATCGAAGAGCTCGAGCAATGGCAGGAAATAACCAGATGGAGACAGATGCGCACTCGGTATGGACTTGAGCTATGAATTCTATGGACTGGTGCTCATATGTTGTTACAGCGGAAGCGGAAGAGGACGAACCTCGAGTGGGAATTGGAGCGAGTCAAGGGATACCTGGGAGAGGATCCCAAGCTGGTAAGGGTCAAGATGGCACTCGGCCGTGAACGTCACCGTCACAGGGAAGCTCCTGAGTTTTCGGATCGTCAGGCCGCAGTCAACAAAGCCAAGGAGTTGCAGAAGCAGCTCGTGGAGCAGAAAGTCTTTCACGCCAACAAGGAGGCCCTGAAGGCCTTGAAAAAGGCGAAAACCTTTGAGACTCAGAAGTTGGTGAAGAGGCTGAAGACTGCTCGTGAGGCGGAGGAGAAGGATGATGCTCAGATCCTGAGACTGGAGGCGGAGATGTCCGCGCTGAAAGAGATCGATCTTCCGAAGTTGGCCAATGTTCACATCTCAAACAAGCTGCACAAGCGTTACGACTTGGTCGAGACTGGTTCTCTTCCCGATGCTGTCGAAAACCCCTACAAGGACTCACCTGATTCTACCAAGAACGTCATTGCGCGACTCTTCAATACCAAAGTCGTGAAGGAGGTTGCGGATACGGCTGTGGAGTCTGTTGGACGAGCAACTGGAGTCGTCGAGAAACCGAAGGCTGTGGACGAGAAGAAAGAAGCAAAAAAGGCGCGGAAGAAGGAGGCCAAGGCTAAGGCTAGGGCTGCGAAGGAAGCTACTGCGAGAGGAGAGGAGATCAGTGGTTCTGATGCGGAGGATGAGAGCGAGGGCAGTGATGAGGAGGAGGTGGAGGACTTCTTCGATATGGGTGATGCTTCGGATGAGGAGAAGGTCCCTCCTGTTAAAAAGTCTAAGAAACGCGCAGCTTCGGCCGACTTTTCAGATGAAGATTCCGCCCCTCCCGCCAAGAAGGAGAAGAAGGAGAAGAAGGCGACGAAGGAGGCCAAGCTACCAAAGAAGCCCGACTCAACTGTCTTCCTCCCATCTCTTTCTGCAGGTTACTTCTCGGGTGGATCTGATTCTGACGCTGACCGCGAATACGCCGAATTCGATAAGAAGGAGCGCAAGAACCGCATGGGTCAACGTGCTCGTCGCGCACTTGCCGAGAAGAAGTTTGGACGTCATGCGGCTCATGTCAAGAAGGAGCAGGAAGAACGTCAGAAGGAGAGGGAGGCATTCGATGAGAGGAAGAAGAAGCGTGAAGTTAGGGATACCATCAAGGCAAAGGAGTTGGCAGAGAAGGAGGCGAAGAGGAGGGAACTGGAGGCTAAGCCGGTTCACCCGTCTTGGGCTGCCAAACAGGCGCTTAAGGAGAAAGAGAAGACAATTGTACCTTTCCAGGGTAAGAAGATTACTTTCGATTAGACTATAACTAGGGTATTTATGGTATTCTTTCGTGTGATGGCCGGAATGGCACGCCTAATGCATCAAAGATCTGCTCCTCCGTTTCGCTGACAACCAGCTCGCCATCTCGAAACAGTCCATGCTGATTTAACCGCATTCCCCTTTTCTTGGCCAGCAATCTCATCGATCGGTTGAAGATGTCATTACCCGTAAAATACAGCAGTGCAGCGCCAAGTTCTTGCCACGGAACGAGCAGTATATCCAGCCTCCTGTGCTTTGCGTCGGGATCTGTTCGCTTCGCAATACCCATCCACTTGCTTCCATCCGTGTTGTGCGCCACGGCGAGATCGTGAGTGATGACTTTGCGGATCCTCAGTCTTTTCGTGAGTTTCGTAAGAACACCGCGAAGCTCGGTGATCTGAACATTGGGTTTCGTGATGATAATATCGACATCTCCACATTTCTCTGCTCCTCGACGGAACGACCCCATGGTATGCAGCTCCAGTCCTGGATCGATTGCCCGAGCTTCGTCAATGACAAGACGTGAAATTGCAGCTGCTTCCCACCGGGGCATCTTCTCGTTCAGCTCGTCGTAGTGCTTGATCCCAACCTTCTGGTCGTACGTAGGCTTACCCCTATCAAGGACATCTTGTAACGTCTTGATGCCGGCTTGCACCCATTTCTGAGCCTGTACCGGGCCAACGCCATAGATACCTGTGAGAAGCCTTTTGGCATTGTCATCTGGGTTGTCTGTTGACTCAAGCCTTTGAAGTCTTCCGGTGGCCACAATTTCTTCGATCTTCTCCGCAATCCTCGTACCAACACCCGGTAATTTCGACGCTTGCTCAGCTGTTGCAATGAAAGTCTTCCCTTTCTTCAAAGAGGTGATGGCTTTTCTGTACCCTATGGCACGCCAGTTATCCTCGGTGTCCTCGTAATACTTCTGCATTTTCGTAAGGATGTCGATCGTTTCGTTGTTACGATTATCGTCGTTCTCGCCGGTGTTCGCGTGCATACACTGAAAGGTCTCTTGCCATTTCGGCGTCGCGGGTATCCTTGACACGTCGCCAACTCCTTCCTCGTCCTCTTCGTCCTTCGAACTTTTCCTAGATAAACTTGGTCGGCGACTTGAGCCATCGTCTTCCAAATCGAGCGCAGCGGGGAGCTGAATTGCCTCTGCAATGGCAGCATCAAGTGCATCGAGAGGCTTCGTTTCTCCAGCTTGTGCATCCACGGCCGTCGCCTCCATACCTTCGCGCGGAGGGTAATTCAGTGAGCCTGCTTGTGGCTTTCTAGGTGTAGGAAACTCCTCAGAACTGATGCTCGTAGTATGTTGAGACGACTCAATCTGCTTGCGCTGCCTTGGAGGCTTAAGCTGTAGTGACTTGTCGGATTCAGGCTGCGAATGCGTTGATACCGGCGTTTCTGTAAGTAGGCCTTCAATGACGTATTGGGCTTCGTCGCATCGTACAATCCTACCCATCATAATGCAATTAGGCGTCCAGGTAGACTTCACGACATTCACGCCAAAAGGCACATGCTCCATGCCCAACACTTTAAGGACTACGCTGCCCGGTAGCTGAGCATCCACCACGATATGCGTCACAGCTTCAGACCATTCATTGGCAATCTCTGCCCCAAACTGTTCCGCCTTATCCATCCTGGCTTTACGTGACCCACTGCGAGCATTCGGAATGAAGTACAATGTCAATCCTGAGAAAAGTTGCGGATAAGGCGAAGCTGAAGTCTTGGTTTGGTGTGCCTGCAAGGGCGTTGTTCTTTCAGGCAGAGATTTCGCCTTCTTGAGCGCCGCTGGGGTCCGCAGGGCTCTCTTCATTGCGTCCTCTTTCGTCATAAACCGTGGTGACTGCGAACTCTCAGAAGGACCAACTTGCGAAGACGGTGCAGTGCGATTCCCAGCACCTGCTCTCGCCGGTATGTGTGTCGTCAGTGTCGACTGTATGTTCATTGATGCCTCAGGAGCCCCATTAGCAGCATTCACCCCTAGAACTGGTGTCAAGTGGTTGGAAACTGCAGCCTGCTCCTTCAAGTCAGGAATGACTCTCGTCGATAAGGTTGTTGTAGCTGCCATATCTTCCACATCTGCATTTGATACAACCGTTCCAGGCACAGTAACGGCGTTCAGAGGGCCCTCGTTCAAGCGAGACTTCTTCTGCTGGATTCCGTCTTCTGTACCGCTACATATCCGCTTTACCGCGGTAGAAGGACTTATCTCCTCCCGAAAGGCTAGAGCCGGGACATAATCATCATCCTTCCCATTGAAGACATCGTCATGGAAGGCAAAGAACGAAGCCTTGTCATCTGAATTGGTGAATGAGAATGTATTTCTTTTCCATGGATCCATTGTTGAGCATTGCGAAGAGTTGTTCAGAGGTGTTAGGTTCTCAGAAGTTCGTACGTCCTGGATATGATGCACGGTAACGAAGACTGTGCTGAATTGCCGAATTCGGGAAGCTATGCCAGCACAGTAACACCGCGGAAGAAAAGTGAGGGACAGAGATGTGATGTAGATGATGTATTCCTCCCAGCTCCCGATATTTTGAGTATCATGAACCATCCCATCTTACACAAAATATTGCCCGCCAACTTAAAGTAACATAAAGCAACAAAGATATGATCAGGAAACCCAGAAAGCCAGCCTCTCCTCTAACCCATACGAAGAAGAAGAACGTTAACACATAAGTGGGACCAGCAACTCCCTGCCCAACGCCTGCAATGAACGCATGTCATCTAACGCATTTCCAGCAAATACGACCATCGTGCGACCACCTTAACTGCCTCTCCAACTCATTTTAGTCCTTATACTTCCTCATGAAGTCCTCGTGGAACTTGACGATACGCTCAGCGTACTCAGTTCCAGGAGCCAAAAACGTCGTTCTCAAATGGATCGTACCCTCCTTCTGACCAAATCCACTACCGGGGACCATACACACACCCGTCGCATCCAACAATTGCAAACAATAGAACGCATCGGGGGTCTTTCCAGCCTCCGCGGCAGCATCAAGCGCCTTCTGCGGAAGGGTCAAGCGGGGGAAGAGGTACATGGCACCCTGAGCGTCCTGGCAGTCGACGCCCTCCATCCTCTTGAACGCGGAAAGAAGCGCCTGTGAACGCTCCTTGAGACTGTTGTAGATGTGGCTGTATTCCTTATTGTAGAGGGGATAACTCTCATCGCCCTGCTTTGGTGGATTTACCATCAAATCAACGAGGATTTGTCCGGATACAGGTGGGCAGAGAGTAATGGATACCGACTTGTAGATGATATCGCGCACATCTTTGTCGAAACCTGTCAACTCGAAGTACCCACCTCTTCGTCCACACTCTCCAATCATTCCCTTCGACGTGGAGTGGAAAGAAACCATATCGAGGCCCTCCATCGACGGGTCCTCCGCGCACATATCGCGGTACACCTTCTTGAACGACACGAACGGACGGTCAGAAACGAACGTATTCGTCTGATACACCTCATCGGCCAACAAAACCAAACCCTCCTCCTTACAGAACCTTAGAACGTCCCTCATGTCCTCAACAGCCAAGCAGTTTCCTGTAGGGTTACCGGGGTTGATGACGACCAGCGAACGCACATCGGTACCCTGCGCCTCGGCCTTCTCCAAACCATCACGCATGTCGTTCATCGAGACTGACCACGCTTTCTCCTCGTCCAGGTAATATGGCACCGCACGACCGTTCAGCATCGCCAACGTCGCAGTGTAGAGAGGGTATTGAGGAATAGGGATTAAACATCCGGTGCTTGGATTTGCAATGAGGATGTGGAGGATGGTGTGCACACCCTGAGACGCACCAGCAGTAAGGTATATATCCGCAGGGTCCGCGGGGTGACCATCACGCTCCTCAAGGAACTTGGCGACGTTCTTCCTGATACCCATCACACCCTGCGACGCACTGTACGCACCCACTGATCCGATCTCCTTCAGAAGTACTTGCGCCCTTTCGATTGCATCACTAGGGAATAGCTTCTTCGTGACTGGCAAGTTCTCCTCGCTGAGAAGATCAGGACATTCGGTCAACGCGATAACCTGGCGGAAAAAGGTCAAAGGCTTCTGATCCAGCTGCTGCGGATTGCCGATATTTGCGTTGATTACATGGTCGAATGGCAGCTTCTCACCGGCCTCGAGGCGATCGCGAAGGTCTTCCGCCTTGATAGCAAGCTCACCACGTACAGCGTACTCCGCTGCACGTACATGAGGATTAACCATATCCGCGTTCAACCTTGACTTGTTGTGCATGGTAGTTGTGAAGGTACGACCTAAGCAAAACTCGTAAGCCAACGGATCAGTCACCAATATGGATCGATGCAACATACTCGTAGTACTGGATCTTGGAGCGTTTGAAGCAACTGACGACGCACACGATGAGGCCCTTGATGAAGCCGCACTAGCAGTGCGGGAAGCGGCGTGAAATAGCAGTCTTCCTCGAGTACAGGTGCAGCTCATGGTTATGGATTGTGTGATAAGGGCTGTTTGAAAGATATAAAGATCGACTCCGGGATGATGACTCAAGAAACGCTGACGCCGCTGCTTGATAACAGAGATATGGAATGTCGTTTATTGAAGCTGGAGGTCCTTGATCCGTATGACTCTGTTGCTGATCGCCTGGCTGATATAGAGGAGGGGGTAGATCTGTCGGCGTCTCTGGCCGAGACTCGGAGGGGCCGATATATCAACGTGCAGTCTCCACCTGAGGTCGCGGGTTTCCGGGCACAAAAGTCGGTTGTCTGCGGAAGAGAAACTGTTTCTATAGAAAACTTTACTTGACAAACCAATGTAATAGAAAATCCTACTCACCCCAGCTGCTGCAGTCGCCGTCGAGGTCTCGTTGCAATTGGTGCCTGGGCCGGGGCGAGTACGGTAGGTATGCTACAGTATGCCAGTCTCGACGCCGTCCATGAGATCCACTTGAAAGATTTTACGTCTCCTCCTTGCGATTCTTCGCCTGGTGTTGGATCTCTGGTGTGGCGATATCAAAGACGGTATTCTATTTGTAGGTCCTGGACTCTAGGCGTGGTATCATCGACTTGTTAATTTATAACGATCCGGTATCTCTTGACTGTCATTATCTTCGTTCACCCTCTGATTGTACATCCCGTGTAACCACACAATCCTTGTCACACAATCGTTTAAGCCGACGAAGCCTCCTCGCCTTTCATAATGACCCACGTCATGGCATCCTTCACGCAAGCCGACAATTTCTCATGCGTCCACTCAAGCTCCCCACCAGGGCTTGGAACATGAATGAACAAAACTTTCGTCTTCTTTCCAGTAGCTGCTTTCAGGGAGTGAAAATATGTCCATTCACACAAATACAACCCAGCGTCGTTACTGACTTGCACTTTGCCTTCCCAACCCTTTCCCTCCAAATGGGCTACAAGTGCAGGAACGTCGATAGCAGTTGCGTACTCCTGTTCTCCCTCGCCCTTCGGAACGGCGAACCCTCCGGGCGTGACCAGCCCATCGGTATCAGGCAACTCATACCCCGAACGTCGTGCACGGGTCTCAATGGACACTTTGGGGCGCGCGGCAGATGCACCGCAGTGGAAGATGTAGTCCCATTCTTGCTCTTCGTACACCTTCTCAACCATTGCCTTGAGTCCCGGATAAGAGACGTGGTTATCCCTGCTCTTCGTCAGTGGAGCGTCCGGCCCATCGGGCAAGGCGATGGTATCAGGAAGGAAGCGGATCAGCTCTGATGACGGATTCGTTTCGATCTTGACATTAACTTTCTTGACGCTGAATGGACCAAATCCGGTGATGAGAATGCTGAGTGTGCGATCGTTAATAGGAGCCATTTCTGCAATGACGTACGACGAGATCAGAGGACGAAGACCTGGAACTGGAGAAGGTATCACGGGCTATAAATGGTCAATCACTGGGTTATCTGGTACTGACTTTAAGCTCGGCAGAGGGTGGGCAATTAAGGCGGGGCACCTCCATACGTCTTGTACGTCCTGGCGATCTGGGGTTCCGAGAGAGCCGAGGGCAGCGAGAACTGAGCAGGTCGTGGCAAACTGCAGCTGACCGGGCCACAAGCATTTCGGTCGCTACAAATACGAAGAACAGCTTTCAGATTTCAACATTTTGCATTGATACTTGCAGACAACTACTACAAATATTCTGCAACTGCCGTCAAAGCCAAGCATTAAAACGATTCCAAGCATAAGCTACTGCATTTTCATATTAAGCCGTACGAATCCCGTCAATCCCAACAGCACCCCTCAATACACCGTTGGACCCCGGTCCTGTAGCCTCACTCATGAGGGGCCGGTTCTGGTGATCTACCATGCGCTTAGGTTTCCTGATCTCCTGAGGCTTTTCGCCCTTCCTCAAAAGCGAGATGTACTTTTGAATTTCCTCCGGCGTCGAAAACATGTAATGTGTATGGATGTCGTCCAAAGGGAACGAAAGCCCGAGGTCTTTCAAGCGCGCATTGTCCAGATGGCGGTTGAAGAGTTTGATACCCAATATGTTACCAAAGTGCTTTTTAAGGTCTGGCGTCGTCTCCGCGACACCCCAGTTGGTGAGGTTGTACGGATTTGCATCCATAGTGAGGAAGCGGTCTCCGCGCACCAGGGCGATTGCATCAGACAGAATAGCAAAGGTAGCCGTGTAACCTGTGCAGAGGCCCGCGGCAGGGCCGGCCGGCTTTGCCTCCTCAGCAACGATGCCAGGGTACAGTTCCACATTATCAACCTTCTTGTAAAGTTCCTTCAGCTCGTTTGCCAACTTCGGATTCATTTCATTAAAGTCCTTGAAAGGACGCAAGCCAAGGAATTTCCTGTATTCGTTTAGCGTACAGACACCTATTTTGCGTCCATGTTCGATGCCCAAGATCTATGCCGACATGTTAGTGATGCCAGAGCCGGCTTCGAATTGCACATACTTCGATAGGCTCGAAAATCGCGGGAATTTGCGTGCCCCCAAAGGCACCGGCAGGCATCTTCCTTGAGGCTTTGAGCTTTTCAGCAAGAATCTCATCTGGATATTTACCACTGTCTGTCCGTTCCATGTTCGGTAACGCACCGTTCTGATTGTCGAAGTAGTCACGTACACGGGGATCTTCGAGTTCACGATTCCTGTGCCGGCTGTGCATTGCCTTTGAGAACTCATCGGGAGTTGGAACGCCAGGCTTATTTTTCATGAGAGCATGAATAGCAACTTCGGCCCATGCTGCATCGTCCTAAGAAGTAGCATGTTAATTATTGCGTGATGGAAGTCTCTACACACCGTACCTGGGAGATAGCGGAATGCCACCTTGTTTGCAGTCTTGTCAGTAATATATAGAGGTAGGCCGGCTGTGTACATACCTGTAGATGAAGTTGAACTGCGAAAATGTTAGTTATGCTCAATACAAGGGAGTTGACTTCATACCTCAATGGAACATTGGTTACCCGTAGCTTGAGGGATGTCTTTTGGCATCATCGAGAAATCTTTGGGGATGGGAACGGTCCAGATCGAGTCTTCCCTATAGAGTGCGAGAATCGTCCTAACGTAGTCCCTCACGATGGCCTGCACAAAAGTCATGACGTTGATGTTCCTCGCGACTTGGAACAAATCTTCGTCGTATTTTTCCCACTCAGCAATAGTGTTAGGCTTCGAGGCAAACCGCGTATCGTCTGTGGCGTTCAGGACGAGCTGTTCGGCAATCCAATTATGATTGCGGGCCCACAAAAGAGCATAAGAAACAAGACCAGGAGGTTGGACAATCAAGCGTCGATCGGCGAAGACATCCGGGTACAGTTTCCCATGGAAAGCATTGTGACCCATGATCCAGTTCTGTATGGGTACTCTTTCAGGTGTACTCATATGCTTATTCCTGTTCTTCTTATCAAGGACCCAGTCTTGCATCCACTTGGGCATTTCTTCGTTTTTCAAGTAACTGACCTTGGCTTCGTCGGTCTCTTTCTTGGTATTCTTGCTCAAATCAGGCTCTTCTTTCATGATTTTTTCCACCCATTCGTTCCAGCGAACAGATTGCTGCATGTGGGCAGTCCATCCTACGACGCCTGGGGTTAGTGGTTGTTATGTGTACCCTCAGATGTAACATACCATACAACCAGCTCATATCGGCGTAGCTTGTCGTCTTGTTGATAGATTGATCGGAATTCTTAGAGTTGAAGAGATCATGGGTGATCAAAGTTGCGTTGTAGAAAAAGTTGGCCGAAATGCCGCTCGGGTGCTTTGTGAAATCTCTCCTCTTCAGAATCTTGTCAAACACATCCTTTGCGTCAGGCAACTTCCCCGAACCATCAAACAACTCAGTCTGGGGGGCTTCCTTGGCGTCGTGGACTGGTGAGGTGACATCACGAATGAGTCTTCCGTGAGCTTTTCCAATGTCCGCAAGACTGAGATTGTTATGGCTCCCATCAGCTTTGCGATATTGACCACCCAGCGCGTAGTGAGCCCAGTTTCCGATAGGATGAGGAAGAGCGTTCCATAAATTGCTAACAATCGCGTACTCCAAAAGAGGACGAAATGTCGAGTTTCTGGGTGCCGGCGGAAGTCTGCAGCACCACACGAGCAAGTCTTCTTGACGAAGCTTGCGGTCATCGACGTATTTGAAGACATTTTCCCAACCGTACTCAATCAAGGACATCAGATGCAAAGCCGTATCCCATGGAGTCAGTTTTCCCATCTTCACGTCCGCAGCAAGGCCATCAATGACTTTGAGCACCCAGTATGCAGAGCTGAACACAGCCGGAGCGAAGTCGATCCACAAAGCGAGAAAGTCCAAGAAACCATCCAAGAGGGTTGCCACGACTCCGTGATCACCGCTCATTGGCGCCGACCTATCCAATTTGAAACTCTCGCTGAAGTCGAAGTTTCCGCAGCCGAGGACGGGCGAAAGCGACAGGGCCAAGAAGAAGGGGTATGCTACGAAGAAGATGAAAGGGTAAAGGATGAGGAAGCGCGCGTTGAAAGTCACAAATCTGTAGATGTAGGAGCCATCGTTCATGGCCCAAGTGATGAGGGAAGCCATCGTGAATGTTTCGTCGTTGAGCTTGTGACTGACAACTCCGAAGCTTGTAGTCCAGCTGTGTCAGGAATTTCGCTCACTTATAAATGACCTTTCACATGAGCCAAGTGTATAACCCTCCACGCATCTCCCTGATCATGAGAACAACATCCGAGCCTCGGTCCGCGCGTGACAGGCCTCGAGAAATTGTAATGCTCATATTCCTGGGCCGTGATTCGTGGTCGGATGAACCTCTTAATGTGCCACGTACACGGCATGTGGAGACCCTTAATACACGGACGGCCCGTAACGAAGGTTAAACGTTGACCTCGGGCTAAGACCATCTCAGGTTGGGATCAGGAATGCCGATCCGCAAACGTACACGTTGAAGCCTGCCAAGAACAGCACATGCAAAAGTCGTCAGTTTTCGACGTGTATTGAGGCCTTCAGACACATCCTTCTTACTGCGTTGGAGAGGGCCGAGGCTCGGAGTGCCATTGCTTCACCCGCTGTTTGAGACATACCGGGCGCCAACCGAGGCAGGTGGAGGAACTCACATCCGACCGGTAGGAATGTTGCCCAGATGTCGAAGTCTTCCAAGGTTATGAATGGCTACAATGACCTCTTGACTCTGGTTAACCATGGCCAAAGGCTCCAAATGTTATCGTCAATATCGTTTGTGGAGTTACGGTCAACCCTAGCCCGCCCTGAAACCCCGGGGTGCAACCAGCAACCCCGCATTATCACTCGTTCAGTGCCCATGGAAAACAGCTGTAAAAGCATCATGAATCGATATAATCCTACATCAAGCTATAAAGCCCTTTTGTAGTAAGTCTACGCAGACTTAAATCCATACCCAGCATTCACCATCCCAGGCCTGGGCATCTGTCCCATAGCCATCCCCATCCCCATCCCCATATTCTGTGCTCCAACCGGCACGCCTCCCATCTCAAATACCGGCTGCGGAACCTTATTATGTTCCCCCACCATCCCCATCTGCTGCTCCCCTTTCGTATAAACAACAGGCTGGCCCTTATGCACCTTCGCATGTCTCTTCAACTGATCCGGCCTCTGAAATGCCTTCCCACACCCCGCAACCTGACACTTATACGGCCTCTCGCTCGTATGCGTCCTAACGTGTTTCGCTAAATTACTACTCTCCGAGAACCGTTTTCCACAGCCCGGGAACTTGCATACGAGGGGTTTGTCGCCTGTGTGAGTACGCATGTGGACGGAGAGTGCGGTGGAGGCTGAGAAGCATTTGGAGCAGACTGAACAGACGAAGGGCCGTTCGCCGGTGTGGGTTCGCATGTGTTGTTTTAGCACTCCTTCTTCTGCGAATCTGTGCCCGCAGATGGGACATTTGTGAGGTCGGTCGCCTGTATGCGTTTGGAGATGGCGGAGGATTTTCTGGCGTTGGGTGAAGGGACGTTCGTCGCAGAGACGGTCACAGCCGAGCCAGCGGCATTCGTATTTTGCTTTTCGGCTGCCGACGTGTGCATCGCGGACGTGTTCGCTGAGGGCTTCGGCGGTGGGGAAACATGCGTTGCAGACGTGTTCTTGGCTGACGTCTGAGGAGCCCAGAATGTCTTCTGATACCCACAGACATTGGTGGTGACCATGCGCTTGCTCCAGGTGAGTCGTCTTGACGTGCTCAACGAGACCTAGGCGAGTATCCGGGGTCGTGATCTGGTGATTACACGAATCCCAGTGACAATGAGGATGAGGCGCATGCATCTCCAGTAAATGCTCCGAGAACTCGGGTAAGGTAGGAAAGGTCTGATGACAATCCGACCAATGACAGTGAAAGAAGTCGGCGAGCATAAGATCGATGGTGCCTGACCCGTTCGCAGAAGTATCGATAGGTATAGCCGTGTGTTGTGCTTGGGAAAAGGACTGATGCTGGTTAATCTCTGTCGGTGACAAGCTCGGCGACGTAGGCAAATGATGTGAAGGTGTATGCTGGTGGTGGTGGTCATGATTATGCTCGTGATGGCACAGATGCTGATGTTGATGTTGCAGTGACGGATATGCACCCAACTGCGATTCGAGATGAACATGGCTATGATGATGATGACTCGGAATCTGCGGCGGCGTAGGCAGCGGTATCGGCATCTGCCTCATTACGTCAAACTCCGCATACTTCTGAGCCTGCGCCTGAGCCTGACCGTCCACCCCAAATTTCTGATGCTCGTGAAAGTGATTATGCTGATGACTGTGAACATGCGGAATTCCAGCCTGGTGTAACTGAAGATGTTCGTGCGGGTTGAGAGCATGGTGGTGGTGAGGTTGGGAGAGGTGTGCGTGTTGGTCCATGCAACGCAGGAATTCTTCGTCTGACATTTGGGCATTTGGGACGTTTAGGTCTGCGCAGCAGTCCCAGGTGTCCATCGGGTTTGCCCATGGTAGGACGGTGGGTGTATGCGTGTGACTGCTGTGTGCTGGCGGATGAACGCACTCGGTGCAGTCATCAACAACTTCACCACAAGGCTCACCACAGGGCTCACAAGGTTCAGCACATGCATCCAAGCAAGTCTCCGCAGAACACTCTTCGTCGTCGCAACATTCCGCATCCGTGCTGTGACATGTAGACAAGCATTCATCCCCACACACGGGATCCTCACAAGCAACTTCACTAGGACAACACGACGCAGCAGCAGGCTGACAATCTGGGGTACACAACTGCTGTAAGATCAAATCCGTCGTCAAAGGATTCGACGGCGCACACTCCGCATCCGTACAACACTCCAACAACATCGCCGTATGGGGCCCATAAATCTTGCAATTATCCGCAAAGGAACTCGAACACCCTTGTTCTCCACACTCGCTCGCTGTCGGGATACCTTCGCAACACGATTCAGTCCCAGTACCAATTTCGTCGGTCAAGGCCATCCTGTCGAAGTGATCCATAGCACAGAGTCTCTTGGGTGGTCGTTCGTCCGTGTCTAAGTACCCAACATGGCCTCTCCTCAACCGGGAGGGATTGTGCTGATCATCCTCACGTCTTTCCGACTCGTGCGTGCTCATAACCATCAAGGTCCTCGCCGCCCATAGATTAAGGTGCAGCTGCCTACCGCGGATAAACGGCTGCGGCGAATGAGAGACGTAAGTTGGACTGTTATGAACAAGGCCCTGGATGTATGCTGCCAAGTCTTTCGATGAATCAACCTGCTTGAGTCCAGAGTACACGTTCCAAGCTGAGGTCGTCCTCCCCCCCACAGCAGGGCGGCAAGGCGCAGTCAATGCAGGGAGTTGGCAGGAGCGCGCGCAGGCGAACCGATCGTCTACGGGTACGGTAGCGCTCTCCGCGTAATATCGACTCCAGTACACCCCGTCCAGCATACATTCAGCATGGGAGCTCTCTGCGGTAGACAATCTGATTTCCAAGAAGACCGTCTTCCGTCTCAACGGCCCTCTAAACCTTCTTCACACGCCGCCGGCGCATCGACCAGCGCCCGACCCACGACATCAACCGCACGCCAACGACAACCCAAGGGTAAGTCGAAATCCAACGGGCAACGACTAGGCGGCACAAGTCCAGAAGTATCGGCAACAGAAAGCGTCTCCGCACGGGACGCAGCAGCAGCAGCCGCAGAAGCCCGTGCAGCTGCGGCATCTTCGCGCGGGAAGCCCGTTTCGCCGACAATAGGCGGGAATGGCGGTCCTGGTGTTGTGGCAGGAGGTGGAAAACTGGCGAAGCAGTTGGAGGAGGAAAAGAGGAAGACGGATCGGCAGGTCTTGAAGGAAGCGGCGGAGAATGAGTTGGCGAGGAAGAGGGGGGAGCAGGGGAATCTTGTGGTATGCCAAGCATCGTTTGTTATTGGACACTTTTACTGACGCTCTCATACAGTGGGATTGAACTTCGGCAGCATCATTAGGTGAAATGCCTATATCTGAGAGGCAAGATAGGGGGCCAGGAATACGGACGGCGGATGGATGGCGTTTGAATTAGTACCGCTCGACGATGGCTGGCAAGGTTGGTAAAGTCGACAATCTTGACAAGCAAATGGTCTTAGTAGAAGCTTAACATGGTAAAGTCCCTGGTATATTGTCATCATGCCAGCATGACTGCTCGGTATCTTCCGTCCACCTCCCCACATCCTACATCACTTCCCTTCCCACACTCCTACCTCTCCCTCAACGATACAGCGTAATCTCCGACTGCTTGAAATACCGTCTCTGATCCTCATCAATCAACACCAAACTCAAATAATACCTCGTCGAAAACTTCTTATTAACATCCCGGAACGTCGGCGTCAGATCGAACCCACCCAAAAACAGTCTGATCGGGATCGTTTCACCACGGACTGGTGCGCCGTCCATGATCTCGAACCGAGTGATCGTTTCAGATTCGTTGTATTGATTCGGTGCCGCGCCTGTTGTTTCTCGCCGAATGATGGAGAGCTCCATGTGTTTGATCTTAAGTCGGACGAGGAGGAAGTAGATCTTCCCGACAATGACGTCTTTAAGGTGGTATTTTGATTTCGAGTACTCGAATTCGATATGGAGACAATCCTCGATTCCGACGTCCATCTTGATGGAGGAGTTGGATTCGGGAACGGGACGGTAGGAATAGACCCACAATTCCTTCTCGCGGACAACGTCGGCGACGCGGCGGCTTACTGTTACGCGGACGAAGTAGCGTAGTTTTACGTTAATTCCGTGGTAGGATTCGTACTGCTTCTCGACGTTCTTGAACTCGAAGTCGAAGGTTTGCGCGTTTCGCATTTCGCCTGGTGCGGCGAGTTCTTGTACGAGCGAGAGGAACTCGTAGTGGTTCCCGCGATCAAAGAAGAGTTCGATAGAGCCAATGAATTGGACTTTGATACCGGTGTGTTCGAGTCGCTTGTTGTCCTTTGGTCGAATTGTAACGGAGCCTTTTACGGATTCACCATCGAGGTAGAGCGGTGCCTGTAGAACGATGTCAGTCACATCCGAGGCGCAGACAGCTACACGCTATGCTACCTTCTCCCTCCGGTCCTTGTCGACCTTGACCTCTACCATCTTTCTCTCATCTGCAATTGACGGGTCAGCCGCATACATTTCGAGCGCCATCATGACCACGCACCTTCGCCATCCAACCGTAGATCGATGTCAAGGGGACCTTTGAGAGCTGTCAGACGGGTTCATTCAACATGATTGAGTCTCTCACTCTTGAAGAATAACGAGGCCATGGGGATGAATGCTTATCGTACGGTGTAGAGGTTGGTGCTGGTGGTGCATCAAGCAGTTGCGGTTGCCTGTCCCCATTCACGTCGCGCGTCTGGCGTTTCGGAACGTCTACCGGCTAAAGTCCGGGGAGGGCCGCCATATAAGAAGTCGGCCCCCAAGCAATTGAACCCCATCGCCGACAAGATGGTCAAGCCAATCATCGTAGTAGCAGGTATGGTATCAGAGATCGGCCAAGTAAGCCCGGCTCACGGATGATATACAGGCCCAGCATCCTGCGGAAAGACCTCCGCAGCCGAGGCAATCTCCCAAGAATTAAGGTTTACATACCTCGAGGGTGATGACTACCACCCACCAGAAAATATCAAGAAAATGTCTGAAGGCCACGCGCTCACCGACGACGACAGATGGCCTTGGCTCGAGCGGTTGCGTGAGGCTGCAATTAAGGCGGCGGAGGATCCAGAGGCGGATGGGGTTGTCGTTACCTGTTCGGCGCTGAAGAAGAAGTACCGCGACGTGCTCAACAAAGCTGAGCAGTTGGAGCATGTTACGGTGTGGTACATGTTCCTCATCGCTACCGCCGAGGAGCTGGCGCATCGGATCGAAATGAGGCAGGGACACTTCATGAAGAAGGAGATGTTACAGAGTCAGCTTGACGCGCTGGAACTACCAAAGCAGGGTGAGGAGAAGTCCGTGCAGATTAATGTCATGGGAACGAAGGAGGAGAACAAACAGAAGATCATAGCGGAGACGAAGTGGATCTTGGCGGAGAGTGCGAAGGTTAGCACTTCCAGTGCTGATTCTGGGATCGTTGCTTGAGAGATGCATATGGATATGATAGACGGTTTTGTAGCATATTGATACCAGCGATGCATATCAATCGAGGCGCTGGTAGTAAAAGAACGAAGATGGATGCCAGGCCAAGAAAAAGAGTGTTCCGTTACGGGGAATCGAACCCCGGCCTCTTCGGTGAGAGCGAAGTATCCTAGCCCCTAGACCATAACGGATTAGATAGAAGTCAAAATTACAATACTTTTTTATGTTACCTGTCAAATAAATTGGGCTGCAAAACTAGCATGTCGGTCCTACAACCATCGACAACGAGCATCCTGTACAATACGTATTACGCAGAAGATAGATTCCATGGGATACGTATTCTGTTTGCCACTACGTTTTGCATGGAGTGCGGTACAAATACGGTTTTGTAGTAGCTCGATTTCACCGTACGGTATTTGGTATTGTTTTACTCCCCAATGTCTGTCGCCTCATCCGGATTCGGATGAGCAATGCGGAGGAGCAGTAAGACGTGGCAATGACCAAGTATAGGCGTAGGAAGAAGGAACATTAGTCTCTAGATGTCTATGCTACTTTCACTTCACGGACTGTCCGCCCTCTCCTCCGCAGCCGAGCGGCCCAGCGGTATTTAAATTTGACCGGCCACCCTCGATGGACAGCGCAAGAGGGAAGATAGTCCCATCACAGGAAGTCACGAGAAGTCAAGGGAAGTCATTAGATGTCACAGGAGAACACCAACCACACCGAAGACGGATCATATCACTCAGTCCTACTTCATACATCGAAACCAGTCACTTTTCCCACGTTCAGCAAATGTATTTACTATGATCCGCTTTAAAGTTAACCGACGATCAGCCTTTGTCTAGAGGAACATTACTGGCTCTGCTTGTTAGAAGTCAGTATGAGGCATTCGATGCTGGAGAGACCTGGCAGAAAAAACAACACATAGTTGAATTCATAACGGATGACAACTTTACGCGTATGTGACTATCGTTCAGTTTGGGCTGGAAAGTGAACCATGCAATTCACGCTATGTAAAAGCTCAGTATAATGTACTAAGAACTGTATCTTTGTCTTCTAGCGTGATGAGTAACTCGATTTTACCACGCGTGAGGTCAAGACTGTGCCATATTGTCTACGTCAGATGTACGGTTTTGGCAGTGCCATGCTATCCTGCAGCCGACGACGGAAGTACTGAATCGAGATCATTATTCCGTCAAAGGATTCCTCCTTGTCGATATCCTGGGTTGCATAGACATCATGTCAATTAAGCTGGGTGCAGTGGACATATGTGAAAGGCAATAGCTTGTTGGACACAGTTGCACAGTTGCACAGACGCAGAAGATGAGTCAGGTCATCAGGATGAAAAGAACAATGAAGTGAACAGCGAAACTGTCATATTCAGCAGTCATCTAGACCGCATCTATTATCGTATCCAGAAAAAAGCAAACAAAAAAGAAGACCCGTTCAACTTTTGTTGAAAAAGAACGCCGTACATGCTGTTGAACTCCAAAATCAGATTTTGTAACATAGACGAAGTTGAGTCGTCTATGATTCCTCCCAGCAGTGATATATGAAACGAAAAAAAGCAAAACCGTAACCCTCCCGAAACCGTTACACGACTGCAACTACCCCATTACTCAAACAACTACTAAACGTCTCCATGATGTGAGACAATTTAGAGCTCGAGCTTCTTGGGCTGCTCCCAGGGCTTGGACTGGTCGGTGAAGTGACCGTAGGAAGCGGTGGAGAGGTAGAAGGGGGTCTGGAGCTTGAGCTCCCTGACCATCACACCAGGACGCAAGTCGAAGTTCTTGCGGATGATAGCAACCAACTCGTCAGAAGACTTCTCAGAGGTACCGTAAGACTCGACGAAGATGGAGAGGGGCTCAGCGACACCGATGGCGTAGGAGAGCTGGACGAGAGCACGCTTGGCCAAACCGGCAGCAACGAGGGACTTGGCGATCCAACGGGCAGCGTAGGCAGCGGAACGGTCAACCTTGGAGAAGTCCTTTCCGGAGAAAGCACCTCCACCGTGGGCACCCCAACCACCGTAGGTGTCGACGATGATCTTACGACCAGTAAGACCAGCATCACCCTGGGGACCACCGATGACGAAACGGCCAGAGGGCTGGATGTGGTAGACGGTTTTGTCGTCCAAAAGGTTGGCGGGGATGACCTTCTTGATGATCTTCTCCAAGACCTCGGAACGGAGGTCCTCGGTGGTGATCTCATCAGCATGCTGGACGGAGACAACGACGGTGTCGACGCGCTTGGGGATGACGGCACCACCAACGTTCTCGTACTCAATGGTGACCTGAGTCTTGGAGTCAGGGCGAAGCCAGTCAAGGGAACCATCGCGACGGCGGGCAGCCATCTCGGCGTTAAGCTTGTGGGAAAGGAGAATGGTCAAGGGCAAGAGCTCCTCGGTCTCGTTGGTAGCGTATCCGAACATGATACCCTGGTCACCGGCACCGAGCTTCTCGAGGTCCTGGTTCAAGTGGAGACCCTGAGCGATATCGGGGGACTGCTTCTCGATGGCGACGAGGACGTTACAGGTCTTGTAGTCGAAACCCTTGTCGGAAGAGTCGTAACCAATCTGCTTGATGGTGTCACGGACGACCTTCTGGAAGTCGACGTTGGCGCGAGTGGTGATCTCACCGAAGACCATGATCATACCGGTCTTGGAGGCCGTCTCACAGGCAACCTTGGAGAAAGGGTCCTCGGTCAAACAGGCGTCGAGGATGGCATCGGAGACCTGGTCACAGATCTTGTCGGGATGACCCTCACCGACGGACTCGGAAGTGAAAAGGAAAGTGCTGCCAGCCATTGTTGGTATAGAGATGGTATGGGATGGGGGTTGGTGGATGAAGGTGCGGACCAGCGCCTTTTCTACTCCCCGGGCACTTGGACGCGATTTTCGGCCAGCGAATCGATCACTAAGGCAAGGCACTGGATTGCGACATTTATCCGTTACAAGGGTTTGCACTCGAGGAACCTCTTCTAAAAGTTTGTTTCAATTGATTCCAAACGACTCTACTCATCGACCGCTACCCTGCTGTACCGCTCACTCCCCGAATTGGGCGGGTCAACGGCGACGTTACAATCGACAAGCCGTGGTCAGAAATCACATTTGAACAAGGTGACTTGCCAGCGAGAATATCATCTTGCCGAATTCGCCTAGAGGAAGACGCGTTGTGTGTCGTAGCTCTCCCTCGTATGTTCTCTGTCCGTTGCCTCCTTCACCCACGTAAGCTGCATCATCCACAACACAATAGTCCATCTCGCTCGGATCGGGACTTGGCGGTCGCTGGTGTTCAACGACAGGTTCAGGCTGCTCATCCTCGAGAATGGGTTCATAGCGCTCCAGTGCCGACGGCATGCACAACTCCTGCTGATCTAGCCATTGCTCGATGCCACACGGAGGACTCGCCTTGGGTAATACTCCGAGGGGACGGAGTGATCGCCGTCGCGTGTATGAGTGCCAGCGAGGTGACCGGTGGGAAGGAAACACGGCCGATGATATCCGTCGGATGCCGAACATCTGTGGGCCGGGCTTTTCGCCCGGGGAAACCTCCTCGCTTGGCCAAAGACATCCAGCAGGAGCACAGGGCGGAGATGTCCTGGGAAAGAGAAGAGCTGGAGAAATGTCGAGCACTGAATCACGAGAGGAGGCCGAATCTTCCAGAACATCACCCTCCAGCTCGTTCAGGTCGCGATCGAGTGCAACAGCGGACACGGCGGAATCCCTAGACTGGATGGTTGGACGCATTTTGAAGAGCAGACAGAAAGCAAAAGACGAGACCGAGCGACTCGATATACCCCCTACAGCTCCCCAGTTCCAAACCATCCCCTTGACATCACCTTTATGATCCCGTCTAGCTTCTTCAGTAGATTCTGTACGATGCACATACGGCACAGTACGGGTACGCACAACGCTGCAGCCAGCCACGCACTCGCCACTATACGAGCAACCTCACGTATTCACAAGAATCCCCCACAACAACCGTATCGCGTCATGCCAGCACCTTGGCACATTACGTGTGACTCGTGTGTCGCAAATCTCACGCATACAGTCCACATCCAGTGCGTCGTGTGTCCAAGTTACGACTCCTGCGTGCAATGTTGGGCCAAGGGCGCGGAGACTGGGACGGCTGCGGCCGCGGCGACGGGATGTGAGGGCGGGAATGAGGAGGTGAAGTCGCCTGTTGCGACTGGGAGGGGTCATAAGAAGGATCACGCGTATCGGGTTATCGAGGAACACGCGTTTCCTATCTTTGATGAGGACTGGGGAGCGGATGAGGAGAATATGCTGATCGAGGGATGCGAACAGTTTGGATTGGTATGTGAGAAAGAATGGTTGGAAACAACATCGCTGATATCATTTCTCACAGGGAAACTGGCAAGATGTGGCGGATCATATAGGATCGCGAACGAAAGAAGAATGCGCCGACCACTACTATAAAGTGTATTTGGCGAGTGATACGTGGCCACTACCGGTATATCGTGCTCTTTGTCCTTGTTCCGGCGTATGTGCTAATTAAGTCCCATGAACAGAACATGAACCTACAATTCCCACACGATCCGAAAGAGTTCCGTCAGCGAAAGAGACGCCGCATTGAACGCCTCCAAGCGCTCTCGAAACAACCGCTGCCACCACGCCCAAAGCCTATGGCCTCCGTACCAGCTATGCACGAGATCCAGGGATATATGCCCGCTCGTCTCGACTTTGAACACGAATTCGAGAACGAAGCAGAAATGTCCATCAAAGACATGCAGTTCGAAGACAAACTCGAAACCGAAGCCCCAGGCGACGTCGATTTGAAGTTAGCAACACTCGAAATCTACAACGCGCGCCTAACCCGCCGTGTCGAGCGTAAACGCGCAATCCTCGAACATGGGCTCCTGGAATACAAAAAACTCCAGTCCATTGAGAAGAAGAAGACGAAGGAAGAGAGGGATGTCATGAATAAAGCAAAAGTGTTTGCGCGGTTGATGACGAAGCAGGATCATGAGCAGTTTGTGGATGGGTTGTTGGCTGAGCATAATTTGAGGAGGAGGATTGCGGAGTTGCAGGAGTGGAGGAGGAATGGGTTGACGACGGTTGAGCAGGGGAACAAGTATGAGCTCGATAAGCAACAAAGGGCGAGTCTGACCTCCTTCAGTTTTAGCAAAGCGGAGACTAACCGAACTTGCAGGCTCTCGCTATCCGTAACCCTGTTGGTCTCGGCCCAGCCGATCGACTCGCGTCGCGCTACACCAACCCCCGCCGCGATTCCATGTCCATGACCGATGCAACACCACCACCAATGTCATACTCCCCCTCCCCACACCTCGCCGGAATTCCACAACCGACCCCGATCCCCATGCACCCCGGTATGCCCATGTCCGCCGGCAAAGGCCCCCGCAAACCCCCGAACCCCCTCAACATCTCAACAGCGGCAGACTACCACCTCCTCACCCCCTCCGAGCAAACACTCTGCTCGCAACTACGTATCCTCCCCAAACCATACCTGGTCATCAAGGAGACCTTGTTCCGTGAGTTGTTGAGAACGGGAGGACAGTTGAAGAAGAGACAGGCGAGGGAGTTGATCAAAATTGATGTGAACAAAACTGCGAGGATTTTTGATTTTTTGGTCAGTCAGAATTGGGTTAAGGTGCCCGGGAGTATGAGTGGGCCGCCGGCGCCTGGAGGGCCCCCGGGGATGTCTGGGGCTGGTGCGGCTCCGGCTCCTGCTCCTGAGGCGAAGTAAAGTGAAGGATAGAGAAACCTTTATTAATACTGGTGTTGTACGATTATAGTCCTGTTTACACTGTATCAGATAGGATAGTGTTGAGCTTAACCATTGAACGTAGGCAGGCCGAGGTTCATGAAGGGTTTAGCAAAAATCTGTATGAATGAAAGAAAACTACATTCAGTGAACGAACGATAAGAAAGCGCCTGCCTGCATCCACCTGTCATAAACCTCATAGAATACCTCAAAAAAGCATTGAACACCCGAAAGCCATCTACACCGAAAGCCAATAAACGCATACTGCTGAGAAATGCAAAACCGAACGTGAATGAGAAAATAAGTAACAAAGCCAAAACGACTGCACACCAGGCTCAGGACTCGTGCTCTGGAAGACCTTCGAGGTTCACCTTCTCTGTGGAGCTCGGCCTTTTGTGGCCCATGACACTCATATCGCTCATGGCGAAGAGGAGCTCGTCATCGTCGACAGCAAGACTGAAGCCCCTGTTGGAGGTTCTCGCAGCGGAGGACGTAGAGCCACGACGAGCTCCGTGGGTATGGTGGTGATGTGCATGATCATGGCTCAACGTAGAGCTGGACCCGAACCTACCGCGAGCAGCGAACCGGTGAGAGTTGCCTCTAGAGAACAATGATGTGGACGACACGTTCTGGGAGCTATCCTCCGTCACACCCACGTTCTGAGATTCCGTCGTCTCCGTCTCAAGCTCGGTGATTGGTGTGGCAGTGATGACGTCCCGGGCACTCGTTGCAAAGAGGCTTTCATCTGGCTGCACCTGATCGATGCTTCCTAAACTGTTCGAGGGTCTTCTCTTTGCGCCATAGCGGCCTGCACTCGTTGTATCGCCATCGACGATGACGCCCGAGTTTACGCGCTGCGTGAACGAGCTCGAACGGGGCAACCGGAATGGCATGGGACTCGATGGGATATCCAACGGACTCGTCGTCGCAGCTGATGCATGACGGTGCTCGCGCAGTGGGCTTGCTGATGGTCCAGCCACGTCCTCCTCTTCCTCTTCTTCTTCCTCAACCCTAGGAGACTCGTGGCGTCTTCGCTGGGAATAGTGATGTATCGTTGACCCTTCGCTCAACTTTGAAGGGATAATCGGAGTATGTGGGCTAAGCCTGTTCCCAGGAGATGAAGAACTCGAATACGAAGCCCCGGAAACCATAGCCGGGACGTTTCCGATATGCCTGCTACTTCCACTCCCGGGGGTGGATGAAGGCCTCTGCAGCATCAGACTAACCGTCAACGAGTCCGTCAACGCCGCATGCGAGTCCTTCATCTTTTGGAATTTGCTGAGTACGGATGTCCTTGTCCGTATCGCAGGCGCTTCTTGTGCCGAGGCAGCCATGATCGAGCTTTGCAACGGTTTCCGCTCATCAACCATCTTCAAGAACTCGTCCAGGCCGTCGTGCTCTTCGGCCGGTGCTGTGACTGATGGCATGCCGCCGCTGCTTGAACTTGTCCGACCTGCATCATCGAGGATACTCGGGCGTCGACGAGATGCAAAACTTCCTTTACGTCGTTCACCGAAGCTGGAGCTGTACCTCGGGACCGACGGAGGACGCACAGGATGGACCTCAGCGGTGGGCAGGCTCGGCGTCGTAATACTTCTCAAACTCGATCCACTCGCACCTACGGACCCAACCGGAGGAGCACTGACCGAGTTTCTGCTTCCGGTACGAGTGATAGTGAACGAAGCTCTCTGGGGTTGCTGCTCCGCCGGTATTGGGCTCGCACTCAGCGTGGGCGACTTGAACGGTTGAATGAACGTGACGGAAGGTCTTCTAGGAATCGCTGCGGCATCGCCATCATGAGACCTCAACGAAGACTTGCTGCGGTCTCCAAAAGAACCTGTGACAGCCCGAGTACCCCGAAGAGAAGAGGTATGCTGGGGTGTAGGCCTGCGAAGGGATGACAAACTACCATACGCATGCGTAGTTCCCGGTTCAGCCTGAGAAGCTCCGGTACTGCCCGAGGTAGTACTCGGTAAGCTAGATGGAGTCCCTTGTTTCTCTGGGATAGGAGCAGCTGGACGGAAGTAATCCTCATCCATATCGATAAAATGACTCGACAATAATGCCTCTGAGTCATCGACACGGAAATCGCAGGAGGTGCGGTATGCGACGTTCACATGAAAAGAACCCGCGGGTGTATCCACCTTTCCAAATGAAAACTCTTCCAGCTCTTTCCTTGAGTCTCGCGATGAGATGGGCGTTTCCAGGGGTACACTCCGCCTGTTCATATCTGCTTGCTCGGCATAGACGCGGCAAGCAATTTTGAGTGTGTTTCCGACCTTTGCTTTCTGTAGACGTTTTCGAAGCTTGTAGGTCGCGAGAAGGCGGGTGTGCATGTACATGGAGCGGAATAAGACGATGGACTTCTTGTAGACGACCGGAAGCTCAGGGGGTGAGGCTGGGGGTGGGCCTCTCAAGTCGACTGTCCATCTTTCCAACACGATTTCCGTCTTCCTTCCACGTCCAGTCCCCAATGCGTCCACTTGTATCCGCCTGCCACTGTCATCCACCAGTAGCAAAGTCTCGCTCGGCGTCAAATCCCTAACATCCAGCACAACATCGATAACGAGCGGAGGGATGGGTGCTTCAGACGTGGCAGACGCCTCTGCATATCTCCAAAACTGTAGTTCCTCCCGGTACGCATCTGTATCCTCCAACTCTAGGGCAAACCATTTGTTTGTCTTTGTTGGTACGGGTCCGCGTGGGTTAACGGGGGTGGTGGTGGTCCGAGACTGGAATACGACGTGTGCAGCTTTGCAGTAGAATTGCTGTAAGACAGTTAGACCAGTAGCTATAGCTGAAGTGCAGGCCCTCACTTGTATGATCTGATTCAACTTCGACGCCTTCGTACCCAAGTCCGACGGCTTCTTTCGTAGAGGTACCGGCGGTGGCGGCATCGCACCTCCCTGATTCGCAAAGAACGGCGGTGAGGCCGAGTATGATGATGGCCGTTGCATTCTTTGTCATCTATGGTGCTGTTGAAGCTGTCGTAGATGGATCAAGAACGGTCAATAGTTGTGCCTCTGGTTGCCATAGTATCGCCCGTAGCAAGAGGGAGGATGGTCGAACACGTCAGTTTACGTGTCTATAACCTCTTCCCTTGAGTTCCTCTCTATGACTCGACTCTGAATGCGTTGGGGGTTGTGGGGCTGGTTGTATATTACAGTTACGTATCTCATTACATGAGTGGGCAACTGTTTGGCGGGCGCGGGATCCCGAGAGAGACGCACGCACGCGAGACGGAAAACATGCACCCCAATGTCGACGATGATTGCGCAATGTGACGATGCGTTGTTTACTCGATGAGGTGTTTACTTGATGAGCTTTGTCATCTTCCATGATGGTGGTCACGGCATTGCCTGTGTGGTCAAAGGATGCGACAGTGCAAGGTGAACGAACAGCGATCGATGAGTCATGATGTAGAGGTAAATTACTTTAGCATTAGCAATAACGAAGAAGAAAAGAAAATATCTAAATGAGCGTGTAGTAGGACGGCCTTCACTCACAGCGGTCTCCGTATTAATGCGAGGGCTCAGGCGTCGAGAAAAATGAAACAAAAAGGGAAGAACATCCATAGCGTATCCCGTTCAGGAATCAAAAACAGCAACCCCAATCGGATTCTTTATGCGGTAGCCTCAACAGCCTTGGGGGCGGTCTTGACGACCTCCGCAACGGCAGCGGCCTCAACAGGGGCATCAACAACGGGGAGCTGAGAAACCAACTCGGCGACGGTAGCTTGCTCGACCACAGGCTCGTTGAGCACTGGCAAAGCAGGAGCGGCCTCAGCCTCTGTAGTCTCCTCAGCAACCTGCTCCTCCTTGACAGTCTCAGTCTTGAGCTCCTCGACAGGCTTCTCCTTCTTGCTACCCTTGGCCTTCTTGGAGGCAGAACGGAAGAGGGAAGTCACCTTTCCAAGGACGGACTCCTCCTTCTTCTCCTTGGCCTCAGCCTTGGGCTCACCAGCGACCTCAACAGTAGGGGTAGCCTCGGCCTCAGGAGCAGCAGCCTCAACGGGGGCCGCCTCAGCAGCAGGGACGACGGCAGCGACCACGTTGGTCTCCTCAACGACAACAGCCTCGGTGATAGGCTCGACGTGAGGAGCAGTCTCGGATGACTTGTTACGCTTGAAGAAGTTCATGCTGAGACGCCTGTTCTTGGGAGAGCTGGAAGGAGAAGACTCAGCAGGCTCACTGGACTCCTGGACGACAGGAGCTTCAGTGGTAGCTGCAGCGACGAGGGTGGTGCTCTCGGCAATGATCAAAGCCTCGGCGGGAGCCTGAACGTCGATGGGGGAAGAGACGTCGGGGATCTCAGGGAGCTGCTGCTGGGCAGCGACTATGATAGTTTGCTCGATGGCGACGACCTCGGTGATAGCGGCCTCAGGCTCGGCGTCCTGGTGCTTGCTGGGGGAGAGAACACGCTTGAAGAAGCGGAAGGGAGACTTGGACCTCTTGGGGGTAGGAGCAACGATCTTCTCCTCAGTAACAGGCTCAGCAGCCACCGGGGCAGCCTCGGCAACGGGCTCGGTGGTAGCGGCGACAATGGTGGTCTGCTCAGCAACAATGACGGCCTCCAGGGCGGGCCCCTCAACTGGAGCAACAGCCTCCTCAACAGGGGCAACCTCAGCGACAGGGGCGGCCTCGGGCTTCTCCTTCTTGTTGAACATCTTACCGAAGAAAGACTGACGACGCCCCTCCTTCACAGTAGGACGAGCCTCAACGACAGGCTCCTCAACAGCAGCAGCCTCGGCGGCGACCTCAGCGGTGGGCTCAACAGAGCGGACAGCGACGGGCTCCTCGGTAGCGGGAGTCTCAACAGCCTCGGCGGCGTCAACAGGAGCAATCTCGGTCTCTTCAGCAACAGTGGCGGGCTGCTCAGTCTCGGCAACCTCCTTCTTCTCCTCGTGATGCTTGTGGTGCATGAAGGGAAGCTTCTCGAGGATGGAAGATCCACGCTTCAACTTCTTCTTGTCCTCGGGAGAGGAAGGAGCAGCCTCGGTAGCGGCAGGAGCTGCGATGGCGTCGATGGCAGGCGCATCGGGAGCCTCCTCCTCGTCATCGCTGAAGACCTCCTCGGCACCAGAGGGAGCGGCAGGGTTGGCAGCAGGCTTGAACGCAGTGTGGTTCTCAAGCTTGGACAAGACCTGCTTGTAGATGAAGGAAGCCTGAACCTCATCACGGGCAGCCTTGGCCTCTCCGACCTTCTTCTTGATGGTCTCGATCCAAGAGTGACGCTCGGCGGGGATGGCAACCTGCAAATGGTACTCCTTCTCGTAAGCGAGCTTCAAGACCAAACGGTCGGTCGTGAGACCCTCGTGGTGGACCTCGCTGATGTCAGCAAGGTTGATGATACCGCTGGGAGAGGAGGTGTCGGACTTGATTTTGCTCCAGAACAAAAGACCTTTACCAGTGACGGCGGCGTGGGCCAAGTTGTCGTAGACATGCTTGTTGGGGTCCTGCGGCATGACAGTAGACTTGAGCTCGTCGGAGCCGGTCTTGCCGTGCTGGTGCTTGGGGTCGAAAAGGATGGAAGTCTTCTTCTCGTTCTTGCGGAGGTAACGGTTGAGGTCGCCGAGAGGGTACGCCTCGTCGCGGAAGTAGAACCAACGCTTGTTCATGTGAGGGATGAATCCAGAGGTCTTGTAGGAAACCCAGCCGCCGGCCATCTCGATGGTCTCACCAGCCATAGCCTCCGTAGGGTCAACAACCTCCTCAGAAGCCGCGACCGGCGCGGCCTCCTTGGCAACCACAGGGGCAACAGCCTCCGCATTCAATGGCTCGACAGCCTCGGCCTGAGCCTCGGTAGCGGGCTCGACGACGGGAGCAGCATCGGTAGACTCTGGGAGGGCGATGGGAACGACTGGCTCCTCAACGACGGCAACAACCTCCTCGACAGGGGCCACAGGCTCCTCAAAAACAACAGGGGCAGCAACGACGGGCTGTTCTTCGACTTGGGCGCTCATTGTTGTAGGTTGGTAGATAAAGAACGAAAGATAGTGAACAGATGTTGTGGTTCGGTGAAAAAGAAAGGAAAGAGACTGTGAGTAACGCTGGATTGGCTTGGTTCGGGGCGGGCGGGCAGATTATGTATGCCGAGACCAGGAGTCTGGAATAGGGAGAGACAGAGTCGATCGAATAGAGTAGAGTGAAGCACGGACCGCAGTCACAGAGAAATTGTTTCTATTTGAATCATAAGGGGGGATAGCCATAGGGTAGTTTATGTAACATTCACTCATAGAGCAGGTCAACCGAAAGGGAAGAGCAAGCCACGGCTAGCCATAGTAAGCGGACCCGTTCGATACAAATCCCTGCATGTGAATTGGCCGGATGAATGCTGGGATAAATGCGGGACAATTAGTTGAGGAGAAGGAGGTTTGATGTTGCCGGTCTTCACTGCCTTCCCATCGAAGCAATCGCAACAATCGAGCTCTTCAGGGTTCTTGACGGGCCAACTCCCTTTGTCTGCCAACTCATGCGACGTCGCGGACCGACGAACCAAACGCGCAACCCAACGCAACCTTAGAACTCTAAATCGGACTGCGCGACCAAAAACATGACATGTCAAAACCAACGGGAAAACGGAAGGCGGTCATGCTATACCGGAAATGTCACCATAGATGTACTTTTTTGTAGTAAGGCCATTTACCTAAAGTAGCTATTGGACCCTTCAATTGCCGAAGTGCATGCTATGTTTATTTGGCCGTCGTCAGCACATAAGATGTGATAGCAGAGATACGCTCACTGGTCAGTTTCATGCCGATCTTCAACATCTCACTCATCACGACCTTGTCCTCCTGCAATGTAGTCCATGCTGAGCGGTCCATCTTCCATACCACGGACGAGCGCTCAGCAACGACGGTCGCCGTCCGAGGCGTCTCGCTGAGGAATGGCAACTCTCCACAAACCGTTCCAGCGACAATCGACTCTGACAACAATGCTTCACCATGCTCAAAGTCATACGTCGCTCTCAAAATGCCACTCTCAATGAGGTAAAAGCAGTCGGCATCCTCGCCTTGCTTCCAAACAATCGTACCCTGCGGCAGTTCAACCCTCTTGAACGACTTGCTCAACCCAAACCAAAAATCTTCACCCTTGTTCGTGAACTCTCCAAAGATCTGCAGCAATAGCGGAAGTGGCTGCTTGAAATTACGGAACTTCGTATACATCCCGAGCGCGACGTGGCCGCGCTCGTTGACTTCCTCCTTGAGCGTCGAACTCGCAGTTTGCTGCAAGAAATTACGACGTGGAGAGTTGGCAATTGCGTCGAAACCGGCCATCTGCGACTTGGGTTGACTTCTCTGATCAGGGACATCGAGACGTTCGATTGCCTTGTTGTCGGCGTGTAGCGCTGCTCTTTGTGCTTGATAGAAAGCCTGCAACAACTCGTTCTCGCAGCTTTCCAGCGCCGAATTCAAGTCTTCGAAAACTTGCACCCACCCTTCCTCGTCTGCCCACATATCCACTTGCTTCAGCGCCCTTGCAATCTCTCCATTCTCCCGAATGCCACACAGAATCAGATGTACCTCCTTCGCACCCAACAATCTCCTCAACCGCGTGAAAGCATCCGCAGCGGAAAAGTCAATGCCGTAAATCAAAGTGAAATCAACAATCAAATACCGAATCGGTCTTCGCGTAAAGTTCCTAGTATCCACCAAATCCCTGATTGATCTCTCAACTCGTGAGATGGTACCGAAGAACATATACCCGCTCAACTTACACACGTGAATCTGATCGCCCACCTGCTTCAGGAACTTCTGCTGTGTAGGGTGTCTTCGGACGGTAGACCGTGCAACAGCACCAGTATACGTCGTCCTGATCGCTGATTTTCTGGAAGTCTGAACGACAAAGGTGATACAAGCCAGGATGATACCCACGAGGATACCAAAGACAAAATCCCACGCAGCCATGGAGAAAATAATCGCCATGATGGTGAAGTACTCGAATGGATGGAGTTTACCCCACGTGTCCACCAATGCTTCCTTGACAAGATCGATACCGAGGAGGAAGATGAGTGCACCGACGACCATGACGGGGATGTACCCGATGATCGAAGGTCCGATAAACATGATCCCAGCAGTAGCGAATGCAAGCATGGCACCGGCCAACCGACTGTTCCCTCCAGTGCGGATGAAGAGGACGGAATTGGTGTACACGAGATAGTTTTGAATACTACCCATCATGCCAGACAGTGCGTTGCTGACTCCATGAGCTTTCAGTTCACGATCAACATCGACATTGTCTTCGCCCGTGCTGACACCGAGAGCGGGTACGTTAATGGGCACGTGGAGGATACCGAAGAATGTCAACGCCAGCATAGCAGGGAAGGTCTTTGCCAGCGCACCCCAATTGGTTGCTTCAATACTGTAGTACGTGTAGAAATTCCACCACGGCATGTCAGAATCGACAGCATCAAACACCCACCCTTGACCTCGCAAATCGGCCATGTTGAGGTTCGGCACTGCCGCGACGACGATGTAAAAGACCATAGGTACAGAGATGAAATATGCTGGAACAACCATCGCGTGATGCCGGAAAAGATGCTGAAGACCAATGAGAACGATAGCAAGGAGCAACGGCGTGGCCCATAATGCGAGGGTATGTGCTTCCAACAACTGTTTTGCCGTGTCGAGGGTATATGTGAGGTTACCATCCAACCTAGCCGAAACCTCGACCCCGGTAACGATAAGGAACCAACCAACGCCTCCTATACATCCAACCTGTAAGGAACCCGTTAGCATGTGTCGAGCGAATTCACCATTGCGATACCTTACCAAGATATGCCGCGGGAAGAACCCGATTAAACTCCCTAATCTCGCCGCCCCCAACGCAAAAAATACCAAACCAGTAACGATGGAACTCAAAGAAAAACTCAAAATGGTAGTCGCGATGACACTCTTCGGGTTGTCTTCACCGATTTCGGTCATGATAGTGAACGCCATTTGGTGAAAAAACGGCACAACCTCGATCATCTCGGATCCGACACCACCCTTAAACACAGACCCGCCGAGGGAGTAGACGAGTTGTGAGACTACGCAAGAAACGTAAAACATGGAAATACCATCCGGACCCATCTTGGAGAATAATGGTGTTCCGAGCGGGAAAAGGATCATTCCGTAGGAGAGAGCATCGAGGACGTTAAGGAGGAGACCAAGTACGACGGCTGGGAGGTTGGATGCGGGTCTCAAGACGCCATGCTTCCATACATCTCGTCGATTGACTTTGCGTGCTCGTCGCAATGCCTCTTCTGCATGATTTCGACCGGTGTGGGCCCACGTTTGTAGACGTCCTTGTGCCCGGTGACGCCAGCTTCCATCCTCCATGTCGGGCAGTGAGGGTGGGGGCATAGTGAAGTACGTTGGTACTTCCTCTGGTGTTGAGGGGCGTCTGTCCATTGATGGCTTACTGCTCGACATTGGTCGTAGTAAGGGTGAGTTCTCGTCAATAGGGTCGGGGCTCTTAACGATGAGGTCGGAACTGCCATGACTTGACGCCATGGTCAATTGCGATTCTCGAGGCATTGTATCTGCCCGCGAAATGTTGATGGAAGGGACAGACCGATCCGAGGAGGCATCATCCAAAGGAGCACTCTTCACCCTCTCATTGGGCGGCGAAGTCCGCAGCAGACTGGTCAACGCCGACTGCCCCGCACTCCCACTATGAAAACTCCCACTCGGACTCGGTAGTCTCGAATTAGGTTCACTATCTTCCGGAATAACGCTCGGACCACGCTGAATCCCCGGTCGGAGATGCCCTGACGAATCTTCGGTCGGATGGGACATTCTTGCAGGAAAGGCATGTCCGTTCCGCAAAGACGCTTCTTCCATGGCCATACTGGCCAGGAGAGCGGTTTGCTCTCGGACTGATGATGCTGGTGTAGAGTAGGACGCCGTGTTGGCTATAGCACGTAACGGTTAGAAATGATCACGCAACTGAGTTTCAGAGTTCCCGACGACGTACTATGAGATTGACCCGAGATGGAGCGTCGGTGTTTATTGGACGGAACTGGATTCTTGTAGCTCGAGGAGAAAGACGACTTGAGTGCTGTTAACAGAGACGGTCGCTCTTCCTCGTGACGATGGTGCGGTGACCCAGCTTGCGAGGGAGGGTCATGCTCGATGTCGTGATCTGGCGACGGGTCAGACAAATGACGGTCCGTCATTGCAGGGTAATGACGGGGTCCTTGGCGAAGCAGGTGATGAACCAACGGGGCCCTCTCGCTTATATCTACGGCGAGTTGGGATGCTGGGGGGGGGTCTTGCCTGCTTATCTCTCCCGGCCACTCCGATGTCAGGCAGGCCTGGCAGGGCAGACTACACCTAACAAGGGAATAGCACAAACTCTAAATGAACCACACCCAGAGATCTTATCAATTGTCAAGTTATATGCGATCTCCGTTGTTCCACTCAAGGTCTGTCTGTCTTCCTCCTTCTTCTCTACTGTACACGGAGGTATAGCAGACGCTCGACTTTTGGAACCCCCCGTCTGAATGCTTATCGCCCGCCACGAACGTCAGGCCGTCAGCTGTAATCCCAATTGCAACGTTCGAGCATCTCCCTTGTATACCACGTTATCTATAGGCTTATTCCTTGGCATCTCGGATTCGAAATCGATTGTCTGACCTTCGACAAGCAGGCATACACGACCGGGTGGTTACCGGGGATGAATGCTCCACCACCAGAGGCTCGCGCCCGCCCTATTCTCGACCAATGCATCCCCAGAATACCCACGAACCCACACTCCATCTACCTGCAACCAGCAAACAAGCCGAACCCGTCAAATCGCGATCCTGCTTTTCTCCAATTTCTTTTCTGCCGTTGAACCGATATTGCTTTCTCCGTGCCTCTCTCGTAAGCGGGTACGTCCCAGATTGCCAGTTCTGCACCTGCAAGCCCGGACGGAGGTATCGCTCCAGCCCGCGATTGACTCTTAAGTACTGGACAAAGGTCCTACCGCCCCGCAGCTGCTGCAAGTATCCCTTCCTGGCGCCTGCTCACCGTTCACAGTGTCTGTTCAGCGTGGACTGACAGTGTTGTCTGGAGTGCGGTGAAGTACCTTCACTCGGAACCGCTCCTGTACGTGCCGCTGGCTTGCGTTCCTGCCATATTTATTCATCGACTTGGCTCGTTGCGTTTGACTAGCATTCAATCCGAAAATGACGACCTACAGCCGCGGTCGTAGCAGCAGCCTCAACATGGCGATGCCATCCCTTGCCGTCATCGAAGCAACACCGGACACTACGCCCTTGGACACGCCTGAACGCTCTCCTTTCTTTACACGTGTTCAGCAAATGTCGCCGGATAGCAGGGAGCATTATGACCGCGAGAGGGTGAGGGAGTTCATGACGATGACTTTGGGAGAGATGGTGGGAATTACAGGGGATCCCCTCTGGGAATGTCTGAGGGATGGTGTTTTGCTGTGTCGGTTTTTAAACGTGTTGTTTCCTGGAGCGATCTTGATGATTGGGCAGCAGGATGTCCGTTCAGTACATGTGAGTTGGCTGTATGCATCTTTTTGGAGTTACTGACGGAATTTGCTTACAGCTCGACAATATCCGCATTTTCCTGTCAATGCTCAGAAAGTTAGGCGTACCGGATGCTGACCTCTTCACTGTCCATGACCTCTACGGTGGCCAAAATCCCCAACAGGTGATGCATACGATCTTGACAATTGAGAAGATGTTCTCGTCTCCACATGTCACTGACAAAACCCTTCGGCTGTGTGGTAATCGTCAACACAGCCAGCTGAACCTTAGGAAGTCTTCTGCAATCGGTGCTTCTCTTGCGGCGCTCTGTGCGAATGCTCAAGACGCTGATGACTTGCTATTGGCAAAATTGAATGGTTCACCTGTCTCCTCGCCTACTGCGGAACATGGGACATCACCTATTGAACAAGCCTTCGCAATGTTCTCTACGAACACTGTTATTGAGAAACGTCCTAATCGCCCACCGCTTTCAACACCACGTCTTCTTAATCGCAGACGAGTGACCATTGATCTGGTTCCCGTTGTGAAATGCGAAGATGGCGAGCTTTCGTCCACCCCTTCCAACCCTCGCACACACCATCGCAAGAACTCTGGCTCGAATACGACAATTCAGTCTATTATGAGCACAGACTCTTCTTCGTGCGAGACAATCTCGCCTACGACGACAAGCCGTCCAAGCAGGTCCGCGATGATGAAGCCCAGGAGGCGGAGTTACAATTCATTCTTGGATCCTCCTACACCATCGACGCTGTTGGCACGTACCCCGGAACACGAGGTATTACCGTCCAGTCACTCCGAACCGCATTTGCCTAAGGACTTTGAGTTCCAGCTCCCACGTCGTCCGTCGGCACAGGCGGTGCGGGAGATCAACTCGAGACCTATCTTGGTCAAGAGGTCGACGTCGGATAAGGCATGGGATGCATCACCTCCCCATCCGCAGCGAATGAGTCTTGACTCTGCGTTTGCGTCGGCTAGTTCAACGGTTAACTTGGGACGCTCGATGTCACTCACCTCCACGCTCACCGCTTCCCCGATCCGGGAGAAACTCAGTATCCAGGATGTTGGTCAATACCAAGTCGGGAACTGTATCGGCCGTGGCCAGTTCGGTGCCGTTTACCGTGCGTTGAACCTTGACGATGGGCATATCGTCGCCGTCAAGCGGATACCGATTGATGATCGGACGGACACAGAGGTGGATGATATCATGAAGGAGATTGATTTGTTGCGGAGGTTGAAGAATCCGACGATCGTGAGGTACGAGGGTTTTGTGAAAACGCCTGGCTATATGAATATCATTCTTGAGTATGTCGAGAATGGATCGTTGGCGAATACATTGAAGGCTTTTGGGAATTTTCCGGAGAAGTTAGTGGTGAGCTATACTGTCAAGATTCTCGAGGGTTTAAATTACCTTCACGAACAGGAGGTTGTTCATTGCGACTTGAAAGCGGCCAATATTCTGACAACGAAGAGCGGACATGTTCGTCTGAGTGACTTTGGTGTTAGTCTCAACCTGAAGGCGGTGGAGAAGAAGAACGAAGATATCAACGGGACGCCAAACTGGATGGCACCGGAGGTAATCTTGCTTCAAGGCGCTTCTCCAGCCAGTGATATTTGGAGTTTGGGCTGCACCATCATCGAGCTACTCACAACAATGCCGCCGTACCACACGATGAACGCCATGTCAGCTATGTTCAGGATCGTCGAAGACGATCATCCCCCTATACCAGAGGACATCACGGACGAACTAAAGGAGTTCTTGATGGCGTGTTTCAAGAAGGATCCGGCTGAACGACCTACGGCGCAAGACTTGTTCCTTCATCCTTGGATCACGATGCAGACTTGGTCTCCCGAGTTGAAGAATCTACGGCCGCAGGATTCTATTCCATTCTTGAGAAGGATCAACACTTCGGACGTGCGTCCAATGTCTGCGGCAAACCCAACGAAAGGAGCGGCGAAGAGGGGAAAGTTGTCGAATTTGTTCTCGAGGAGCAATGAGGCGTTGTCGAGTGCAGGGATGACAGAGAAGAAGCGGCCTGTCACGGCGCCCTCTCTCGGTGCGAATCTGCAGCCGAATCAGATGCCGGTGCACAGTTTCGTGAAGGCGAGCTTTAGTAAGACAGGCGTTGAGTGCAAGCTGTGCGGCATGGCGCTCAAAAAGGCCATCTTTTGTTCTTCTTGTGGTTTGATCTGTCATCAAAGATGTATCCACTCGACGCCGTATCCTTGTCAGAGCATGGAACCTCGACCCATCTCGCAGAATTACAACGAGGTCTATGAGACAAAGGAAGACGTCTCACCACCACCTACTGCATGCTTGCCGCCCAGTCCTACGACTGGACGACCCAACATCTTCAACCGATGGTCAGACAGAGGGCGGAACAGGCATGCTACCATGCCGCATCCAGCATCAGATCACGGTACATTCTTCAGCCGCGCTGTGAAGCGATTGTCAGGAAACCACACCGTCGGCAAGGAACACTACCACGGCCACGAAGGAAACAATCCGTTAGGAATGGGAGGAAGTCAGATATGGGCAAAGACTGATGAGCAGAATTTGAGCAGGATGGCTATTGCAGCTGAACGGAAGAATGATTGCGTTATCATGTAGTAATTTACCTCTCATTATCATGAACTTCATCATCGCGGGTGTTCGCATTTCTCACGCGGGTTCGGTGCAAGTCGATCGACGCAACGTTGAATCGCCCAGAAATTTCGAGGAATTCGATGACATTGTCACACCACCAGCTCCGGCAAGGACGAGAAAGTTCGCTCATGGATCGGCACAGGGTATAAGAAGGCCTGACCATCCTGGCATACTTGCTCCTCAGGAATAACAAGCCAGCCAAATCGAGCGGACACTCAACAAGCAACACACACACCACAAACCACAATCAACAATGTCTCTTTCTCTGCTTCCCACCGCCTTCTCCGACATGGATCAGTTCTTCGACCAGCTCTTCGCGTACGCCAATGACCGCCGCGGAACCTCTCAAAACCAATCCGAGAGCTCCGCCAGCGCCCTCTCCCGTCGCACACTCTCCCCTGCTCTTGAGATCGCCGACAAGAAAACCGAGGTCGAGATCCATGCCGAACTCCCTGGTATCCCCAAGGAAAACATCAACATCCACCATGATGCTCGCAGTAACACTTTGACCATCAGTGGTGAGCACAAGCAGGAGCAGGAGAAGGAAGAGGGTACGAGGAGGTGGTCTGAGCGCCGCTATGGCAGCTTCTCTCGTACTATCAGCTTGCCGGCCAATGTCAACGCTGAACAGATCAATGCGTCTATGGAGAATGGAATGTTGAAGGTTATCCTTCCAAAGGCACCTGAGACTGAGGGTGTTAAGAAGATCGCCGTCGCTTAAGCCGCCGAAGCGTGACGACACAAGTCGCTAGGTGGATGACTGTATGATTATCGAGGTGTTTGAAATGGTTGCATTGTATGGTACCTGGAGTTCTTTCTCTTTGCGATATCCACCGGGTGCATGATTATGAGGGTGCGGAGAATGAGTAGTTTAGTACCAATATACCACATTCTCTCAAGATTGGGAAATGCCCACATGAGATATCAGACAATTGTGAGCACACTTGCAGACATTGTAACTCTAATGGATAACATTTGACGACCTAACCAAAAACCTAAACACTACCTATGCCAAAAATGTCTCCCCAAGCTTGAACCTACTCCTCCATAGCACCGCCCGTAAGAGCATCGATATCGAACTCCTTCGCAAACTCCGTAACGACAGTCTTAACATCACCGTTCTCAGCGGCCTGAGGGGCCTGTCCAGCAGCCTGCGCAACAACAGCCTCAACATGAGGAGGCTCATTGTACCACATAACACGACCAGAGCACCAGTCGTTAACAACCAAAGTAGCAGCGGCGTTGATGTTGGGGATACCACCACGTCCGATCCTTCCGCGCTTACGTGCTACCTGAACTAAGAAGTCGGTAGCCTCGTCAGCGACACGGCCAGTACCGGTAACGAGAGGGGGCAAATCGTAGTGCTTCAAGAGACGGTCCATGAGCTCCTCTGAACCGGTAAGCTTCTGAAGGATGAGGGTAGCCGCAGGGATAGGGTCGGTAATCTGGGAAGGAGGAATGGCGTTGAGGAGGACGAGACGTGCTTGTTCCTCTTCCTTGGAGAGCTTCTTGGAAGATCCAGGGAAGACGATACCAGGCATGTCGATAAGCTTGATGGATCCATCGAGCTTGACCTCACGGATGCTCTTGGTCAAACCAGCCTCGCCACCAGTTGGTGCAGGTGCCTTCTTCTGCAATCCACCACGAGAAACGAGAGCGTTGATGATAGACGATTTTCCAACGTTAGGGTAACCGATAACACCGATAGCAAGCGAACGCTTGATACCGCGCTTGTCAGCATCGGCCTTCAAGGTGGTGATAAGGTCGTTCGTGGTCGACCTGAGGGTCTTGCCGTTGTGGTTGAAAGGGTTTCCAGCAGGCGAGGAATTTGAGGAACGGAAGGGAACGGCGGGGTATGATCTGCTAAGGTGCTTGACCCAGCCCTCGAGGACGTGCGGTGGCACGAGGTCGATCTTGTTGAGGACGAAATAGAGCTGCTTGTTACCACCCTCGGCGGCGGCGACCTGCTTCTCCACAGCACGAGATCTGGTACCTTCGGGATCACGCGAGTCCAAAACGTATAGGATGACATCTGCCCTCTCCACGACGCTCTTGAACTGCTTGTCATATGCTTTTCTTGAGGTCTCTTTGGTGGTGATGCCCTGACGGTCTGCGACAGCATCAACCTGTTCCTCGTACTCTCCCTCAGACTCTTCCTCCATCTCCTCATCTTCGTCCATCATGTCCTCATCGTCGTCGTACTCCTCCTCATCCTCGTCCTCCTCTCCCTCGTATTCTGCTGCTCTTCTCCGTGCGGACGCAACCAACGCAGCCAAAGCACCAGTCTCGCCAGACTCATCCAGATCCTCATCGTCGTACATCTCGTCTTCGTCCTCCACATCATTCTCGTCGTCCTCCTCCTCTGGTGCATTACCAGCTGCCTGGTTCTCCATCTTCTTGCGCAACTTCTCCTCAGCAAATCTCCTCTTCTTTTCCTCAATCTCCGAAAGCAACTTCTCCTTATAGGGGAACAAGTTGGGAATTCCCGGATCCTTCTTCAATTTTGAGCGCCATGTAGGGTCATTCTTGGCGAGCTTCCTCTGCTTCCTGGCGTGCTCGCGGACGTTCTTTTCGATCTTGAACTTTTGACGGGCGGTTCCACGCTTCGACTTCTTCTTGTTAAAGGCCTTGACCATTGTGAATTGTTTATTGAGTCTGTTTTTGCTTGGTTGCCTTCGCTGCCTTCAGAATTTTTGGGTGTGTACGCATGCGCCACAAGGGCCCGTCGATAAGCTTTTTTTCACGGGTAGAATCGATAAGAGTATAATGACAGGAAGAGGGTCAGCATAGCAGCTGTAGTCTTTGAATGCTTTTCTAAGATCTAATTCCTCGAGCCGGCCCCGTTTCGATGCATGTCTGCCTAGTTCTTCCCTGCTTGTTGCGGCGGCGGTGCGCCAATGCCCATGGATGACAGTCCAGGCGTCTTTCCAGCCTGTCTTGGAACTTCCTCGTTCTCTTCATTCCTCAAAAGAAGTCGTCGTCCTCTTCCATTTGCTTTTTCAGCAGCCCAACCATCCCTGGAGCCATCAGTGGGGTTCCGTCCTCCGTCGCCAAGTAACGGAACGGGATGTCCGTTGATTCCCTACATCCAAGATCAGCATTCCAATCATACAGCTCATGGCGTGCAACTCACATAGCAGAAATCTTCACCGTCGGGTTATCCGCAAACTTCAACTCTTCGTACCTCTTGCGGTCCTCCAAAATCCTCTTCGCACTGATCACCGCCGTGTCCGTAGTCATCTGGGGCTTCCCTATCCGTCGCAGAGGAAATCCATGCTTCTGTAGCTCGTCGCTCCCCTTGTTCCTGTCTTGTGCAACATAGTCCTCCGTGTCCTCATCTCCGAGGATCCCACCACAGATGATCCAGTCAAATCTTTCAGCATCTTCCGGTGACAGCTCCTCCTCGGCGAGTTCGTCCAGGAGACATACACGTTGCTTGTTGGCGAGGAGTTCCGACATTGAGAAGGCGCTCTCCTTCAGGACATGTGCGGCGGAGAGGTTGGCCGGGGAATGATCGGCCATGTTGGTGAAGTAAACTCGTGATGGTTCAACGTGAGTCAGGACATGGGCATATTCCAGCTGCGACCATTCAGGCAGTTTCGGCTCCAAATTCTCAATGATGTACTTCATGGTTATCGTGCTTTGGAGTTGTGGTGTGTCGTGAGTCATACGTCCTCGAGCACAGAGAGCAGCTATGGGAAATAAGGTTTCGAGGTGCATGGCAGCAACACATGTACAGAAGTCCATGAACAGAGAAGGATCAGATATAAGATTTCGTATTGATTATCCAAAGCAAAGATCACAGGAAGTCAAAAGCATGATCAAGTCAGCCAACGACGGTCAGCATCAGGAGGTCACGGAAGGAGGAGAAATAGTCGCAAGGACTGGCAAGACAGCATTGCGCCGGCCTTGACAGGATCGCAATACGACACAAGATGGAGAAGAAACAATAGGGCGGCCACGCATGTTCTCGAAAAGAACTCGGCGCATGTTTAATTGCCTGACCCGTAGAGGAGCTCAAGTAATCTAGCAAATCCAAGAAACAAACATTTTCCTAAAATACCCAAACGCCGCTTTCATTTTCCTGCATGCCCTCCCTATTCCGTCTTCATCCAACGCATCACAGCACGACCTAGCCAAGAAGGAGCTTACTCGTCCTGGACGATGGTGGTGCGCTCAGAAACGTAGATACCGTCCAAGAACTTACGGATATCCTTGTTCTTGACAGCGCAGATCTGCTGAATGGAGGCAGCAGACTGGGAGACGTTCTCAAGGGAGTTACCCTCGAGGATGAGCTCATCCTTCTGGGTGGACTGGGTGTTGACAGAGACACCCTCGAGCATGTTGACCTTGAAGACAACCTTCTGACCCAAGAAGTTACGGATCTCAACGACGCGACCATCCTCAATAACGTTGACGTTGATGGGGAAATGGGCGTAGACGTAACGCATCTTGTAGCGGAAACCCTTGGTGACACCGATGATCATGTTGTTGATCAAAGAGCGGACAGTACGCAAGCAGGCAACGTGCTTGCGGGCTCCGTGCCAGACGACGAACTTGATCTGCTCCTCAGAGACCTTGCGGATCTCCATGTCGACGTGACGGAGGTTCTTCTCGAGGGTACCGCGGGGGCCGGTAACCTTGATGATACGGGCCTTGATCTCGACGGTAACGCCCTCGGGGATGGCAAGAGTCTCGTCCTTGTAGATGTCCTTCATTTTGGCGGCTGTAATGGCAGAGAATGTCAGCAGCCTGCTCACTTGGTTCAGGTCATCGCCGCACGGTCGCTGGGCACGCTCGCGGACATCCAGGCATCCATCCCATGGAACTCGATCAAATTCGACAGGACAAAGCAGGAAGCGTCGGCAAAGCGATTGCAACGGCGACACAGCAACACATCAGGCAACTTACCTTGGTCGTCTGGAGTTTGCGGTCGGAACGGAGCTCTGGCGGAAAACGAGCGCTTCAGTTTTTGTGTGGGCCTTTAGCGCAGGCACCATCGCCGGTACCGTAGAGTTGAAAAAATAAAATAAAATAAAATAACGACGGACGGGTAACGTAGACATCGCCTCCTCCTCCTCCGTTCTCTGCCAATTTCAGTCAAAGTATCCTCGTCGGTTGCCGTCGCCCACTGGCCACACTCCAGGGAACCACATGTCCGTAAGGTATCCCACCGTGAACGCATAGCAAGTCTTGTGGAACAGATCAATCCACTGCTCGTAGACGGGCCACGTCCTATCTTGCCGTCAGCATCTCTAGTAGATGTTGCGCCTCGAGTGTAAACCTACCACGGCGGGGCGCCGACTCCAGTCCAGTTCTCCAAAACTTGATCAAATCCCTGCCTCAACAAACTAAAGCTAAAGTTCGCAAATGGACCTGTGATGCCATACAGGGACATCACTGCACGGAACATAGCCGGAACAACGCCTTGTACGTAGTGTTCAATCTGATTGAAAGCCCGGCGCTCAGAGTCAGGGCGGTCAGGAAGCCCGAGTAGACGTTCGAGGGTGTGCGCAGGGACGTAGCTATCCGGACGTCCGCTGAAGAATTGCTCGATCTTGTTCGTGACGGTCAGGCTGTCCAGGCATGTCAGACAATCTAGAATGCAAACGCAGACCTGGACCTTACACGGTCACACCAACTACTCCGGCAGCTGCGCCGTAAAGCATTGTCGTGCCGAGTGTGGTAAAGGAATAGCTGCGGTGAGCACCAGGTTTGTCCGTCATTTTGATGAACCGGCTTGCAATTGATGTTACTGTTGTCGAAACCGATGCTGATTCGAGTCGGTTTATGAGTGAAGTTGCGAGATCGATCCCATGATCATGATGGTATGCATACGTCAGATGCTCTCCTATGTGAGGCATAGGAAACGCGGGTCAAGGACAGCTGAGCTCAACAGCTGTTGCGAGATCCCCGCATCTGTCTCAATAATGCAAACCTTATTTTCATCACCGGGGATTCCCTTTCCTGGGATGGGTATTCTCCGATGGACGGGGTATGGGAATTCGAACCCGTGGAAAAACATGACCAACCTCGGTCTCGCCGACAAACTACAACTCGGGCAACACGAGGAGCTCCCAACTCATACAATCTCTCTCAGAAAATCAGATGTAGTTCCATGTTTAGGTCGTCAAAGATCCGTCGTGCCCGATTGACCTAGTGTACCCCGGCCACTGATATCACAGTTGTCTGGCAGCACACTTTGTGACGAACCAAGATTCAATCGTTCAACAGATTTTCACCATCAACCGGGAATCTAATCGTCATGTCCGAGTCATTCACCGCTTCCCTTCAAAAGAAGAATGCCGGTTCCCTCCTGGTCGCTACCAAGACCAATCCATTCATTGCTTCCGCAATTAACGGATCCTTGACGGATGACAGATTCAACAGATGGATGCAGCAAGACGTTATCTTTGTTGAAGCTCTGGGTCGTTATGAGGGGTTGTTGCTGCACAAGGCTCCGTTGAGAGATTTCCAGACGGTCGTTAGCGGAATCGCCGCTTTGGAGGCCGAGTTGAGGGTAAGTGATTCATCATGAGCTTCCCGCAGTTGCGATTGGTAACGGTCTCCACACAGTGGTTTGTCGAACAGGCTGTCCCTAGAGGCGTCAAGCTCATCCACACCCGCCCATCTCACAGCGGCACCTACGAAACCCTCAGCGCCGCCGCTGCCGCAGCTCCCGCTACCCAAGCCTACAACGACTACATCCTCCAAACCCTCCCAACAAAGTCCTACCTCGCACAAATCACCGCCGTCTGGGCTATCGAGTTAACCTACCTGCAAGCCTGGCGCAACGTCCTGGACGAGTCGAAGGATGACAAATGGAGGCAGAATGCAGAGCACTGGGCTGTTCCGGAGTTCCAGCAGTATGTCGCTGGGTTGCAAAAGTGTGTTGAGGATGCGTTTGAGGAGAGTAAGGAGGAGAGGTCGGATCATAAGGCTGAGGTTTGGGAGGCTGAGGAGTGCTTTCAGGAGGTGTTGCGGTTGGAGGAGGACTTCTGGAAGATGGCCATGGAGGCGTAAAAGTACGAGCATAGTGTTACAAATACGCGTTCGAGGCCGAGTAAGGTATCTGGGCGTTCCTCTTAGGGGCAACTCAAATGCTCTTGCCATTGTCGCAGGAAGCCGCGAAGTTCGTTGTGCCGTTTTTGACCTTCATATACGAAGTTCAACCAGCTGCAGATTTGAGAAGGCCGAAACCGAGACTGCTGATTCTATTATGCCGACTTGCAGGTGTAATCGAATGCCGATACCGACAGTATGCGCCCACAGCGAGAAACAAGCAGTAACACAAACGATGTGGTGTGAATGTATTCATGATCATGACTTCGTAACCTCTTGTAAACCCAAATGAGCGCCCTCCTCACACGTGACGAGCCCAGCCCTTGTGCTCCTCAACACCGTACTGAATGTCCATAATCCATTTTTGCATCTGCTCCGCCACCGGTCCCGCCTCCTTTCCGGGCTGTAATGGTACGGAGATGTCCTCTCCCTTATAGTGCACCCTCTTGATCGGCGCGCAGGTAGCGGCGGTTCCGGTTCCAAACATCTCGAGCAATCGGCCCTCGTCGGCGGCCTTCTTAATCTGGTCCATGGTGTACTTCTTCTCGGAGACGGCCCAGCCTTGGGGAACGAGGCGTTCCCGAGCCAAGTCGAGGACACTGTCGCGGGTGACACCCTCGAGAATGGTACCGTCAGTGGTAGGGGCGGTGATAAGCTCCTTGACTGTTGGCGGTAACGTTAGCAAATGGTCATATATGCGGTTCCGGCAGATAACTAACCTCCGTCCTCGTTCACCCATGCGGTGAAGCAGTTCATAGTTCCGACCTCAGTCACGTAGTTCTCCTCTCCGAACAACCATAAGTTCTGATGGTATCCCTTCTGGGCAGCAGCAACCTGAGGAGCGACACAAGGAGCGTAATTAGCTCCCAACTTGGCATTACCGAAGCCTCCAGGCCATGCGCGGACCTTGTCAGTGGTGGCCCACAATGAGACGGCCTTGAATCCGGTGGGGTAGTAGGGACCGACAGGGGAAGCGATCACGTAAAGCAATGCGGAGGAAGTCGGTCCGATACCGAGGGTCTTCTGGGTACCGATGAGGGTTGGTCGAAGGTAGAGCGAGTATCCCTGTCCTCTTGGCACCCAACGGTCGTCGACCTTGACGAATTCCGCGATGGCCTTTAACAGCTCCTCACCGTCGAAGGTGGGCAATGCGATGCGGGTAGCGGAGTTGTTGAAGCGGCTCATGTTCCTGTCACCACGGAAGATGCGGGTGTCGCCGTTGGCGTCCTTGTAGGCCTTCATACCCTCGAAACACTCGAAACCGTAGTGGAACACACAGGTCGCGGGATCAAGTGACAAGTTCTGGTAGGGAGTGATCTTGGGTGCGTCCCATCCAGTCTCGGAGTTCCACTCGATGGCGAGCATGTGGTCTGTGAAGGTATGACCGAAAACGAGCTCATGAGGCTCCTTGAGGGGCTTAGGGTCGGCGGTCTTCTCGATGGTAAGCTTTGCGGCCGAGAGAGGCTGAAGAGCGGGAGTGGAAAGCAAGCGGATGGGCTGGAAGGAAGGCAATGAAGAGCGCAATGCCGACTGCGGCAATCGCAATGAACGGAACATGATTGCTGAACTCTGGATCCTTTGAATTTGATTTTCTTGTTCGTCGAGGTAGAAGCACAACAGCACCACCTGAATTTACAGTAGGCAGGGCAGGGTCTTGGGCGCGGATCGCTCGGCAGTATGAGACCCGTCGAGTCACCTTAACAAGGCAATTGCAATTGGAGACGGGTTCATTGGAAGGTAGATTAAAGCAAAGAAACCCAGATAAACGCCGGTAAACGCCATTGAACCACCCGACTGCCCAGTAGCCGGCCCTCACCACTGGCCAGCTCCGTAATAGATACCCGCATCGTCATCTTCAGACTCATAGGATGACTCCTGCGATTCAGTGAGTCCGGGACTTTTAGCGCTTTGCGCCGCCCTTGTCGCTTCCAAGGCCACTGTGGTGTGACGGACAATCGTCTCAATGACTGGTCGCTTCCCAAGGCCGTGCGTTTCTAGATTGATGGTTAATGACTCGTAAGAACGATACAAGGAGCCAAAGTACCTGCTAGCCAAGCGTTGGCCTTCTCTGCCAAGTTGATTCTCCGTGCGTCTGACATATAATGCGAGAGAGGACTCTTTTCCGGGACCTCGTATGCAAGCAATGCCATGATATCCCGGACAGTTGATAGCTGTGCGTCGTCTTCCGAGCCCGATAATGTTAGGTTTTGTTTAGCAAGGCGTCCAGCTTCAATCGCCTTGTAGACGTCACGACTTCGAATGGCCTGCATGACTGTGAAAAAGTTGTCTTAAAGCCAGATAAAGACCTACCTCGATAGCATTCTGCGCTAGGAACTCGAAGTACAGCCATCCGTACCCCCCGGAATACATAACTTCTCCTAGAGGTGAGCCTGGCTTTATCAAATTCAGCGCAGCCGGGATTTCTCCATTCAAGATATAGGCCATCATCTCTATTTCATCCGGTCAACGGTGGACCCAACCAAGACGCCGAATAGACACAGACCCTTCCGTAGCTGTAAACTTCGCGTTTCAAGCTCCCGGGCCTTCGTTTCTTGGTTCATCAGACCATCCCCGTTGGTGCAAATACGCTGCGACGATTCCCTATCCTGCCTGAAAGCGTCCGCGGTCTCCGCACACCGCTCGTGCAGCAGGTATTGCAGAATCAGATCGCCATAAGTGGCATCCGTCAAAGGGTCCAAAACAGAAGTTGGAGTTTCTCTGGACATTTTCCTTGGCTGTATGTTATGTGCTGCGGACCGTGTGCGTTCGTTCATGTCGTACACCTTCCTTAATGTACGGGTGATTCAGGTCGACTGCGGGACGCTGCAGTTGCCAACGGGACAAGGACGCCGAAGCAACTTCAGAGTTAGGAGCGTAATCGCAGTTGAGGATGTTTTCGAATGCTTTGAAAGCATGTACGTCGTCTTCGCTGTCGGCACCGAGCTCTACTGACGGGGATCATCGCAGTGTCCGGCGGAAACATCCATAAGAGCTACTCCGTAGACTCAACTCCCGCCTTCGTCTCTGGCCCATGGAAAGTCTATGATGCGACCAAGAGGTCCAACAAACAAGCAGTATCTGTTTTTGTGTTTGAGAAGAAGAACTTGGAAGCACCGCTCCAGAAGCCTTCACCCCTCGTGCAAGCCAGGTATGCGCAGATCTACGAACAGTTGAAGCGGGAAGCGAGTAGCTTGTCAAGATTGAGACATCCGAGTATCCTGGAGGTAGCGGAACCAGTGGAAGAGACTGCGAAGACTCTGGTCTTTGCCACGGAGCGAGTCACCGCAAGCTTGGCGACCTTAACTGGCAAGAAGGACGAGGATTCCTTTGGCAGAAAGGGGACGAGAACTTCAAGACCACAGGAGACTGAAGTCGACGAATTGGAAATTCAGAAGGGTTTGCTGCAGGTTGCAAAGGGATTGAGCTTCTTGCACGAACAAGCTGGCATCCTCCACTCAAACCTCATCCCTGAAGCCATCTACGTAAATGCTAAGGTACTTTCTCCAAAGCGCCATCGTCCCTGCGGGTGTGTACTGACTTGAAGATAAACAGGGCGACTGGAAGATTTCTGGACTGGGCTTCTCCATCTCATTCCGTGATGCAAAACCGCAGTATGATTACCCGGAATATGACCCACGACTACCAAAAAACGTTCAACGCGATATTGATTTCGCTGCACCAGAGTTCGTCATCGAGGAGCAAGTCGATCCACTGAGTGATATGTTCAGTTTGGGTTGCTTGATCGTTGCAATGCACAATCGAGGGGCAAGTCCTGTACGGGCGGATCATAACACGCATGCTTACAGGAAGATCGTTGAGAGGCTGGACAGACTTGAATGGGGCCAAGTGCCGTCGTACATTACGTGTACGTGGAATAATCGTCCCATCATTGTCAGGTGCCTAATATCGTCTTTGTAGATGTTCTGCCCCAACTTCTCACGCGAAGACCGGTCAACCGTCTCTCTGCGTCTGCATTCCAGTCGTCGAAGTTTTTCGACAACATTCTCATGAATACAATCCGCTTCCTAGAAGCATTTCCGGAGAAGTCCGACCACGAGAAAGCATCTTTCATGCGTGGCCTGCTCCGTGTCCTGCCTCAATTCCCGGATCGCGTGCTGCAACGAAAGGTACTTGAGCTATACTACCGTTCATTTGTGTGCGATCTAACGGTCTGCTTCCTAGGTCCTCCCATCCCTGCTTGAAGAAACTAAAGATCATCCGCTTCTTCACCTTACGATACCCAACATATACCTCATCATTACCAAAACTCCGCAGAGTGACTTCTCTGCCAAGGTCTTGCCTAAGCTCAAGACAATCTTTTTGGTGAAAGACCAACCCCAAGCAACGGTGGCTATGTTAGAAGGCCTGCACGTAGTCAAGGAAAAGGCAACGGCGAAAGAGTTCAAAGAAGATGTCATGCCTTTGATCTACGCAGCATTAGAGAGTGGCGTGCATTACGTCCAGGACAAGGCCCTCAACGTTATCGGAGAGATTGCCGCTGATCTGGATTTTACCACGATCAAGTCGAGATTGTTTCCTAAGGTTGCTGATGTCTTCACAAAGACGTCAATGCTTTCAGTGCAGGTCACGGCGCTTGAGACGTTCCTCATCATTGTCAAGCACGTCGACAAGTACCTCGTTACGGAGAAGATCTTGCCACTGTTGCAGACCGTCAAGACTAAAGAACCTGCCGTTTTGATCGCTGCACTCGCAGTTTACGAGGAGTCTGGTAAGATGCTCGACCTTGAAGTTATTGCGGCACAAGTTCTTCCGCGTCTTTGGGAGCTTTCTCTCACGCCTCTTTTGAACCTTCAGCAGTTCAAGACATTCATGAAGGTCATCAAAGATCTCAGCAGCCGTATCGAGGAGGAGCATGGCAGGAAGTTGGCCGATTTGGGCAGTGTGAGCGAGCCAATCAACTCAAGTACAGCTGTGAAGGGGCCAGCTGGAGGGGCGGCCGATGAGGGACCCATTGACTTCGAGACCCTCGTACTCGGTGGAAATGGTGTTAGTCAACCAAAACTGCTTACGAATTCTATGGGGAATGGTAGCATGGGTTTCGGTGCTCCTATGGAACCAGTGCCTTCAAATCCATTCCCGTCTAGCCAACCGCCGGCAATACGAGCGGCTCCTCCGAAGAGCACGTCACCAGCGCCAACCTTCTCTTGGTCCACACCAGTTTCACCTCAGGCCCGTCCGCCCCCGGCACCAGCTCCCCAACAACCTCCTACGGGTTTGTCATCCTTCCCCGTTATGCAATCAACCCCGCAAGCGTCATATCAGCAGCCACCGACAAATTACTTCCAATCCCAACCTGTTCAACCTGTGCAACCACCCCAACCGCGTCAACCGAGTAATACGGCTGGCAGCGCTATTGACTGGTCAGCTGCCATGCGGAAACCAGCCCAACCTATACCACCTCCTCCGCAGAACAAAACTTTCGGATGGTCAACGCAAAACAACAATGCCGTTGCGAACTCGTCCATGTCCTCCTTTCCCTCCATCATGCCACCACCAAGGAATGGTCCATCTACACCATCGATACCTCCACCGCCCAAGCCAAGCAATGGTATGGGCTCCCTGGACGCCTACAAACCTCTTCTATAGGTCACGATCGAACAGTTCGTTGGAGAATATATGTCTGCTGGACGGGGTATATTGCTTATCATATTTTGAGAACCGGGTATCATCCGAGGCAGGAAGCAATTAGTTAGCAATTCATATATAACGCCGACTGTTCTTTAACCTTCACTTGCTTTCTCTTTGTTCTCTCCAACTTTGTCCGCCTATATTTAAGAAGTGGCAATGCTCGGTCGGTCGACAATCCGGGGAACTTGGGCGCAATGGCTGCATCGTTTGGCAGCAAACAACCAAACCCCCCAATTACACAAGGACGACAATGAGATTAAGAATCTTCCGTCCCAGAGTCCCGGGGCTTCAACTCCTTCGTCCAAGGGTACCTGGTATCCTTCTGAGGCGTCGTCCCTTCCACGCTCTCGCACGTCCATCGCTTAGACTTCGCGAACGCGTCGGTAGCGTTCGTCGTTATCTCCGCCAAGATCAAGGTCCTAAGCAGCCCCGTGAAGAGGAGGATAAGTTTTATGATGCACCGGAATTTGCGGAAGGCACGGCGTCTTCTGGATCGTCGGGCAACTCTCAGGGGGATCAAAGGGGCTTCTACACTAGACTGCGGGAGCGTCTGAGGAACACCAAGGTTGAATGGTACCCAATTCCTGTTGGACTTGGAATTGCCGTTGTTGCTTTTACACAATATCGGAAAATCAGTGACAGAGAGCATGAGAGAATTGCTCACGAGGGCACGGATGGACACGTTGACATTCAGGGGCCTGCTGGCGAGCGGGTCAGGTCCACTGGACCTTGGCAGGTTCGTAGCGTTTCAATTTTCACGCAAGGTCTCGATTAACACGTTTCCAGGTGTATGTACTCAGCACACTCCCATTGAGGGCAATCTCACGCCTATGGGGGCGCTTCAACGAGATTCAGTTGCCTGTTTGGATGCGTGTTCCCGGTTTCAAGTTGTACGCGTGGGTTTTTGGCTGCAACCTCAATGAGGTTGGTGAGGCCGACTTGACTACATACCGTAACCTGGCCGAGTTCTTCTACCGTGAGCTTAAGCCTGGAGTCCGTCCCATCGACGCTACTGCTGCGATTGTTTCCCCCGCAGACGGAAAGATCCTTCACTTTGGTGCAATCCAAGGACGTCAGGTTGAGCAGGTCAAGGGCTTGACTTACTCTCTTGACGCTCTTCTTGGTTCTGGTGAGCATCCATCTCCTGAGCAAATCGCTTTCGACGCCAGGGAGAACTCGCACATCAGCGATTCCGATTTCGCGACTGTCAACGGAATCGATTACACCGTAGACACTCTCCTGGGTGAGGAAGATCACCAGAAGGCTGAGGCTGGGATCACCAAGACCGATGCTTCCATGCCTGCTGAGCACGAGCAGGCTGCAGAGCAGATCGTTGCCCAGGAGGTCGCACGCTGCCACGGTAACGGCGAGAAGGTCAAGGATGGCAACGCTCTCTTCTTCACTGTCGTCTACTTGGCGCCTGGTGACTACCACCGTTTCCATTCCCCCACCAACTGGGTTGTTGAACGTCGTCGTCACTTTGCTGGTGAACTCTTCAGTGTCTCGCCTTTCCTTGCCCGTCGTCTGGCCAACCTGTTCGTTTTGAACGAGCGTGTCGTGTTGTTGGGTCGCTGGAAGCATGGTTTCATGTCGATGACCCCTGTCGGTGCGACCAACGTCGGATCTATCCGCATTCACTTTGACCGTGAGCTCAGGACCAACACTTGGAGCAAGGATAAGCCTGTTGGCGTTGCCTACGCAGAAGCTACTTATGCGAATGCCAGCAAGGCACTTCGCGGACAGCCATGCAGGGTCGGTGAGCAGATGGGTGGGTTCAACCTGGGAAGTACCGTCGTTCTTGTCTTTGAGGCGCCCGTCGACTTCCAGTTCAAGATTGAGGCTGGCCAGAAGGTGAAGATGGGACAGGCTATTGGTGTTACACCAGAACATTAGAAGGATGAGTGAGCCAGTGAGCCAGTGAGCCAGTGAGCCGTTGGGATGCATCATTGGGCATGGAATGTGAATACCTGCACATATTATCTGATTTCAAGGCGCAAATGGTTTTCTTCTGGGTGTTTATTGTTACCTATGCATTCTAATACATTGTTGTTCATATGATATGCCCGCTCTAAGCAAATTGCCATAACTCCTTCCAAATCATGGGTATCTGTGGTTCTCTAGTTCTCAACCTTAACGACCTTCGTCAACATGCCAGCGTACTTTGGCTCAATAAACAGAGCCTTCGCCTCAACCACTTTGAGAGGGTTCTCCTCGAGAGTCTCAATGTGGCCCTCCACCCACGCCTTCCTTCCTTCCACCTTGGTGGTAGTCGCCTTCAAGACGATCCATTGGTCTGCCTTCGTAGGCGCCAAGTAATTGATGGTAAGACTTGCCGTTACACCAACCTTGTTGGGCAAGGCCGGGAAGCAGCACCGTGCCAGACCCTCATCAAGCAACGTTGCCAACAATCCACCGTGAACAATGCCGGGGTGACCGCACAAATCACTACCGAGATGTGCGAAAATCACGATACTCTTGCCTCTTTCCTCCGAGAAGACGTATGGCGGGATAGTGATGCGCCCAGGTCCAGCCAGGACACCACCCGTCAAATTGTAGGCCTTGTGCTGATCAGGAATAGTCTTGTGTGGTCTTGATTCCGAGAAGTCGGGGTTCGCCCGGAGCTCTTTCAGAAGCGAATGAGCATTGATAAAGTCCTCGGCGGCGCGGACTTCGGGATCGAGGGGACCCATGTGTTCAGAGATTTCAGTAGACATGAAAGGTGCGACTGAGTAAGCGTAGCCAAGTGCAGAAAAGGTAGAACCGAAGAGAGCGAAACCGATCTTTCGAAGTATTGAGGTCTTTGGTTTAACGGTTGGTCGCGCAGTAGTTGTCGCGTATCGGACAGCCGAGCGGAGCTGGTGTGACGTGTGGGAGAATGCGACGGGACGAGTAAAGACTCTTGCGACGAGTCTATTTGGCGACATGTTCGATTATAAACGTCAAGATAACACAGAGAAAAGCGGGAGGCTTAGCGGAAGTCAGTAGGTGCCGGGGCCGAGGAAGGCGACGGAGGAGGGATTAGAAAGAGTAAGCTGCTCCGGTTGGGGCGCGGATGTTTCCCCGGCTAGGACGGCGACTGGCAGCTAACGGTGCCGGGAAGTACTATGGAACAGAAAACGTCCAGAATGAAAAATCTAAGTTCAACTTATCCTAAGGTAGATTCGATGGTTCGTGCATATTTGCTCCCTTTTCTACTGCGCCGTGATCTTCAGCCGCTGAGCAGCTGCGATCCTGTCACCCAACGACAAGGCCACTCCCTGTCCTTTACTGCGAATGCGGACATGACCAGTGATCGGTCCATCTCCGTCCTGCTCAATACTCAAGTTTGCCAGAGCATCCTCACCTGTACATATGTTAGCTTACTGTGCCAATTGCTACAACTGGAGAATGGCTTACCGAAAAGGCTTCGTGCGTACAAGTTGGCACTCAAGAAGCCACAATCTCCCTCAAGGGATGCCTCAGGCGTGAGACAAGCCATGTTGGTGTTCTTCATCAGGTGTGCCAAGAACTCGCGCAAGTTAGCTCCCTTGCTGTTAAGGTTTACTTTGTTCTCCCACTCAAACTCGGTCCACATGCTGCGGAACTGGCTCTCAGTGCACTGTGATGGCTTAATGTAATCCATGATATCGGCATGAATGTGGTTGAGGATAACAATGTTGCTCTCAGCTCCCGCAGGACCATCGTAGACAATGTTACCGAAGATAACTCCGGTGTCGGTAGAAGACACCTTGACAGTAGCCTGAACACTGTAGAAGGAATGCGGACCGATGTTCTGAGTTGTTGGTCGCTCGACAATCTTCAGGTCACCAAGCGTAGCGAACTCCACGGACAAATTCTGCAGAGTCTCGCTAGTTTGGTTAACCAACAAGATATCAAGAACGATATCGAACTGGTGAACCTTGACATAAGCCTCGGCGTAGATAGGGTCTGAAAAACCAGTAAGCTGTACAACGCGACCCAACTTGGATGAAACATCCTCAAGCTTAGACTCAGCACCAGTAGCCTTGGACAAGTCCTGCTCCAACTCGTTGACCGGCTCGACATGGTTCTTCCGTGCCAAGTGACGGATGTTAATAAGGTCGTCAGCCTGTGCAGCAGTCTTCTCCTTCTCGAGGGCGAAAGCAGCAGAGCGCTTCTTCTCCTCGGCCGTCAGCATGACAGTGAATGCTGATCTGGTGTCCTTCAGGAAGACATCTTCAACACCCTTGTTCTCCTCAAACTCAGCCAAGGACTTGACACAGTTGATGATACGGTCGATTGAATCCTCATCAATGGCAGTCTTCACGAACTGAGATTGCCCGACACGGATAATGGAAGTCATGATCAACATAGCCTCCGCACGCAGGGCATTTACCCGAGCAGAGTCCGATGACATCTCGGAATAACGCATGACGAGCTTCACCAAGGTAGCAGACAAGATCGAAGCGAGGTAGTAGTCACCATCGAGAATAAGTTGTCGCAATGGTGGCTTCTGCGCCTTCTTAACTGCCTCCAATCTTGTCTTCTTGGCGGAGTCGCTAGTGATAGCACCCTCAGTAGCATATGTACCGTCAGCCAAAACCTTTCTTGATGATTGGGATGACGCCGCGACCTCTGCTGAATCTCCATTCAAACCCTCAGCCTCGTTGGCAGCAACATCCAAAAGACGCTGCTCCGAAGCCAAGATCGGGATCTCGCCCAAACTCGTTCTGATTCTCCGCCATGCTTCCCGAACATCCGTCTCTGAAGTACAGTACTCACCGACAATCCACAATGCTCCCCGGTAAACCTTGTTAGCACGCACCTCACTCAGAGTAGACATAAGCTGAGCGATAATCGCCGAACGGAGGGCAGGGAACTTCTCGACAACCTCCTTGACGAATGCAATAACGTCAACAGCGGAAGCGCTGTTGAACTCGCCAATGCATTCCATGAGCACATGAACCACACTGGACGCGACTTCGGAGAAGCGAATGGCGCACTGGTGAATAGTGTGGATAAGAAGTTGGCGATACTCGTTGTTCTTTTCGTAGGCCTCGTCGATGGTCTTGGTCAACTCTTTCTTCAACAACTGGATAACCTCCTCCACATTCCTGCTCGACACCATCTCCAATGCGATATCCAGGGCCTTCTTTCGGACATCGATGTCGGGGCTCGAGAGGACGCGCAAGACGTCCATGACGAGGTCATCAAGGGTACGCTCGTGCTTGCGGCGGAGGTTGTCGATCCGGTCGAGGACGATGAGCTTGACGTTGTTGTCGGACTCTTTGACGACCAACTCAATAAATTTGCTGGCGGCGGCCTTGATGGCGACAGGGTTGTTGGTCAAGGCGGTCAAAGCAGTAGCAGCCTCGTATACAACCGTGCTGGACTGACTCTCCAATAGATCGAGAATGACCTTGAGGTAACGAGAACGGTTCTGGGCGTTAGTAAGGGAGTCCTTGCGAATGAACTCGATCACGGCCATCTGCATGCTAGTCTCCATTCCAGTGATGTTGTCAAACTTCTCCTCGAGCCATTGCACCACACGTTCAGGGCTGATCGCACAGAGCGCAAGGAAAGCATTACGCCTGCAGCTCGAATCACCCTCAGCAGCCAAGAAGTTCGCAATCAACTCTGGTGCATCAGGGACGAGGTTCTCCGAGTGAAGGTAGATACTGTAAATTGCAAAGACGGCGTTTTTCCGGACATACGAGTGCCTGTGCTCAAGACACTGACGCGCCGTAGGAAGAAGCGGCTCGAGGAGTTCCGGAAGCTGGATCTTGGTGAGGAACCGAAGTGTCGCCCCACGGATGTACTCGTTGGGGTGTTGCAGGTCGTTACGGATAGCGTTGATCACGAGGACCATTTCCTGTAGCAGTGTCTTTCCATCCGCTTGTGTCTTGGTACATGCTTCCCAGTAGAAGTGCAGCAGCTTCTTCAACACCTTGTTCTTTGATGGCATGACGAAGCGGATGACGTGCATGAGGAGCTGGTTGGGCATTGGATCACCGTTGAGCATGATTGCCAGGATCCTGCGCATGGTCTCGATTTTGACATTGTCGGAACCTTTCTCGAGGGAATTGCGAATATCTGTGGTTCGAAGGATCAGTAACAACACTGCGGATTCGTTTCTAGGTTGGAGACGTACCCTGCAAGCTAGGAGCATCAGCAGAATTGTCCTGGTGGACGATGGTATAGCAACTGTCCTGCACAGACGTAGCCATCCTGGAACCGGTGACGCGACAGGCGGAAAGGGGATCAACGAGGTGAAAGAGTCTCTGGTGGTTTGATGTGGATTCTCGAGGAACTTAGTCTCAGTTGTCCTCGGGTTTCTTCAATTGACCGGTCTGGGTATATTCACCCGACTCTTTCAGGCTTCTCGTGTTGTTGCCAGCAACGCGCGACGTCTCGACGTACGGTCCCTCCCCCATGCATGCCGCCGAGAGTCGTCACGGGGAGTAGACAGCGTCGCTTTGGAATACTGGATTATGATGGAGGTAAAAGAGCGTTTGAAACCTTGGGTATATTGATTTTGGCTTCCTTCGCCAAGGTACGGTCAACGACACTGTAGCCCTTCAGCCGCCATTCCTTCCAGAAACACAAGAGCAACCGTACTCCAATAACCATAGAGATATTTTCTTTTAATTCCACCTCTCCAACTCATCCTGCCTTGATAGGCTTGATCTGCATAGGCCTATTGTTAGCATTGTCCGCTGTCATGAAGGAGAGGCAGGAGCATACCTTGAAATGCAGAGCAATGAGAGAAAACACCAACGCCTTCAAATCCTGAACAAGATAATAGAACACCCTCAACCCCTCCGGGTCCTCACTCTCCGTAACATCCACCAGACTACCAATCTTGGCCGTCTCAAAACTGATATGCTCGTTGCCCAATCTGATCTCCAACTCCTGACGCCCATCCTTGTTTTTTCTTGGCCATTTTGCGTCATCTTCTTTCAGAACTTCAGACTCTTGGATGATACGTTTCAGCTCTGCAATCATAGCCTGAGAAACACACATTTCCTTTCTGATGAGGGAGTCGTTGCGGTAGTTTGAGTTGTTGGCATATCGTGCGACACCGTCGGCTCGAAAGTCGAACTCTATAGAAGCTGTAAGCATCGTAACACGCTGGACGTCTCGGGGACTCACCTAAGAACTCGTGGCCGAAGCGACCGGTATGACCAGAACTAACAAGCGCATATCAGCACCGGTCATGAATGTAGCGAGCGGATCACGTACTAGTATCTCAGGTAGAATGGCTCGTCGGACGACATGGTGATCCTTCAATTGCAATTGCAATTGCTGTCGGGCTGTATGCTCTTACGGCTCTTCTGGTGTTCACGTACCTTAGGTAGTATACGACGCGACCCTCGTACAACCAGAGCATGCAGGGGGGTACATGCGATACCTCCAAGTACGTCAAAGGGGAAAACAAAGCAACCAGATGCAAGGAAAGCGAGAGCATACAGTCCCAAGAGCAAGAGAAGGGAGAGCATACACCCGACCATGTCGTCGAAGGGCAATCAGCACAAAGCCGTGAACGATCCTGAGGAGAGCGAGTACGAGGTGGGATCATCTTCGTCCAGTTGCGACCGAACGAATGCTAATACAAAAGGGTAGGTGGAAGAAATCGTCGACGAGAGAACTATTGGCAAGAAAGAGACCGAGTTCAAAATCCGCTGGAAGGGTTATGGCCCTGGACAAGACTCATGGGAACCGAGGAGCAATCTGCTGAGCTGTAAAGACGCACTCAAGGCGTGGGCCAACAAGAAGAAGAGAGCCCAATCACAGACGCCGATAGCAAAGAAGCGCAAGATATCGGAGTCTATTTCCGTGTCATCTAATGGCGATCGGTCACTGACGCGGACGCCGTCGTCAGATATCCGGCAACAGGCAGTGAGGAAAGTTCCTACTCGCTTGAATTCACCGGTAGTCATCAATCTCACCTCAGACCCAGTATCGTCATTGCATAAGTCGGTTGAAAACAGCAATTCCGGCCCTCCTCAAAGGCTAAAACTACCACCGACATCGGTTCCCACGCCCGCAGCCGGATCCAATGAGCGTATAACCGCAGGTGTTGCGACAATCACTATATCTGACGGATCAGTCGCCTCAGAGGCATCTTCACAATGTGGTCCTTCAACTTCACCGCGAACAAGGAGACGGAACGATATCCCACCAACTACCACAATGGCCTACCCCACCTCGCACGGTTTAGTCACCGCCCTGACCGACGCATCCCCTGGCCACGCCCGGGTGGTCAAGAAAGCATCCTTGAGTGAACTGCAACAGGCATTTGAGGCGAAGCTAGCACTGCTTAAGCCCAGAGTCTCCCTTGTCAATGAGATCGACGATAGCGCAGCTGTACCAGATAATGTCGAAAAGTTCGAGTTTATCGAACGGTATCGATTTGCGCTTGGGATCACGGAACCGGATTCAGGATTCTCTGCCGGCTGTGAGTGTGGGATTAAGGAGGGAAATGTGTTTGGTGGGCATTGTGATTTGGACGATCCGCTTAAGTGTTCTTGTCTACAGGAGATGGCCGAACCGGAGTTTGCGTATGACAAGCATGGATTGCTGACCAGTACTGACTGTCCGATATATGAGTGCAACGAAAATTGCGGATGTGCATTAACCTGTCCAAACCGCGTAGTTCAACGCGGCCGCCAACTACCACTTGAAATCTTCAAAACACCGGACAAGGGCTTCGGCCTCCGATGCCCGCAAAACATCAAAGCAGGGACATTTTTAAGCACATACACCGGAGAAGTCATTACCAACGGCGAAGCAAAACGACGTGAACCGATTTACGAAAACAACGGTGCAACGTACCTGTTCGAGCTCGACTTTTTCGAGTCCGAGTTGGAGGAGAGCGGGCAAGAGTGTTATACTGTCGATGCACAATGTTGTGGTGATCCGACGCGGTTTATTAATCACTCTTGTGATCCGAATCTTCAGGTCAGGGTAGTGTTGGTACAGATGGACCAAAGGCTGTATCACATTGCGTTCTTTGCAATACGGGACATTCCGGCATATGAGGAACTTACGTTCGATTACTCGCCTTCACCGCATCACCACGAGATGAGTAGATCAGCTCCGCAGCGAAGGAGGGGCAGAGGTAGGCGTGCGGTAGCAGGACCGAAGAACTACAAGGCAAAGTTGTCTTGTGAGTGCAAGTCGGCCAAGTGTCGCGGTTACACGTTTTGAGGGGGGGTGGGGGGGGATCATTGTATGGCCATGACCTTGCCGGACAACAAGGTGCCCGCAGGTCTATCACGTAACACAAAAGTCCATCTTGCTCGAAGCTGAGCGTTCTGTTCCCACCGAGATGAATTTCCCGCGACTGCTGCAATCCCATGCAGGGCCAACCCTTCCCCGGGTTCTGGGTGTTGCAACAGCAGCATACAAGCAGCATACAAGCAGCATACACGCAGCATACACGCAGCATACACCCGGGCCCGTCAATCAACACCAATTGCAATAGCAATCAGTTGAACATGGCTTCCTCTTCATCATCCTGGCCATCGCTGCGCTCCAAGGCACGCTCTCTCGAGTCACAGACAGAGTCCTTCTTCCTGCAATACTCTGCCTTGGCACAGTCGTCTGGACAGACATCCGATGATGAAGCCCTGGAATCCAAGCTAACAACCATCCTTCAGGAGGTAAAAGAATCTTCCAGCTCATTTGTCTTTTGCTAACAATGCTGTCACAGCGCCAGGAAGTCATCAACACGCTGTCTCGCCTGCTTGACATGGACACCGCTGCCAACTCAACAACCAAGGTTCACCAACTCCAGCGTAACCGTGAGATCCTCGCCGAACACAACAAGGAGTTCCGCCGCATCAAAGATAACATCGAGCAAACGCGAAATCACAGCGACTTACTGAGCTCGGTACGAAGAGATATTAAGCAATACAAAGATGCCACGGGCTTGGCGGACGCGGAAGCTGGTTATATGTTGCAGGAGAGAGGGACGATTGATAATTCCCATAGGATGGCAGATTCCGTTCTGGCGTATGTGAACTATGATTTACAAGTGAGGCTGTTACTGACGGTGGGCTTACAGGCAAGCATATGAGACCAGAGAGGAATTCGCTCGGCAAAAGGCAGCACTGAAAAGAATCCAAATCAGAATCACGGAGACAGCAATGCAGATACCTGGATTGAATACGCTCATCTCCAAGATCAACACCAGAAAGAAGCGTGATAGTCTGATCATCGCGCTGCTTATTAGTTTCTGTGTTTTTGGGTTGTTCATGCTACGGTGAGCGCAAGACGGGATATGGCTATGCATCCGTTAGGTTACGGCGTTTTGTCTTTTTTGATATTCCCCCAAGGAAGTGACGCTAGAACGGTCATTCTAATTTTTTGGCCTGTTGTTCCAGTTTCCTTGCCAATTGCTCACCGAGTGAATCCACCTCGGACTGAAGCACATTGATTTCGTCCTGCTTAGGCTTCTTCACCTCATTAACCCTTCACATCCTCAACCTTTGCCTGCAGCTCCGAAGCCTTCTCCGTGTTAGCACCCTCCATCGCACCTGCATCGACAGTCTTTGGTGCCTTGTCCAAACTCTGCTTTGATCATTATACTCTTCTCGACCTCCTCAGCATCACCACATACCGCCCATCTGATCCTGGCCTCAGCATCCAACAACTATGTATACCCAACGTATGTGTTAAAGTATCCAATACTGTGTCTCAGAATGTTCGGTAATCTGGTAGTAAGGAAGAAGTAGTTGTCGTGCTCCTCAGAAGGTACGAATTTGTGATACCCGGGAGAAAGGCCCACACAAGGGCTGCTTTTAAGGGGTTTTCCTGGATGTTGATGCTCACCATGCCAGGCCACTCACTTCCTGCGACAGAGGCCAAGTGTTCCCTGAAAGCATTGGAGAACGTCGCAGCCTGTTCCTCAGCTGACCGAGAAGAAAAGATGGAAACAAGAGTGACAGCGTGGTTCAGGATAGCCGACGCTGTACTCTCGTCTTTTGCCGAACTTGTGTTCGGCGTTCGTCCTTTTAGGTTCGGCATATACAGTGCTTTGTCCTTCTGGAACATACGGGTCGGCACAACCCAGTGCTTCCCCATATGTTTCTTAATGCCATAGAAATTGTTCCAGTAGGATTCATTCATGAACTCCACTAGGTTTTCTGGCCTTTCTACAATATCTTGTTGTTGTCAAGCTTATCCCTCGTTCGTTCTTTCCAAGCCCGTGAGTCTTTCTCAGTACCCACTAATTGATCCCCCACATGCGGCATAATTTCAATGCCAATCGGTCGGTCAAGGGAAGGAAGAACATCGTTGTTTAATGCCTGGGCTGGCGGAACTGATGGTGCTGAAGTTGCGTAAGAAGCGTGGGACAAGATTCTAGCCGAGAACACAATCGATAGCGGACGAATGGTCGATGAATCTGATCATCCTCGTGTTGTAGGATTGAATGAATCAGTGGAAGTTGTTGCGGATATATGGAAATAACGGCTTCGGAATTGAATATGTGTGCGCGGTGTAGCGGACGAGTACGGGAAGTACGCTGACCTCACTCGGTAACGGGGACTGCATTCTCATATCGTGCACTCTCCTTACGAATGCAGAGTACTCCTGTACATAGAAATGCCTGCCAATATATTCCCTCTATATCGTGATTTAACTATGGATATTTCTTCAAGATGCTCAATCCTGCTTGAATCCTGTTCGCACATGGTAAGCATTTGTACCCACGTCACCTTAACAGTCAGCAGTACATACCTCACATCAACGCGATTAGCAATATCGTAGTTTTGACCATAATCCCGAGCCTTGATCAGCCATTGCCTTGCTGCGGCCGCACCCTTGGCTTCCTTTTGCCCCTCCCAGAGACAAACGGCCAGTTCGTAACTGTAACACAACACGTTAGTAGTGACATGACCAATGCTGACCGTACAACTCACTATCCACCAGGAATGCAGTATTCGTCTTTATCTTTGCTCGTATAGAAAATAGCCTTTTCCGTGTGGACAACACGCTGTTCGAGAATCTCTCGAGCACCCCGGAGATCGCCCGAGTAGCGCATGACGACAGCGGTTAGCATGTCCCTCACAACCATCTCGTCTGCATCATCCTCCATCTGCCATTTGGATGCGTCCCTGTATTTGATCATGCGCTGTGATTTCTCCAACAGCTGCTTATCGCTGGCCATACGGACCCATCCGTTGTTGATCCACACGAACTCCATGAGGGGACTGACCCCTACGCCATCTACAAGTTGACCTTTGGATCCCACGCGTGCTTGCCATCGCTTGATCTTCCGCTGAACAAACACTTCAAGCGGCATGGGCTTGGACATGAATGTTTTCTTCCCCACAAGTCCAGGGACCTTGGTCAGTAAAGCATCAGCTTCTTTCGCGCACCTCGCCGCGGCCTCCGTGTCGTTATCAAGCAGCGCCTGCCGGTAGAGCTCAACGTAACAACAACCAGCGAAGAAGGTGTAGATGGCATGACTCCACTCACTTATTGACGACAGATGCAGCATCTTCTGCGCAGCTTCCTCAAAGCGCAAGGCGTATAGAAGGTTGAGAGCGTGCTCATATGTCCAGAGCACTTCAACTTGCTTCATCTGAAAGGTCATAGGTTGCTCCAAACGATCGAGGGCTTCGTACAGCTTTCCTTGCTGCGCCATTGCTCGTGTTTCCTGTAAGCCCCACATACCACTTTTCGGGTAGCGAACCTTTGTGAGGGCCAGCATCTCCAGTGTCTTCCTTCTCTCTTCAAAAAGCTCATCGTCGACAATATCACAACTAGAAATGGCATTATAGTACTCGAGGAGCGTCAATGTAGCAATGGCGCCGTATACGTTGGGTACGGGAGCACTGTCCCAAAGAAGTTGAAGTGCCTGCTTTCGATCTCCTCTGAAGCCGATAATCGAGAGGATCTTGTTGAGAGAAGTGGGTAGAAGGGAAATGATCAAGATGAAGATGCCTAAACCGGACAGAGTACCCTAAATTGGGCCGAATTAGTCTTGGAAATCAGAACCACAAAAGCGACGGGAAATACCGCGTAGATGAGCCCGTTCATTTGTTCGTCACCCTCCTTTCCTCTGAAAGAGGCATCCACTGCAGGAGAAGCTTTCGTATTCCTCCTTTTGCTACCTGTACTGCTAGCGGTCTTGATGCTGATATTACTGGGTTGATGGTGAAGATGAAGTGACTCTTGTGTTGCATCAGTCAGCGCATTCACCGTTTCAGACTCCTCCTCAGGCGACATGGCCGTCCCATCCACACCGGCAGCGCCAAGTACAGCTATCTGTTGACCACCGGTAATGATTTCGTAGTTCTTAGCAAACAGCCCGTATGCTTTACGAATGTTAAACCTACGCAGCGTGTTAGAACGGACCGTGAGAACTGAAGAGGTTGGCAACATACGCAGCCTTCATACTCTCCACCATGCTCTCGGTTGTAAAGCCGACCAAACTGCTCATGAGGAGGGCATCCGCCCTAACTAGGGAAAACTCGGTCCCAGGCGGATATTTGCCAGCGGGGCGTCCCTCTGCGATAGCCTTCCTCTGCTCTTTATCAGCAGCGGCTTCGGCCTCAAGGACTTTCCTTCCAGCTGCCTTCAATATTTCCTGTTCACCACCAATAATTCCTTTGAGGAACTGCACAGCAGCTCTCCCGAGCATGTGGTACACCGAAGAGCCCATGTTCATGTATCTATCGGCTTCGTCGAGTTGATCATTCTAGAAGCTGTGTAAGCTTATTTTTTGCAGCAAACAAGATGTAGCCAGCGTACCATCAAAGCGTCCATTCCGGCGAGGGTCTGTCTCAAGGCCTCTCTGTCCTCCTCGCTGGACTCCATGAGCTTCAAGTTGGTTGAGGAGGCGGGAGTGGAGGCAGACGAGCCCCATAGCTTCTTGAACATCCTGGTAGATGGAAAAGAAGAACCGGTGGGTTTGTAAGTTTGGTGGTGTTGAAGCTGCGGATCGATGTCATTGTTGGTGCAGTGCGTCGGCCTGCAAGTGCGCACGTACGTACGAGGGAAACGTCACGACAAACAACATCACGGAAAATGTCAACTACGACCGAGAAGAAGCCTGAGGATGATAAGAAGACTCATTTGACTCACCTCGAGGAGGATGACGAATTTGAAGACTTTCCTGCCGAGGGTACGTGGGCGGCATTGAATGCGTGGCACACGAGCTGACAGTTTCGTACGTTAGACTGGACGGATGCTGAAGCCGGAGTGAACCTTCCTGGTGGCAAGACTGCTCTGTGGGAGGACAACTGGGATGACGATGATGTCGAGGACGATTTCTCAAATCAATTAAAGTACGTGGACCCGAGGAGTGCAGAGTGCAACGTGCAGCGTGGACCACTTGGCTCGTCATTGCGTGACAGCAGGCGTACTTGCGCTCGACTATACACTCCGTCATCGCTTTCGAGTCTCCTGTTTGTTAACATGATCACTACAGGGCGGAGCTCGAGAACGTCAAGCAGCAGGCTGGTCAGCCCCAGCCCATGCAACAGTAAGATTACTCGTACGGCAGTGGAGGTGATGTTGCAGGACACCTGTGAGAACGAGAAGGGAAGAACAGGCCGACGGAAGGGAGGATGTGCGGGGCTCGAGCTGTGAGGATAGGCGGGCGCACGGAGACAGCATCCAGCAACAGCAAGCGGGCTATTATACCACAAGGGAACGGGAATGATCACAGGCATGGCATAACGTGTATAAGGCGAGAATAAAGAACCCAAGAGCCTACGATAAGGTTCATGTGTGCACCAATCGTATCCGTACAATCTTGCACCCCAAGCTGCACCACAGTACACTGCCACACACGACACTCACTGCGCGCAGAAAGTCCAGCACCAGCAACCGCTCCTCTACGATCCTCGAAATATCTCAATTGCCAAAGATGACTTCCCTCTCTAACAAGCTTGCTATCACCGACGTTGAGCTCAAGGACAAGCGCGTCTTGATCCGTTGTGACTTCAACGTCCCCTTGGACAAGAAGACCGGCGAGGTACGATCCACCGCGGCAGTTGATTACTCAACGATAGAGCTGATAAGCCCTCCTTAGATCACCAACAACCAGCGCATTGTCGGTGCTTTGCCCACCATCAAGTATGCCTTGGAGAAGGGTGAGTACATATTCGCCGAGCCATCACGTCTGTCGCTAACCGTTATCATCAGGTGCTAAGGCTGTTGTCTTGATGTCCCACATGGGTCGCCCTGAGGGTGAACGTGTCGAGAAGTACTCCCTCAAGGTTGTCGCCGATGAGCTCGAGAAGCTTCTTTCCAAGCAGGTTACCTTCCTCAGCGACTGTGTCGGTTCCGAGGTTGAGAAGGCTTGCGCTGAGGCCAAGGATGGTCAGGTCATCCTTTTGGAGAACTTGCGTTACCACATCGAGGAGGAGGGTTCCGCCAAGAGGAACGGCGAGAAGGTCAAGGCTGACAAGGCCGATGTCGAGAAGTTCAGGAAGTCCTTGACCTCCTTGGGTGACATCTACGTCAACGACGCTTTCGGTACTGCTCACCGTGGCCACTCTTCCATGGTTGGTGTCGACCTTCCCCAGCGTGCCTCTGGTTTCTTGATGGCCAAGGAGCTCCAGTACTTCGCCAAGGTCCTCGAGTCCCCTGACCGTCCTTTCCTTGCCATCCTCGGTGGTGCCAAGGTCTCCGACAAGATCCAGCTCATCGACAACCTCCTCACCAAGGTCAACAAGCTCATCATCTGTGGTGGTATGGCTTTCACCTTCAAGAAGGTCCTTGAGGGTATGACCATTGGTAACTCCCTTTTCGACAAGGCTGGTGCCGAGAACGTCCAGAACTTGGTTGAGAAGGCCAAGGCCAACAACGTCGAGATTGTCCTCCCCGTCGACTGGACCATCGCCGACGACTTCTCTCCTACTGCCAACACCAAGCAGGTTACGGACAAGGAGGGTATCCCCGACAACTGGGAGGGTCTTGACTGTGGATCCGAGTCCGTCAAGCTCTTCACCGAGACCATCAACAAGGCCAAGACCATCCTCTGGAACGGACCTTGTGGTGTCTTCGAGTTCGACGCCTTCGCCAAGGGTACCAAGGGTACTCTCGACGCTGCCATCGCTGCTTGCCAGAACGGTGCCAACGTCATCATTGGTGGTGGTGACACCGCTACCGTCGCCGTCAAGTTCGGTGTCGAGGACAAGCTCTCCCACGTTTCCACTGGTGGAGGTGCTTCCTTGGAGTTGTTGGAGGGTAAGGTTTTGCCCGGTGTTGACGCTTTGTCCCAAAAATAAGCACGCAAAGCGGTCTTTCTGTAAGATTGCCGTTTGAGCGGTGAGAGTAGATTGTGTTTGACTACGATATAATAATGAGTGTATTACTACCATACTTTGCATTTCGCGACCAGCTCCAGTACATCCAAAAATCTTGATCTCTCCTTCGCACCCATGATCTCCGTATCCTCGTAATCATACCCTCTTACGTTGGTCGACAATGCTAACCCTACTATGACTGTTCGTGCCTCATCCGGGTTCTGCGATGCCACCAGTGATGCGATATGCACAGCGTAAAGCTGTCCGAGCTCGCCTCGAGGTGTATTTGAGGCACCTAGCATGTACTTTGGAGTGATGTGTGATGGTGGAAGCAAGTCCAAATGTTCAGCACCTAACGGCGGTGGTGGGACCAGCGAGGATGTTTCCAACGACACCGACAACTACACCTCGCGTCAATGAGGCAGAACAAACAATGCGGAAGTAACGCGCGGCTCACCATCTGTCCAATTTTGCCAGAATCTGTCACGAGCACCATAATTCTATCGGCGAAGCCATAAACAAGGCATTCAGTGTGCTTGCCGTCGATAAACCGCGCAGCCTGTCTTGTCTGAACGGGGGATCGAACTGGAGCTGCTGCGTCTATCAAAGATGCATCGATGAAGGCGGACATTTCAGTTGTTCAATGTCGATGTTGTAATTTCGGAGTTCTTATCCCCTATCAATTCAGACGCAATTGGGCGGTGCGACTCGCGCCCTCTACGTACATCCTACAATCAGCTCCAGCTCCAGCAAGGGATCAAGCACTCCACTCAACCCAATCGACAGTCACCATGGCAGACTTCAAAGCCCCAACTAATCTCGAGGAGCTTGATGCTCAGGTTCGATATCCATTCCGATCTTGAACTTGCCGTGCTAATACACCGTGTGCTGTAGCTCGCCAATGATAGACGGATCAAAGTCGCGGGGATTGATGCTGACGGTGTGTTGCGCGGCAAGGTCATGTCAAAGGAGAAGTTTCTGTCTGCGGCAAAAACAGGCTTCGGCTTTTGGTATGTGACGACCATGTGCAGTTAGGATCGTAGCAGTGATACTGACCTGTGAATTCAGCTCCGTAATCTTCGGCTGGGATATCGTGGACGCAAACTATTACCGCGATTCTGCTTTTTCTCATGCCGGAAACGGTTTTGCAGACATCGAAGCCGTGATTGATTTAAGCTCTTTCCGTAGGATTCCGTGGGAAGGAAACATCCCGTTTTTCTTAGTTTCTTTCAACGGAGCTGATGGCAAGCCCCTGTCCGTCTGCCCGCGTACTCTTTTGAGGAGCGTTGTGGATAAGTTTAGAGATCTTGGTTACGAACCGATGAGCGGCATCGAGTATGAATTCTTTCAGTTTAAGGAGACGGCCCATTCGCTCGCTGAAAAGAAGGGCGTGGATCTTCAGGCTCGTATGTTACTCCTGTCCACTCGTACTGAGAGATGCTAAATGTTTCTCTATAGTGACACCTGGAATGTTTGGGTATTCCATCACTCGTCCATCGCTGAACCAGGAGTATTTTTATAAGATCTTCGATCAATGCGAGGAGCTCCGCTGTGACCTTGAAGGGCTACATACAGAGACCGGACCGGGAGTATATGAAGCTGCCTTGGCATATACTACCGCTTCAGAAATCGCTGATCGTGCTACGTTATTCAAGCTTGCTTGCAAGAACATTGGTGTTCAATATGGCATCACACCGTCGTTTATGGCCAAGCCGTATGCGAACCAGCCGGGGACCAGCGGACATACGCATGTGTCTTTGGTGGACATGAAGACGGGCAAGAATGCTTTCACGAGGGATGAAGAAGATCCGAATGCGCCGTATGCTGACATTAGGCACTTGAGTGACGTTGGCCGCCACTTTTTGGCAGGTGTTGTTGAGGGCTTACCCGATGTGATGCCCATGTTCTGTCCTACGATCAACTCGTACAAGAGGCTTGTCGAAGGCGTCTGGGCCCCAGTTACTCAATCATGGGGCTTCGAGAATCGCGTTGCAAGTGTCCGTTTGATTGGCCCTCCAACTGCTTCCCCGAAAGCCACGAGGATTGAGTTCCGTGTTCCGGGAGCAGATATGCATCCTCATTATGCCCTCGCCACCATTCTGGCCCTGGGTCTCCGAGGTGAGTGTCCGCACCATTGCGTCGCAAAATATTGCTAATTCACATTTTAGGTATTGAGAAGAAGCTCGAGCTCAACATCCCGCCCTTGGATGAGAAATCCTCTAGGGAGTTTCTGGGAGCCCGCTTGGCCAAGAATCTTCGCACGGCTACGGAGCTGTTCAAGAGGAAGGAGAGCATTGCGCGGGAGGTCCTTGGTGATGAGTTCGTGGACCATTACGCCTTGACCAGAGAGCACGAATGCAAGGTGTTTGACGAAGCAGTGACTGACTGGTATGTTGCTGTCCCTTAGCCTATATCTGTCAACGACGAGAAACTGACTTGATCCGTTCAGGGAGTTGAAACGCTATCTCGAGATGGTGTAGGCATGGTAGTACTGGCTCGATTGTTATTCCAGAGTGAGTAGTATGCTACAAGCAGCAGCAGATGTAATTGATACCACAATAAAATATCCATAACTTCAACATGCTCCCGTCCCCGTTCCCAACATGAATTGTGTTTCCACTTGTCCCTGGTGCGCGTACCCCACACAGGCTGTAGCGGCGTAACATGTACAGTTCTGAGAGAGACAGACGGACAGACAGCCAGACGCCCAGTACCCCGTCTCTAATTGCCAATTGCAATGGTTGTAGAGGTTCCCCCAGGAACTGCGACCACACTCGCAGAGCCAATCTCCGTCGAACGTCTCGGTTTTGAGCGAACGTTAGCTCCTCCGCCGCCGGCTCACCTCTTAGAATCACTGGAATTGGGCTCTGCTGGGCCAGCGACCGAGCTGGACGAGCATATATCTGTGGGAAATGTCGCAGGGCAGAAGATTGAAGACCTCAGTTCGCTGTCCATGACATTTATGCTCGGGAACGGGCAGAGGCGAGCTATGAGCTTTCCTTCTGAAGATGTGACGGTCGGCTCTGTGAAACAGCGGTTAATGGAAGACTGGCCTTCTGGTATGCTACGTATGCTCCATCTACACTTTCTCATCCTAATTGCAAGTTCCGCAGAGTGGGATGACCAAAAACCCGTTGGAGTTGGGAATATCCGTCTTTTGCATCTTGGAAAACTCTTGGCCGACAATCTAACTTTGAAAGGTACACGGCCTGCCTCAAGGTTATGATGAATACTAAAACTCTGGCCTCCTAGACTGCCGTATTCAGCAGGGAAATCCCAATGTCGTTCACTTAACAGTTCGGCCGGCCGATCTTGTCCCTGAGGAGGACGTGGGTGAGTCCATTATGTTCCAGAGGCCCCCCTCAACCGAGCTAACGCTCCAGCTTCCCAGATGCAAAAGTTGAGCAAAAGAAAGGCAGCGGCTGCTGTGTCCTCATGTGAATGTGTATTGAGTTGAAACATGGAGGCACAATTACATCATGTGGAGCCTCACCGGCTGCGTTTGATCCTGAGTGGGTGGTAGTTCTTTTTCTTTCGGGACAGTTCATGGGATATAGGTTTCGGTTTTATGGGTTTGGAATGGCCATGGCCATGGCCATGGGTTTCGGGGTGTCCGGTTTGACACAATAAATATACGGTTTTTCTTATTTCACGTTCGATTAAAGGTTAATCAATACACATACACACAGCTGCAGCTGCAGCTTGATGCAGGTGACGTTTCGCGAGAGGTCGAGGTCAAGCAGCAGTTGAAGCATTCATCCAGCATTCATCCACCCAACACCAACGACAGTTCCAATACGGTTTCATTCACCCATGGTACGTAACAAGCACTCATGACCGGATCTTCGCAGCTTACAAATACTTAGTCGCTCCGTATCACCCCTGGCAAGGCTCAGCCCTCCTCCATTTCCATTACCCAGACCGCATCCACCTCTGTCGCCGGTGTACACGACACTCTACGCCATGGAAACAAGTCTTTTGCAGCGGATGTCAATTCTCGTCATCCATTGGAGGCGCGTTTGCAGAATTGGGAGGCTACACAAGAAGAGCTCCGCATGGAGACCTTGAAGCGGCTATACGGTGTTGCCGAGCCAGTGAGGAGACAAATGGAACTGAAGCTATGCGGTGCCGACGATTTCCGCCCAACAACCTTGGGCGGACCTGGTAATCTCCACTTGGATATTCTAAGAGGGAAGGATACTACATTGGATGTTGAAGATGTGTTTGACGGTGAGTTCGGTGAACACGCGCTGAATCTCGTACAGGGCTGACTGTAAGCCATTAGGCCGCGACATGGCAACCATTGACTTCCATACCGAGTTGGAGGCACGTATGCGTTGATGTTCGAAAGGCGGGCGAAGTGATGATTGGTTCTGCATGATACACTGGTTGAACACCCGGCGATGGAGCTGAGCTAGTATGGCCTAGGATACCCACATGTCGCACCGATATATAAATGAATGCCTTGCTTCAGTGCAATGTCCCTTTTCCTGTGAATGACTTGGTTTTTCTCTCCCATGATGACTTCACCTTACATGCACGATACGGCCGACGTCGACGCGCTCTCGGAACCGCGACCCATTGCACTTCAATACCAGACCAGAACAAAACACACAAGCAGCAATGGTCGGACGACTCCAAGACAAGGTTTGCATCGTAACTGGCGCTGCTGGAGGCATCGGCATCGAGACCTCCATCCTTATGGCCCGAGAGGGCGCTTTCGTTGTCATGTCTGACATCAGCGAGACTGCCGTCCAGAAAGCTGCCGCTCGTGTACTCGAGTTGAACCCGGAAGCAAAGGGCCGCGTTCTTCCTTTTGTTTGCGATGTCTCAAAAGAAGCACAGGTGAAGGCGATGGTCGACAAGGCAGAGTCTGAGTGGGGAAGACCTTTGAATGTAATGTTCAGTAAGTACGGAGCTCGGCAAACCTGTACGTCGAATTTTAACAGTACAACAGATAACGCCGGTATCATGCATCCCGAAGATGACAATGCGTTGAATACGGAAGAGAAGATTTGGGATTTGACACACTCCATAAACGTCAAGGGTGTATGGTGGGGCTGCAAGTACGCCATCGAGGCTATGCTCAGGTCGGGCAAGGGTGGTTCTATCATCAACACTGCTTCCATGGTTGCACTTGTTGGTGCCGCTACGCCTCAACTTGCTTACACCGCTTCCAAGGGAGCTGTTCTTGCCATGACTCGTGAGCTTGGAATCGTTCACGCCAAGCAAGGTATTCGAATCAATGCTCTTTGCCCCGGACCTCTCAACACTCCTCTACTCCAGGAGTTCCTTGATACCCAAGAGAAAAGAATTAGACGAACGATTCACTTACCTATGGGTCGTTTCGGAGAAGCGGTTGAACAGGCGCATGCTGTTATCTTCCTGGCCAGTGATGAAAGCAGCTATGTGACGGCGCAGGAGTTTTTGGTTGACGGTGGATTGACTTCTGCTTACGTTACAGCAGAAGGTGACCCGGCACCCGCGCCCAAGAATAATGCCTGATTTCCGTGCGTACGAGCTCAAGAGATTGGCGCTCTCCTCGCATGCTGAATTTGAACGATCATATTCCACAGAAGGCTGGACCTTGTCGTGGTTTTGGCGAGCGCAATACGTTAGATGCAAATGAGGTGTTTCCTGTTCGTCTTTGAGGAGTGCCTGCAAGAGCCTCAGTTGCATACACTGTATTAATCCACGTCTTTCATAAGCCGGCGGCTGCCCTTCAAACAACAAAAGAAAGAAAGTAAAGTAATAGTTCACCCATTCACGATGCCTGCACCCTGTTACCGACTTCTCCACACTCGCTATTTTCTTGTCATTTAAGACCCTGTCCCTTCACTGTTTGTCCATCTTTCCTTTTAGTGCCCTCAACATGCTCCTGGTCCGGATATCCGTCATACTCCTCACAGACCCGGCGCCACTTTTCATTGTCCTGAAGCTTAGGATACTTCTCATGGATGCACCACTCGCAGCACGGGGCGTGTTGCGAATGCCGCGGTCTTGGTCGGGAAACGTCTTCGCGAGGAACGTCTTGAAATTGTGGATAACAGTCGTAACCGGAGAATGGTTGGCAGAGCTGCAACTATCGACAGCAAGTGTACGCGCAGATTGAGAAGAGGAGAGCAAAGCAGAATCTGAGCCCTGGCCAGGAGTAGTTGCAGAAGTTAACGTTCCTGGGAGGGTGCTGAAGGAGGAGTAGACGGATGCTGATTGACTCGTAACGCTCACGGACATGGGCGAGTTCAACGTAACGTTGGACAGTGCGGAAGCTTCACCAACCATGTTGAGACGGAGGGAGAATGACGAGGTGCTATCGTTGTTACTGAGCGTACTGCCGGAAGTATATGCGCAGATAGGGGGGGCAAGAGGAGAACGTTCGTCCGTATGAGCGGACAAGAAGACCTGGTCCGAAGCGACATTGTAGACAGAAACTTCCTCAAACTCATCTCTTTCTTGCGAATCATAAGATGCCCGTTGTGGAAGGTACGTGGTAAAGGGAAAAGCGACGAGGAGGTCCTCCGTAGTTGGCGGTGACGCCTGCTTCTTAGAGGACCTTCGGGCTCTACCCTTAAAGGTAAAGCATGGATTAATGCACGACATTTTGATAAGGATTAGGATGAGAAAGCAAAAGAGGAGCTTGCGACGATGCTGGTATGCTGAATGCAGCAGCTGGTGTAGCTACTCACGTCAGAGAATTAGAGTTGGAGCTTGTATACATTCTAAACTGAGCTGGTATGAAACTGACTGTACAACCAATTTTGATAACCTGGAAGTGCTTATAAGAATGTTGCAATGAGTATGCCTTCCAGCCATTGCCGGATATTGATGCTTGACGTCACGGGACCGGCTCTGTCAGCTTCAACGTCGACGTCCATTGATATCGATTTCGTTGGCCATTGCAACTGATCCATCCGTCTTATCTGATCATGTCATTTGGACGCACCTTCAAGCTTGCTTCAGGAGCAAAGATACCTGCGGTTGGCCTCGGCACATGGAAGAGCAAGCCTGGTGAAGTTCAAGCTGCTGTGAGAACCGCACTTCAGACTGGTTATCGACACATTGACTGGTAGGCTGGGATTGTTATCTTACATTATACCACAACCTAACCCGTCTACAGTGCCTGGATCTACGGTAACGAGAAGGAAGTCGGTCTTGGGTTGAAGGAGGGAGGTAGTGCACACAGGCAGCATTTCGTTACATGATACGGCTAGAACTGATACGGTCGTACAGGAATTGATCGCCAAGACCTTTGGATCACTTCCAAACTCTGGAATGCCTCTCACCAGCCAAAAGATGTGCGGAAAGCGATCACAGAAACATTGTCGAACTTGAACGTGGACTACCTCGATCTTTACCTAATGCATTGGCCCATCGCCTTCGCTCGCACGCCTGATCATGCCAACGTTCCGAAAGACAGCAACGGCAAAGTTCTAATTGATGAGCATTTGACAGAGAATCATGCAGAGACGTGGCAAGCAATGGAGAGCCTTGTCAAAGAGGGGCTGGTGAAGAATATCGGTGTCAGCAATTTCAACATCCGGCGCTTAAGGAAGCTCTTGTCCGAGGCGACGATCAAGCCTGTCGTTAATCAGGTCGAACTTCATCCGTACAACCCGCAAGATAACTTGCTTCGTTTTGCAGAGCAAAATGGAGTGCACTTGACGGCATACTGTGAGTTTGACCTATCTCCATCATGGAAGAGCTTAGCTTACGCACGAGTTTGCACATGTAGCCCCATTGGGCTCGACATCCTCCCCCCTCCTGAAAGATCACGTTCTAACTTCAATTGCGGAAAAGAAGTCTTGTACTGTTGCCCAGATCCTGTTATCTTGGTCGGTGCAGCGCGGCACATCTGTCATTCCGAAGAGTGTGAACGCAGAACGCATCAAGAGTAACTTTGAGCAAATCTCCCTTTCTCAAGATGAATTTGATCAGATCAACAATATCAGCCGCGGAAAACAGGTTCGCTATGTGAACCCTCAGGAAAACTGGGGCCTCGATCCGTTTGAAGACGAAGAAACCGACCTTCTCGGCGGACCGTTCGAGAGCCAGTAGCTAAGGAAATTATCAGTGCTTACCAGTTACATATGGATATCGTTGTCGATTGAGTGAAGATAATTCCTTGCAAAATTACTAGCAATTCATGTTGTGCTGTGCGGCACTGGATCGATCAGTACATGTAAGCGGGACGGAACATTTGAACGGCATCTGGGCGGGGACATGGATGCAGTCCAAATGCAACTTCCCGACTCCGGCTTTCCAGAAAAATGTACGTTGGCGCCCTTCGATGGATGCTTTGTGTAGGCCTACTGGCTCGAGTAAATGCATCTATTAATCCGCCATCTTATCGTCTCGCTTTGGAGTTTGAGCCGGCATCACAGTCTTGTGCCGTTGTTGCCTCTGGGCCCTCTCAACTGCACAAGGGTCTGTTGGACGAAGCTGTAGTGCTCGTGAAACGGCCGCTGATAGTAGACCGACATGGGCATGGGCATTCGACAAGCACATCACAATACGTCGAGATCTTTGGCAGGGATCACCGCGCAGCTTTAACGAAGGCTGTGGAATTGTGTGGGGCCCCTCTGGTCGAGTCAGAAATCGGTTTAGCTGTCACCGACGCTATAGATGATGGGCTTGTTGATGCGTTCGAGATTTTTGAAATTGTCAACTCCGGTCCACCAGAAAATCGCATCGACATCGTCATCATGGGTGACGGATACATTGCGTCGGAGAAGATGAAGTTTTTGGATGACGCGAAGCGGCTTGCGCACGATCTCTTTGTGGGGGACACATTCAAGTCAGTGTTACCACTGCTGAATGTTTGGGCAGTTTATGCGGCAAGCAATGAAAGTGGCATTGGAGTAGGTGGGAAGCCCAAAAACACAACATTTGGTTTGTACAGAGATGGCACGGAGTTGCGAGGCATTTACTGTTCAAAGATGCATGTTGCTCGCAGGGCATGTAAAGCCATTGGCCCGTTTGCCTGTGACTACCCGACTTTAATTGCGAACGACGACTTCTACGGAGGACTTGGGGGCGAGTTCACAATATCGACACGCTCGAAAACGTCGGGTACCATTGTGCTCCGTCATGAGCTTGGCCACAATCTTGTGGAGGTTGGGGAGGAGTACGACGGTGGCGAGGTCTATGAAGGTGTCAACTCTGCTTTGAATATTACGAGAATACCTTGGGCACATTGGTTACACCCCGGTGAAGTCAAAGAGCAGAAGAGTGAACAGGCTCTCCACGACTACGCATGGCATGATCTCACAACAGGGGCGTACCGCAAAGTCTTCCATTCAGACAGTTCGTTCGGGAGATGGTTCATTCGTGCTAGCGCTTCTGGAGTGCCCGACAAGCAAAGTTTACAAGTCTTGCTGGACGGACGTGAACTCGATTGGGTAGAAACAGGAAATGACGATCGCTGTTTTCTCGAATGGGTACAGCTGGATGAAACGAAGCCTTTGGGGCAGGGATTCCATGTCATCGAGTTTAAGTCGACACCGAAGGAGAACGGTCGCCCACAGCAGTTGTGCCACATCGAAGTTCTCCAATACGGGAATGAACCTGACTTCACTTGGGAGCCGGACTATATCGGTGCGTTCCCTACATTTGATTCGAGAGGGCAAAAGACAATACGTCCAACAAATGAAGGGTGCTTAATGCGGAATATGTCCAGACCAACCCTCTGTAAACCTTGCGTAGAGGGGCTATGGCGAAGCTTAATGTCTCGAGTTGACCTCATCGAGAGCGTCAAGATCATGACATCGAAAGACGAGGTTTCAGTGAGCCTCCGTACCATGCACTTCGGCAAATTCCGTGAGGACCGTAATCGTATAGTAGGAGAAGAACTGAAGGTGTCCTGGTACAGAGATAATGTCAGGTTACCGCAATTTGATGACGAGTTTTCAGTAAGCGGAACTAGCGAACACATGTGGGGCAATTGGGCGATCGAAGTTGAGCTATTAACTCCAGAAGTACGGAGCGACCCGAACGGCTATTTGAAGAGCGAAACCTATTTCTCGATCGGTAGGGGCCAGTAATATGAGACTGAATATGATTAATGGATTTCCCCTTCCTCCTCACTTGATTCCTCTTCGCGCAACTTGGGTAAGACAGCCTGCTCCGTTACATCACCTTTGGGAACCTCAATATCGTAGGTAACTCTAGGACGCTGCGATAGTGTATTAGCGATCAGTAGGCAGAGAACAATTCGCGTACTTACCTTTCGTGCTTCGTCCTCTCCAGAACGGCCGATGCTTGGCTCCCTGCTCCTCCTCCGTGATTCCCTGTCGTCATGATACCTCGATGCCCTCATATAGTCTCTGTCTCTTTCGTCCCTGTCGTATGTTCTGCTTCGATCCCGCCTTCTGTCCCTGTCATAGGGTTCAAGCGAACGCCTCAAGTCACGCTCTCGATCGCGATGGCTGCTACGATGAGACTCCCCCCCTCTCCTTGAGCCGGGTGTACCTTCACGACGAGATCTCTCATCCTCCATCTTTTCTTTCAGCCTTCGAATGTACTTCTCAAATGCAGACTTGCATAACTCCTCAGATTCAAGGGCACGGTATTCCTCTAGACCTTCAATGCGCGGGCGAACCATTTCCCAAGTATCGTCGACGCCAACAGGTGGCTTGAGATGTTTCATTGCTGACCGCAAGTCATCCATGCGACGCCGTTGACGACGGTCGTCTCCACGTCGATTTGACTCGGCACGCCTAAGAAGCTTTTCCTGCAACTGATTGAAAATGATCGTGAGGACTTCGACGTCAAACTGCGCTGTACGAGGATCCGATTGCATCACATCCATGAAATCCGTTACAGGTGTGTTTTCGGTGAGCTCGAACCGGCGACTGGTAAGGACGTCCAGTGCGATATCCTTCTTCTGGCGAATGTCACGCTCGATTTGGTCGATAACATCCCAGAACAGATCAAGCGGCGTTGAGCCTGACTGACCCAGCATGTTGGTATATCGCTCGTCATGTTTGATAATTTCGTGCACATCCATCCATTTCGTGTTTGCTTGGATTCTGCCTTCTCTGCGCAATGCATCTAAACACGATGCAAATGCTTCGCGGTTCTTGCGCTCGTTGCGGAATTTCGTTGCTTTCTGAAGCTGACGCTGATCGTTGAACGCACGCTCAAGACTTTTGATGTGGCTCTCGAAAATCGACAGCAAATCCAATTTCGTGAGGCACTTGAACTTGGGATCGGTTTTGAATGCGTCTGAGTCTTCGAGGGCCTCCTGAGCTTCCGACCATCGCGTGTACGGCTCCAGGCTGAGTGAATGGAGCAATCTGGTAAATGCGTCCAATGCGTCGCGGCGGCTGTCACGTTCTTCTTCTACTTCCCGTCTCTTCTTTTCCTGGATGTATTCATCGAAGAACCTTTGGGCCTCGTGCTCATTGGGCATAGCCTTGAATGCCGTCTCTCCTTCTAAAATGGGTCTAGCCGTCGTCCATCGAGTATATGATTTGATCTCTGGGTGAGTGCGAAGCATAGTAAGAAAATCAGTTCGGAGCTTAGCCATACGATCCTTCTCCTTCACTTCCTGTTCAGCCTGTAGATCCGCGATATACTTGTTAAATGCATCCCTTCGTTCTTTCGGGTCCTTGAGAGCCCTGTAGTGAGGCTCAAGAATGACAATGCGCATTGTCTTTTCCCAAGACCAATCTGCGGCAACACGAGACTGGCGTAAAAGTCTCGAAAAGGCTGCTTCGGCGTCTTCGTAACTGGAATACTGGGGAACGTCGCGGTCGGAGCGGATGTATCTTTGAGACATTGGAATCGCAGAACCATCCACCGGATTAACTCCCATCATGCTGCCGCGTAACGCGATTTGTCGATCTGCGTCCTCAGTATCGTCATCCTTCTCTCCCAGGCCAACAGTTAGGGCCCCTGTCTGATCGTCTGGCTCCGCTACTGTTTCAAGAGCCTCCTTGTACTCAGGAGGCATGTCCCATACTGACTTTCCTGTGAGTTTGTTGTTCCAGTACTTGCGACCATCAGCAGTAGTGAACTCCTTCCAGTCCAGCTTGTCAAGTGCCCTTTCTGCGGGTGTCCTCAATTCGTCCGGCTTCTCCCACACGCTCTGTTTGGTGTCTGAGTTGTAGTAGTAGACGCGTCCTTCTGCAGTGCTGTGCTCTACCCATGCTGCCATTGTCTCGTGCTATCGGGAGTGTATGCTGCGTTGCTCGGGGTGTATGCTGCCTTCTGGCGGTCAGTGAACCCCGCTGCACGCGCCCTGAGCCTTACACCACCCAGCGTGTCCCCACGGTCACACCAGCTGATCTTGCAATTGGAAGCTTACAAGTAAGAGTGATATTCTACGGTACCGACTTCCTTCTTACTAAGATACCAGGTATGTTGTATAGGGTATGTAATGTGACAACTCTAGTCTTCCGTCTCCAAGGAAGCGTTTGAAAGCGAAAGATACCTTGGAAAAGTCGTTAGCACTGCAGTTCTCGCAGTTCGCGAGGGGCATGTCTTACATATTCCAAAAAATACCGACCGTGCTCACAAACGGGATCTGAAATTTCAAAGGCACCAGCCAGAAATTCGCCGCCTGGACCGGTATCCATACTAACCAGTTGGCCTTCACGGTGGGTATCAATGCCTCGCTCACCTTGTTCTTCAGGTGTTTGAAATCCCTGCCCTCGGCCAGGGACATGTAGCTGAAAAACCAGGTCAAACCGAAGGGCGCGAAGCCAAACTGATCGGCTGCCACACGCTTCAAAGGCGCCACAGGAGAAGACCCCAGTGGAAACTTCCTATCAAGGAATGTAAACCAATAGTATTGGATGGGTGCATTGAAGAACCCTAGGTGCTCGCCAAATTAGGACGCTGAATGACAAGAACAAGCGCAGGTGTACGTACCGAATGACATGAATCGGACTGTGCGTGCAAAGTCATAAGGCGGCGGTAGCAGCTTCGAGTCGGGAATCAAGCCATGCTTGGGTCCAGGCAGCTTCTCATCCACCTCGTGAATCTCCATGGCGAGCGCGTCGTCCTTGGCATGTCCAGTCCTGACGGCACGTTCGCGGACAGCGGTCAACGTCTGTGCCATGCAGTCCGAGATGCCTCCAAGGAGTGCGTTTGTGCACATGAGGGTCAGTATAGGACGCCGTTCATAGTGGTGTGAGTAGAATGCAGAAATACGCCCAAGTAAGCCGGCCATGGCGATAAAGACGACAAGGTTCAAGAGAGGGATACGATTGTAGAGAACGCGACGGTCGAGAATCTGAATAACGGATAACTTTGCCCTCCCGTACGTACGCATCAATGGGACGGTGCTGCTGGGGGGGGGAATAGCTGGGCGTGGTGTCCTCCTCCGCGGCGCGCTGACATCACCACCGCCCGCGCTGCGGCGATCAAAATTACATATCTCTTTAAGTATTAACTACGAACACACAACAATCCGAGGCACATTGCGACACTCGGCTTGTCCGCCGTTCACCAGATCTACTACTCTGATTCCATCACACATTGGAAACACTCCTTCAGTAGTCCCCACGAACTGCATCTTCACCTCATGGCAGGTGCTGGCCCCTAATGGCCCCACTCTGACGTCTCCCGATAATGGTACTAGCTGTTCCGCCTCAAGCTCAATCCGCGCACGATGTAATGCAAACAGAGACTCATCTGACAGAATGGGATCCTTTGTCGAGGCAGGCACAGGCAACGGTGGTAACGCTTTCCGTTGTGCGGGTATCACAGACAGCGCAAGACGCCTTCCACGGTGGAGATTTCCGTTGACCAGAAATATATCCAACGTAAAGGTTTGACCGACCTTCACTCGATCGGGTGCAGAGAACGTCAGGGTAAGTCCCGTAATTCCTCCTGGACTCTGCAACGAAGAAGTAGGTACGGTCATCTGAGTATTTGTGCGAGCATGTGATAAAGTCCTGCTCGGCACCATCGACAGTGGTCGCTGCAAGCGTGGTGTGTTAGGTGCTCCAGCACTCCCCGTTCGCTGAGGTAGGATGTCAAAATTCACCGTAGAGTTCCATAGGCTTGTGCACTCTGGTCCAGAGTCGAGTCCTCCCTCACGCACAGATGGCTTTAGCTTGAGTGTGATTTTCACGGGCTTAATCGACGGTCCAGCAGGAGTGTCCGCAATCAAAGTGTACAGCAGAGTCACCTGATCTCTGGGCAGCAGTTCTTTCACACCTTTATCCCCCGCATTATCACCAAGAGGTACTGCCTTACCGCCATGAATATGTACGTCGACACTAGTGATGGCTGTTTCGACGCTTGCTTCAAGGTCAATCGACATCATCAAGCAGCCACGGGAATTCAGATGAGTGCTCTGCATCTTTAACTGCATCGCACTTGAGACAGGCCACATTTTCCGGCATAGCCTTCTATTGGCAATCGATGTAGCTGACCGTGATGTAGGCTTGCCATCAGCAGACGTGGAAGTAATGCGAGACGTGGGTAAGTAAGGGACGCTGCTTGCTGTATAAATTGACGACAAAAGGTTAGGAGTTGGTACAGTCAATGGCTCCATATAATCATCCAAAACCCTCGCCTTAACCGCTTGTGCGTTTTTAGACTGGTTGAAATCCAAGTATGAGGTTAATGCCAAACGAGGAGAGGCAGGAGAGCGGAGTCGGACATAATCTATAGGTACGCCAGCTTGTCAGTTTTGCTGCGTAATGTAAGTATACTGTGGACGGGAAGAGATACTTAGGCGAACGCCAAAGGAAAAAAACATACAACGGAAGTCGCCGACGGTGCCCGTCATATCTGGTTTTTTCTTCAACCCAATGTGCGTCTCGGAGAAGATCATGTGGCCCTCCATTTGCTGTCGTGCTTGCTGATGAGCAGTCTGCGTTTGTGAGGATGTAGGATTCTGCACTGGAGCAACGAGGGCAGCCTCAAGCACAAGATTGGATTTCGCGAGGTGGTCTAGAACAGCATCATCGGATACCGTGAAGGAGTATTTCAGAACAAGGTAAACCTTGGCGCATTCATCGTAGAACAAGGATTGCCGCAGCTGAGATTCATGAAGCTGCAGCGGATTGTCGGCCGTGCTGTTCGTGACGATGATATCCGCTGTGAAATCCATGATCCGGCGATGGACGGTGCTCTCGAGGTATGTATGATATCGTGTTTACAGGGACGCATACATGCGGTCATACTACGCAGGACAGTCGCAGGACAGTCGCAGGTACTGCCTGGCAGCTGGAATGGAGGGAGCGGTGCTGCCTGTGTCGAGCAAGCATGTAGAAGAATTGAATGACAGCAGCTCTCTCGCGAGGATGATTGCTCCCTTTCTTTGTGCTGTTTCTATTCAGCGGCCTTCGATTGGGTGGCCTCACCCAAACGCTTCCCTACCGCATGTGCGCGCCTCCTCTGCGGCCCTTCCCCCTGAAAATTCAAGGCTCAACACCAGTTGCAAAGGGAAGCCGCCGGACGCTCAATTCGAAGCAACGGAGAAGAAGGGTCACTGAATTGAATTGATTTGCCGTAACTATCCATCGCCATGTCTGAAAAGCTCACCAGGTATGCCCTTCTCTTTCCGCGGCTGTGCCTCGCGCACGTTGTGTTACCGCGTTGTCTTTGCGACTTGGAAGCTAATTGTCGTCTACTCAAGAATCGCAATTGTCTCATCCGACAAGTGCAAGCCCAAGAAGTGTAGACAGGAATGTAAAAAATCTTGTCCTGTGGTGAGAACTGGAAAGCTCTGTATCGAGGTTCAGGCAGACAGCAAGATTGCGTGGATTTCGGAAACCTTGTGTATTGGTTGCGGTATTTGTCCGAAGAAGTGTCCATTCGGTGCAATTCACATCATCAACTTACCTACCAATCTTGAGAAAGAGGTAACTCACCGATACTCTGCCAACTCGTTCAAACTTCACCGACTTCCTTCTCCTCGTCCTGGCCAGGTTCTTGGTCTTGTCGGTACCAACGGTATCGGAAAATCAACTGCGTTGAAGATTCTTGCGGGCAAACTGAAGCCTAATTTGGGACGCTTTGAATCCCCGCCAGACTGGGAAGACATTCTCAAGCATTTCCGTGGGTCGGAATTGCAGAACTACTTCACAAAGGTTTTGGAAGATAATCTGAAGGCGATTATCAAGCCCCAGTATGTTGACCATATTCCCCGTGCCATCACTGGGCCCGTCAAAATGGTTTCTGAGCTCCTTGAAGCGCGGAACGAGCGCAACGTCAAGGCGGAGATGATCGACATTCTTGATTTGAAGGACGTTCAGCAGCGTGAGGTCGGCCAGTTGTCCGGTGGTGAGCTTCAGCGATTCGCAATCGCCCTTGTCTGTGTTCAAAAGGCGGATGTCTACATGTTCGACGAGCCTTCGTCATATTTGGATGTGAAACAGCGTTTGAATGCTGCTAGGACCATTCGATCGTTACTGGACCCTACTACTTACGTCATCTGTGTCGAACATGACTTGTCTGTCCTTGACTACTTGTCTGACTTCGTCTGTGTTCTGTATGGAATGCCTTCTATTTATGGTGTCGTTACTCTGCCTTTCTCGGTTCGTGAAGGTTTGTGACATGCTTCCCTCCAATGGTTTGTGTTCCTTTTTACTGATGCGCGCGCTTTCCTACAGGTATCAACATTTTCCTTGACGGTCATGTTCCGACAGAGAACTTGCGTTTCCGTGAAGAGTCGCTTCAATTCCGCATTGCTGATGTGACCGACGAACTTGCTAATGACAAGTCTCGTCGTTTCCAATACCCCTCGATGTCCAAAACCCTTGGTGACTTCAAGCTCAACATTCACGCTGGTGAATTCACCGACTCTGAGATTGTCGTCATGCTCGGACAGAACGGTACTGGAAAGACTACCTTTATCAAGATGCTTGCCGGTGTCTTGAAGCCCGACGAAGGTCAGCAGGTGCCCCAATTGCACGTTTCTATGAAGCCTCAAAAGATTGCTCCAAAGTTTCAGGGTACCGTCCGCATGCTGTTCTTCAAAAAGATCAAGGCGTCGTTCTTGCATCCTCAATTCCAGACCGATGTTTGCAAACCTCTTGCCATCGACAACATTATCGACCAGGAAGTTCAAAACTTGTCTGGTGGTGAGCTGCAGCGTGTTGCCATTGTCTTGGCTTTGGGTTTGCCTGCTGATATCTATCTCATTGATGAACCTTCTGCTTACCTTGACTCCGAGCAACGTATTTTGGCCGCCAAGGTCATCAAGCGTTTCATTCTTCACTCCAAGAAGACCGCCTTCGTCGTTGAGCACGATTTCATTATGGCTACTTACTTGGCCGATCGTGTTGTTGTGTACGAGGGTAAACCTTCCGTTGAGGCTACGGCGACGGCGCCCCAGGGTCTTTTGTCGGGTATGAATCAGTTTTTGAAGAGTTTGGATGTCACCTTCAGGCGTGACCCAACCAACTTCAGGCCCCGTATCAACAAGCTTGGCAGTCAGATGGACCAGGAGCAGAAGGGTTCGAACAACTACTTCTTCCTTGACAGCAATTAATGGAATGGTGTGGGCGTGCATTTGGGGTTCTTTGTCTATTTTCAGGTTTGTTCATCCACATCTGATCAGCATTGAAAGGGTACCTAACTCAATCCCTTACAGGTATATTTTATGAGCAAGCTATTACTTTCGTGTTTGGGGCCTAGCTGGGCTCTGTTGTTTGTTTCTGGTAATCGTTTACACGCATAGGCTCTACGGAGTCGTATAAAGGGCTGTTGTATGGTGCCCTATGGTTTTTGGCATTTTCGTTGCGATGGAAGGGAACTGTTTTCAAAACGGATAGAAATTATCGTTCTTTGCTTGTTCTCTCTGGCGGTCCGCCATGCCCACGTCCTTGTCCGTATGACTTCTGGACTGATCTGTTCATTCCCACTCACCTGCCATTGAACGGTCCTGGTTCAGGCGGTGGCCGTGCACCGGTGTTTGTCGGACCTCGCCCTGCTGCAACACCAGCACCTACATCCCTACCTACCAGGTACATAAGCACAACCCCGGAAAAGAACCCCTCAGTTCAGGGAGGAATCGAGCGACCTGACAGAGAACTTTGCTGCTGTTACTTCGCATCTTGCTGCGCAAGGTAGGTCATGCTTTTTCTACGCTTCGCAGGTCTTCAGGAGCGGGGAACGGACGGCTACTGGACGGATCCAACCTTCACAGCAGCGCAGCAACTTTCATATATACGATCTTCCGGACAAATTTCCATCACCAGTACACGCAACGAACGCGCTTTCTCTGTTACCGTACATTTTACTGCTGCCGAGCTTTGTCCTCACGTCGCTACGTGATTGGCGACAATGTTACGACGCGTCGAACCTTACGGTGCCGGGCATCTCCTCTCCACAAGTCCATCTAGTCGTCCACATTCCCAATCGACCGTCTCCGTTCTCTTTCCGTCTTGCTCTCTCATATTTACCAGGATATCGCTGACTTCTCGTGATAAGGTTTTCAAGTACGTCGTCCGTTTGGGACCCTGCATCACATCATGTCAACAATCCCTATCGAGCAAAAAGTAATCAACGCGTCAGTCCTTGCTTCAGATGTTGCTATGGGCCAGCAGGAGGCCGAGAAGGAACTTGCGCAAGCCCATGCTGCAGATGAGACTGATCAGGACGCCGAAGGTGATTTGGATATGCTATCGTCGCCGGATACCGCGTCTGAAGACAACGTTTCGCTGAAAGGCTCTGCCAATGGAAATGTCTCTGAAGGTGAAGGTGATGATTCCCCTTCGTTAGCGGAAGAGGCAGACGACGATAACTTCCAGGATGCTGATGAACCGATGGAAGACGAGGACTTTAATGAAGATGAGGACGACGACAGTGAACCTGTCAGGAAGAAAGGCCTAGTAAGGAAGAAGGCTCAGTCTAGAGCTACAGTCGATGAGTATTATGATCCCGACCTTTATGGACTAAGACGATCTGTAAGTGGCAGTCTGGTTGCTTCGCGAATGAAGACACTGACCTTTTTAGGGACGAGCCAAAGGAACAACCCAGTTAGCTGACAATGATTCATCGGATGAGGATGAGAGCGATTATAATTCGCGAGCTTCTAAGAAACGAAAGAAGGTGTCCGCATCTGGTGCTTCCTCGCGGAGGACTCGAGAATCCTCCGCTGTAGATGAGTCTCACTCGGACGATTACGGTGCATCCACTCGCAAGCGCCTCAAGAAGCGCAGCTTACCTGCCAATGAGTTTGGCGAAGTGCGGTTCTCCTCCCGAAACACAAAATCGAAGTCTTATGCGCTTGGGGAGGAGTCTGAAGACGAATCGGATCGCGTGTCGGACGATGAAGATGGTTTCGGATACGAACGGCAGGAGAGAGCCGTGGAGGAGCCTAAGGAAGCCATCGACAGTATCCTGGACCACCGGGAAGGACCTGACGGTGGTGATGATCCCTACACAACCCTTGAGTTTTTGGTATGCATAACGTTTCGATCTTACTTTGCCGCAGCTTCTAATTACTGAGGGCAGGTTAAACGCCAAGGTCAATCGCACCTGCACAATACCTGGGAAACGTATCCGCAATTAACCCACATCAAGGGCATCAAGAAAGTCGATAACTACATCAGATCGGCAGTTCTGCTTGATATAGCCATCCGCTCGGATGCATACACAACACGTGAAGATCTTGAAGCAATGGATATTGAACGGGAACGAAAGCGGGACCAACTGGAGGAGTATAAGACGGTTGACCGTGTCGTAGAAAGCCGGACGCAGAAGAGCTGCGATAACCTGTCCGAACCTCATACAGAGTATTTCATCAAGTGGAAAGGTCTGAACTATGACGAGTGCACATGGGAGTGCGAACCCGACATTCACGAACGATATCAACCTCTTATTGATGCTTTCTTCGATCGGACCAGTTCGACTTTACTGCCGCACAAAGGCGAGCATTTCACGGCAAACAATCGTCCTCACTTTCGGAAGTTAGCTGAACAACCCTCGTACATCATAAATGGGGAATTAAAAGATTTTCAAATGACCGGTATAAACTGGATGGCTTATTTGTGGTCAAAGAACGAGAATGGTATCTTGGCAGACGAAATGGGATTGGGTAAGACGGTACAGACGGTGTCGTTTTTGTCATATCTTGTACATGACGTGCATCTTCATGGCCCGTTTCTTGTCGTTGTGCCACTTTCGACTGTCCCAGCCTGGCAGGAAACGTTTGAGAAATGGGCGCCAGATTTGAATGCCATCACCTTCCTCGGGAACCAAAAATCACGCGATACTCTCATCGAATCCGAATTCTTCCTGGACAGTGCTAGGAAGAAGCTAAAATTCAACGTTTTACTTACGACTTATGAGTATATTCTGAAAGATCGGGCTGTACTTGGCGATATCAGGTGGCAGTACCTCGCCGTGGATGAGGCTCACCGTCTTAAAAATGCGGAGTCTTCGTTATATGAGGCTTTATCCTCTTTCAGGACGACGAACAGGTTGTTGATCACCGGTACGCCTTTGCAAAACAATATCAAGGAGCTTGCTGCTTTGGTGGACTTCTTGATGCCGCGAAAGTTTGACATCTCTGTTGAGATCGACTTCGATAAGCCTGATGCAGAGCAGGAGAAGTTCATCCGCGATTTGCATGAACGCCTGAAGCCTTTCATTCTGCGCCGTCTGAAGAAGGACGTTGAGAAATCTTTGCCGTCGAAAACGGAGCGTATCCTGCGTGTTGAGCTATCTGATATGCAGACCAGCTACTACAAAAACATCCTGACCCGCAATTATTCTGCACTGAATGCCGGACCAAGCGGCGGAAATCAGATGAGCTTACTGAACGTCGTGATGGAGCTGAAGAAAGCCAGCAATCATCCTTACCTGTTTCCAGCTGCTGAAGAAGAATTTCTTGCAAGTATTGGGAGCGAAAAAAGTCGAAACGATATTCTACGTGGAATTGTTATGACAAGTGGCAAGATGGTTTTGCTGGACCAACTACTTACACGACTGCGGAAAGAAGGTCACCGTGTTCTTATATTCAGTCAAATGGTTCGAGTTCTGGACATTCTAGGCGATTACTGCTCTTTGCGAGGTCTTCCGTTCCAGCGTCTAGACGGGACCGTTCCCTCAGCTACGCGCCGCATCGCAATCGACCACTTCAACGCCCCCGACAGCCCTGACTTTGTATTTCTCCTATCGACACGTGCCGGTGGTCTTGGCATCAATCTGATGACAGCTGATACGGTCATTCTTTTTGACTCTGACTGGAATCCGCAGGCTGATTTGCAAGCTATGGCACGCGCGCATCGTATTGGACAGAAAAAGCATGTTACTGTGTATCGTCTCGTCTCGAAAGACACCGTGGAAGAGGATATTCTCGAGCGGGCACGACGCAAGATGGTAATGGAATATGCCATCATGACGCTTGGTATGACGGATAGTGGCGACAAGTCAAAGAAGAAGGAAGGATTTTCTACACAGGAACTCAGCGCTATCCTCAAGTTTGGGGCTTCGAATATGTTCAAGGCGACTGACAATCAGAAAAAACTGGAAGAGCTTAACATTGATGATGTACTAGCACACGCTGAGGATCATGTCACTACTGTGGACGCGGGCGGTTCTAGCCTTGGAGGAGAGGAGTTCCTCAAGCAATTTGAGGTGACGGACTTCAAGGCTGACGTGACGTGGGACGATATCATCCCTGAGGACGATCGCAAACGCATAAAAGAGGAGGAAGACGAAAGGCGCAACGACGAATATCTTCAACAGCAAATGGCTGCAAGTTCTCGTCGAGCCACTGTCACCGCCAGGATGCGCGAATACAACTCGGGTGCCAAGCAGGATTCAACTCCGCCGGATGAAAAGATTGGCAGAAAGCCGCCAAAGAAGCGCACGGAGCCAAGGAATCGCGACCTAAACGAACGTGAGATCCGTAATCTTTACCGTGCAATGATCAAATTCGGCAAGCTCTCTCAGCGATGGGAAGATATAATCAAGGATGCCGACCTTGGTGACAGGAACATCGAAAAGGTGCGCGCGACCGGTGAAGGTATGATCAAAGCAGCAGAAGAGGCGCTTCAGGAGCATCAGGCAGCTGAACTTGCGAAGGGTGAAGAACCTGTCCCGCAAAAGTTCCGCAAGGCCATCTTGATCGAATTTAATGGCGTCAAGAACATCAACGCAGAAACACTCATCCAGCGCTCTGAAGAACTTGGCTACCTCCATGATATCCTTGCGAAGGTGCCAGATAAGAAATCATACCGTATGAACCCCACAGCCAAGGGCGTGCATGGCTGGAAGTGTGTATGGGGCGAACGGGAAGATTCGATGTTGTTGGTCGGTATTGACCGCCACGGGTTTGGTGCGTGGGCAGAAATCCAGGCTGATCGGGAATTGGGTATGCAGGACAAGTTCTTTTTGGAAGAGAACACAAAGAACGAGAAGGAGAAGGCAGAAAAGACGGAGAAGGGTGTGAAAGGTAAACGACAGCCTGATGCCGCAATCCCTGGAGCAGTTCATCTTGTTCGTAGATGCGACACGTTGCTGGGGACTTTGCACGATACAAAAAATCAAATGTTCCCAGAGCAAGAGAAGCAGGTGGACAAAAAAGCGAAACCCGACAGAGCAACGGGAAGCCCGGCGGTGCCTCCTAAACAGAAGAAGCTTTCTCTGATCAAAGAGCGCAAACCCTCTAATGGTAAAGCATCTCCTCGAGAAAATTCGCCGGCAGTGACAGCTTTGAAGAGAACGCCGAGTATGAAGAAGGAAGCCTCCGGTCATGTTTCTGACGGTGCCGAGAGCGAGTACGAGAGCATGGATGAGGCAGAGTGCAAGGTGAGTCTTTTGTGTTTCATATTTCGGCTTTATTGTTGATAGTAGCGATGCTAACACTGTCGTTGCAGGCCTTACTGCGCCCTATCAAAAAGCAGCTGAAAAATCTCAAATCGACGGAAAACATCGAAAAGAGTCAACTCGCCGCCCATTACAAGACGAACCTCACCGAAGTTGGCAACTTCATTCGTGAACAAGTGGACGGGTCGATCGGTGACAAAGAGAAACTTGAGAAACATCTGTGGGTTTTCACTACCTGGTTCTGGCCCAGAGATGTTTCTCACAAGAAGCTGCGGGCTATGTATAAGAAGATGACAACGGAGCCTGAACAGTGATGGTGTGTAAAGTTATCTAGGTAGCTACAGGATCAATATTTGTTCTCGCAATTGAAGCTCTCCTTATCCTTATCGATATCGCTGGTAGACCCGCGGCTCACGTGAGGCCCGGATTTTTGTACGGTGCTACATAAACGTTCGGCGATTTCGCCTCCTCGACACCCCCGACTGCTGTCGCCTTGATCCAGGAAATCATATTCTGTTTCGAGCTCTGATATAGTCCGCCATGTTGTCGGTCTCTAATGTTGCACGCTCTTGCAGATTGGCTGGTCGCAGCATCAAGTCAGTTGGTGGTGAGGTCCTTCCTTACGTATGGTATTATCACAGAGTGCTAACTTCCGGGACAGTTCGGTCTTTGACTTTGCGTACCTCCTCGAAACCTCTGACACGTCATCTTGAGGTGCATCCCACTTTTCCTTCCCTGCGCTTGAGGTTACCAGACCTCCGTGCTTCGTTTTTCCATCAGACATCTTCTGCTCATCAGGAGAGCGAGGCACGCGCATCTTTGTCTGCTGCGGAAGAGGCTGGAGAGTTCAATCAGGGTGGGTATGTACCTGCTGAATGGGAGTCATATCGCGGAAGGCTTCCGGATGCTTTGCTGGACTCTCTCAAGGATGTTTTCAAATACAAAACGATGACTCAAGTCCAGCATGACATCGCTGAGAATATTCCTATGAAGACGGACTTGTTGGTTCGATCCAAAACAGGTACCGGAAAGACTCTTGCCTTCTTGGTTCCTGCTGTGCAACGGCTCTTCGCGAGATATGAAGAAATGCAAATCGATCCACGACGCTATGCTAGAAAACGTGCTTCCGTTTTCATTGTTTCGCCTACCCGCGAGCTTGCTTCCCAGATCGCTACAGAAGCCAACAGGCTTACGCAGATGGAGCCTGGTACGAAGGTCCATTGTTTGGTTGGTGGCGATAGTCGGAAGGGAGCCCTCATTGGTTTGATGCGGGACCGGGCAGATATTATTGTTGGAACGCCCGGTCGCTTGCTCGACTTCTTGAAGTCTGAAGATCATATGAAGGGTCTTGTGGAGGGAGTTCACACCGTTATCTTGGATGAAGCAGATACGCTCCTTGATATGGGATTTAAAGGGGATGTCGATGAGATCCTGAGCTACCTTCCCAAGGAGCGCCAGACATACATGTTCTCTGCGACCCTTTCGCGGGAGGTCAAGCAGATTGCTCAGAAATCCCTTACTCCTGGATATGATTTCCTTGATTGTGTTGGCACGGATGATATGGACGTTCATCCTCAGATCAAACAAGAGTATATCGTGAGACCTACCCATGAGCACATGAGATGCGTCCTTTCTCTCCTCATCGCCGAGCAGCTTGCCAAGCCACTGGGCAAGATCATTGTCTTCCTGCCTAGTACGGCCTTGGTGCAGTTCTACATTTCCGCTTTCAAGTTCTTCAGGAGGCTGTATCCGAACCAACATTTCCAGCAATGGGAAATGCATGCGAAGAAGGAGCAACGGGATCGTTCCAAAATTTCGAATGCTTTCCGTACTGCCAAAACTGGGGGTGTGTTGTTTACAACCGATGTGTCTGCTCGTGGAGTCGATTATCCCGGCGTCACTCAGGTTATTCAAGTTGGTCTTCCCAGTTCCCGTGATGCTTACATCCACCGAGTTGGACGTACAGGTCGGGCGGGCAAGGCGGGTGCTGGTACATTGATTCTTTCTCCTTTTGAGGCCAGTTTCTTGCAAGAAATGGAAGGCATTCCCATTACGGAAAAGGAATTTCCGGACTCTGAAATCGCACTTGGCGAGCAAGAGCAGAAGATCTATGATTTGGCCTTTAAGTTTATCCATGCAGATAAGGTCCAGACCGCCTTTACTTCTTACCTCTCCTACTACGCAAACGGTGGGAATAAGATCCGACTATCGAAGAATGAAGCTCTCAACGAGCTGGTGAAATTCGCTGAATCCTGCCATCTCTCGGACCCAGACGTACCTTCCTTCTGGCAGGGGTCAGGGTCAAGACAACGCCGTTCTGGAGGCTTCGGTGGACGCGGAGGTTATGGTGGACGCGGAGGTTACGGTGGCCGTGGCGATGGCGATGGCGGCTACGGTGGACGCGGAGGTTACGGGCGCCGTGGCCGTGGCGATGGCGGCTTTGGTGAACGCGGGGGTTACGGTGGCCGTGGTGGCGGCAGCGGCCATCGCGACTATATGACGGATTTCGAATAGACTCTGGCTGGCGTGGGGCGAAGGTTACAAGGGTTTATGGGTTTGTTTGTTCCATGGCGCCGTTTCGTTGAGCATTTGCTCTCCTCATTTGCAGTTCATTTTCTCCATTCTATTCAAGTGTACGTTATACCTACCTAGACATATAACTGTTATATATGCATATGCTTCCATCGCCAATTTGCATAAGTATGTATCTTGCAGGGAAATGCTCATACTGCCAAGTGCAAAATTCTTGACGCGAAATGCGAGTGCGCGCGAATAGCAAAACTTGGAGTCACAAAGACCCCTGAAACAACACAGATAAAGGTCTAGAGGTGCAGATATGTCAAAATCATGGCAGTTATCCTTAGGAACGATGAAGTGTCCCCACTTTTCGCTTTCAAGGCCTCCATCGTCTATAATCATGTTGAGAGGGGGCTTCAGCTTGTTGCGACTGAAGCCGCTCCATAAGCTACCAATGGCAGTGCGTGGGGTGCCATATGATAGAGGGAGCTCAGATGCACATGTACTGCGAATGCGCTTCATGGCCCCGGCTTTCTATGAGATTCAACAGCATGAGCTTCAACATCATGATGTTGTATGCATGGATATGCATGGATATGCAATACGCGCATCGCCACTGAAACGCCTGGCGGTGTCACAACAGCAGGAAGAGTGATGCTACAGATGATTGAGGACACCAATCGACTGCTGGGAGCCTATACTGTCTGTAGCTGTCTTCACTTTACGCTCTAGGCCTTTAGCTACATTGGTCTGATGTTGAGGTGACAACTCCCGCGTGGGGAGCTGTGAAACGCGCAACTGTTAAGGATATTGTACTTAACTGTACAACAGTGTGCAAAATTCTTGCCCGCGCGTGATTTAACGTCTCCTTAGTTGGAACATCAACAACTCACTAAACACATAACAACTCACCCAATATGCCTCCTAGGAAGCCGAGAGGAGCAGCAAAAGTATCAGCTCAACTCAGGACGTCTTCCCATACCTCAAAGCCACCGGCTAGGCTCCTCGAAGATCGGCACTCACCGACACCAGCAAATCCAGTCTGGAGGGAAAAGAGGCCTAAGACCATCATCAGGTCCCAGACGAAGACGCAAACATTGACCATGACTGTATTTACGATGATTTCGACGCGTTTCTGATTGTTACGAGAGACTCCAAGCACAAGTACCCTCAAGCACCATTCACGGTGGATCCGCTGGAAAAAATTGTTTGATGCCGAACCTGTTTTGCTGGAAGCAGCAGTCAAGGAATTGCGCCAGGACCGTACCATCAAGGAGGGCGTCAACATTCACTCCCCTACACCTGAATTCACTTTCAAAGATGTCCGCGGGAGGGCATGGGATTCAGCTTGGTGTCGACTACATACTGAGAGGGATTGGGAAGGCTTCATTAGAGCCGTCAACAGTGAGCGCATCGTCACTAAGATCGAATGGTCGGCTTTCATCCCAATCAATAGAGACTTCACTCCGCAAACACCCACCACCCGTACCGACGAAATGGTCGAGACTCTGCAGAGATCCTCTCTAGGGAAGCCAGCCGTTAGGAGGTCCCTGGTGCCACGACCTAGGTTGAGTGCTACTACTGATGCGCTTTGGGACATCTCGGGATTGGTGCACAATGAGCCTATCAAGTTTGAAAAGCTGATGGCGGTCCACCCATTACAACTAAGGTGGAAGTGTACCAAGCACCACCAATCCTACGGCTGCAGTCATCCTATGACCCAGCACACCAGCAATCTACTCCTCAACTGCTGGGCTGACCATATCCTTGAGCAAATAGGTGTTACCGTAAATCAACCACCAGTCCATGATGCGGTATTCAAATCTTTACTCGAGGGCTACCACCCTTCAGGTCCTCAATCAGTGGAAGTCTCTTCCACCCCTGAAAGCAGGAGTTCAGCTAGCTGACCCCAGCTACCTACTCCAGTTATTGCGCAGCGCCTCAACATGGTTCCTCCATCCAGCCAACGGACCCTCCGTCCGCAAACCATGAGAGCAGCTAGTCCTCTTCAGGGACCCGCGGCCGATGATTCAGAGGGGACTTTACGCTACGTCAAATCGACGACTCCGGTATACTGCGGTCGAAACCGCGAAAGAAGCAATCATCGACCACAGGATTCGCCTCGACGACCTGCGCCTACCACCGGATGCGCCTCTGGGAGCTGCTCAGCAGGGTTGGATCATGATTATGAAACGCTGCTGGCCTGTTGGGAAGGCTATGAAGCGCAAGGAGGTTGGTACTGTAGGTCGAATTGAGGAGACCCCTTCCAGGTCTATGAGGTCCCAGACGAGTCTCAAACCTTCTCATAGTTCTGGTCTTTAATGTGGTATTCTTCTTTTCTCGATGGCATGCTAAGTTCTTTGGCAGCAACCTTACAAAGCTCATGACCTTACTCCAAGCTCACTTGTAGAAAAGTACAAGGTGACAAGTATTATGCACGTTGCTGCACCTAGAGGGTTTAGGTCGTCTGGGCCACGTCTCGATGCAGGGCATTGGGACAGCTGTACAGCCATTTTGTGAGGGAGTCTTACCGTGAGAATGGCAAGTGTCTGAAAATAAATGAATGTATTGCTTCGATCCAAAAAACCATCCAAAAAAACTAGCGAATGAAGCCTAAAGCTGACCCCCAGCATCAGCCGTTATTTGTCGATTAGCCTCGACATTACGCGCTGAGCTGCGCCTTCGTTAAAGCATAACCGCAGTTGCTGACATATTGCTGATTTTGTCGAGTTGGGTGTTGATGTATTCGATTGCTAGGCGGATGAATGCTGGGGGTCTTCACGGGCGTAAGGGTGTGTGTTGTTGCGCTTCATCCAGCTCTTCATCATACCCCAACAGAGCTCAATTGGATTCAGGCCAGGAGAGTAAGGTGGTAGGAAATGGACTCGACATCCAGCCCTCTCAACCAGCAACTCAAACACCCTTGCATCACGGTGGATACGACAGTTATCAAGCACAACCACGCTATTGGGACCAGGGAATCGTCGCAGGATCGGTAAGAGGTCCTCCTTGATGAACTCAACAAAACGGTCTGCATTGAATGAACCATGAAAGATGCGCAGCGCCTCAAGACCAGTCGATGTCAATGCCGGCAACACATTCCAGCGCTTAGGGTGTCCAAATACTCTCTCCTGAATGGCCCTAGTACCGACCGCGGAATATCCAAATTTGCGGGTAGAGGTGCCTCCCTCTTCATACCCCTTGACAGTACAGTAAATGGTGCGATCCGATTTTACGACAATCTGACTAAGTTGGTAAACGTCGAGCCCCTCGATGTAAATGTCGATAACTAGGAGCCAGTGTCGCATACACTGCCGTGCATTTTCAGCCTATCCAGACCTTCTTAGGCCTCTTGTCGAGTTGTTTGAAGCTGTATCACAATTGCGATTTGGGAGGTTCGCGCTCGCAGGATGATGCGCGGACGAGAATTTTGCACACTGCTGTACATGAGTATAGATACTGTACATGGGATATATCCTCGAGAGTGAACAGCGCGCATGCCACCATATACAATTCGGCTCATACACCAGACACATAGACCGTTTGCACAAGGTGCGCCGTTGCGCAAGACAAAATCAAGACCCTAACGTGGACAGCCGTTGCGTGCGTCGCATTGGGTACCGTAACAGAGGAAGTGGAGATACAATGTTAAACATCGCAAAATATGTGCATAGGTGGTTCAATATAACCATAGTGCTCACCGACCTCCGGATCCATTCAGACCTTCCAATTTCGATCTCCCCGCCACTCTTATCACATCGCAGTGACAATGACGCACGCCCTGATCTTCTCACTTTTCCTCGGATCGATATACATATCAACACTGGTAACGTGATCCTCGTCCATGCCCGTCTTGTCGCAGCACTCCAGCTCATATACGCCGTGATCTTTCGGTCTATGGCGCGCATTATTTAAGGTTCAACTCAGGTGGCTTACTCTCGCTTTCTTCGCAGGGTTAGTGTCTGGTGGCCATGTCTACTCTGTAGGCATTGCCATTCCAAAGTTCACCAAGGTCGACATTCGGGACCTGGATTAAGTAGCTTCCCAGATAAAATCATGGATCACAGTTGCCAGAGAGAAAGCCACAGCAAATTGCCTCCGAAATTGCAAAAATAACACCAGATGCCTCGCGATATTGATTGCTGGCTATATACAGCTGTGTTCATGTATTCAACCCAGAGGGACCTTCTGCGCTCTATTGACATGGTCAACATGGATGATGTAGATCATGTATGTGCCATGTATGAGTAATCCGTACATCATGATATGACAGGTATCATTCAGTGCATGGGGGTGTAGTGGCTGTGCAGCAAGATGTCTATATAAACCAGAGGACCCCAGGCCCCACCTGTGTGAAGATTTCCAAAAATCCTCAATTCCCCGCAGGTATTCATAAAGCAGCAAAGATCAAGCAAGTAGATGTATGAATGAAGTTCCCCGCACAAGATCGAGCTTGTACTATCATTATGATTCATAGGGCCATTGTTTGTGACTGTCGTAGCTGGTGAGATACTCAAAACATATTTTCTGTTCCTCATAAGCTCGTCTTTTTGGCCCAGTAGTACTGTAAATTTTCCCCAGGCTGTGTCACATTTTTTCCGAACCTGTTTTGGATTATGCTGAACAAAATCGCGATTAGGGTACCGAAATTCATGATTTTAATTCATGATTCTGACCGTAGGGATAGACATGAGCAACATACATCATGTCATGTAGGTGTCATGTATGGGTCATGATGTCATCATCAAGACTTTTCTGGTTTAGCACATGGCTGTGTTATCGCTGAACAGAACAGTGTCTATATAATCCAACGGTCTCCCATCTGGAAAATTTGTGAAAACATGAAGTCCCGATGTTTTCGTCAGCAACAAAGATCAAGGCCAGGTATGGATAGGATTATCCTACGAGACCTCCAAACTCTACCAAACACGAATAAATTATCCAGTATCACGCATAGAGTTATTCGAGTTGTTGGAATATTCTGGGCACAATCTGGATTGACAATTCGTCTTGAAAGTAGACGTTTTTATACGATTTACCACCATTACACTGTTATAGTATTCTACCTCATGGCTGTACACTGCACAGACGCAACGTTCATTGGTCCCATCTATCACAGGTCATCAATCTAGGCCCATTGATATTATTATGAGATTCAAACAATACCGATAGCAGTTGACGGTACAGCCATTTCCAAATGTAAATGCCTGCTCCACCAGCAAGCAGCAGTTCCGTCTGGGTTCTGCTCACCTGAATAAGAGGAGACATCAAGCAAGAGTGTCGAGATTAAACAACCATCATGTTAATCTTTCAGCAACAGCGATCATGTGCTCAGTTTGGGTTGAGACAATACAAGCCATAGCATCAGGAGAACAGATGAAAGAGGGCCAGGGACTCGTACATCGATAGGAGAGGACCAAGGAGGTGTAGGATTTGATGCTTTCTTCAGTCAGTCGTGAGAGACCCAGGGAGATTAAGATGTTGATGGTGGTGGGTTCCTGGTGGGTGCTGAGGACTTGGTGTTATTTGCCAGCGCATCAGCACTCAGTGCTCACGCGTCACTCTCGAGAGGCGCAGGCCGAAGAGAACCGCCACTAAAGACCATTGATACTCGTCAATCCATCGAAGACCCTCAATCCATCGAAGACCCATGAAATTTAGCCAACCTCACAATCCAAACCCGGACACTAGGAATTCCACTCTACTTGAATACGTTGCGACTTTATTCGTGTTTTTTGTACAGTTGAAGGACTTATTTGAGTGCCTTTGCTGGAAGTGGAATATGTTATTCCATATTTGTGCAATCACGAATCAGGTATTCGTCACAGTCGAATTTGGGGGACTCGTAGGGAATGGCTTGTTGTCATACCAACCGCGCTGAATCGGACCCAAACATTGATTATTTCTGTTACCTCAAAGTTGGGTGTTGAAAAATAATCCATCAAATTGACCAGATCATTATGATTTGGGAATAAATAGCTAGATTCAAAGAATAATCATCACATGTAGGGGTGGTCAGACTTGACAATTTATAATTGCAAGTATAACCTAATCCTGCTTGAAATCTACTAAAGTTTGACTACCCCTAATGTCATAAATGATGTCATGTACATGTGACTATCTGTCATGATTTCACCGTCTTTGGCAGTTACATATGGGTTAGCGCACGATGTGTGCTGGCTGTGCAGGAAAGTATACATCATGGAGGACCCCCACGTCTCTCAAAATTCCCGAAGAACCTCGAGTCCGTACTTGTATTCATGAGCAGCAAAGCTCAAGCAAAAACAGGTATCAATGATATTTTCCCCTATGGGATTCAGCTTGTGCTGAGATTCTGAGTCTTAGAGCCATGTATACAGCTATGATAGCTATCAAAGTACTGAGGATTTTTGTTTATACCTCGTAATCTCGCTCCTCTGGCCTAATACTACTGTGAATTCTTTCCACACTCTTTCGCAATTTTTGCATGATGTTTTCTGGCATTGAGCCCGATTTAATCGCGAACTATTACCATCAGACGATGAAGTATACCAATTGTATCGTGGATTATCGTGGATGGCGCGGACCAAATTGTCTTGAGGTCTCGAAATCTAGAATACGGTTATGCATGGGTTAAACGGTCTTTTGTAATTCATGATTTTCGCCTACGTGGGGTCATTCCTATAATTCCTAGGATTCTTCTAATTAACAAAATTCCTGGGCATAATTCAAATTGACTGATTTATCCCAGTGAGACCCAGAGAAACGTCCAAGTTGTCGGGCTTTTCGGCTCGTCAGGTATATCAATGGGATTATTCAGATGAGGACGGTTCACACGGCACTGCAGCTGCACGTGTATGTGCTCACTCGAGTACATAATCTACATATGTAGGACAAAGATTGAGATTGTGATCAGGTACGAACTTCATGCTTGTTGAAGCTCCATTGCAGGTTCCAAGAGCCTAACCTGACATTATCATGGTCACGCTCCACTTTTCCTGAAAGCAAACGCTAGATAAAAGCCCGCTGCATCCCACTCATCACCACTCACCAAATTCTCCCTGCTTTCATCATGCTGCAACTTAAGCATCCTGTCCAACAACGGCCCAAGATTCCTATCGTCCTTTTCATCATGGAATACATCGTGAAAGCCCCGTCGGTAAAGCATAGAAAGGTCATATTCAGTAGCAAGCCTGATATAGAACCATGTCAGTACACCTTTGCAGAGAGAGGCAATCTTGATACTTACGCTCGGAATGCTTCCCATGGTACAACATACTCCGGTACATCCTCCACGGCGTCCTTCAAAAAGAAACGGTAACTGTGACCCCAAGGAGGGCGGAATGTCGTTTGAGGCTCCCCCTGAAATTCGACTCGGTAGATGCTGTTACCCCACCCCTTTTCGCCGCTCTTCAAAGCTTTTACTTTGTCCACAATCGTGTCGCTGGATGGGATTGTCCCAATAAGGATACCCCCGGGACGAAGCCAGCGCGACACATTGGACAGCATGCATCGTACTTTGTCTTCAGACTGAAAAGCATAATGCATACAGAACTGCATGGAGATGACATCAAACGACGGATGATTAGGGCCGAGGATGTTGATTAGGGGCTCTGAAAAACAGTCGACGGCATGAAAATCTGCATCAAATGGTCTGCCTCGCAGATCTCTGTAACGGTCCCTAGCTTGCATGATAGAGATTTCAGCAATGTCCACTCCAACATAGCGACTGATACGGGCTTTCTGCCATTTTAGAAGGTCACCGCCCTTGCCGCATCCCATATCGAGAACCCAAGGCCCCCTCCTTGACCCATGACAATACGCACTGCGGTGAGTATCTTCATCGGTAACAAACTTGCTGATAAGACAACTTTTCACCCAATTATTGAACCCTCGTAAGCGAATGATCGGGCTGGACTCTCTGGCTTCACGGCCAACTTCGGGTCTTTCATTGTAGTGCAACCTCACTACATCCCCCTTTGCACGTAACCGTGCTTCTTCTTTCGCACGAGCCATCTCCTCGTCCTCACGTCGGCGCAGTGTTTCACGTTCCTTCGCACGTTCATCATCTGTGCGCTCCATTCGAAGACTTGGTCGCTTAAGGGTACGTTCCGACTCAGGAACTGTATTGTCATACGGGAGTGGCAAAGGAAAGCGTTCGTTGGCCCGATGCTGGGCTGGCGACCGCGGACGGTCATATCGGTAACTCGGTGAACGAGATCGATCCCGTCGGCGATAGGATTCTGGGTGATCACGATCATCTGCACGACGGCGGCGGATGTCGCCAGGTCTTGCATCACCCCGTCGGTCTACGACATCCCCTTCTTCCCTTCGGCGCTTGGGTATCTTTGGGAGGTTTCCGAAAGCAGCGGTTGAACTTCGCGCAGGTGGCCTTAAGTCTCCACGTTCGTCCTGTGCATCGCCTTGCACATCGTGCTCTGCCACACCCTCTCCTGTCTTGGTTGCGCCCGTTGCTCTGTTCAGATTCAAGGTGGATTCATCTTCCGGAAACAGGGTAGCAGCCATGCTTGTTGCAGCAGACTCCTGAACACTGTTCGTAGCAAGGGCTTCGGCGTCCCGGTCAAGCTCCACCAGGGACACGACCGCTGCTTGCGCAGAAGAAGACGCGGATTCCGTGTGTGATCTAAGCTGATTCGCTACATGTGAAGTGTCTTCCTCTGTTTGTGCGCCAGTCTGGGTGGGCTGTTGCAATTCGCTCGGTCTCCTCGAGGCGGCTGGGCTTTCGGCAGACGGACTTGATTCCGTGATAATGTCCCGAACAGGATCATACATAACAGGCAATCGACTGCGTACAGGCCGTACTGGAGTTTGATCCGCTGTTTGCTGGTCGTACAAGGACCTCCTACCTACCTCTCGACGTCAAGAGGGTGAGATGCACGTGACCCCACCACAGGGCGAGCGCACACACACCAGTCGCGATACCGTAGGAAGGAAGTCTGTTTTAATAACGATATCTACGAAGCGTGTAAAATGGTCTGGTTATAACAGCTACCGACCTCCAGGTGCTGCCTCCGCTGGCGCGCCTGATTCGGTGGGCCAACCCCGGCACAGAGCATGTAACGTTGACACCTCCCGCCCAGTCCAGTCGACTTGAGAAGGACCCGCATGGACGAACTTGCCCAGCTTGAGTATCTCTCTTTGGTATCAAAGGTCGCCTCGGAGATCCTCAACCATACCGGGATCAGCGACAAAACCCTTGCCGAGTTCGTTATCAACCTCCACGAAGAGGCTGAAACACTGCGGTCATTCAAGCAGAAGCTCAACGATGTAGGCGCCGAGTTCCCCGAGTCGTTTGTCGAGAACTTGGATCGCTTGATCCTGCGGCTGCATCCCCAATACAACGGAAAGACTAGCGACCCATCCAAAACAGCCGAACCCAAGGATAACATTGACAGCAAGGCTCGAGTTTTCCACGGACTTTCGATTCCTGACAAGGCGCCTGATTGGGATGATGAGCCTTTTAAGCCCGCATTAAGCCATGTTTCCGACGATATGCTGGCAGAGCTTGAAGGTCTTGCAGGAAAGTCCAGTAAGCGGGGAAGGTCACCTATCGCCCTCAGCGCCCATCAGCGAAGATCAAGAGACAGTCGAAGTCCCGCACCTCATCAGCGTACACATTCGAGAGGGAGGTCTCGCTCACGCTCCAGAAGTCCGCTCCACAAATCGCGTCGATATGACGAGGGAAACAGTAACCGAGGCAGACTTCAGCATTCGGAAACGAATAACCACAATGGCACGAGAGCCGATCACTTAGACCCAACACCACAGCTTTATAAAATATACGATGGTACGGTGACCAACGTCAAGGATTTTGGAGCTTTCGTGACGTTGCACGGGGTACAGGGTCGCATTGACGGGTTGGTCCATATTTCAGCCATGCAACAAGGTGGACGCGTAAATCACCCTTCGGATCTTGTGTCTCGGAATCAGCGTGTGAAAGTCAAAGTTCTCTCTATATCAGGCAATCGCATTGGTTTATCCATGAAGGATGTCCACCAGGAAACTGGACAAGACCTTACACCACATCTACCAATACAGGCGGCAGCAGTCATGGAACGACACATTCACGATATTGGTAGCAGCTCAAATTCAATCCCGCTGGGCGGGGGTGCAGTCGCTGATGCACCTGAGCTCCTTCAGCTAGGGCATACGAGACAACCTAGGAAACGACTAACTTCGCCCGAACGTTGGGAAATCAAGCAGCTTATCGCGTCAGGGGCCATTTCAGCCGCCGATTATCCCGATATCGATGATGACTACCAGTTGCACTTGGCCGGTGAAGGAGAATTTGAATCTGCCGAGGACGTCGACATTGAGATTAAAGAAGACGAACCGCCCTTTTTGGCCGGTCAAACGAAGCAATCGCTCGAGCTCTCTCCGATAAAGGTCGTTAAAGCGCCAGACGGGTCAATGAATCGCGCAGCACTCGCCGGTGCGCAATTCGCCAAAGATCGACGAGAAATGAAGCAACAGCAAGCGCAGGAGGAAGCAGCCACTGACGAAGCATCTACCGACTTGGACGCACAATGGAACGATCCTATGGCTCAGGGAAACCGTACTTTTGCGCAAGATCTGAGGACCGCAGCCGCTGGTCGACGGGCCAATGATATTCCTGAATGGAAGAAGGCTACTATGAGCACGTCAACGACCTTTGGAAAAATAACGAGTCTGAGCATTCGAGAACAACGGGAGTCGTTGCCTGTTTACAAACTCCGCTCCCAATTAGTACAAGCAGTGCGGGATAATCAGCTGCTTGTTGTTGTCGGAGATACCGGATCTGGCAAAACTACGCAAATGACTCAATACCTGGCGGAAGAAGGTTTTGCGAATCGTGGCAAGATAGGATGTACCCAGCCGCGACGTGTAGCAGCTACGTCCGTTGCCAAACGTGTGGCTGAGGAAGTTGGATGCAGGTTAGGTCAGGAAGTTGGCTACACCATCCGTTTCGAAGATTGTACGAGTCCCGAGACCAAGATTAAGTACATGACCGACGGCATGTTGCAGCGAGAATGTCTTTTGGATCCCGACTTGAAACAGTATTCCGTGATCATTCTGGACGAAGCGCATGAGAGGACCATCGCAACAGATGTGTTATTTGGGCTATTGAAGAGTAAGTTGCTCTCATATTCAATGATCATTAGCTAATTCGTGTCCACCAGAATCTGCCAAACGCCGTCCTGACCTCAAGATTATCATTACGTCTGCTACCCTGGATGCCGAAAAGTTCTCCACCTACTTCTATAACTGTCCAATCTTCACAATTCCAGGGCGCACTTTCCCTGTAGAGATTCTCTACACGAAAGAACCCGAAAGCGATTATCTGGATGCGGCCCTCATTACCGTTATGCAAATACACCTGTCCGAGCCCGCAGGTGATATTTTGGTCTTCTTAACAGGACAGGAGGAGATTGACACCGCAGCAGAGATTCTCTTTGAGAGGATGAAGGCGCTTGGACCTAGCGTGCCGGAACTCATTGTTTTGCCTGTCTACTCTGCCCTGCCGTCAGAGATGCAAAGCAAGATCTTTGAACCTGCACCGCCTGGAAGTAGGAAAGTTGTTATTGCGACCAATATCGCAGAAACCTCGATTACCATTGACGGAATTTATTATGTCGTTGATCCAGGGTTTGTCAAGCAAAATGCTTATGATGCCAAGTTGGGTATGGATTCGTTGGTCGTCACACCCATCTCGCAAGCTCAAGCGAAGCAGCGCGCAGGTCGCGCAGGCCGTACTGGGCCCGGGAAGTGTTACCGACTTTATACGGAAGCTGCCTTTCGAAACGAGATGCTACCAACACCGGTCCCCGAGATCCAGCGTCAAAACCTTAGCCACACCATCCTCATGCTCAAAGCCATGGGGATCAATGACCTTCTTCATTTTGATTTCATGGACCCCCCACCAACGCAGACCATGCTATCAGCCCTCGAACAACTCTATGCGCTTTCTGCTCTGGATGACGAGGGTCTTCTTACACGTCTTGGGCGAAAAATGGCAGATTTCCCAATGGAGCCGCCACTGGCAAAGGTGCTCATTTCCAGCGTGGATCATGGTTGCAGTGAGGAAATGCTATCGATTGTGGGTATGTTATCGGTGCAGACCATATTTTATCGACCAAAAGATAAGCAACAACAGGCGGATCAGAAGAAGAGCAAGTTCCACCAGCCGGAGGGAGACCATTTGACACTGCTGACCGTCTTTACGGCGTGGAAGGCGTCAAACTTCAGCAGCCCATGGTGCTTCGAGAACTTTATCCAAGCGCGAAGCATGAAACGGGCTCTCGATGTTCGAAAGCAGCTACAGGGCATCATGGATCGTTATAAGCATCCTATCATCTCATGTGGCAGGAACTACAATCAAGTTCGACAGGCACTTTGTTCAGGATTTTTCCGGAACGCAGCAAAAAAAGATCCTCAGGAGGGATACAAAACGCTCATCGAAGGCACTCCGGTATACATTCATCCCAGCTCGGCGCTATTTGGTAAGCCCGCGGAATGGGTGATCTACCATGACATCCTCATGACCAGCAAGGAATATATGCGAGAGGTAAGTGACATCCAATGATATGAAATCCATCAGGATGCCGAGCAATTGCGCAATGGACGCTGACAAATAACTCGCAGGTGACTGCCATTGAACCAAAGTGGCTGGTAGAGGCTGCGCCCAACTTCTTCAAGGTCGCCGAGGGGCTCTCGAAGCGGAAAAAACAGGAAAAAATCGAGCCGCTGTTTAATCGGTTCCAGGACAAGGACGACTGGCGGATCAGCCGGCAACGCAAGTCGGGCAAGGGATCAAGTACGTTTGGATAGATTTGTTTTAGATACATACTGTAGCCAATCAGAACCACCGGGTTGTATGCGCATACATCCCCGTACAATTGCAGCAGCATACATCCCGGGTATCACTTAGCGCGCACGCAATCGTCGACTCCCTATTTTTGTCGGAGGCGAAGCTGCGAGAAGAACTTCCCTTAAAGGCGAACATCATAAGGAAGTCATTGCGATTGAATCAAGCGAAAGCCTATTCGATACATTTCTTTCTGCTCGGTCGAGTCTCGTTCTTCTTCCTTCAAATTTCAACAACCACTGGAATCAATCACAACGGCGCCTCAAGTGATCCTCTCCACTTTCACGTCGCTCCTTCCAGTATCTCTATCAACCATGGTTGCTCCCGGAAGCAGTGTTTCGACTAGGGAGGAGGCAGCTGCCACTGTGGCATATCTGGCCTCCGATGTTGTTTACTCCGTGCAGCCTTCTCTCTCAGCTCAGACCGGTTTCAGCGCAATCTTGAAAGTTCTTTCAGCAAAGAACACACCAAATCTCCTCAGCGAGAACGTGCCGCTTGCTACTGAGGTCGAAATCCTCCGTCAAAACGCCGACCCATTCTTGTCTGTGCTCCAGCAGGTCAGCAACGGCAAAGTTGCTTCAGTAACAACTACCTCAGCTACTTTGATCTCCGCTATTCCCCACCTTTACAAGCTTGCACGATACCCCGTCACTATCCACGTTGCACTTGCGCCCTCCCAATTCCCCGATTATTCCGAGATCACCTCGATTCGCCAGTCGGGATTCTCCATCCTTCAGTCCACCTCTTTGCGCGAGACCGCTGATATAGCGCCTGTTGCTCATGCTCTCGCTCTCGAGTCTGGCAAGGGTGTTATTCACTTCTTCGAGTCTGCTCAGGAGGAGCAGTCTGTGGCTGTTGAATCCAAGCTTATCGAGCGCATCGTTGACTTGAACGTGGTTGATACTGCACGTGCGAAGAAAGCCGCTGGTAGCCAGGTATACTGGACGAACGACGCTACCGTGGAGGCCAAGGAATCCACTGAGGTTGCTAACGGTAACGGTGTCAATGGCCACAGCCAACCTGGTCCTGTCGATGTCCTTAAGGTTGTCGACAGCTTGTTTAATGCAGTCAAGCAGGTCACTGGCCGTGCTTATTCTGCTTTTGAATATTCTGGACCCTCTAACGCAGAGGACGTTATTTTGATCTTCGGATCCAACTCTGGTCTTTTCAAATCCACCATTTCCGGCGCATCCTGGGGTGATGATACCGCCAGTAAGGTTGGCGTTGTCTCCGTTCGTGTGTACCGCCCTTGGGTTAGTCAGGACTTCCTCAACATCCTTCCCCGTTCTACCAAACGCGTCGCGGTTCTCGAGCAGATTCGTCACAAGACGACCCGCTGGGGTCCTCTCTTCCTTGATGTGCTTACCAGCTTGAAAGCTGAGGGTGCATGGACCGGAGAGACTCCCAAGGTTGTCGGTGGTCAGTTGGGATATATTACTAAGGACACCGCCAAGCAGGCACTCCGTGGCATTGTTCAGAACCTCCGCGCTCCCGAGCCTGTTCAGAATCTTTTGGTTGGTAACGAGACTGGTCCTGATGAAGAGGACCCTCTCCAGGTTGAGCAGCCCAAAGTTGAGTCTGCTTACATGAAGATTCTCAACCAAGTCTTTGGTCAGCGTCTTCATGTTGCCAACGCGCTTGAGAAGAATGTTTCTATCCCTGCAAATGTCTCTAGCAACCCTGAGTTCGGTCTTGGTCAACTTTTCAACCGCTTCGAGGCACGTCAGGCGTTCGTCGCTCGTGTTAGTCAGATTGTTAAGGATTCGGACGCCGTGAAGCCGGAAACCAGTAAGGCATTGCAGGCTTGGCTGCCGCATGCCGAGGACAAGGAGAAGGCCCTTGTTCTTGGTCAGGCGGCTATCGATGAGCTTGATAAGGACGAGTCCGAGGAAGCGAAGGAATTGTTGACCTCTAAAGATCTGTTTGCCAAGGAATCCTCATGGCTTGTCAGCTCTGATGCCTGGTCCTACGACATTGGAAACTCTGGTATTCACCATCTTGTTTCCTCCGGTAAGAACGTCAACATGCTCATCATCGACAACGAGCCCTATTCTACTCGCGCGGCTGCTGATGCTGCTCGTCGCAAGAAGGACATCGGGTTGTACGCGATGAATTACGGTGGCGCTTACGTTGCCTCCGTTGCCGTTTACTCGTCTTACACCGGTGTCCTGAATGCTCTTCTTGAGGCCGACAAATTTGACGGTCCTTCTGTCGTTCTCGCTTATCTTCCATATGCCTCTGAGCAAGATTCTGCTGTTACCATCTTGCAGGAGACGAAGAAAGCCGTGGACACTGGCTACTGGCCCTTGTACCGCTGGAACCCTGCCTTGGAGAACCAGGGCCAGGAGCCTTTCCAGCTCGACTCGGAGCGTGTCAAGAAGGAGCTCAAGGATTTCTTGCAAAGAGAGAACCACCTCACTCAGATTGTCCGCAAAAACCCCGCATTGGCTCACACTCTTACCCAGTCTTATGGCACTGAGGTCCGAGCAGAGCAGAAGCGTCAGGCTAAGATGGCCTTTGACAAGCTTTTGGAAGGATTGCAGGGGCCCCCTCTGACAATTCTTTATGGTTCTGACGGTGGACAAGCCGCGAACCTCGCTAAGCGTCTTGAGCGTCGTGCTAGGGCCCGAGGACTGAAGGCAAAAGCAATGGCTGCGGATGACTACCCTGTAGAAGAGCTGCACAAGGAGGTCAACTTCGTTTTCGTCACTGCCACCGCTGGTCAGGGTGAGTTCCCTCAGAACGCTCGACAGTTCTGGGAGACGGTGAAGAGCACTACAGATCTGGATCTTGTTAATGTCAACTTCACTGTTTTCGGTCTTGGAGATTCCAACTACTGGCCTCGCAAGGAAGATTATATCTACTACAACAAGCCCTCAAAGGACATGTTCCGTATCTTGTCTAACTACGGCGGTAAAGTCTTGCTTGATCTGGGCCTTGGTGATGACCAGGATCCCGATGGCTGGGAGACTGCCTATGGACCTTGGGAGCAAGGTTTGTGGAAGGCTCTGGGGGTTGATCAGATTGAGACCGACGTTGAGGAGCCTAAGCCGCGCACGAACGAGGACATCAAGATTGAGTCCAACTTCCTCCGTGGTACTATTGCTCAGGGCCTGGCTGACGAGACCACTGGTGCTATTTCCGCCGATGACGCTCAGTTGGGTAAGTTCCACGGAACTTACATGCAAGACGACCGTGATATCCGTGATGAGCGCAAAGCGCAAGGATTGGAGCCCGCATACAGCTTCATGGTTCGCATGCGCTTGCCGGCTGGTGTCTGTACCCCCGAGCAATGGTTGAAGGTGGATGAGATTGCTACTCAGCTTGGTAACGACACTTTCAAGCTCACCACCCGTCAGACCTTCCAGTTCCATGGCGTTGTCAAGAGGAATCTCATTCCTCTCTACCGTGGTGTAAACCAGATCGCCTTGACTTGTTTGGCTGCTTGTGGTGACGTTGTCCGCACCGTTACCTGTTCGACTATCCCTGAGCGTGCCAAGGTTCACGAGCAGGTCTACGAATTCTCTAAGGAAATCTCGAACGGATTTTTGCCTGAGACCAACGCGTACCACGAGATTTGGCTTGACGACGGTACCGGCAAGAAGCAAATCGGCGGTGACGCCGTTCAAGACCTTGAACCTTTGTACAGTCCTATCTACCTTCCTCGTAAGTTCAAGATTGGTATCGCTGTTCCGCCTTCTAACGATATCGACTTGTATACTCATGATTTGGCTTATATTGCCATCGTTGAAGACGAGAAGGTCATTGGTTACAACGTCTGCATTGGTGGTGGTATGGGAACTACGCACAACAACAAGAAGACTTACCCTCGCTTGGCCGATTGTATCGGTTATGTAACGACTGACAAGGCTTTCGCTGTTGGTGAGAAGGTTATCTCTGTCCAGCGTGACTTTGGCAACCGTTCAGACCGTAAGAATGCTCGTCTGAAGTACACCATTGATGCCATGGGACTTGACAAGTTCAAGGCTCATGTCGAGGAGCGTTTGGGTTACAAGCTTGAGCCCGAAAGGCCCTTTGTTTTCGACTCCAACGTTGATGCCTTCGGCTGGAAGAAGGGTGACACTGGCACGAACCATTTCACTATGTTCATCGAGAATGGACGTATCGAGGGTAAGCAAAAGCAGGGTTTGCGCGAGTTGGCTCAAACGGGCAAGGGTCGCTTCCGCTTGACTGCCAACCAGCATTTGATGATTACCGATATTGAAGACAAGGATCTTGAGCAGGTAAAGACTTTACTTGCCAAGTGGGACCTGGACAACCTACAATACTCAGGTCTTCGCCTTTCTTCGTCGGCATGTGTTGCTCTGCCTACTTGCGGTTTGGCTATGGCCGAGTCTGAGCGATACTTGCCCGTCCTTGTCAGCAAGCTCGAGACCGTCATGGAAGAGGCTGGACTGAAACACGACCATATTGTTATGCGTATGACTGGATGCCCCAACGGTTGTGCTCGTCCGTGGGTTGCCGAGGTTGCGTTTGTCGGCAAGGCTCCTGGCACTTACAACATGTACCTCGGTGGTGGATGGCACGGTGAACGGATCAACAAGCTTTTCAAGGCTTCGATCAACGAGGAGCAGATCCTGAAGGTGATGACCCCCATGATTCAACGCTACGCGAAGGAGAGGCACGAAGGCGAGAAGTTTGGTGACTGGAGTATCCGTGCTGGTTATGTCAAGCCAACGCTTGCTGGACGTGAGTTCCACAACGACGTTAGCGAGGACCTCTCTGTGGAGTAAGATTCGTGTGCATGTACCATAAGGAAGGACAAAAAGGGAGTTGATGCATATTACAGTTCAGATGTTTTTTCTTTATCGTTTTGGGTTTCCAGGGTATAATCAATCTCCTTACTTAGTATTTTAATCTGCAAGTGCCCAGCTGGTGTATGGACGTCACCACTGCGATTCGGCATCTCGTCCTGCACGCAAGAATCTACGTTACCAACTGGAACGGACATCGACGAACTTTTATCATGCCAAGCACCGGCCACACTCGCACTCCAACCCTCTTCTGCATAATCATAAACCATGTCGGAACAGAAGCTGCTTCAAGTGGCTGACCTTTTGAGCGTCAGCCTGCCATTTCTGCTCCTTACGGTTCAAACCTTCTTTCTGTCGTACTGCGGAATACCGGGATCCCATGCTCCGATATTGGTGGTGGGCATGTTCCCGCCTGTTGTATACGCAAGCTACCTTTCCACACAGACGTTTACCTTGGACCATGTATGTTTCGATTTCCTCTGGACCATCGCCGGGGCATATATGGTTTTAAAGAGCCTGGACTTTGCTGTCATGAGTGCTGGAGAAGTACCAAGATGGATAGGAAATGGTGCTTGGAATGACAATGCAAGTGACGGACTGCCTCGAACGTTGAAGGATCGCTTGGTCTACGCAATAGGGCTTACGTGCAGCAACCGTGGCACAGGCTGGAATTGGGGCCTGCAGCGTCCAGCTGAAAACCTTACTCGACGCCAGGTTGTCCGCAAGATCGTTGTCGCATTCTTGGTCCACGATGCTATTACCTCGAGTCTGTATCGGATCACGCACCCTCTAAATCGTGACCTCAACAACGCGACGTTGATAACAAAACTCCTCCTACCTCCGCTGGCCGCTGCCCAGCTTTATTGCCTGTTTGAACTCGGCTACTACGCATTTCAGATCATCACACCGCGACAAATCACTCAAAATTGGCCCAAGTTTCAGGACGCTTTCTACAAGAGCACCTCGCTCAGAGAATTCTGGGGTGTGTATAGCGGCTAAAGAGGCCTTGCCCCAGGCGCACATTACTGACAAACTGCTGCTAGGACGGCGATGGCATCAAACCTTTCGACGGATGTTTCGTTCACTAGCATGGCGACCGGTTAGTAAACTACTCGGAGGTACAGACACCCCTCTGCAAAAATCGGTCTGCATGCTGGCAGCATTCACCCTTAGCGGCCTAATTCATGACGTTGGGTGTTGGCGCTTCGGTGGTAGTGATTGGAGGATGTGGAGCTTCTTTCCTTGTACGTTGCGCAACCTCCAACCATAGACATCTCATTACTAACACAAGGAATCAGTGCAAGCTGTCGGCATCCTTCTTGAGGCGTATCTAGAAGTCAAACGATGGCCGAAAGGTCTCGCCTGGCTATGGACAATGGGCTTTCTCTATGTAGCAGCCTTGAACACATTACTCAAGTCAGTCATCGAGTTGGGAATATGGGATGACATTTTTGTGGGCCGATGGGCGGTCGGATGGTGTTTCTCACAAGTCGTACAGTTGTTCTGAGAGTCAGCTGCAGCTATGGAGCTTAGAAATAAGAAATAAAAGAAGACAATACAAGCAAGCGTTGAACTAGAATCGGCATCACTTGCACCCAAGCTCGACGTCGCTGCAGCCGCTGCAACCTTTGCATGCGCTGGCAGGGATGGTGCACGTGCGGCCAACGTCAACGTCAAACGTCAACTGCTCAAGCTGTCAACTGGCACGTCCTTCAGCGAGTATACACCGGCCTTATCCAGTACTTTAGTGCTTACATCTGCGACTGTCCAAGACTTGCAACTCCGGCATGGCTGTTGTAAAGGGAGGAGTATGGAAAAATACCGAGGACGAGATCCTTAAAGCTGCCATCTCGAAATATGGGAAAAACCAATGGGCGCGAATATCTAGTCTGCTTGTGCGCAAGACACCCAAGCAATGCAAGGCCCGGTGGTACGAATGGCTCGACCCAGCTATAAAGAAGACGGAGTGGTCTAGAGATGAGGACGAGAAGCTTCTTCATCTTGCGAAGTTAATGCCGACGCAATGGAAGACCATCTGTACTATTGTTGGTCGTACCGCCAGTCAATGTCTGGAGAGGTATCAACAGCTTCTTGATGAGGCGGAAGCGAGAGAGAACTCCGAACTTGGGTTTACTGGCAGTGCAGGGGCGGAAGGAGTACCCAGCGCTGAGGACGTCCGTCGTTTGCGGCCCGGCGAGCTGGACCCTGATCCGGAGACAAGGCCAGCAAAACCGGATGCTATCGATATGGATGAAGAGGAGAAGGAAATGCTCAGCGAAGCGCGTGCTCGTCTCGCAAATACACAGGGTAAGAAGGCAAAAAGGAAGGCACGCGAGAAGCAGCTGGAGGAATCACGACGTCTAGCTGTTCTACAAAAGAGGCGCGAGTTGAAAGCTGCGGGAATCAACACCAAACTTCATCACCGCGCGAAAGGTCAAATGGACTATAATGCCGACATTCCATTTGAGAAGCAGCCAGCGCTTGGATTTTACGACACTTCTGAAGAACAACTTCGTCAAGGAAAGGCTAGAGTAAACGTTGATTTGGCAAAGCTAGAGAACAAGCGTCGTGGAGAGCAGGATGAGAAGGAAAAAAAGAAACGCCAAAAGCGGGAGAATGTGGAAGACAAACGACCCGGTGAGAAGCCTCTTGATTCAGCTTTGCAAGCTGGCCAAGCACAGAGGCTGCGAGATGCGGAACAACTCAGTAGGCGGCGAGGTCTCGTTTTGCCTGCACCACAAGTTGGAGCTCAAGAACTTGAGAACATTGTCAAAATTGGGATGGCTAGCGAGAGTTCTCGAGACCTTGTCGACGAAGACGCGAATCCAGCGACGCGTGGACTCATAGGCGAGTACTCAACCCTCAATAGCAACGGGCCAGCTCGGACGCCCCAGGCTTCAGCTGCGACGGACAATATTGCCGTGGAAGCTCGAAACCTGCGCGCCATGACCCAGACTCAATCGTCCCTGTTAGGCCAGGCGAACACACCATTGGGTGAATCTGTCGGGACGGGTTACGACGGAATTTTACCGCGAAAACAAACACTCGTCACACCCAATCCTCTATCAACACCGCTCCCCAGTATGCCTGCACCCAATGCCTCTATCGCGGGCACAACGCCCCTACGAACGCCACGCGACAGACTTGCAATAAATGGAAATGGTCAAGGTCAGGACCTTATTGGGGCAACACCGCGTGACCTCCGCGTGCACCATGAAGCGGCTGCTTCAACGCTTCGTTCAGCTTTGGCAGCGTTGCCGAAACCCAAGAATGACTTTGAACTAGTTATGCCCGATGTGCACGCTGTGGAAGGAAGCAGCGTAGATCAAGCGACACCAACTCTTGAAGACGCCGAGGTGCGCGACCGACGCATCCGCGCTCAGAAAGAGGCTTCCCGTCAGGCTGCCCTGATGAGAAGATCCCAGGTCCTACAGAGGAACCTGCCGAGGCCCTTGTACGTGAACTTGGATGCGCTCATGAGCATTGCAGGCGAATCCGAAAACGATGCTGAGAGACTTGTGCTACAAGAAATGGCGACATTGGTCGCACATGATGCTGCACAATATCCCGCTCCGGGCTCCAACATTAGCGGCACTGCGCATGTGCAGACCGACCTACTGGACTCCTTGATGGACCGGGCGCGTTCCGAGATAGCGAGAGAGCATGGTATACATGTCGACCCTCAGTCCTCCTTTCATGACGCGTGGCATAAACTGCACAGTGGCAGCAAACATGTGCCTGGGTCAGACATTTACTGTGATGTAGATGGAGAACACGACGTCAATGCTGTGAAAGTCAAGTTCGAGGTATGTGACCTATTTCATCACACTTGCAAGACTAACCAAACGTTATTAGAAAACCATGAGGAACCTGTCTGAGGATGCTGACCGCAGTCATAAGCTCGAGAAAAAACTGTGCATTCTCCTCGGCGGCTATCAAGCACGTTCGCGTACCCTTTCCGCTAAGTTACGTGAAGCACACGAAGCTATCGTTCAAACCGCCATCGACTTGGGATGTTTCCAAACACTCTGGCTTGCAGAGCGTGACGTGATTCCCAGACGTGTAGCGGTATTGGAAGAGGAGGTTAACTTCCTGGCTCGTCGGGAGGTGAGATTGCTTCTCTTCACCATCGGTGCGAAGATGTGCTAACGAGGAAACCAAAATAGAGCGAAGGGCAAACGCGATACCGAGAACTTCTTGAGGACAAGAGCACTTTGCTATTGGGGTGATTTAGTAGAATAGCCAACACGTCTACTATCTCATTCTTTCATTAGCAAGGGATGGAACCCCAGACAAACGTGCACACAGTGCAGAACTCAAGTGATTGTGCAAGTAATGGTATTCTTAACAAACTAGCAAAGCACCAACCCAGAAGACAGCCCAATGATGCAATGTAATCCCACAACCCCATTCACTCGTTCACATCAAGCAGCCAAATCACCTTCTTCACCATTGTCATAAGCACCGGCATCAATCGTCATGTTGTCCATTGCAGACAACAACTCATCCACAGGAATCTCAGGGAAGTCCTCCTCAACCTCACCGTCAGACTCCATTTCGACGTCCTCAACCGGGAGAGTCTTCCGAGCCTGTGCTTCCTGATCCTTGTAGACATTGACTGTCTGTCGAAGCTCCGCATCCTCCTCAAGATCACGCAAGAATGCCTCATAATCAGCTTCTTGCTTTGCCTTATCCTGCTTGCGAGGAGCCATTTCACTCTCCTCCTTTGCAATTCTCTTAAGCTTCCAGTTCCTTCCCCTGTTCTTTCTCCTGGCATTGGGATATGACTTCTTCACCAAGATGATGTCCGGAATCTGCTCCGGCTTGAGCTTATCGTAGTCATCATTGTTGAAATTGGAAGTAACGAGGTGGTATCCCATAACAGTATCGCCGGGGTTCAAAATGCCGCCTAGGTGTGAGCGAACAATGTAGAGATCATCATTATTGCCCATGTCCGATGTACGCATAACTTGAACGTCAGCCAAAGCCCATCTCTTGTGTGTAGGGCCCAGAAGCTCAACATCCAACACAGTATACTCCACCATTGATCCGATGTCAGCAAGAGATTCGAACGGTTGATACCAGTAGGTTGCTGCTGTCATGGATCCGGTCTGAAGGGTATTCGGGTCCAGGAACTCAATGTTTGTTCCCATACGACTGCAGAGGCAAAGCTGAACCATATTCCCCATAGACTGAGCGAGACGGCGTGGTAAGCAGATAAGCTGATCTTTGGTGACTCGTGGCAGCTCCACAGAGAACGTGAACTTATACGAGTGCACGCTCGTATGCGTATCCATAGAGATAAGCTCCTCACTCTTCTTCGAGGTGATGGGTGCCACAGCTGCCAGGAATTCCAGCATTCTTTCGGCTTGATTTCGGTTACCGTAGTAGAAATCAAGGCCATCCTTGACTTCCTTGATGTTCGTTGTATCTTTGTGCGCATGATGCTTCAAAATAAGTTGTTCGAGGTAAAGGAAGGTACGTTTGTGATTGACTTTCTGTCTGATCTGAACCATTGCCTTCCAAGTGTTGTTCGCCCAAATTTTCGCACAATCCAGACATTGCTGGTACGCAATAGTGTACTCAACTTCAAACGTCTGTTGGATGATGGTGGACGTGAACGCCTCCTTCTGCACCGTCAACTTGACTTTGACTCTTCGGGAGTGAGGTTCCGTCCAAATGAACCCAGCATCAATTAATCGAACCTTGTTCAGACCACGCAGCTTTCGCAGACACAACGAGAGGAGCTCACGAGACTCGAGAGGTGCGGCAACCCATGCGCTTGGTGGTTGAAGGTAACGCTCGCAGTTCTTACAGTAGTGAAGGGTACCTTCTCTTGGAATACCATCGGTAATATCGGCAGACAACTTGATACAGTCGTAACAGAGGGCGGGTGCACTTCCCTCCGGTGCCGGGATGGGGACACCACAGTTACAACAGAGGATGGTCGCTGTGGTGACGTGCTTGTGACCGAACGGGAGCTGAACAGACATGGCGACGGTGGTTTCGCTAAGGATCAAGGCCCGGAAAGGTTATAGGAGGAGTTCTTTCTTGCCTTTGGAGTTTTTTTTTGCCTTCGAGCGAGAGCGCACCTAAGAAATTCAGGTGTGGCGCGACATACTTGGTATGCATCACGTGATAGTAGTTATTAGGACGATAGCCCGATAACCTTAAGATAGCCACGAGAGTTCGTCCAGCAGCGATCGCTTTTTCTTTTTCTTTTCCCCTCCCCCTTGCCCTTCGTCTTTGTCCGGTACTGCAGGCGTCGTCCTTTTGATCCCCGGCTTCAAGGGAGTGGGAAGTCTGGGCGCATCACGGAACAGAAAAGCAGTGATGTCGTATGCCTTTGGCGCGTGTTTCCACGTAGAAGTCAAGCCATACCGACCTGGTGTTGCAGCAGATTGATTGCGAAGTGGCTTTGCATTGTTTGCCTGATCAGTCCCTAACCCAACCGGCAGCGCTTCCTGTGCCCGTGCCGCGAGATGCACGGGCCCAGTTTCTTGAGCAACGTTTGACATGCTCGTTCTGGGCACTGTCTGGACGCTTGAGATTTGTTGCTGCCTCTGTGAATTATGTCGGACTGTCGCCTCAGTCGCCAGACGATCCATATTAGACCAGTCTCTTGGAGACTTCCTCACTGATTCTGGGCTCGTACCTCTTCTCTGACGTGTAGACGGAGAAGTATTTGTGCAGTCCTGCTTCGTAAGACACTGTATGCCCGGTTTCGCAGACGCACACGTCTTTACCTCAAGCTCGCCTGGATCCACTGGCTTTCTGATCGCGCTCGGCCTATTGCAGATTCTAGCTTCCCTTTCAGCAATGGGTTTTCTCAGCATATCAAGCAAAACCCGTGTCTCATTTGCATCTTCGCTTTCGTCTTCGTCGTTGCATGTGCTTCGTCCAAGCACTTCCTTCTGTGCTGGTACATCGACTGTAGGCCGCTCGATTGATTTGCCCTTGATATCAGCAAGTTCGATTGCATGTCGCTGGTACTCGGATCGATGAGTATCCCGAAGAACGATGCCTACAATGTCCACCAGTTCGTCTTCGACCATGATGTATTTGTCGTCGTGGTGTGATCCAACGATCATAGAATCGGAGCACACGGCATCGCACACAGCTGCAGTTGGCTTCACTGGCCGTGAGGTGGCAGGCCTTTGCGGCCCCTCTTTCTGTCTTTTCTGTTCCCAGGGCAGTTTTCTCATCGCAAGCAGAACGGGAACGATATAGTTGTCAACGTTACATCCGGATACGGGAGTTATTAAGGGACCAAGGCCGCCCCTGCTCCGCCCGGCCAATATTTTTCGTGGCCTCGAGATTCCGCGTACGCGTGCGTTTTGGTCACCTCACTTAATAAATCTACACCGACTCCGCTCCGACGCAGGCGAATCAAGAAAAGTCTGCGAAGTCATATTTGACAGACATGCAGAGAATAGCTGCTGCGAGGCGTCGCGTCCTGACAACATGCTCCTTGTCGGGCAAATCAGTGCTGTTAGCTGGCCGCCTGTCAGTGGCATCCTCGGCATCCGTCGCTCTTCGTCAAACTCGCTTACAGTCGACCACCGCTGCTAGCTCCTTTGCATCGTCGCAACAAACTATCGAAATCCCTAAGAAAACCGACGATGATTTCATTATTGTTCGCCACAAGGATATGCCTGGCTCAAGCGGTCGCGATAATTTTACGGCCAAGGTCCGCGAAAGGAGCGAAGCTTTCTCTATCTATTACGCTTGTTTGGCGACAGGCAATGTAGAACGGGCGAAGAGTATCCTTTCAAGGTTGCATAATGTACCGCCTGCGACTGCGATAAAGTTGCACAACCAGTACTTGTTTACCTTGGTAGGCGAGTGCGCAAAAGCACAAGACTTGTCACTGATGACCAAATGGTTGGACAAGATGCAGAAGGAGCTCGATATCGTGCCTAACGAAACCACCTATGCTATTCTTTGCAAGGGTGCTCTAGGCCTGACTGATAAAGACATGAGGGAGATGATGCTGAAGAACTTCGCAGAGATGTTCTTGAAGAACGGTGGAGTACTTGGCGATATGATTGGTCAAGCTGGAGTTTACAGTGTGGACGACATTAAGGCTTTGATTGATATGTTTGGTCTAAGTGTAGCTAACATCAAGCAAGGTAGCCGTCAAGTCATCGCAGATGCACTTGCTGCTGCGGAACGTCAAGTCTCGGAGGATGATGTTCAGAATATTGCGGAAGTTGCGCCTACCAAAGTGTCTGGTCCGGGGATGCACTTGCTGAAACAATCCCTCGCCGCATTGATTGATCCCAATTACTCAGCATCTGAAAATGAAGCTCGCATTCCATTCTCCATGCTTGAGAGCTACGAACGTCAAAAAATCCTGGAAGAGTCTGCCTTGGATGCTGCAGTTGCAAGATGGAAGCATGACCACGAAACGACGGTCAATCGCGGAAAGTTGAATCCATTGAAGAAGTCACTTAACGCTTTGCTTTGGGAATGGCATCAGGCGTTGGTCCCGTTAATCGAGGACGAAGTTCGCAGATGTAAGGAGGCCCAAAAAAACACTACTGCGGCAAGCGGAGCTGACGTGGACCGTCTGGCGTATGGACCATGTCTGTTGCTTCTGTCCCCCGAGCAGTTAAGTACCATTACAATCCTGGAACTTCTCCGTCTTCAAGGTACAGGTGGTGTTGCGGAGGGCATGAGAGTCGCGCGTGCCGTTCTCAGTCTCGGAAAGCAGGTGGAGAGTGAGGCCCAGGCCGACATGTTGAAGGAACAGGCAGACAATGGCATCCTTGTCGGCGACATGAAAACGATCTTTAGCAATGAAAAAGCCTTTGCCCTCGCAAAAGCGAAAGCCAAAGCACGTGCAAAAGGCGATATGGCGACTCCGGACACTGAATGGAGACCCGATTGGCCTCATACACTACGTGCCCGTGTTGGCTCCGTTCTCATATCGTTGTTGATGCATGTCGCGAAAGTTCCCAATGAGGCCGATGACAGCGTTACAGGCGAGAAGCTTGTGGAAGTAACACCTGCTTTCTATCACGCATATCAGTATTCCAACGGTAAGAAGCTCGGTGTCATCAAAATGCACCCTGCTCTCATGCGCCACCTCGGCACCGATCCCATGCGCGGTAACGTACACCCTCGGTTGTTGCCCATGGTTGTTCCTCCTCGTCCTTGGCTATCTTGGAATAATGGTGGTTATCTTAGAGCCAAAACGCGTGTCATGCGTACTAGAGATGCGCCTGAGCAATTGCTCTACCTAAAAAAGGCTTCAGATCGGGGTGATTTGGATCTTGTGTTTGCCGGTCTGGATGTTCTGGGCCGCACTGCATGGGCAATTAATCGAAGAGTCTTAGATGTGGCTGTAACGGTTTGGAATACTGGTGAAGCCATTGCTTCTATACCCGCTACCGACACAAATTTTGAGTACCCATCGGAGCCTCCGCCAGACTGCGATCCCGCAATCAGGGCCATGTACGTGAGGAAGTGTAAGGAAGTGGCGCATGCTAATCAGAACAAGCATTCTCTTCGCTGCGATGTGAACTACAAGCTGGAGATTGCCCGAGCCTTCGTGAATGAGAAGATGTACTTTCCGCACAATATCGACTTCCGTGGGCGCGCGTATCCCATTCCTCCACACTTCAATCACCTTGGCAATGACTTGTGTCGAGGTCTTCTGGTCTTCCACGAAGGGAAAGAACTGGGAGAGGAGGGCTTGAGGTGGCTCAAAATTCACATGGCAAACGTTCGTGGATTTGACAAAGCGAGCTTCAGTGAGCGTGCAGCATATACCATGGAGAATTTGGAACATATCTTTGATTCCGCCGATAAACCTTTGGGCGGTAAAAGATGGTGGCTGGAAGCCGAAGATCCATGGCAATGTTTAGCTACCTGCTTCGAGCTGGCTGATGCTTTGAGGTCGCCCAATCCCGAGAAATACATCTCTCGAATGCCCGTGCACCAGGACGGTACATGCAACGGGTTGCAACATTATGCAGCATTAGGTGGTGATATTGTTGGAGCAAAGCAAGTCAACCTTGAACCTAGCGACTCACCTCAGGACGTTTACACCGGTGTCGCAAACCTTGTCGCGGCTGAGGTTGAGAGAGATGCGGCCGCCGGGAATAGCAACGCTCAGGAACTGGTGGGTAAGATTACCAGGAAGGTTGTCAAGCAGACTGTTATGACCAACGTTTATGGTGTTACATGGATTGGTGCGCGTGATCAGATTGAGGGTCAACTTAGGGACGTCGGTATTCCTGACGACCGTGCCTTCGTTCTGGCAGCGTACGTTACGAAGATCGTCTTCTCGGCCATGAAGAGTATGTTTTCGGGCGCTCACATGATTCAGGATTGGTTGTCTGACGCTGCCAAGATTATTGCCAAGGCCCACCCTATCGATGCGGACGATGATACCAACATGACTGCTGTCATTTGGACTACACCCCTGAACTTGCCAGTCGTTCAACCTTACCGCAAGATTTCGCGTAAACAAATCAAGACCAACTTGCAGACAGTGTTTATTTCCAACCCGGATGCCATGAACGAGGTTGATGTCAGGAAGCAGCGTACCGCGTTCCCGCCTAACTTTATCCATTCGCTGGATGCGACCCACATGCTAATGTCTGCCCTCGCCACCTCCGAAGCAGGTATTACCTTCGCTGCCGTGCACGATTCTTACTGGACGCATGCCTCTGATGTGGATAAGATGAACGTCATGCTCCGGGACGCGTTCGTTCGATTGCACCAGGACGATATCATGGGTAACCTGAAACGAGAGTTCGAGGAGCGGTACAAGGGATACAAGACGCAAATGTCTGCTTTGGCTGATTCGGCGGAGGGTAAGGCAGTCTTGGCCCAGCGAGCCTCCAAGAGCCGTACGAAGTCTACGGAGGCCGATGTTGCCGATGTTGCCGATGTTGCCGATGTTGCCGATGTTGCTGACGTTGCTGACGTTGCTGAAGCCGCGTCGCCGACTTCGGCTGTGGAGGCTATGTTCGCTGAGGAAGCAGCGCCGAAGAAAAACAAGTCGGTGAAATGGTGGGGTGATCTCGTGTTCCGCCCCTTGCCAGCAAAGGGTGAATGGGACGTGCAGAACCTGAAGCAGTCACAGTACTTCTTTTCGTAGATAATCAGGGGCCTATAGCTATACCTACAGGTAGGTAGCTATAGGGTACATCTGCATAGATTCAGGTGGTCAAAATTAGAAGCTGCAATTCTTTACACTCAACTCGATTGCGAAGCAAGTCTCATGCTGGCTACATACGTATACCTAGCCTTTTCTCCCTGCAGCGGCAGCTGTTTCATGGTCTTTGAATTTGGGGCTTTGCAATTGAATGCATACGTACAGCGTGGTAACCAGCAACAGCAGCACAGAATCTGAACCCTGCGACGACCCGACGACAGTATGATTTGCTCTAATCCTACGCCCGTCCGAAACTAACTGACCGGCGATACTTGCTCCTCCCCGATAAACCGGTTGAACGAAATAAAGGAAGCGCCGTTAACCATCTCTCCAGTGTCATGCTGGGTGTTTCGCCTGCACTGAACGACCGCTCTTGACCAATTCCATGATCCTTGACGACCTGCTTAGCATAACTGAGCACCACCAAGACAAAATAGGCTTTGACGGCCCAGAAAAAACAAATAGCCATAATACTTGACAAGCTTTCTGGCTGTAAAACACCCTTGCCCACTCCTGGTACGCCAATACTAGAGGGCGTAACGGCCAAGTCGGCATTCTCGCCCGTCGCACCAGGAGTAGGCACAACGTGAACCTCCTCCACAGTATGAGCTGGATCGGTAAAACCAGCAACGTCCTGGACCATCTTGTCGCCGGCGCCGGTTGAACTTGACTTGGACAGAATGAGGAACCAGGTTGTTGCAAACATGACGGTATATGCTATGTTGATAATCGAATCAACGACAAAGGCGTATGCATACACCAGTGTCGGAAGAGGTTTCTCCTGTTTTTGCACAACTCAGCACGTACACAGGCACACGATGGACGATAGTTACCCTTTGAACGTTCTTCAAGCACCAAGAAAAGAAAACAGCAGCGAGTATTGAGTACACGTACATGCTCATCTGCCATGCTGAGATTTGAGCCCCTAGGAGATAATCAGGAGGCAGTTCACAGCATAAAAGCAAAATCGTACCTGTAAAGACAGCCAGAAACCCATAGAACCCTGCAGCCTTGTTGAGAATGGTAAACATGGTGATCAATTCAACTCCCGTGCGTAAGTTGTACATGCCGAGGAACCTCTGTTCGACGGTGATTATTAGTCGCCTACACCTTTCAGACTTTTCGTAGATGGACATAGACGTACCCTGGGCAAGCGAAAGAAGGGGCGAATGGAAGCAGTGAGCTTCGTTGCATTGGACATGGTGGTCAACTGCCACTGGGAGTGTATGCTGGTCAAGTGGGATGTATGCTGCTACTGCTACTGGGACTGTTTGAACGGGCTTGCATGCTACAGTATCGACGTCGGCCGCGCAGGGGTTGCGTTCACCCCGCGCCCCCATACGGTTGCTACAGGTATACGGTATACGGTACCAACCACCACACCAATCGCAAACACCAGCTGGGCATTCAATAGCATTCAACAGCATTCATGACCGACCAATCTTCTTTTGCATCAAGTTCTTTGAGGAAGTTCAAGTTGGTATTTCTCGGTGCGTCACGACCGTGCCAGACTGGAGACAGGGGTGCTGACGGTGCGAACAGGCGAACAATCCGTTGGGAAAACGTCCCTCATTACCAGATTCATGTACGATGACTTCAACGACACGTATCAAGCCACTATTGGTATCGACTTTCTCTCCAAGACCATGTATCTTGAAGACAGAACAGTGCGTTTGCAGCTTTGGGATACCGCGGGACAGGAGCGTTTCAGAAGCCTGATTCCCAGCTACATCAGAGACTCCAGTGTTGCCGTGGTTGTATACGATGTCACAAGTAAGTCACATCCGCGCGTCAGCATATACACACCCTAACGCCGCCCAGACAGGAACTCCTTTCAGAATACGGCGAAATGGGTCGACGATGTGCGTGCTGAGCGAGGATCGGATGTCATCATTGTCCTTGTTGGCAACAAAACCGATTTGAACGACAAACGACAAGTTACCCCCGAGGAGGGCGAGAAGAAAGCGAAAGAGTTCGGTGTCATGTTTGTGGAAACCAGCGCGAAGGCGGGACACAACGTAAAGACATTGTTCAGACGGATTGCGCAGGCGTTACCGGGGATGGAAAGTGCTAGCACGGAAGGTGCACAGAGCTCACAGAGTAAGTCGTTCCGGTCACATTACGTCTCACGTACACAGCATAACAACGAATTATAGTGATCGACGTGAACATTAATCCAAGCACTAGCAATACTCAGGACAGCAGCTGCGCATGTTAAGAAGGAAGGGATATTGGAAGTGGTCCTATTGTAGGGCAACCGTCGTTCAGGGGGTGGGTATCGAGACACAATACAGATGTCAAAATTCAGGAATATACCACTACATCGTTATTCGATCCTCATTCTCCGAGCATATGCATGCAAGAGTAGAAACGGTACCATTGCAGAATAGCATTGCTAAAAAACCATCTAAAGAATGAATATACAGATGCTGCCCAGGCCAGAAAGGTATGGATCGCTGAAAGCGGCAACAATTGCTGCTGCTGCTGCTGCTGCACTGGCCCAGAAATGCCTATAAGAATACATACCACAGCCTAGAAGAGAATGACCGAACGCCTATACCTAAAAAGAGCAAACAAGAAATTTCAAACCATTATGTCCTCGCCCCTCAACAGATTTTGCCGCCTTCAACGCCGGGGCAAAAGCACTCCCCCTTCCCTTCAATGTACAATTTCCTTCCATCCCACCTCCCGAGGCTATCATTGCCTACGGTGAAACCTCCAACAATCTCCTCCCAGACAGTCTCCTTTTTCCCAAGCACCTTCGGCGGAAGAGGCGCCGCAGCAGGGATCTTCCCCGAGGCTGTCTCAGCGGCTTCAACAGCGTGGATTTGCGCGGTGCCAGGAAGAACCATCCCCTCAACAACCACCCTCTCACCAACCCGAGCTTCAGTAGGGGGCTCCAACAAACGGACAACCTCACCTCCCTCATCTTCCCGGACACCACACAAAATCATACCTTCAGACTTGATGCCACGAAGTTTCTTAGCAGGCAGGTTCGCGACGACAACTACCGTTTTACCCGTCATCTCATCTCCATTCGGATAAAACTTCTTCAAACCAGATAAGATAGTGCGCTCACAAGTAGCTGACGAAGAAAGTCGGATTGTGTGGACCCAGAGATGAGGGGCTGTCGGATGCGGCGTGGTAGATGTAACACACCCAACCAAGAGATGAAGACGATACATAGGATGAGCGGGGGGAAGATTCAACGTCTGCGGGCCCTTCGTCGCTTCCATTGGCTTCGCCAGTGCGCCCTCAGCGGGCGTTTCATCAGCATCCGAGATGAGCGAAGCGATGTGAGAAGAAAGCTGTTCCTGGGAAACCTTCGACGCGGCAACGGTAGAAAAGAGCATCTGCTGGACAAACCCTCTCGAGGATGCTGCGCCAGACCAAATGCTCATATTGACGTCCATTTGCTTGGAAGGCGTGCCGGCACACGGTCCAACTTGCTGGCTCGAAGGCGCTGCGTTCACAAGAGATTCATGAGCTACCATCTTGTCCAAAGAAGAACTTAGCTCGAAATTTGTCATCACTGGTGTTCCAGGGATGGTTCGCGGTGCCGGAGACGAGTAAATCGGCTTCACAGAAAACGTCGTAAAAGCAGAGGCATTGCGACGATGACGGGTAGGGGTACCGCAAACAGGAGCAGGAGGGGCCTGAGTCAAAGCAGGGATAACAGAAGAAGTAGAGTGCCTAGCGGGGGAGATCACCGGCTTTCCAAGGGAGAGTGATGCGGATCGAATATGACGACGGTAAAACGCAGACTTTGAAGGAGAAGCGGACATAGCTCGGCGGGGAAACAAGATGCAGCGGATCAGAAGCGCGACTGTAAGATCAAACTCCCTTTTGATCTTCAGAAGGCCTGCGCCGATTCTCGGCCTTGAGGTGCGGATGCTTGGTTTCGTCAATTTAGGATTTTTTGAGGCGCGCAGATATTACATCCACGGTTATATACAGCAACATTGCAATTGCTGCAGCAGCCAGCAAGCTGAGATGGGTACCTCTTACGCTGAAGTGCGCTATTCGAGTAGCAATAGGATACATTCAGTAGAGTATTTCACGAGTTACACCAAGATCCGTCGCAGACCCTCAACCCCAGCTTCCACCTTCACACGCGTGACTGGACAACAACCCTTATCCTCCAGCCATCGGTACGCACAAGTATAGCAGAAAACATACCCAGTCGGAATCATAGTCGGGTTTGTATGAGGGTTCCCACACAACCCGCATTTGCTGGAGTCACCCTCGTTCTTTAGAGCGTCAGGTGCGGGGTCTGAGGCCACTGGGGACGGAGGAGGTAATGCGATGGAAGACGATGCTTCCGCACTGAGCTGCTTCGCGAATGGGGAAGCTTGCCACCATTCCAAGAACTTGAGGAAGAACATGGCTGCTGGTAGGACGATCTTCAGACCGTCTAGCAACTTTGGGAGCAGCAGTCGCTGTGCAACGAGAGGGTTGAATAATGATAATCCAATATTGGGTGGTACTGGTCGAGATGCCCTGGCTGGTGGAGGAGGGGTAAGATCTGACGGGCCTGCTCTCCTGATCCTTACCCCCGTAAGAGCCAGCCATGGTGTATGAAATGCCGATTTATCGAATAGATATGCTATGTTGTAGGCTAGGACACTGATGTAATATGCTGCGTTAAGCGATGGGTACACCAGGATGAATGTTTGGCGCAAGGCTCTTCGGAGTTTTTGTATTCTTGACGCAGACTCTTCCGTTCCGCGATTTCTGACGAAACCAGCACCCAGTATAGAAGCACCAGCTTCTACTTCATAGAGGTCATCGAGTTTCGCTTTGATGTACGGTATACCAACCAGTACAAACAAGGATTTCCACACGTCCCTGTCTCTAAGCTTCAAGGCTTTCGCCAGAAGACCTGGCTGACAAGCCGCCGCCCGTGAAAACTTGATCTGAGGGCTGCGTTCGCGCATCAGGCCGTAAAAGTTTTCCGCGAACGAACCATTCCATTGCTTCAGATAATGCCTTTCGATCAACAGCATCAAGCCAGCGTAGAATTCGTCATGTTTGTTGACGATTCGTAGTAGGTATCGCGGGTACCGTTGTGCATAGAACTATGAATGGTAAGCGGAAGTCGAAACGGAGGGAATCCAGCACGTACAGCAAGGATGTAGCGCAGTGCCGGTTGCAAGAGATCACGCAGCTGGTCGACAGCAATGAGTTCGAAGAGAGATGGCCTGTATGGATCGATGTCTCCAGCGCCTGAAATGTTTGACAAGAACTCCATTGTCGTTGATCAATTGCGGGGAGTTCTGGTTCTCGGGGTGCACATGCATGAACAAACCCCACGTTCAATGCAACCTTATTTCAACCCAGCACGCAATTCATTCAACATGATGTTATCTGCTGGTAAGTCCCCCTTCAATTGCAATGTGATAAACCATGGAATGTATGTTCAACAGATCGCTAATCGTCGTATGGAACGAAGGCTCATCCGCTAGAGACCATTGTGCGAACGAACGGACATTTCTCTCATGGCTAAGGCTGTCTCTCACTCTGACCTTGGTCGGACTCGCCTTTGTGCTAAAGTTTGATCTGAACGCTATTGATGAGCCGTCACATGAAGAGCGGACTCTGGCTCTGCCGTTGGGCTACACCTTCATCGCATTGGCAATCCTGTCCGTGGGCGTGGGATTAGCCAACTACCTGCGGCTGTTGAGTCTCCTTGTACGGAAGGCCGCCATCGTACAGCCAAACAAGTGGATAACAGGCGTCGCCTTTGGCATAGGCACTGTCATCGCGTCCGTGTCGGTGCGTTTCATCCCAGTCGTCACCACGAGTCGGGCTAACACATTTCTCCCTACAGATCTTCTTGATGGCAACACATTTCGAAACAGGGACATGATCACGAAAATCATCTTTTTATTCAATTATTACTCATAGATCATTTTCCGCACAGCGTCAAACTAGGGTATTAATGATGTAAATCCTACAAAAACTCCATCCAAAGACGACACAACCACTTCTCTCGCAACAACAACATTTACACCTGAGCATCAGCTTCAGGGTTAAATGGGCGGTGCTTCTCGCTAACAGCAGCTTCAGACTCCTTGGGGTGGGTCATGGATCCCTCGCCGGAGGCACCCTCGTAACCCATGAGCGCGGGAACGCGGGTCTCACGCTCACGCTCGACAAAGTCGTATGCAAACTCACCAATCTCAGCAGCGTCGATACCCTCTACCTCGGCCTCCTCGGAAGCACGAAGGGAAAGACCAGGGATCAAGTTCATGACGAACAAGATGATGCAGGTAACACCGAAAGAGTAAGCAACGGCCGCAGCACAATCAGCGAGCTGGTAGGCGAGCTGGATGTAGTGACCGTTCAACCAACCACCGGGAATGGCAGAGACCCCGTCCAAGGCACCAATATAGTCGGCAGCGAAGAAAGCAGTGAGCAAGTTTCCAACGATACCACCAACACCGTGCTCAGCAAAGATGTCAAGAGCGTCGTCAACACCAATGTAGTACTTCAAGCCAGTAGCAAAGTTGCAAGCAGCACCACCAACGACACCGAAGATGACAGCAGCCCAAGCGGGGACGAAACCAGAGGCGGGAGTGATCGCGACGAGACCAGCGACGGCGCCGGAGCAGAAACCGACGGTAGACCACTTACGCTCAAGACGGTAGTCGAGCAAGACCCAGGTGATTCCACCTACGGAGGCAGCAATGTTGGTGACCACGCAGGCCATCACACCACGGATATTGGCACCGCCGGCAGATCCACCGTTGAAGCCGAACCAACCGAACCAGAGAAACACCGTACCGAGGACGACGTGGGTGACGTTGTGGGGGCGGAAGTTGAGTTCGTGGGTACCGTGACCGCGACGCTTACCGAGCATGACAGAGTAAGCGAGAGCAGCGGTTCCAGAGGAAATGTGGACGGGCGTTCCACCGGCAAAATCGTAAGATCCGAGCTTGTACAACCATCCAGCGGGGTTCCAGGTCCACTCAGCAAGGACATCGTAGACAATCGTAGACCAGACAAAGATAAAGACGAGACAGGGAAGCATACGTCCACGCTCCGCAGCAGCTCCGATAGCGAGGGCGGGAGTAATCGCAGCGAACATACCCTGGTAAACCATGTACAAAAGATCCGGAATGAAGACCGATCCAACAGACGGTGCACCAAGTACATCCTTCAATCCAAAATTATCCAAGTTACCAATGTACTTTCCAGCAGAATGCGAGAAAGTCAACGAGTAACCCCAAAAGAACCATTGGAAGCTGACGACGGCGACACTCATCAGGGATAACCAGATGAGGGAGAGCGCGGACTTGCGGCGCGCGAGACCGGAGTAGAAGAAACCGACACCGGGGATCATGAGCCAGACGAGGGCGGTGGAGGTGAGGATCCATGCGATGTCGCCTGGGTTGTAGTATTGATTGAGGTTTGTAGTGAGCGAGTCACCGCCAGTGGCGATGGTGCCGTCGTAGGCGACAGTATTGAGGCCCGACATTTGCTTAGTTGTATGCAGTTGTTGTTCTTGTCTACGTCTACGTGTACGGGGAGGTACGAGGGAGTTATATAGAGGAGGAGGAGCGAGAGGAGAGGAGGAGATAAGAACAGAAGATGCGGCGGACCGGGGCGAGTTCAGCTGAGATGCGATAACCGGGAGTGAATGCACTTCAATGTGAAACCCGTCTCAATTGGGGGGGCTCAATTGGGGGGGGGGGCTGCTCTGTCAGTTGAATCGCTGATAAGACGCGCGCGGGACCCGACCAGCCCGCTCCAGCGCTGCCGTGAGGGTGGGTGATGTCCGTGAGTCATAGATAGAAGAAGAAGAACGCCGGATCAATTGATTACCTCTGCTCCATCGTCCTCATCGGTTCGCGCTCAACAGCATCTCGCTCGGATAACCGCTTCATCTCTTTCCGACGTTACCCGAGATCGCGCTGACGCAGCAGCCACTGATAACAGCACACAAGCACTCCCTTTGTACGAGAAGTATGTCCGTGCACAATTCGTTTGTATCGTAGCTAAGCCTCGCCAACTGCCCATCGCCTGATCCACTAATCTACGTCTTACTCATTCCTGCCCTCCATCTCGCTCTCCACCTCGTAGCCCTGTTGATCTCCCGACCCTGTCTCGGCTCCCCCTTCCGCGCTCGTCGCCATATCCATGTCCTCAGTGGCAGTAGTGGTCGGCGTCGTAGGCGTTGCGGGCGGCTGCGGTTGTTGCTCCGTTGCGATGCCCGTCTCCATCCTGATCTGCATAATCCATGGATGTTGTAGCAGTTCAGCAGCAGTATTCCGCTTCTCCGGATCACGCTCGAAACATGCCAACAGGAAGTCCTGTCCAAGTTGACTCAACTGCTCCGGCGTGGGTAAATCGGGTTGGCGCGATGCAGCAATGTGGTACATAATCGCCCACTCGTTGTCGAGATTCGCCCATGGACGTCGACCCGTAGCCATCTCGAGGACACAGCATCCAAGAGACCAGATATCCATCGCGCCCTTGCGTCCCGAACTCGATCCCGTAATGACTTCAGGAGACATGTACATCGGCGTACCCGTCATACTCGTCAACTTGGTCCGAGCGGCAGTCATCCCACCCCTAGTCTTTCCACGCTGCGCAATGACCTTTGCTGCACCGAAATCGACGTACTTGATCACACCCATATGATCCAAGAGGATGTTCTCGGGCTTGATGTCGCGATGTACGATGTTGCTTTGGTGGAGGTAGGCCAATCCTTCGAGCAGTTGTAATGCGTACACTTGCACGACAGTCTCGTCCTCAATACGACCGTGCTCCAATAAATTCGCCAACGAACCACCCTGACAGTAGTCCATGAAGATGTACACCTTATCCCTATGTACCTCGACACCGTAGTACTGCACAACATTAGGATGATCGAGCATCTCCAACACCGTCATCTCATCCTTGATCGACTTGACAATCGTGGGAATAGACTGCGGATCTTGCAAACGAATCTCCTTGACGGCCATCAAATCTCCCGTATCCAAGTTAACAGCAGCGTACACATTACCAAACGATCCACCACCGATGAACCGTCCCTGCTGCCACCTCATGGTGATGTTCGATAGCGAGGAAGCCAGTTGCATGAGCGATCTGTTTTCGCCAATCGTCTCATCGAGAACTTTACCAACCATCTGCATCTCCTCTTGTTGAACCTTCCGCCTCTGCTCGACTTCCTCAAGATGCGCAAGGATCGTTTCTCGCATGTACCCAGTCAAGTCCTCACTCTCAAACTGCTTGCCGATGTCCGTTGCGGGTTTCTTCATTTGGCTACGTGCAGCTTCAAGTTTCTCCTGTTCTGCTTTCGCGGCCATGTTTGACCGTGCACCCATGATATCGAAGTGAGAAATCAAGAGTGCCATACATCGTGCGACCTTGCTGCACAGCGTCGAGAACTCTCCGTCCGTGATGGCGAGGATGTTACTACCCCTCGTCATCATCATCGCGAATTCAAGCGCGATAACAGCCCATTTAAACGTCTTTCGATCACTGGGTACACAATCATCACATATAAAGCTGACCCAATCAACGGACAACTTGATGATCTTGAGATTATGCGCCGCACGTCGTGACGGCTCCATATACCGCAAGGAACGCTGTCCAAACTCGGTGGCGAACGCATAACAGTTCTGAATGAGATCCTGGCATCCATAACCCCTCGTCTTCTCACGGATAATGCTGATACTATCCATGATCGAGCTAGAGAGCTTGTAGGACGTCTTCTTGATCTTGACAAGTTCTCGGTTAACACGTGGAAGATTCGCACGCTGCTCAACGAGTACTTCAAGGGTGTTGTTGGTGACGTGCATGAAATTCCTTCGAGCGTTTGCGAGACGAGCAAGAGAACCGTCGGAGACGAGACGTACCCTGTTTTGCTTGATATCCAAGTTTGGCTCGGGCATATCGACGTTCAGGATCCGTCCACTCCACATGAACGGTTCTTCGGGGCAGAGGATGAGGACGTAGGGACAGAGAGGGTTATCCTCCTCTTCCTCGCGGTGGAAACAGGTTCTGAGGATGGATCGGATGTCGTTTGGTCGGTCGTACAAGGAGGGGTCTGCGATGATATATACACCATCGTGTTCGACACTTGCTGTATAAGCCAAGAAGTGTCCAGTCTGCACCAGAGACTCGATGAGAACAGGCATACTCTCCTTGTCGAGGTTGTACTCTGTAGCATTCTCGAACCTCGCACTCAAGATCTTGGCGAAACGGAGCAACTTCCTATGCCTCAATCGCACGTTCTCGAGGAGCTTCGAATACCACCTCGTCATCTCCGTACCAGTCTGCACCGAGGGACCCTTCAGCTGCGTCTCGAAGTAGTTCATGACACGGTTGAGGAGCTTATTGGTGAGCGAACTGAATTGCTCGGCGACCTGAAGATCACCACCCTCGATGTATCGACAGATGTCGTTGAGGTAATCCCACTCCGCTTCAAGGATTTCGGCTTCTTTGAAGTAGACAGATTTGCTGCCACTACCGAGCTTGAGATGGAGAAGGCGAAAGTAGAACTTGAGCGCATCCAACAATACAGAGTCGTAGTTGTCATCGATGCACGGGGGCAAATCCCATCCAGGTTCCGGCTTGGACATCTCTGTGTACTCGTTCTTGATCCTTACTGCTAAACTCATGAACAACTGGAAGTCCTCCACCATCTGGTCGACCATAATCATCGTCGGATCCCTCAACTTCTTGGCGTAGGCCAAACGCAGACGAAGCGCTTCCTCGATAAGCTTAGTAGGAAAGTTGACAAGGAGCAACAATTCATCAAGATACGGTGGCAAGTGCATTTTGGCAAATGCCTTTGCGTTCTCGACGAGGTTTACCTTGGCTTTGTTGATGAGAGCATTCAAGGTCGCCAGAGTTCGCTTCTGGAAGGTGCGCTGAAGACCGTTCTCCTTGAGAATACGCTCAATGAAAGAGCTTTCGTCGTTGATACCGGGAGCAGGGGCGACATCAATTGGTCTCGTCAAGTCCAACTCTTGATTTCCGATCCAGTTCCGCAGAATCTGGATCTGAGTTTGGATGCTCCTTGTCACCGTACTCCAAGCTACCAGTGCATCCAGGTTGTACTGAAAGTCCGGCGATGCATAAGTCGTGTTCGACGCCATGATGACAGACCTGGACGGATACAATGCCTCGCACTTCTCCACCCTCATCAACAGATCCTCGACCTGCTGCTGCGGCGACTTCTCCGTCACATCCGAACCCTGTACTTGGAACGTGACCACTTCCTGAAGAACATTGTCGAGTTGCGCCCGCGCTTCCTCAACAAACCTCCTTTGGTCCACCAATGCCCGACCATACACCTTGGCCCTGATCCCAAGCCATAACTCTGTACGTAGATTTGCCTCCTCTTCTGTGTTTGCAGCTCCTGAAATACGTTTCTTCTCGGATTTGACAACTTCACCGGTCAATACCGAAGCCAACATTGTCTGCCATTCCAAGCGTTCTCGTGATTCGGGGGCATCGAGTGCAGCGTCCGATGGTGCCAGCTCTGACATCAGGTCCTCTGTTCTTGGATCAAGGTCAGGATCGTTGAACAGAACATCACCATCGATATCCGACAAGTCACCCTCATCATCGTCGTCAATGTCGTTCAGCTGTAATCTTCCTAAACCAGCCTCAAAATAGTCGTTGTCCGGATCTTGCTGCAATTTCTGTACATATGCCTGCTCTTGTGCTTGATATTGCACATTGGGATCCCACATATTCCGTGGGTTCGAAACTGTTCGTCTATGTGACATGACAGGTCTTCCGTCTACTGTAGGAGCTGGAGCAAGTCGAATGGAGCCGTAATTACCTCCAGATGGTGTTCGTGGCGGTACAGGTCTATCCATCATGGGTGGAGCAACTCCTTCGAAAATGACCTCTGCGTAGGGTGCAGCAGGATATCCTGGACTCTGCAAATATGGATCCGGCAACTGCGGATCTTGCCAGTATACACCTCCATCCATTGTCTGTTGCGTTGGGTAAAAAGGGCTACCGTCAGGAATAGCCTCAGCATATCCACTGGCCAGCGAGCCCTGCGAGCCGACTGCGCTACCGGCGGCGTCCAAGAGGGAAGGACGGGGCTGCCCCATAGCCATCATATGCTCCTCGACCTGGACAGAACCTGGATCAGTGAACCTCACGCCTCTGGACATGGTTGCTGGCTTGTGGGGTATATTGGTGCAGCTCACTGCTTGCGAAGCCCCCAGGTGCCTCGGGTGTCGGTACTTGCGCCCAGTGAGCGCCGCTGATCTGAGCGCTGGGTGATGTTTGATGTCCAGGTATCAAGATGGACGTCGGCGAACGTGTTCTAGATATATATCAAATGAAGATATACTCATCTCTTACCTTCCATAGGGCTGAAGGCATGTGATGTGGGGAACGGTGTAAACAAACGGTCGCGATATCGACCTTTGCGGCAGTCAAGAGTCAGAAGGACAGAAGACAACGCCAGCAGCACAAATGTCTATCAGAAGAAGTTCACGACCTACAACTCCTCTTCGTCGCGTTCAGCGCGGCTCCTTCTCAGAATTGTCGCGCAATGAATCTTCGGCGACCTTCCCTCTTGATGCAATGGAGCCAGCATTCGCAGAGGTTTCCGATGCTCTGTCAGACCTCCATATCAATTTGGAGCAGCTACAAGGCATGCACGAAAGTCTTGCAAAGTTCAGCGAGAGCTTTGCATCGTTCTTGTACGGGTTGAATATGAATGCGTTCTGCGTGGACTTCCCGGAAGCGCCGGTACCAGAGAGTTTCAAGAGAGCAGAGCAAGAAGCAGCATGTGCGTGAACTGATCGGCTCTCATACTATTACAGTTTCTCACTCTGCCTTACAGTACAGCGCCAAGTTGCAGCAGCTGCACCCCCGTCCTCCTTCCGTCACCCGGATTCAGATCAGACATTCATGACCAACGAGACGTCCTTCGTCGAGGAACCACCCGCGAGATCGCAAACAAGCCGGCAGGCACCGACAAAGGCAGGGCCTGGAGCCGGGACTTCACGAGGACGAGGAACTGCCCGTGGGACAGGGCGTGGAGCGAGCGCAACGCGAGGAAGCGGTATAGGACGCGGAAGAGGAAGAGGAATGTAGTTCAATTGATTTCCAAGCAACCATGCTGCTCTCGTAATCCCCGTATTCATGTTCTTACTGTTTTTCGTATGTCAGCTTGCAGGATGGCTGCATCTCTCGGGTTCCCCACAGAATGGGCCCGTACGACACCGCGTCTCAACAGCTGCTTGCAATCGACCCAGGATATCCTCGACCAGAAGTCCTGATGAGCGAGACAACGGCTCCCTATAAGATTGAGAAAAGCGTCAAGTTCGACAGGCAATTACGACTCTGGGCTGCCAGTGGTCAGGCTGCTCTCGAAAGTGCTCATATCTGCTTGCTGAATGCAACTGCAACGGGAACGGAAATCTTGAAGAATCTGGTTCTACCAGGTGAGTAGACCATCGTTTTTGGCGTGAACCACTAGCTGATGCGCTCACTACAGGTATCGGTGCATTTACGATCGTGGACGGAAAGACAGTTACAGAAGACGACCTTGCCATCAACTTCTTCCTCGAAGACACTTGTCTCAACCAGTCTCGTGCTCAGAAGGTTTCCGAATACCTTAATGAGATGAACGAGGATGTCAAGTCTGCATTCCTACAAAAGGACCCTGTTGAGGTCATTGCTTCCGACCCGGCATACTTTCAGCAATTCTCCCTCGTCATAGCATCAAACCTCCACCAGGAGCCATTGCTCGCACTGGCAAAAACTCTCGATCAAGCTAGGATTCCCCTAGTAGCGACGCATACAGTCGGTTTCCAGTCTATGCTTCGCCTTCAAGTCGAAGAACACACCATTGTCGAATCACATCCCGAATCCCTCGTCGACCTCCGTCTGGACTGTCCCTGGCCCGAGCTTGCAGCGCCCGCAGAGTCTCTAAACCTCGAAGCCATGGATTCGATGGAGCATTCACATGTACCCTACGTCAATCTGTTGCTTTACTACCTTCAGAAATTCAAGTCGGAGAATGACGGCAGAATACCGAGCACATTCCCGGAGAAGCAGAAGTTGAAGGAGATGATCAAGAGTGGTATGAGAACCGCGGATGAAGAGAACTTTGAGGAGGCTATTGGCGTTGTTTGGAGGGCATGTCAGGCAACGCATATCCCTTCTGATGTGAAGGCTGTGTTTGCAGACCCATTGTGCCAAAACTTGACGGGACAGTCCACGGACTTCTGGATTCTTGCGCGGTCCGTGGCGGATTTCGTGTCATCGCCGACTGAGGGCAATGGACTTTTACCCTTGCCAGGTGTTGTTCCGGATATGAAGGCCGATTCTTCTGGTTATGTTCAGCTGCAGACTCTATACCGCAAGAAAGCTGCGGAAGATGTCACTGCTGTGACGGCCCATGTGAGGGAGCACCTGAAGGCTGTTGGGAGGCCAGTGGACAGTATATCTGCGGATGATACTGCAAGCTTTTGCAAGCATGCTGCGTGGATCAAGGTTATGCGGTACAGAAGTATCGAAGAGGAATATGCGTCGTCACCCAAGACCGAGAAGATCGGTAAGAGCTACTTGCTACAACTTGTTTGCGTAGCTATCTGCTAACCATAATTGTCAAGCATCTGCATTGCAAGATTCTGAAGACCTTATGTCATGGTATCTCGCCCTTCGCGCCCACTTCGCCATCGACTCATCTACTGTCAACGCTTCGACACTTTCCGATGCTGCACATAAGATCGCATCCTTAGCTGAGCCCAATGAAAATGTGACGAAGGCTTGCGAGGAGACCGCTCGAGCGAACGGTGGTGAACTCCACAACATTGCTGCACTTATGGGTGGTATTGCTGCACAAGAAGTCATCAAGGTCATCACGAGGCAGTATGTTCCAGCGGATAACACAGTTTTGTTTGAAGGAATTGGTAGTAGAAGTCAGACGTGGGTTATGTAAGGCTGAGTACTAAGCATACCGAATAGACGCTTCCCAATTTAGCTGCCAGAAGAATACATGCATAGACTGTAAAGACACATAACATCTGCTTTGGTCGACTGTATGAAGACTGCCAGAGTCCACCCAAAGTATATACACGCAAAAATAGCGCCTTGCGGTTCGTTTATACGCCTCCCCCACTGCGTTCGACGCCCTTCAGACCTATCAGACAGTTAGCCCGTGCCCGCAACAAACACCGCCCACTTACCAATATCCTTTCTGTGAGAGTCATGGTCCCTCCTCATATAATAATAACCGCCTGCAACAACAGCAAGAGAAGCGAAGATGATACTGTGTTAAGGTCAGTCGGCCGATGGAGAACATTGGAAAGCGTGCGAACGTACCCCATGCGATTCTGCCCACCCGCAGCGGCCATAGGCGGCGGCTTAGGAGGAGGTGAAGTAGGAGCAGTCATTGTGAACGGTATATTTGGTAAATGCTGCTTTTGATCAAGGATCGTTGTTGGGGAATTTATGTACACAGCTGGACCGTCTTGCCGATTGTGCGTCACATGGGCTTTCCTTTCCCCACACGATCTTGTCCCCCGCATGAGCACGTTACCGTACAACCTGGCAGCTGGACTTCTGAGCCGGAATGATGGACATGTAGACGTGAATAATTCATTATTATTGCAAGACTAATGGTCGTCTTCCTTTTCTCCAGGACACTTCTCTGCCAATTCTTCAGAGTTTTCGTATTTGTGCCCGCACCAGAAACAGTATGCGTGGGAAGCCCGTAGGAAGCCAAGCACTTGATCCAATTGCTCTGGCGGAGGAAGAGCTTCGAACTCTTCCAGCTCGGCATCCTCTTCTTCCTCACCCTCCTGCTCCACATTGCTGATCTCCTTGTCTGCGGCGGAGCCTACCTCCACGGCGCCCTCTACTTTAGAACCTCCTTCTTCGTCTTGATTTTCGTCTTCAACATTGTGGAATGGTCGTCTTTCCATCATCTGCTCACGCATGAGACGTTCTCTTTCCTTTCTTACTCGTTCTCTCACCAAGCCTCTCCATACAACGTTGACCCTACGTTGATTCATTTCCTCGTCAGAAGCAAGGGCTTCGCACATTCGCTGTGCAGCCCGGCTACGACCCTCGGTCTGTCGTAGTTCACGTTCCTCCCGTACCCTATCTTGGTAGTCCACTTCCTCTACCACCTGCTTCTTCCTTGCATCCTCCGCTACCTCCTGAAGCTTGCGCTTGACGGCTGTTCCATGCCCGATACCAGTTCGACTTTCTTTCATTTCAATTGATATTGGCTCCACTCTCTTTGTAGTGCCTACCCCAGTCTTCCCCAAGCCCTCGCCAGCGTTGTATCCCATCATCTTCATCATCTTCATCGCTTTGCTCTCCTTGTGCTCCTCCTTCTCTAGTAACGACTGCCTCAGAGCCTCCTCTCGTTTCTCCTGTTCGATAACCTTCTGCGATTTTGTTTGTGATTTCTCGAATTGCTCTCGTTGGATACGTGTTCGTCTCTGGGAATACGTCTCCGTCGCTGGCTTTGTCGTTGGCTCTTCGAAGGTCATGTTCATGTAGTCGTCCTCTTCGTCCTCGTCCGTGTCGGGCTTCTCTTCAGGTGAAAGATCATTTTCTAGCAGGTCTTCTGGTCTTGGTAGGGGCATCTCTTCGAGGAGCTGAGGTTGGATCCAGAGATGCTTCCTTCGTACGCGACGCCGAGTACGTCGATATGAGCCCGCTGGTTATCGATGGCGACGTCATGTACACAGAACGCTTAGAACGTGAAGGAGCTTAACAATGAGGTATATTGGGTATAACTTGAAACGCCTTGTTTTATCGAATCGCCACTAGACCTCACATTGCTGGCATCCAGCCTCGTCTCGGTGTCCATTCCTCAAAGCCGTCGTCCTTCATTACAGCCGAGCCTGTTCGGCCCGTGATGACACTCACATTTCCACGATCCTCTCTTCCTTCATTCGTGAAGAGGTCCTCAGTACCCCGACCTCGGTATGCCAGCCAATGTCGTTGCGATCCTGCGTCAAGAGGACGTCGAAGGTTGGACAAACGTTCCCACGAAAACTCTGCTCCTAATGGGCGATGCGAGTTTTCCAAGGAGAGTCGTAGAACATAATGTTTGAGCCTTGCTCCACGGAGAAGTACTAGTATCATACCCTAAGACAAATCAGCAACCAGGACTTCTTTGGGGTTAGGTCATGAAGCACACTGTATGATAGGTCTGCTCAAGAAGCTCTTCCTGCGAAGCATTGCTCTGACTTTCCTGGCTCTCTTCTTCGCCAGAAGTATCGTCGTCCTTTTCATGAGGATTGCTTGGTAGTATCTCATAGGTACCACAGTCCCACATGATATGATTCCCATGGCCTGGGTTGCCAAACTCCATCAAGCTATACTGAGCGGGTCATCAGTGATGGTCGTAAGGTTAGTAGGGTTGAAGCCTACGTAATACGGATGAAGCATCGTCTCAACGGCCAATCTCGGTGCACCTCCCTTCGTTCCTTGTAATCCCTTTGGGAAAGCGAATGACATTGTCTTTCCAAGGGATGTCTGCAGACGAAGGTCCCAATGTAAACCAGCTCTCGGAGCGTCATGCTGCTGAATAATATAATGGTGTCCATTACCTGGAGGGTTCTCGAGGAACAGCCTCTTCAGATCTTCACGGGATATCGTGGGATTATCTGGTGATCCGCGTAAGCATCCCCATCAAAGCCGAACGATGAGGGTCCTAACCTGGTATATAACGGTCCAAAAGGCTCAAACAGTTTTCTATCTCTTTCTCATGGATTCTTCGCAGAGCTTCCTTCACGACACCAAGCTGTCATTTCGAGCATTCAGTCCATTCCCCTCCAACGTCGCCCAGGGAGAACTTACGCAGTAGTCGTCCAGAATAGCTTCATCAAATTCTATGTCCTTATCCACACTCATCCGAATTTTCGTTATGGAGGTTCATACGGGTGACGCGTAATGCCTTTCGTAGCTGCATGTTGGGCCGACGTCAGCGCTCGATCTCGAGAGAGCAGTGAGAAGAAAGAAACAGCCATTATACCCACAACAACCCATACAATGGTGAACCCGCAAGAGAAAGAAGACAAAGACAAGCAGCAGGAGAAGAAGGAAGAGGTTGATGCTAAGCCCAGTGGCGCGAAGACCAATGGCAAGGATGGCAAGAAGAAGGCCGAGGAGTTGGTAAGCAATTGCGCAATTGAATGGATATGTGATGGATATTAACGACTCTCTACAGTCAGAAGAAGACCAGCAACTAAAGTCAGAACTTGAGATGCTTGTGGAGCGCTTGAAGGTGCGATTGAACGTCCTTGTTCAAGCGAAGGCGACAACTGACCCATGAATGCAGGAATCAAATACCGACCTCTACAAGCCGGCACTGGAATCACTCAAGACGCTTATTCGTACCTCGACATCCTCTATGACCGCCGTTCCCAAACCTCTAAAGTTTCTCCGTTCTCATTACCCCAACCTGACAAAGCTCTTCGACACATGGCCGGCAGGCGAGAATAAGGACGCGTTTGCGGACGTGCTTTCAGTGTTGGGGATGACATATGCCGAAGACGGACGCAGGGATTCTCTGAAGTACCGTCTTCTTGGACCAAATGAGGACCCTGCCGTCTGGGGTCACGAATACGTTCGTCACCTTGCTATGGAGATCGGGGAGGAGTACTCGGAACGGACATTGAAGGACATTCCAGACAGCACCGACGACATTATGGACCTCGCCATGCAACTTGTACCATTCTTCTTGTCCCACAACGCTGAGGCCGATGCAGTCGACCTTTTGTTGGAGCTTGAGGCGATTGAGAAGTTGCCGCAATTTGTTGATGCGGAGACCGCGGCTCGTGTGTGCTTGTACATGGTGTCTTGTGTGAACCTCCTGGCTCCGCCAGACGATGTGAACTTCTTGAAGACTGCGCACGAGATCTACAGGAAACAGAACCAGCTTCCGCAAGCCATGACCCTGGCTATCCGCTTGGACGACCATGATTTGATTCAAGAAGATTTGGCAGCAGCAGGTGATGACAAGGCATTGAAGCAGCAATTGGCTTTCATGCTCGCTCGTCAGCAGATTTGGTTGGAGAGTGAGGATGAGGATGTCTCGGAGTGCCTTCGCAACACCAAGTTGTCTGAGTACTTTATGTCCCTTGGTCGCGAGGTGAACGTCCTGGAGCCAAAGATTCCGGAAGATATTTACAAGAGCCACCTCGAGAACACCAGGTCCACATTTGGATCCGGACAGGTCGACTCAGCACAGCAGAACCTTGCTTCTACCTTCGTCAACGCCTGGGTGAATGCTGGTTTCGGTCAGGACAAGCTCATGCTTACCGAGGAGGAGTCCGCTTCGTGGATCTACAAGAACAAGGAGTCCGGTATGCTCTCTGCTGCTGCATCCCTCGGATCTCTCCTTCTCTGGGACGTCGAAATGGGTTTGACCCAAATCGACAAGTACATGTACTCGTCTGAGGAGTACATCAAGGCCGGTTCTTTGCTCGGTGTCGGTATCGTCAACTCCGGTGTCCACAACGAGTCTGATCCTGCCCTTGCTTTGTTGGCCGATTACGTGGAGAACAAGAGCGTTGTACTCAGAACAAGCGCTATCATCGGTTTGGGTTTGGCATACGCTGGAAGCAACAGAACGGATGTTGTGGACCTATTATTGCCGATCGCCGGTGATTCTTCATTGACCATGGAGATCTCGAGTGTGGCTGCTTTGGCTTTGGGTCTGATCTGTGTCGGATCGTGTAATGGTGATGTTACCTCTACTATTGTTCAGACGTTGATGGAGAGGGATGAGTCTCAGCTCAAGGATAAGTGGGCCCGCTTCATGGCCCTTGGTCTTGCTTTGCTGTATCTTGGCAAGCAGGATGCCAGTGATGCTACGTTGGAGACCCTTAAGGTTATCGAGGCTCCCCTTGCCAAGCACGCTGGCGTTTTGGTTGAGATCTGCTCTTATGCGGGTACCGGAAACGTCCTCAAGGTTCAGGAGATGCTCCATTTGTGCAGTGAGCGCCTCGAGGACAAGAAGGAGGATGCGGATAAGGAGGATGGAAAGGCTGATGGTGAAGAGGCCGTTGAGAACATGTTCCAGAGCTTCGCCGTTCTGGGATTGTCGTTGATTGCCATGGGTGAGGATGTCGGAAAAGAGATGGTCTTGAGACAGTTTGGTCACTTGATGCACTACGGAGAGCCAGCAGTCCGCAAGGCTGTTCCCCTCGCGCTCGGTCTGCTCAATGCCTCTAACCCCGAGATGACTGTCTTCGAGACTCTTTCGAGATATTCTCACGACAACGACCTCGATGTTGCCATGAATGCTATCTTCGCCATGGGTATTGTCGGAGCTGGAACCAACAACGCTCGTTTGGCACAGCTTTTGCGTCAGTTGGCATCATACTACCACCGTGAGCCAAATGCATTGTTCATGGTCAGGATTGCACAGGGCTTGTTGCACATGGGTAAGGGAACATTGACCGTGAATCCATACCACAACGACCGTCAAGTGCTTAACAAGGTGGCGATCGCTGGATTGCTCAGCGTTTCCGTGTCTCTCTTGGACGCAAGGGATTTCGTTTTGAAGAACTCTTCTTGGCTGCTGTACCTTATCACCCCTGCCATGAACCCTCGCATGCTTGTTACTGTTGACGAGAACCTGCAGCCTCTACCTGTTACCGTGCGTGTTGGTCAGGCCGTCGATGTGGTTGGTCAGGCCGGACGACCGAAGACCATCACCGGTTTCCAGACCCATACTACACCAGTAATTGTCGGCTATGGAGAGCGAGCAGAGTTGGCTACGGAGGAGTATATCAGTGTTACGTCTGTGATGGAAGGTGTTGTGATCTTGAGGAAGAACCCGGCGTATATGGATGAGTCGGCATGAGGAGACAAATGTGGTTTGCATGAACGAGGATAGCTATTAGCAGATAATGTACGCTATGAATGAAAAGCCGAGTTACAGATGAAGAATACGCAACGTTGGCGTTATGTGAAATCCATTCGGTTCTTAACCAAGCTTCAACCTTGCCCGCGTACCCCATCAGGCACCATGCAAGATCGGGAACCTCCCATACTTCATCAGGCGAGAGCAGTTGAAGTTGCAAGTCTCAATCAAAGTGTAAACCCGACAAAGCATGGAAAGACACGGATAGGACGAAGAAGAATTTACGACAGCACCCCAATGGCCTCCTCGTCGTTGCCCTTGTCGCACAATCGCGCCGTTCCTTTCGCAGCCCTAACCTTGGCGCCAATCCGTCGGCTCGCTCGCTATTTCGTTCTAGGTGGGATCATTCTGGTAATATACCACTTCTTAACGTCGACTATACCGGCGTTCTCCGATGAGAATAAGTCCATACGACTGCGAGAGTCACCGTCACTTCAAACGAGCCTCGTCGGTGTCAAGTTGAAGCCAAATGTCCCACGGGTGCTTTTTGCCGTGAGCGAACTGGAACAGATGCCCGTCGTGATGATGAACTTAGCCTGTCAGATGGCGCAGCAATCGGATTACTCGGTCCATATCATTGCTCTTGGGCTAAGTCAGTTACCTATACAGTTTATCAGAGCGGCCTCTGGGATGGCAGAAGGTGATTGCCCAGTAACCATTCATGATGCTCGAGCCGGAAGATCATCTTATGATCCTGCGGATCCTCGAGTTACGTCTGAAGCAATCCATTCAGTAGCCAGGACTATCGAAGTTATCAGACCAGCCAGCATATTCCATGTTGAGCTGGATGACGAGCCAGAGTACATGAAGGAGGCATTGGGGATCGTCAACGAGAGGTTCAGAATCCCGCTTGCCAGAGAGGGCAGTGAGAGCTTGAATTGGATCTCTACCTTGGATCCTTACGCAATTCAAGGTATGTCTTCATACTATCCATTGGTTATGCATTTGCTAACATTCTGAAGCCTGGCATATGCCAAAATTTGAAATCATTATTCACGGAGCTTCACATCTTGGCAGCTTGCTTCGTTTGGTCGATTCCTTGGTAGAAGCCGACTACATTCAGGAGCCACCTCGCCTAACCGTGCACACTCATTTCACCGAGGCCCAAGAAGGCAAACAGCTCGCCGAGCGTCTTTCGTCTTGGCCACCAGATCGCTTAAACGTACAAAATCATATTCAACCTTATACGGTCTTGCAACCTTTCGAATCCTGGTATCCATTGAGTGATAAAATCTTTGGAGTGTTCCTCTCCGCTGAAACCGAATTGACGCCTTTGTGGTTTCATTATGTCAAACTCGCCATTCTCTCCAGCCTTTACTCGGAGAACTCCAAAATAAATGCAAGTGCAGGCCGCATCATTGGTGCATTCAGCTTGAGTCGGGACGGCCCTCAATCTTCGGGCTCGTCCCAGTCAAGCGCTGTCATTCGAAGGATTATGGATATGAACTCCACCGTCATCACCCCTCACGCCTTCAGGTCGGTTCACGAATGCTTGAATGCGCAGCTTCCATCCAATTACTCGAGAGAAGCTCTGTCTGCAGAGGTGAACAAGTGTGTTAAGGACAGTGGCTTTGCAGTATTACACCCCATGACGAGCTTTTGCCAATCCAGGGCCGAAGATTCCGCAATAAGCTTGGATGAAGAGGAGTTTCTATTACGGGGCATTACCGATATATCTGGTTGGAAGGAGTTCGTGGGCGATACACTATAGACATTTCAACGATTTTTCTGTCATCATGTAAGAGCGCTAGCTATCCTAGCGTTGCAAAGTCTTGTCCTATTCCCAAACCAAGGAAAAACGCCAGATCCTCCGCCGTCAATGCAAAACCATAACTTAGCAATAAATAAACTCAAAACATCCGCCTACGACACCAGCTTGGCGAAATGGGATAGAGATAGGTACGCTTCCAAACGCCGCCATGTCCTGCTCTTAATACTCCAACCTGAACGATTTGTTGAACCCCGACCCGCCTGAACGATCATCATCGTCATCGTCAAAATCTTCGCCACTGGACGAACTCAAAACACCTAGGGACTGCGAAGATATGTTTCTTGGTGCCATACTAGGCCTGAGCAGGGAGAACGAGGAGGGCCCAGTAAAGGACGGGCCTCCGTAACCCCGGTCCCTCGTATTCGCCGTAGAAGGACCCCCTGCAACAAAAGCTGTACGGAAACTTGATACAGATGGCGTTCTCTGAAGACTTCGCGACAAGATAGCCGCGACCCTAGTATCATACACGTTCTGGGGAGCTGGTTCCGTATTGAACTCTGTATCCGTAGTTGTGGGTGTTTGCTGAGCTTCGCTGGATACATCTTCTGTGAAGAACACGTCAAGACTGTGAAGAGCAGAAACCATGTCACCTAGAGTGCCATCGCCACGGTCATCAGACATCATCGTTTCCGTCCGTTCGTCCGCTCCGACATACGCATAGTCCTCGGCATGGAATTTGATATCAGACGCCAGTTCACCGACATTATTCGATGAGATAGAGCATGTGTAGAATACTGCGTGAACGTTGTTCCGAGCAGCCGAGGACGTGATCGCAGGCATAGGTACCGCCCATCCGTTGTCGTCTGGAATACCAAACAAGGTAGCCGTCTTCTCGTATTCCTTTCGAATCGTGCGGTTGCCGAGACTCATGCGAAGAACATGCTTGTCCAAGGGACCTCCCGAGATTGCAGCAGCCTCGTCTAGTACCTCCAAAGCTTGTTGAGCATACTCCGTTTGGACCAGGCGCAACAAGGGCGATATAAGATCAGCACCAATACCAGCAAATTCGGGCTTTCGCATATCAATGAAAGACAACAACTTCTTCAAGACTTCCAAAGTCTTCGTCTTAACCCAACGCGAACGGTTGTGAAGAAGACCTAGCAAGAAAATCAAAGATTGTCCTTCCCAGGCAGGGAAGAATGCTTCCTTCAGCGACGAGACAAGCTGTCGAACGAAATCTTCCTTGCTCTTGAATCGAGAGTTCGCAAAAGAAACCAAGATCCTGCTTAAGCTGCGGAGTTTCGCTTCATCGGCTAACTCCCGAAGACGGGAAGCAGCCGACGATATATCTTCCGTGATTGCAGTTTGCTCAATGGCATTGACGAAACGAGGGATATTGGCTAGCAGCGCAAACAACAACCGACTCTCACCAACTCCGACGATCTCGTTGCTCGGCAATTGACACAATTTGTCAAGGAGCTTTATAGTCTGGTTGTAACTTGTGGACGACTTCAATCCCTTGAGAATCAGGGGCTGTAAACCTTCAAACTTGCCCTCCCACTTGGGGGGGAAACAGGCAATGAGGAAATGGACATTAGCATCCAGCCCTAGATCCAGCTTAACCATAATGTTATCAAGAATGCTCAGTGCCTCCAAGAATTCCTGTTCGTGAATGGAGTTAAGACAAGCAACTGTGACCCAGAACAATTGCGGCAATGCAGTAAGCCCCGCGATGTCCATCTCTGCGGTGATAGCAGCAATTGTGGTCAGAATTTCCATGGCGAAACCTTGAATGTCGGTTGAGTTATCCGCAATCGTGTTTGACAGTCGAGCGAGCATGTCAGCAAGCATGCCTTGATCCATAGGGGACATCAAACATCGGAAGACTTGAAACGACCTACACGCCAGATGGCGCACGGGGCAAGATGTAGCCCATGACAGAGCCGTCTTACCCCAGAGCTGACGTAGATCTGGGAAGACCGGCGAAAACATAGCCAAAACGTCCCTGACCAGGTGTTCCATCTGCTTGGGTGTCCGAGCCGACCTGCGGTGGTGGTTCATTTCATCATATGTCCAAAGGGACTTCACATCACGTTCCCGAAGGTCCTCAATGAACTCCGTAACAACCGACTCGGAAAAGTCGGACTGCTTTGCCAATACGAATGTGTCAATCAACTGAATGAGCAATAGTTTTGCTTGCTCGTGAACAATGCTTGTGTAGTGATCAAGTTGAACGAAAACCAAATGCAGTAATGTCGGTATGTGCGATCCTACCGTTTCAAAAGGTTCGCTCATCAAGTCAATGATGAATATGAGCGCTAGCTGACCCTGCGAGAAAACCACAGGTTTTGATGGTACAGGGAAGATATCCGAGATGGACGCGACGTAAGGATACACGATATCCGTCGGAGGGAAAAGCGATGGTTCCCGAGCTTGAGGGATCATGCTTCGTGGCTGAAAATAGCCGATAAGTGTATCCACCATGTTAGCCCCAGCTGTGGTTCTTCCCAGGTAAAGGACAACCTGCTTGGCGTACAGCACCAGGGTTGGGTCACGAGCTTCAAAACAGCGTTTCATGAGGAAGTCCAGAATGGCCATGACGTTGCCTGGATGAGGTCCAGACGCCAAAGCCGTCCATAAAGCTTCGATCTCGTTCTGCATATATGCGCCGTACTTGACGGTAATCTCCAGAAGGTTCACAACAACCACACAAGCGGACGGGCTGAGATCTCCGCTGCCTTCGTCTACTGGAAGATGTAGATTCTGGAGCCATGGTAGCAGAACTTCAACAAGATCTCGTCGAGTTCTTTCCACAACAAGCTTGAAGGCCAACGTGAACTCCGAGAAAACAAAGATACTAGCTTCTGCGTGATCAGCTGCCAGACGAGTTGAAAGTAAGTACTGAGCCCTTTTGAACACCGCCGGCGTCTGACTTAAGATGCTGGTCTCGTATTCCTTGACGCATGACTTGCCGTAAAAGCGTTCCTCGGCGTACTTCATGAGCTTCATCGCGTTCCGCCTCACATGAATGTCTCGATCTCCAATTTTCAATAGACATAGTGCTATGAGTTGCTGCCCTTCACAAGGGTAGTCGGTATCCTTGCATAACACTTCCGAAATAACATTGAAGTAATTCTGGGTTGACTTCAAACTTGGGTCACCTGAATAACACTGTTGTATGGAGTGACGGAGAAGAATCGGGTACATCCTGTTGTGCTCAAGGAGGTTTGAAAGGGCGCGGCAACCAATCTTATAGATGCGCTCGCTGCTGCTTGCGAATACTGCATCAATCCAGCGATATAGAGCGCTGACGTCAAACGAGATGACCATTCTGTCGGATCCAGCCTCAGGAAGGATAGGGCCGGCACAAAGGGTCGCCATGCAGTTCAGAGCTGCATACTCGACATTTCCCTTTTCGATCTCTACTGAAGTCATTAGAGCACCTCGGTCTCGGACAGCCCGGTTTTGCTCCACGATGGTGGCTCGCATCCTTTCATCTCGTTGTCGCGCTAGAGCACCATACTGGCCCAGGCCGCACCATTCTTCTACCAGTCGAAAACATGATAGTCTGCCGTCGAATGGGAACCACTCAGAAGGGTCAGGGGTCTTCAGTATACCCTCGTAAAGGCTCTCCATGAGGTTGCAGAAGTATCTTCGCAACCGTTGGTACTCCCAATCAACTTGGATTTCAGGCTCTTCGAGGAAAGCCTTCATGTCTCTGCTGAAATCAAATAGCGCCCGCAGAATGGTGATATCTTTAAGCACGTTCGCATCTTGCAAAAAATGTGACGTGAGCTGAAAGATATGAGTTACTTCAGTTCGCACTCTATCGCGCGTTTTATCACGACGGGTAGCCATATGTGTCTTTGAGCTATAGCCCTTACGCGCGTCTTCTTGGGGATGCATAGTCTTCTGAACTTGTGATGATAAGACCTCGGTCAACACGGGGTAAAGATTCACATTGATGCAGCCGAAGCCCGTTACCACAGCATCACGGATTGCGACGTTCTCTGCCTTCAGCAAAGGAGCAATCAACTCAAACAATGCCCGCGCTGAGATGATTTTGTCGTAGGTAGGCGGAGAAGAGTTAGATGACTTTTGTCGCCAATGCCCCATAACAGATGGCTTCTTGGATTGCACTTGTTCATCCGTAAGAGTCAATGTCGCGCAAGCTACAACCAAGTACAACTTCCACTGCTCAACTTGCCCCTCAGGAGACGTGATCTCCCTTGTGTGCTTAGGCAAGAGATCAAACGGCCCAGCTGTTGGATTACGAGCCAGCTGCGAATTTCTGACAATCATGTCCTGCATTGACCGCAAGCGAGTGCATACACTGTTCCGACACAGTACGGTGGCCATCGGCAGCCTCTGAAAGCACTCCTGAATCAATCGTGGGAACGCTCGCAGCCACAGTGCAGTATCAATACCGTTATCCCCCTCGGCAAGTTTCACCAAAATGCCGTCTCTTGCTTTCCCGTGCTGGAACTTATGTAGACGGCTTTGTTCTGCAACGGATAGCGTTTCCCGGTTGAATTGCAGTATAAAGGAGGATCCACGGTCCAATAGGTCAATCACCCGGTTGAATGAACCTAGACTGGGAGTTTGAGGTGTTGCTGGAGAATGTTGCGTAATAGGTGACGACGCATCATTGGTAGCACCCAATGCCTCATCGAATTCCAAGATCAACCGCAAAATCTGGATTGCATACCGACGGACCATCCGTGATTGGCTACACAAGAAGAACAGGCCATGCGATTCAGTCTCTTCAATCAACGTCCAAACATTGGTCATGCCCATGCCATCGCTTCGTGCAGTATCGTCTGTAGAAGGAGTAGACGGCATCGCACCATCGACGGCAGCCGGAGAGTTCGCATTAACATCCTTCGCAACATTCACTGCGCGCAATGCCTCCAGCCAAACACCGAGAAGCCTCACGTACAACTTCAGGGAAGACTCAGTGCATTCGCCCTCCAGAGCCTTCGCGTTCGCCGACCGGGCTTCGTCATATTTGAAAAGGAATCGGGCATAACTAGTTGCGATTAGCTGTGCGTTGGTAGCCTGAGCAACACGAACTAGAGCTCTCCTAGCGGCCGATGCGACGGCCGCATCGACATGGAAAGTGCCCCTACACAGGATCTCAATCGTTTTGGCATAGTTGCCACTCGATGACAGACATCTAGGAAGTGCATCGAACAAGGTCCGTAGAAGGTCGAAATAAGCTTGCTTGTCCCTTGTCTGGCTGATGGCAGCGGCTGAAGTGTCCACAAAGGCATTGTGAAATGAAGCAGCAATCGGGGTTCGCGGCAGAGCGCGCTCTTCAACAGCTGCCGCGTTTCCAAAGTACGAGTCGCAGAACACGGCGCTCCTGTACTGCACATTGCAAAAGAGATCATGAAACGTCCGCAGGGCTGGTGTGCTCAACAACGTCGCTTTGATAGCCTCAGATTTTGCCGCCTCGCTTTGAACATTGAATGATTCGGGAAACGGCGGAGTTGCTCCAAAATTCTGCAAATCGTTCAGAATGAGCATATATGCTCTGATAGCCACAGCTGTTCTTTCGGGCCCGATAGCTTCAAATGTAAGTTGTGCGTTGGGCGCGGCAAGTTGATCGCCATTGATCAAAGGAAAGATTATATTCCGCAGAGCCATATCTTGGTGCTTGGCTGCCATGAACCGAATGATTTGCACGAATGGCTCCACAGAAGTATCTGAAGGGATCATGTTCCTCCGGCCAGCAGGGAACAAAGTTTTCGATATGAACTCTAGCTTCTTGACGGTACTGTTGAGGGTTTCAGGGCATCGAAAGACATAAACCCATGTCAACCGCACGATACATTCCAACATGATTGTCCTGAATGTTTTGTCTTTCAGGAACTTCAGATTGGCCTCGATAAGTCCAAACCAATGCTCTTGAAAGAACTCCCGTGGACTTACACAAAGCACCGCACATGCAAGCGGAAACCCAGCACTCCAATCCTTGGTCTTCTTCGTCAGTTTAAGCGCTTTCGGGTAGATCATTTCGACTGCTTCAGCCCAAGCCGGGTAGTTGACTTCTGCCGTCGCGGAGCCTGCAATTGGCAACAGCAGCCGTGTAAGGAGGTCAGCATAGGCATGCTTGATCCTTGATCCGTCGGAATTCGCAAAGAACTTTGCTAAACTTGCAAGATACGCCGCAGATTCTTCCAGGTCCTCCATCGGGTAAATCTTGATCTTGAAAAAACGCATACCATGAATGACGGTCTCCACCTTTGCCACCTCTTCTTTCATTACCACCGTCTTCGCATACTTCTCCAAGTCCGCGATGAACCTATCGCTCACACTTCCGAAACGTATCTCTGACATGCACCCCAAAAGCTCAGCAAACAGGGTCCAATTCGCCAGTTGAATCGGACTTGTAGCAATCATCTCCGGATCTGTCGTCTTCAGCTGCGTAAACACGATCTCCTCGAGCTTATCACCAAGATCCGCACCCAATTTTTCCGCCGTCGTTTGCTTGATAACCTCGATCAACACTCGGCATAAGATGTAGATGGATACCAGACTCCGCCGGTTCGCCAGTGTTACATTCTGCGATGGTAATAGAGATGAGGCGGTCTGGTTGCCTGTCATCGTGCCAGCCCGCTGCCTCTGCGCATCTGGCCCTTGCTGGGCCGAAGGGCCGATAGTTTGCACTGATGCCGAGGCTGCTTCGTTCTTGCTTTTCCGCCAAAACATTACAGAATCGATCACGGGCTTCGGTCTATGTCTCGCCACATACCCCAACCCTGCCAACACCTTATCAAATGCAGGATCTGCCCCCACACCCACCAATGCCGTGATATCGGGTTCGGTATCTGCAGGATAAGACAGGATCTGATGAAGCTTGCGTTCCGACAGTCGAACGAACTGAGTAAACAGGATGTGCAGTGCATACTCCGCAGGAGTTTTGACATCTGTTTGACTATGCTGTCTATGGTGCAGATGTCTATGATTCGCAGCAGCGTTTCGTTGAGGCGAGGAATTGGGCGTCGAGAGCGTCGAAGGGCTTGTCAGGGTAGGGGTCGTCGGCGTAACCACGGTATCGTTATCTCGGGTTTCTGATGGCGGTAACGGGTATTGCGGCGCCATTGCTACAGAACTTCTGACTGACGAGCCATCTAGCGGAAGCGAGTGCTGCCGCTGGTGTAAACCAGTTTGTGTTTCCGATTTGTCCCTCGTGTGCACCAGCGCCGACATGGAGACTTGTCGCTCAGGCAAGCCTGGATGCTTGATATGCTTGACTCCTGGCGCAAGTCGTACATTCTGAACTGGAGCTGCTGGTGGGTGTAGCCTCTGCTCAGGGAAGTAATCTGGCCGTACCGTACTTGCGGCGGATGATATGGAACGGATCGAACCGTTCCGCCGACTGGGCGTAGCAGGCGGACTGTTCACTGTGAGAACAATATCAATACGATGAGATCAACGAGATGAATGCGCCGCATACCCATGACACAACCTCGGCGCGGCCTTAATCCGGTTCAACGACTATTGACCGGGCTATGCGAGATATATGCTACGTTGAATCACGGTAGGTGAAGGCGATACTGGTTCAGAGGCTGTATCAGACAGGCATACCCGTCCACAAGGCGATAATCCAGGTCCTTCAGGCGGTTCTTTGGCTCGTACACGTATACTGCCCTTGTATGTATGTTGCGCCAGTGCTACGCGCTGTGTCGATCCCGGGCGCAGTCGTGGCGGGTGCGCTGCCGGCAAACGTTAACGCGCGCGCGAGTGTTCCGTCCCAGCAGGCCAGGGTGAGCGCCGGTTCGGTGATGTCTGGTCCCTAGAGGCATGGAAGATGTCGTAGGCGAAGATTCGGACCGAAAGCTTACGTCGACGTCCTGGACGCGTACCATTGTACATTCCTCCGTAATCAAAATGTCGGCCTACAGCTCCGGCACAGAGGACGTAGGCGCAGCACGTCATCCGGGGAATTCCCTCTCTGCAAAAAACCTTGGGTAAAAAAGGCCATGATTCAAGGGCAACTCGTGCGTGGCGAAACTAAACTGAAAAGCCGCGGCGCAGTTCGCGATCGCTTAGCCTGCCCTGCGTAAGCGACCGTCAAAATTACCGTAAGACGAGGGCGAAGTCTTCCGGCCCAGATGTAAGCCGTTCTCGTGTCATTGGGGGTAGGAGAGGGTCTGAAAAGCTCGAGATTGATGGGCTGGAAAGGCAGTTTTCTTACAGCAAGAGAAAGGCGTCTCATAGCACTCATAACGGACTCTAATTTGAGGATTTCGCAGGTGTCGGCCGATCGCGCGCCTGCCTGCAATTACACTCGAGTAGCGCCAAAACCGGGGCGCAGTCATAACCTCTATAAACCGGTCCGTAGCAACAAGGACAAACCCTTTTTCAACTTCTCAACGCTTTCGTATCGATCTAGAGTCAGTAAACTGGACAACGGATCTGTATTCGCTTCAGTCATCAACAAGCTTGTTCGGACACGTTCATCTCTGTGCTCCGTCGACGCACCTTGATATCTCGCTGCATTCTTACAGCTACAGCTTGTGAGTTTAACAGCATATATTCGCCATGGCTGATCGCATTGAACCTGTCGATGGTTCTGAGCCTGTTCGCCAGACCAGACAACGCGCTCCTACCATTACCATTGATACGACGGTTCGTTCGCCTTCTCCTGATTGTTTTTGTGGCCAGGAGACTAATGGCTTTCACAGAACCTCGCCCCTGCAATGGAGATGTCGGAACTGAGTTCGGCTGGTGCTTCGTCACAAATTCCTCTTCTTGCTCCGCCCATCGATGGCCCTTTTATCAACGCCGTTCCCACCATTCAGGACCCAACCCACCTGTCTCCACCAGCAACCCCCACTCTCGCCCCCGGAGATGGAGGCTTTCTCGCGGTCCCCGGAAAGAATACGCCTCCCAGATCAAGATCTTCTTCTATCACGCAGTGGGAAGGCAGTACGTTCGGCGGCAGCAGCGTTTCCGAACAAACCGCCCACAATAGCCCCGTTCAGGCACAAGAACAGTATCACAAATCTTTCACCCTGGAAGAGTCACGGCAGTTGTTGGTCGACCCAGAAACGCCTACGGAAGATTCACCTTTCGCCTTCAATGCAAAGCAGCTCGGCAAGCTCATTGATCCGAAGAACCTGGATGTGTTGCGTGCCATGGGGGGGCTTGAAGGGTTGAGGAGGGGTTTGCAGACGGATCTTCAGGGTGGTTTGAGCGTCGATGAAGTTAATGTCGGAGGTCGTGTGGGCTTGGAGGAGTGCATGAAGCTCGGTGCGTCGTCTGATGTCCCAGGAGATATCGGCAATTCGCCAGCTGTCGTTGCTGCTGGAAACCCGCAAAAGTCTGCCGATGATGCTCCTAAGCGTGCACCAACCGTTCCCCATGCTGAGTTTGAGGGCGGGTACTTGGACCGTAAGAGAGCTTTCGGTATCAACCGTCTCCCCGAAAAGAAGGTTAAGAGCATCTTCGCGTTGATGTGGATGGCGTTGCAGGACAAGATTCTCATTATGTTGTCTATTGCTGCTGTTATCTCACTTGCTCTAGGTATCTACCAGACTGTCGGTACTCCGACGGAGTACATTGATGGACAACCTCAAGCCAAGGTCGAGTGGGTTGAAGGTGTTGCCATCGTTGTCGCTATTCTCATCGTTACTGTCGTCGGTGCCTTGAACGATTACCAAAAGGAACTCCAGTTCAAGAAGCTCAATGCGAAGAAGGAAGATCGTCAGATCAAGGTTATTCGCTCCGGAAAGACCGTTATGATTTCCGTCTATGATCTCATGGTCGGTGACGTTGTCCACCTGGAGCCTGGAGATATGATTCCTGTAGATGGTGTTTTCATTTCTGGACACAATTTGAAATGTGATGAATCTGCGGCAACTGGTGAATCTGACGCCATTAAGAAGCAGGGCGCGGATGATGCTATCGCCCAGACAAACCCTGGCGAGGCTTTCTCGAACAAGCACGACCCCTTCATCCTTTCCGGTTCCAAGGTCTTGGAGGGTGTTGGTACGTACGTCGTTACTGCTGTCGGTCCTAACTCCTTCCACGGAAAGACTATGATGGCTTTGCGTCAGGAGGCTGAGGACACCCCATTGCAGGTGAAGTTGAATCGTGTCGCTGAGGGTATCGCTAAGCTTGGTGGATCCGCTGCGTTGTTGCTCTTCACCGTCCTCTTCATCCGTTTCTGTGTCAACCTTCGCGGAAGTACCGAGACTGCTGACCAGAAGGGTCAGAACTTCTTGCAGATCCTCATTGTTGCCGTTACTATTGTTGTTGTCGCCGTTCCCGAAGGTCTTCCGCTTGCCGTTACGCTTGCGTTGGCATTCGCTACTACTAGGATGTTGAAGGACAACAACTTGGTCCGTCTTTTACGTGCTTGTGAGACTATGGGTAACGCGACTACTATTTGTTCCGACAAGACTGGCACGCTTACTCAAAATCGCATGACCGTTGTCGCCGGTACTGTTGGATATACTTGCCGTTTCGGCCAGAAGAGGCAGGATGTCCTTGAGGAGCAGACTGGTACTGCTGAGGAGCTCGCTGAGGAGCAGAAGGAGAGGTCTCAAACTCTCAAGGGTCTCGACGACGATGTATTGAGCATGCACACCTTCTCCGAGCAGTCTCCGGACTCTGTCAAGAATCTTCTGCGCGAGTCTATCGTTATCAATTCTACAGCTTTTGAGGGTGTGGACGAGCATGGTGAGAAGGGCTTTGTCGGTTCCAAGACCGAGACGGCTCTCCTTGGATTGGCTAGGTCTTTCCTCGGTATGGGCGACGTCGGAGAGGAGCGTGCAAATGCTCAAATCGCTCAGTTGATCCCTTTCGGCAGTGAGCGTAAGTGCATGGGTGCTGTCGTGAAGTTGCCCAAGGGCGGCTACAGAATGTATGTTAAGGGTGCTTCTGAGATCTTGTTGCGTCAATGCACGAAGATCATCCAGGACCCTCTTACCGACAATGGTTCCCTTACCACTAGTGAGCTTAATCAGGAGATCGAGGAGACTTTGCAGGAGACCATCATGCACTACGCTAACCGCTCTCTCCGTACCATTGGTTTGGTGTACCGGGACTTCGAGCAGTGGCCTCCTAAAGACGCCAGGACTGCCCAGGATGACCCGTCTCAGGCCGAGTTTGCTGACGTGTTCAAGGACATGACGTTCATCTGTGTCGTTGGTATCATGGATCCTCTGCGTCCTGGTGTTGCTCAGGCCGTCATCGACTGTCAGAAGGCCGGTGTTTTCGTTCGCATGGTTACTGGTGACAACGTCGCTACTGCTCGCGCTATTGCTACCGAGTGTGGTATTTACACTGCCGGCGGTCTCGTTATGGAAGGTCCTAAGTTCCGTGCCTTGCCTCAGCATGTAATGGATCAGGTTATCCCCAGGTTGCAGGTTCTTGCGCGTTCCAGTCCGGAGGATAAACAGTTGCTCGTCAAGCGTCTTAAGGAGCTTGGCGAGACTGTTGCTGTCACTGGTGACGGTACGAACGATGGCCCTGCTTTGAAGATGGCCGATGTTGGTTTCTCCATGGGAATTGCTGGTACTGAAGTCGCCAAGGAGGCTTCTGCCATCATTCTAATGGACGACAACTTCGCTTCTATTGTCCGTGCGATTCTCTGGGGTCGTTGTGTCAACGATGCTGTCAAGAAGTTTTTGCAGTTCCAGTTAACTGTCAACATTACCGCTGTCTTGCTTACTTTCGTCTCCGCTGTTGCCAGTTCTGAGGGTGACTCTGTCTTGACCGCCGTTCAGCTTCTTTGGGTTAACTTGATTATGGATACCTTCGCTGCCTTGGCTCTGGCTACTGATCCTCCAGCAGATGAGATGCTCGATCGCCACCCTGACCCGAAGTCCGCTTCCCTCATTTCCTTTGATATGTGGAAGATGATCATTGGACAGGCGATCTACCAGCTTGCTGTCACGTACGTCTTGCACTTCCGTGGTAACGAGATTCTCGGTCATCAGACAGGCAACCGCCACCAGGACCGTCAGATGGACACCATTGTCTTCAACACGTTCGTCTGGATGCAGATCTTCAACATGTTTAACAACCGTCGTTTGGACAGGAAGTTGAATATCTTTATTGGTATCTTCAAGAACTGGTGGTTCGCTGCCATTGCGGCCATCATGATTGGAGGTCAGGTTCTGATTGTCTACGTCGGAGGTGCCGCTTTCTCCGTTGAGCGTATCACTCCCGGACAGTGGGGTCTTTGTATCATTCTTGGTCTTATCTCCATCCCTATTGGTGCGCTCGTCCGTCTCATCCCGAACGATCTCTTGCGCAAGGTTCTTCCTCTTGGACTTATTGCTCGCATGGAAAGGGCTTTGGGTATGGGAAAGAACAAGAACGCTTTCACGTCTGACAACGGCAGTGAAGTTGAATGGAACCCGGCCATCGACTCCGTCAGAGACGAGCTTTCCGTCATGAAGAGGTTGCGCGGTAAGAAGCGTCTTGGTGGTATTGGTGAGAAGAGGAGTCTTCGCTCCTTCTTCGGTAAGCACGAGGCGGACTTACCTGATGAGCAACAGCAAATGGAACAGCACACCACCCCGGATGCTGCTGGTGCTATGGACCACCCTGGACCATACCCCACCGGTGGCTTTTCTGGTCGTCAGCGTGCGACCAGGTCAAGGTCAAACTCTGCTTTCACTGCGGCGGCCTTGGTTCCCAGTCTTATCGCGTCTTCCATCGGTGCAGGATGGACTCCAGCGGGTGAGCGGGGAGAGCCTACGAAGGGTTACGCGAACGTTGATGTCGCTACACTCGAGGGAGTTGAGCAGCACCCGGACACGGATCCTCAAAATCCTATGCCGTGGTCTGTGCCGCCCAGCCCCCGTCCGCACTCGAGATCAAGGAGTAACAGTGATATCTCTACTCCGGGACCACATCACGTCTAGGCGTGAAACGTAGATATTTTTCTTTTACTTTCGCAATTGGATTAATCGAGCGCTCCTGTTAGGGAGCGTCGAACACATGGCGCTTACATCATTTCTGTCTTTCATTCATTTATGTTTTTTCAGATCTTTGTGAGTTCCGTATTCAAATATGGCCGTGTGACGGCTTCCAAAATAACACCGCGTGCTTGACGCTGTGAACGTTAGGATCCTCCTGCACTGTATCCATTACCAAGCCCGATATTCTACGAACGGACCTCACCGTAGACCGACAGAACGTATTTGTCACGATGAATTGAACAATTAACCGTGTAAGTTCGTAGTTAGCTATGCGTCAGTGCCATTCTCACGCGATAGAGATTCTGGAAATAGCAGCTCAAGCACATTGTCGATGATTACGCCCACTAAATGAACATTGACATGGTAGTTCTGATAGGAAACATTAGTGTGAGGCACGACGAGCGAGTGGGAAACCTTAACCTGAAATGAAGAAAACAACCGACGGGCACCATGCACGGCGTTCTTCGAACCCACAATGCCACCCATCAACTCGGGCAAGGCCACAGCGACGAATACACTCGCCATGAGCCGTGACTCCCTCTTATCCTCCGCAGATCGCTCGGAGTCCTTCTCTGACTTTTTCAACTGCCCACCCGGCCACATACTGTCCCTCACAGTCTCCAGCACCGACAATATCGCCGTCTCATTCGCCGCGTCACCGGCTGAATCACGGACTTTTCTGTTAGCATCGAATCAGCCTATAATTGAAGTAACTCAAAATGTGAGAGGCCAACCGTTCAATGGCACCACCAAGGAATTCTGATAGGATGATAGCGAATGCACGTTCACGGATCCAGTTACTGCCTTTGCGCAGTTGGAAGGTTTCTAGGAAAAGGTTGCAAATGGGTTCGGTGAAGGGGGTTAGATGCTCTTCCAAGATATGTACGTCGGGGATTTCATCTAGTACGTCTCGCTCTGAGTCAACTGGGCTGGTGGCACCACTGAGGAAGTCGGCGAGATCCTGGCTGTTTACGACTTCTGGTATGCGAACGAGTGCCTGAAATATCGTCAGCATAACTTTGATAGAAGGAATATTAAGGGCACTCACCTGCAGATACCGCTCCAAAGCCCTCCTCCGACTCTCCAAGAAGCTCTTCTGCAACTTCAACACAACCTGCAACCTCTTCCCTGGCAAACTCAACTTCTTCACCGTCGGAAACTGCAACCTGAGTCGATTATGTAACAACACAAACTCGCTGTACCGTCGGGAGACTTCGGTGGTGACTTGGAGTGCCAAGTCGTGGTTTTGGATGAGGTACTTGGCAACAGATTCGCCGTTTTCAGCGTGGACTGTGCAGGAGAGGATTCGGACTGTCGAGGATTGGTCGCGGTCGTGGGTTACCGTGGTTTCCGTGTTATTCGTTCCATCAGATTCGAGACTGGCTGTATCGGATATTGTCGACGCCGCAAGACGATCATACTCCCCTGACGACTTGGCAGAAAAGTCAAACCTCGAAGACGCACGCGGAGAACTCACCCCAGGCAAGGGATGCCGATCCCTCCTGATCAACGACTGATTATCGTCAATAAGGTCAAGTAGTGCCTCCTCCACAGCCGCAACAATCTCATTCTCTCCAAAAGTGCTTCCAGAGCGCGGTAATGCCGGCATCACACCCCCACCTCCATTCCCACTCTCGATCGTGGGTGTCCCATGTGCCGCAGATTTTGCGAAAGCGTCTGTACGCTGGAAGGCAGGGAAATCATTCTCCTCCATCATCTCCACAACTTGCTGTTGTAACTTCAGAATCTCAGCTCGGGCGAGTGCATACACCCCAGGTGTGGGCGCCGCCAAAGACTGTCCAACAACCTTCTTCATCTCCTTAGGAATAATACTCCCCAGAGGCCGCATCAAAGCTTCGACTTGCCTTATGTCCTCTAAATCAGAATCAGAGTATTCCATTTCGCCCACGGTGAATATTCCATCATTCTCTAACGGGTGTTTCTCGATCAAGATGTCGACGGTGAGGTAGAAATCGAGAAGGTGACTCTTCCCCCTCTTCTCCATAAACTCCACAAACCCCATCATAAATTCCGGTGACTTGAGCAACATAGCCAAATCGTGCTTATCTACCTTCACCCGCGGCTTATCGTTCGCCGCTTTTGGCCTCGACGTCGGCGGATGTTGCTCACGGTCTTCGTGTTTATCCAACGCTTTCCGAAGTTTCTTGATGCTCTTCCGATCCCGTAATGATTGCCCAACGACACGCTCAATCGTCTGGTTCCAGTAATCCGGATCAGCAAGCATATCCACGATCGGTGTCAACACCGAACACGCCAAGATTTCCCTGACGAGGATATGCACAACCTTACTCTTCCGCTCATTCGGCGGCAGAAGGATGGGAAGTAACTTCTCTACCTTACTTCGTAGCCAGTCTTGTTGCCCGACTCTCCGTCCACTCGCGATCGTCCCTAATGCAGCTTCATGTAACCGTCCAGGACGGTACTTCCTCGCGATGGCTTTATCAAGCTCATCAGACTCCGTCAACGCTTTCCCTCGACTTTGACCACGTACGGCGTTTTCAGCAATTGTGAAGTCACGGAGATGATCCGTAAGGATTGGGAACAGCTTGCGGACCACGAAGCCGACCAAATCGACAGTTGTGATCTGTCTGATGAGAAGGGTGACGACGAACCGCATGGCATTTTTCGCGGCGGTAGGGAAGAGGGGGTTGGGTGCTATTCGATTAGCCCATGACTCTACAAAATCTCGAATGACAAGATCTAAGAACGTCTCAACCGAACTTGAAACGGCCGGCGATTGAGGGTACACATGGTACGGCGGTCTCCTATCCCCCTCCGCAGCCCTCTTCTCAGCCAACCTCGCTTCCCAAATATCCGGCCGCGTAAACACAAACGGCCTGGTATTCCTGAGCGGTTCCGGTCGCCTCCGTTCATAATGCTCTCGGCATACATAACCAAAGATCGCGATGGCTGCAATGGACGTAGTGACAATGCTGATGACCGTCCCGACCACCCAGCGGATTAAGGGGTGGCCTAGTACGATGCCGACTGCGACTGCGGCAGCGACGGCCAGAAGCGCTGAGTTGACAGAGACGGAGGATTTCATTGATTACGCGACGGCATCTCGAATGGTACACCCCTTTATTTGTGAAGCTGTTTGGTGTTGTACGTCGCGACGTCTCTGGGTGTCTGCAGGAACGCGCTCCCGGGATCGATGCTCCCCATACCCTCCCAACTGCCCACTCCTCCAATGTCTCCAGATCAATTCAATCCTCCAGCCTTCTATAACAAGCGACAAACTTCTCCCCCCCATTCCGTCCCACCTTCTTTCCCTCCTCCGTGGCCTCACTCATAATCCTCACACAAACATCCTCTGCCTCCTCCTCCTTCGTCAACCTCTGGAACGAGGGATGCGCATGCAAATGCTTCACCATCCAATCATGTAAATCCCGGACATCGGTGATGGTGTAGATGATTCCGCCCGGGCGGAGGACGTAGGCGTATTCGGCGCTGAGGGTGGAAGTGATGATTCGGGCCTTGTGTTTGCGGGATTTGAAGTGGGGGTCGGGGAAGCAGAAGAACATCTTGCTTAACTGTCGCATTTCCTTGTCAGCAGAAGCGCATCATCCGATAGTACTGGGACCCCATACCTGTCCCTTCACGAAAAAGTTCGGCAAGAACTTCATCGCATTCCCTCGTAGCACAGCAATGTTATTGTAACCGCCCGTCTCCTTATGCTGCTTTCTCAGCGCCAGAATCTTCTCATGCACATACTGCGTAACCTGTACTCGGATCTCCATTCCTACCCAACCCACCGTTAGCCCAATCCCTTTCTTCATCTTCTTCCCCAAACAAGGACGACATACCAAGCATCAACTTATCCGGAAACTCAGGCGCAAGCTCCATCAACAGCCCACCGTACCCACACCCGATATCAGCGACCTCGACCTGTCTCTGCGGGCCCTCGGCTGGTGCAGGGAAGTATGCTGGGTAGAGGGGTGACCAGTCCATATCTGCTGGACTTGCCGGGCTGTACGATCATCGTTAGCCACAAGTGTCGAATAAAGTGAAGAAGATGGTCGTACTATTCGAGATCATGGTCTGAGAATGGGTTGGCGTGCGCTCTCTGTCTGAAGAACTTTTTCTATACCACCACCACCATTAGCCCTGGTTCCCACTCAAGCACACTCAAAGACAAACCTGCGGCAGCTGAACAACCTCCTCCACCTCCTCCGCGGTGCGCTTAGCCGTTTCCGATGCCATTTCGATAACTTTTGGATCGCGAACTGTTACACAGTTAAAGTTCGTACGACCTCCAAATATGTGTGGCTGAGTGTGGCGGAGCTGCCTAGGATGCGGTCACCGTGAACCGTGAGGGACTGAGCGTTAATTAACTTACAAGTTATTGATTTTCTCTTCCTTTCAAGATGCCGCAACAGACGAGACAGTCGAATGTCGAGGGCGCGAGTGCGACGAGTGGTGCGGATCAGGCAGCTGCTGTCGCGGCTGGGTTCCCTGTTGCGACGAGTGACTGGACGACTGATCCGCGTGTCTCGTTTTCGAAGGTGACGGGGAAGTGGACGTTTGAGGCGGATGATGGGATTGAGTACGAGCACGATGGCGAGAAGCGTGCATGGATGCCTGTGGTACGTATACCCCTCACGGCATCCCCGTTTCCTCTCCTGATAATGACCAGGCCGACGAATCCCTCATCGAAGCCCAGCAGAAGGCGTACAAAGTCGAAGGCGTAGATGAATCCGCGACACCGAAGCCCAACAAAAAGAAGCGAAAAACCTACACCGGCGAAGACCCAACGGACACTCCTAACAAAGCCTCCAAAGCAAGCGCAAAAGACACTCCTCAACAACCCCGCAAGAATGCCGCGGTATACATCACTGGTCTCCCGTTTGACGTGACGGTAGATGAGTTGAAAGAGACTTTTACGCGGTGTGGTGTTATCGCGGAGGATTTGGATACGGGAGAACCTAGGATAAAACTGTATACAGATGAGCAGGGCCAGCCGAAAGGCGACGCCCTCGTCGTTTACTTCCGGGAGGAATCCGTTGCGCTGGCAGAACAGTTGTTGGATGACGCAGAACTCCGGCTCGGGGACTCCGGAACGCGAATGCGTGTCCAAAAGGCAGAGTACAACTACAAGAAAGAGGTGACGGAGAGTACTGGTGAGCAATCGGCGACGAAGAAGCGGTCGGTGCAGGAGAAGAAGAGGATACAAGCGAAATATCAAAAGCTGAATAATAAGTTGGCGGATTGGGATGAGGACGACTTGCCAGAGGTTAGTACGACGGTGAGGTGGGCGAAGGTGGTTATTTTGAAGCACATGTTCACCTTGAAAGAGGTAAGTCCAAATGTCCATGGTGTGCCACACGTGCTGACGACTTTCGGACAGCTCGAAGAAGACCCCGCCCTAATGCTTGAACTGAAAGAAGAAATCCGGGACGAATGTTCAAAACTCGGCCCCGTAACCAACGTAATCCTCTACGATGAAGAACCCGAAGGCGTAGTCTCCGTTCGATTTTCCGACGAAGAAGCCGCACGGGCGTGTGTGAAGGCCATGAATGGACGGTGGTTTGGCGGGGCACAGGTTGAGGCGATGATTTATGATGGGCAGATCCGGTATCGGAAGAGTGGAAACAAGGAGGCCGAGGAGGGTGTGGAGAGGTTTGGAGAGTGGTTGGAGGCGGCGGACGCATAGGAGTGGGGTATGTTCCAGGTATTGCACGCAATCTTAGCGATATCTGCTCAATCGCTCTCATCTCCTGACTCCTCGTCGTCCTGTTCTCGATCGCTTTTTGGCTCCATCTCGTCTTCGCGCTCTGGTGGCTCCGTAGTATCCTCCTCCGCTTCCACAACATCCTCATCATCAACATCCGTCTCGTCACCCTTCTCGCCTGCCTCCTCCGCTCCCATATCATCATCAACCTCCATTTCATCCTCCGCAGGCACCACCTGTCCATCCACACCTCTGACCTTTTTCATCGCCGGCGCGTCACCACTCTGTTGTTCCGGCGGTACCATCAACCCCGCCTCGACGATTGATTTTCGTGAGTTCGCCGTCCGCTTATCGCGTGTCGCTTGTTGGTACTCGTCAAGGTGCTTTTCTAGCTCTGTGCTGAACTCGGGGAGTTCCATGATTTCAAGGGCTTTGAGGACGTCTTGGGGGCTGATAACTTTTTTTCCGGCGTTTCTTGTCAAGTCGTTTGCTCTGTAAGTCCGGGTCAGCCTTCATATTGCATGAATGTGGAAGGAGTCATAGAGGACTTGCGTTGCAGCGAGATAGTTGACGAACGCGGTAGCGGCTTTGGTCATGGCAAGTACGGAGTCTTTCTGGACGTTTGTGCCTTCGGACATGACACCTTTTGCTAATCTTGTAACCACACTTCTTGGTAGTGATAGATCCTGAGAGAAGCGTGTTAGCATGGATCGGCCTTAGCTACGGCGAGTCTACTACATACCTCAATGGTAAGTTTCTCATTCCCTCCCTTCTCTGCCGGCACTGGCGATGCGATCTGGTTGATATCGGCCATAATTGACTGTTCTTGTTTTACCGGTGTTGTTTTTGGCCTTGAACTTCGGAGAACGCGTCGGTACCCTGCAGATGCACGCGTCCTTAATTTACGTCGTATGAGGTAACAAATAGGAAAACTCGCGTGGACTTTGTAGGGTATCCTTGAATTGTAATATGCTTTCTAAAACTCCGAAACGCCTGTAGACGCGTCCTGTATCGTAGATCACCGCGTATGCTATGCCATTGTCCAACTGGTCTTTCAGTAACCTCCCCATAAATTCGCGAATGGATCATCATCCGCATTCGCATGATCTTGCTTCCTCTCCTTCATCGGTGTTTCTTTCAAGGCCAGTGACTGCGGTATAGGCGACTCGGGAACTCCCAACGCATCCACAAACAACCTCTTCTGCACCGGCGTTCCCAATATCCTGCTGTCCACAGGGCTAGCCGCTACCATATCCAGCGTGCGCGGCTTCACAGGTGTAGCAAAGTTATCATGAACCCTCTGAGACCGATTGCTTTTCGTCGGTGAGGGTGAGGAGATGACTGCCGGTGATGGAAGAGTCATGGGAACCGGAGGCGCCGTTACCGTCCGCTTTACCCTTGGCGTTTCCGAAACCTGAACATTCCTCCTTGGCTCAGGTGCGATTCTCGTTGTCTGTGCCGGTTTCTTCTTGTTGATGCGTGCTTGAGGCCCGTTGCCGGCTGCCGTAGCTGCTGCCATCTTGGATCTGAGACTGTTGCCCGCCCCGAATCGTCCGCCATCATCCTTCTTGCTCTCTTTGCCATCCTTGTCCTTAAAAGCGAACTCGACCTCCCGGTTCTGAAACTTCTTTGAGGATTGCACTCCGCCTCGTGAAACACTGAGCAATCGCTCAAGACTGGGTACGCCGATCTTTTCTCTTTCTTTCTCAGGCAACAAAGGATTCATGGCACCTGCAGCAGCTGGCGCGGTGCTCGACCTACTCAGTGAAGGTATATTTGGCTTCCCATCCAGAATACGCCTGGGATTCTCCGGTTTCCGAGGCCGCTTGGGTCGAAGTATTTCCGGTGACGTTACTTGAGGTGCTGGCTGCTGAACAGTCTCGTGGCCGCCACATTTCTCGTACAGGCGTGCACACTTCTCAGGTAGCCGTGACGAATAAAACGGCATGATGATCTGTGTGCAGAACTGGCGGACCTCGTCTTTGTCTCCTTCCTTGGTGGTAGTGGTGTCATCGTCATCGAACATGGAAAAGATGTCCTTTCCACCTCCAAGCATTTGAGACATGATCAGTCGATCCACCAGCAGATTCAGTCGTATCTCGAACTCGTCCGCTTCGGCTGCCTTCTTTGTCTTCTTCCGCTTCTTGGGTGGTTCCGAATCATTTCTCTCTAACGCCTCGTCGCTGTCCTTCGGTCGCAAAGCCAGCAGTTCAAGCAGCAAGATAATCTGCAACTGCGTCTCGCGAGTTTTCAAGGCGTCAACCCCCTTGTTTAGTGCCGCAAGGTTGACGTTTACCGCTGGGTTCTCCGCTCGCCAAGAAGCTGTCCATCTCGCGACATAAGCCAGTTCGGTTTCACTGAGAGCGTGCGGACCATCCACATCCGCATCCTCTTCGTTGCTCTTCGCAAGCGTCTCCATCAACTTCGGCAAAGACTCCTTCCTGTACTTCGCCTCCAGCTGTGTGATCGACAGCGTGTACTCCTTCAGAAATGCGACAAATCGATCAACACCCGGAGCCCCGGGAGGACCCATCATCACATCTTCGGACAACCTCGTAAAGAACACTCGTGCACGTGATAATGTTGTCTTTGCGAAATACGCAAGCGAAGCCTTTGACATGTATAGCGCTTCCAGGTATTGCGTCTCGACCTGCTTGAGCATATCCTCCGGTGCCATAGGCGTAATAGGCATGTGAGATATCAATACCGAGCGCGAGATGTCTGGCCGTTGGAGAACCGGCTCTGAAGGTTCCCTGGGTATATCTTGAATCAGGATACCCACCGGAGAGATATCCGATTTAGGTTTATGATGGTGATGCGTAGCGATGCACTGCATCCACCAATCCTCGTCGTCAGCAATTGAGAAGACACTCTGCCCACCTCCGACAAACGCGACGTCCTCCTCGTCCGCGGCTTTCCGCAGCGCGTCTGTGACATCATTCTCGCCAAGGTCCGGTCTGCACCACTGAAAGGCATATAACCCCTCATCTACCTTTTCCACAACGCCATATCTCTTCCCCGTTGCGCTGTTGATGGCGGCAATGAGGACGTAATCGTATGACGCGAGTGCCGGAAGTTGCGCAGTGAAGAGCTGAGGCGACTCTGCAGAAACCCTGTCTATGCTAAGGTATGCACGGTTGACAACTCCCACTGGCTCAATCGTGATCGCAGCATTCAGCCCAGGCGATGCCAAGGGTCCCTGTACAAAGTCTTGAGCCTCGCTTCCGTAGAAAAGTCTCGAGCGATGTACCTGTATAATAAACGCCGATAACCCGCACGCATTCGCAGTTAGTCTTTCATGTCTGTTGTCTATGTCCATCGGCGAATATCATCTTGACAAGCGTCGTAGGAGGTCTGTTTGCGGTGCTTTGTGTTGGGTTGTACGTGAAGTGTTTATATACCAGGTGTGCCTAAATCAGGGCGTGCAGGAGACCGGCTTCGAGAAGGAAGGTAGGAATATGAGGATTTGGGTTTGAACTTGGCCTGGATAAGGGATATATTCCTCCCCAACACCTACTAATCGTCATCCTAGGCCTGCTCTTTGTGGACGGAATAAACCGTCTTACTCTCATACCTTTCGCCCTTCTTCAACGCGACCATTCCCCTCCACCCCTCCACATTGCCCGCGTTCACCCACCTAGCAGCCTCCAAACACACACCCGCCCTCTTCCGCCAACCCGCCTCCTCGAAATCCACACCGTCGCCCGTATAGAATTGGCAACTCGGCTCCGTGGTGGCCACGGACAAAGTAAGGTGCGTGGCGGGGTGCGTGAGGGTCGCGAATGTTTGGAGGGGGGTGGAGAGGGTGGAGATAGTTGTGGGTGGGGTGGTGATGAGGACGAAACAGTGGTCGACTGCGGGTTCATCTGGACCCAGTGTGAACTTTTCGGGCGTACCGGAGGAGGTGAGGGGGATCTTTGGGTGGGATTCGATCTTGCCGGTAGGGATGAGGGATTCATCAGTTGCGAGGTGACTGTGGAGATTGTTAGCTTTCAATCCATTAGAAACCAGGCATAAGGTCTCGACCTAGCAGTGTTGAGAACAACTTCCGTCCCCTCGATCGTGGGCCCGCCCGAGATATTCCAGTATGAGTGGTTTGTCAAGTTGACGATGGTCTCATTACTTCCACCGACGAGCTCAGCTTCGTATTCGACACCGAGCTCGACCACTGTCTGACCAGCCTTCTGGGCTTCCTCCAAGCTGTAGATAACCTTTACCTCGAGATCACCAGGGTACCCTTCCTCCATGTGCGCACTCTTACAGCTAAAGACGGCAACCTCTCTGCCATGCCTCGTCTCAATCGCGGGTCCATCCCAGATCTTTTGATGGAACCCACCCGGACCACCATGCAATGAATGGGGCTTCTCATTTGCATCGAGCTCATAGGTCTTCCCACCAAGCTCAAACCTCGCGTTCGCAACTCGGTTCGCAACACGACCAATCGTTGCGCCAAAGTAGGGATTCTTGTCAGAGCGATAGTGCTCTGGAGAAGAGTATGAGGCAACGATATTTTGACCAGCGATGTTGAAGGCGGTGATGGTGGCACCGTAGTTGGAGATGGAGATCGAGCCAAGACCGGAGGGGGTGGCGAGGATGTGGAGTTTGTTGGACGGGTCTTTGCTGTCCCAGTTGGTCAATGTTTCTACCTTCATGATTGGCCGTATAGATCACGGGTATGGATGGTAGAGAGGGTGATCTCTTTGTAGAGATGGACTGGGCTCAGTCATCACTCAGACTGCGGGGTGCCGGGGAAGGCCTGCACGTCAACCCGAGGAAGGCCAGCAACCCCAAGAACCCCCTCGACAATCCATAGAGCAGAAAATGTCGGTATCGCCGGCATACCTCAACAACGCCCTCGCAGCACGAGGACTGCTACGCGATGGTCCACTCGATTTCAGCAGCCAGTCGCAATGCATCGACATCATCCACACCCTCCTCCAGAAACGCGACCGCGAATTCGAAGCCAAAGAAGCCCTGGCAGAGAAATTCGCTCGTCTATCACGGGAAGTAGAAACTCAAACCATCGCCGCAGAACGTCTCCGCACCCGCTGCGAGAATGCAGAACGACAAATTGATGTTCTTAAGGGCCAACTCGGTTCCGCGAACGCGCAGCTCCGACAACATCAATCCGAGATGAAGGGATTGAAAGATACGCTGCAACGACAGAAGCTGGCTACGGAACATCTCAAGTCGCAGTTTTCTACTGATTTGAGGAAGAAAGAGAAGGAGATGTCAAGGTTGAAGGAGCGGATTGCGGATCCGGCCATCACGCGTCGGACAAATCGACCAACACCGACTATCTCCATTGCGGGATACGGAACTGGACATGCGTCCCCATTGGGCGAGGAGGAGGATAAGAAAGCAAAGGAATTCATTACGGAGGATAGTTGGCGGTCGTTGACCGAGACGGTACAAGCTCAGTTTGACGAAAACGCTCGCCTGACCTACCTTCTCCAAACAATCATCTCGACACTCGGACAACTAACCACACCCTCTGCCGAGTCTGCACCTTCCTCTGACGGGCTGGTAAACATCAAGCCAGGTTCAGCAGAGGACCTTACCTCCGAGCTCCAGAACAAACTCGACGCACTTGAGGCCATCCTTCATGATCCCAACTTTGTGCCTTTGGAGGATGTCCTCTTGAAAGAACAGCAGAATGAGCAACTGCGAACAAAGGTGAAGCATCTCGAGGAGGATGTAACGCATGCGAGATTATTGGCAGAGGAGTGGAGACTACTGAGTGAGAAGAACAAACAGGGGTGGACAACTGAATCTGCAGCCACTCCTGCTCCAGTCCCTCCAATTGCAAAACCCAAGAAGGAAGAAGTACCAATGCAAACACCGCTCAAACAGGTCGCCGATAGCATGGCGCAAGACATGGAACTGCAAGTCGCCCTCAAAGACGAACAGCCTACCCGCAAGCTAAAACGCATCGCCACCCCTCGTCCTGTGCGAGAAATCCTCTCCGGCGAAGATACCTCACACTCCTCCCTCGAGACCACGCCAGCGGTTTCGAAGCAAGAGTTATTGGCGAGAGGAGATATCACGTTGACGCCCCGGAGAGCGGCGACGCCGAAGGTTGATTTAGTGGAGAAGATGAGGGAGATGGAGCTCAGAAAAGAGAGGGAGGAGAGAATGGACACACCGACGAGGACGGCGGTCGTGGATAGGGAATTGGAGGAGGCATTGGGGTTGCGGGCACCGATCACCACCCCACCCGTTTCAGACGAGATGGAGCTTTGAAACGTGAGAAGTCAAGACTCAAGGGAACTGCTTTAAGACGCCTTTACTTAATCGATAATCCTAAACACAAATGCAGCCGTTAAGTCCTTATGCTTTCTTATGCCAGCTTCTGTACTCCTCCGTATACTTGCGCGCGTGCCGGCAACACAACCCCTTCGTACGAAAGCCACTCCACATACTAAGCGATGAACCTAAGCTTTCGCGAAGCTTTCGACCGAGCTTGAGCCCTGGGAGTTCTTTTCATTTCTCATCGTTTGCCAAGAGCAATCCTTTACGTGGCAGTCGAGCAGCGGGTCTGCTTGGAGTTTCTTTGATCGGGTAGAGCCTTGACGGTTAAGCCCTTTGTACATTTCAGGTTTATTGCGTTTCATAAAGACTCGAGGAGGTAAACGCGACTTCGACGACTCCTGGGCTGTGACTTCTTTGAGAAAGACGATTCTCGACAATTGCGAGATGTCGGCACAAATCACTGGTCTCGGGATTACAGCTCCCGTGTTGGAACGCTCCCTTTCTACCAACGACGTCAACATCTCTCGTCCCTCCACGATGGAGCGCAAAGCCGCTGCACGACGGACGGCATCAACTGATTTTGGTTTCGGGTTCGCTGTACGGAATCTCGACGTTCACCCGCATGGAATGACCCCGAGGATTATACTGGAGGGCGAGAAGGAGGACGTTGAGCGGCAACAGTTACCGACACCAGTAGGGAGTCCGAGGTTCGGTGCAGCATTGGGCGCGGGAGATATGAGCTTGGGGGAGGATATGTTTGAGTTTGAGGAGGTGTTGGAGAAATCGAGTCCACCGAAGCCTGCACCACTGCAAATCCACGTGCCATACAACGGGATGGAGAGGAAAGTGTTGGCGGAGGGGATCGCGGATAGGGTATTGGGCCCTGTATCACCCTCCATGCTGGGTGCGAATGGAAGGAGCCCTGCAACCGAGTTGGCCACGTTGTTGAGTGGTGGGTGGGAGATGGGAAGTCCCCTTCCGCCCACGCCGAGTTTGACGGCGGATACGCAGTCGCAGCATACATCCCTCGCCATGCTCGAGGATGAACTGCGCATCGTTTCGACGGACCTTGCGAAAGCATTCAGGAGGGAATTGGAGTTGGAGGATGTGATTACTGAGTTGCAAGATGAGCTTGCAGCTGTAAAGGAGAAGGAGACGGAAGATAGGTTCAGTATGGTTTCTCAGGCGAATGGGATGATTACGCCACTTTCTACGCCGACGAAGAGGAGGGTTTCGAGGGCTAGTGATTTGAGTGCGTTGGAGCAGGCTGTTGAACAAGTTGCGGGTGGCATGGATTTGGACGAGCTCAAGATCGCGTTGGAGGAGGAGCGAGAGAAGTGTGCGAGGTTGGAGGAGACGGTGAGGGAGTTGAAGGAGTTGCTGTATCAGAGGGAAGAGAAGAGAAATTCGTTGAAGCAGGATTTGGAGCACACAGTCATGGAACGCGACCACTTCCGACGATCGATCATCCCGATGCTCGAGGAGGAACTCGAGCGTGTTCAAGTCGAAGCTTGGGATCTGGAAAAATCTAACGATGCTATGGAGATTGGACTCCGTCAAGCACGCGTCGAGGCCGCTGAAGCCGTCATTGCAAAGGACAAGATGGCAAAAGAGCTCGACGCAATTCGCAATGCAACCCCGGAGACACTTACAGCGGAGCTCAAGGACCTTCGCGATGAGAACTTCCGGTTGAGACACGATAACATTTCACTAGCTGCTTCCGACGAACGGGGTGAACGCGGTGATGAGTCGTTCATGACTGCGTCTGAGGAGGCACCTGAAGTACAGGACCGCGTCAAGGAGGTCGAGGAACAGCGTGATGCTCTTCAGCAGGCTTTGCGTGGGTTGAAGGAGAGACATCAATTGGAGGTTCAGCGGTCTGCTGAAAAGATTCGCGCCCTGGAGATAGACAGGGAGAAGTTCGCGACGCTTCGTGCGGGGCCTGGAGCTGTGCACCCAAGTAAAGTGTGGACGGTTGATCGTGAGATGGGCCGTTTAAGGGAAGAGTTGGCTGCTGCCCACCGCCGTGCACACGGCGCTGTTAAGGCAAAGACCGAGATGGAAGAGAAGCTCGCGAAGACTGCATCCAATTTGGAAGCTTCGCGCAAACAAAACCAGCTCTTCCAGAAACAGCTCGATAAGCACGAACAACTCCGCCACAACCTCTCTCTAGACCTCGATGAGCGATACCAGCAATTCATGACCGCACAAGCCGATGCCGAGAAAGCCATCGAGTCGCTTACGATGCGTTGTCTCGCTGCCGAGCGTGACGCCGAGGCCTCCAAGTTTGAGGCACAGACCTACAAGAGCAAGTGGCAGAGTCTTGCAGATCAGGAGAAGACTAGGATTGAAGAGGAGCACGAGATGGCTGTACAACTCAGTAACGCCGCCAAGGATGTGCAGAAGCATCTCGAGGTGAACCACACCCTGCATCAGCGTCTTGCGGAGTCTGTTACGAGAGCTGAGAAGGAGCAGGAGCAGGCCAAGGCACGCTACGGTACTCTTCGTGAGAACCTCGCCTTGGTCGAGTCCGAGCTCGCGCAGGTCAAGGCCGAGACTGCGATGGAGATGAGAAGGCGTGAGGGCGAACTCGAGCAAGTTAAGGAAGGACACAAGAATAACTTGATGATGATCAAGTCCGCAATGCACATCACCAGTCCGGGTGTTTCCGCATCTCCGTTGTTGACACCTCTTTCGCCACTCCTGAAGTCACCTCGTCTTTCGTGGTCTGCGGCGTCTCGTGGCCCACTCTCGGCATTTCCTGTCGGTACTTCTCAAGTCGAGGTCCTCGAGGGCCACGTCAAGGAACTGGAGGATGCGTTGAAGGAAGCTGAGACGGAGTGTTTGGGTGTCATCGAGAGAATGCAGATGGCACAAATCGAGATTATCGAGCTCGTTGGCGAGAGAGATGAGGCGAGACGGAAGTTGAGGACCTTGGAGACGAAAATGAGGATTGGTATTTAAGATATGATATAGTGGGCATTTTTAGCGTTTATGGAGTTTTTGTGGTTTTGGCATAGTTCTGCGATATAGGTATACCCGCTTTGATTTATACAGATGATGTTAGGAGAACTCTTCAATCTACAGCTTTGCTACGGCTTCTTTGTACTGCTCCGACATGACCTTGCTTCTCTTCTGGTTCATGTCTGTATCCCACTCCTTCCGCCATTCAGCAACTGCTTTCGTCAGAAATTCGGCAATGACTTCTGCTGTTTCGACAGGCTTCTCCTGTGGGACGAGATGACCAGCGTCCTTGATCCACGCAAACTCAGCCCCTGGTGTTGCATCACGCTTCGCCTTCACTCCCTTCTCTGTGTTGATATGCGATTTCTCGCCGAGAAGATACATCACCGGAAGATCACCGAGGCCTCCTAGCTTCTTGAATACATCGACAGCTTCGGGACGACCTGGCGGGTTTGGCGGGGCATGACGCAAGAACGACCACACCTCCTGATCCTTTGTCGTCGTCAACGTCACGCCTTTCTTGTCGGGATAAGTAGGCGTCGGTAACTCCCTCAACCCAAACTGCATATGCAACTCCAACACCCTCGGATCCCAGCTCTGATAGAAGGGCTTGCTCTTAAAGTACGCCCTAGCCTCGTCCATACTCGACCAAATATCACGACGACGGATACTGGCTTTAGCGGGAGCGTGACCAGCTGTTAGTCCGGGTTCGATGATGGGGTCGATTCCGACGATGGCAGTGAAGAGACGTGGGTGCATGATTGCTGAATGGAAGATTTGATTGCCGCCCATGGAGTGGCCGAGGCCGAGTAGGGGGCCTGAGGTGTGAGCAGGAGTGAGTTCGTGGGTTTGAATGAGGTGGAGGATGTCACGGGCATGATCCGTCCAGCAGACTAGGTGGTGACTTTCGATTAGCTTCATGAAGAAGTGGAAACGCTGTTACCAACATTCGTCACCGAGTTTGCCCTCATTAATTACCCCGCTTTCACCCTGACTGACGACGTCCGCAGCCCAGATCCCTCGGACGCCGACACCGGCTTCACGTAGACGATCCACGAGTACCTCCAAGAACGGCTCATACAGCTCCTTGTGGAAGCCATTGGCGTGATTCATAATGATCGTAGCATCGCCCTTCCTCGGCGTAGTGTTCTCCACCGGCGTATACTGATTTAACGCCAACCGCAAAACATCCGATGGATGCGCCGTACACCTCGGCCAAGCCCTTGGACTCGCAGCCGGAACAACATGATTCTTGATAACAAACCTCGACGAACGTGACATGATCGCTTCTCGGCTTTCCCTCCGTCTCTTCGGCGGCTCGGTATGGGATCTCTGCTCATGTGTTCAGGCGGTCCCATTTAAGGTTTGCGCTACACCCCCCAATGGTGCAAAGTGCGGGGAAGCCTGGAGAACGCGGAGCATCAAAGAGGAGGTCATACACCCGCACCTTGGATGTTGACCAGGTAAGTAAGCACGGACCTTTTCGACAGCGATGGTTCAACCAATCGAGCCAGTGTCGATGGATGGGTTTTCGTATTGCGGGAGGGACGCGATGTACGTTGAACTGCCCGGCGGACACAAACATTGCCGCGCTTCGCCTGGGGATATACGACTTGTCCTGGACCGGAACAGCACTCCCGCTCAGAGCTTGCCTGGTCACTGGTATACTGCTCAACTACTACATTATGGGTTCAAGCCTGTGTCGACTACCACGAAGCCGATCATGAGAAAGCTGTTATCAGACGCTTTCGATACCGGAAAACTAGTTGTGCCGAAGAGGATTGCTGAAGTCGAGGTAGAGCTGAAGAGGCTGTGGAAGGATGTATTACGAAGAAGAGGAGAAGATGCGGAAGCGGCTAAAGAACGCGCCCGATTGCTGGAAGCAGTCACGCAAGGACTGATCACCAAGCCCGGACCGAAACCAGGTGGACCAAAGCCTTACAGCTACAAGTCGACGAATCCTATAGCCGGTAATGTTCCAGGTCACCTTCTTCTAAATGGCTCCACCAAGCCATACACACCGCGGGGCCCCCCTTCACCTGAATCAACACGCTCTCCCGCCCCAATGCTGATCCCACCAACCTCCGGAGTCACTCCTCTCGCATCCGACACGTATGCAGAAATTTCAACCTCCCCCTCCTCCTCCTACCAAAAACGCCGCCGAGAATCAAACCTCTCAACATCCTCCTACGAATCCGCAAGAATCGAAGTACGGCGTCGCGCCGAAAAAGCCTGCGAACACTGTATCGAAGTCAAGCGAAAATGTATCTTCACAGCACCCACTGGCCCATGCGTACGTTGTGAACATGTCGGGGTGACGTGTATCCTCCGTCCAAATCCCGAAAGTCCACCCCTCGCCATGCGGCCTTCCCTCCGTGTGCGCCGAAGTCGAGGAGCGTGCACACAATGCTCAAAAGGGAAACGGCGCTGCGAACTCCTGGGTGGTATAGGCCCTTGCCTCCGCTGTAGAGAGATGGATTGGGCGTGCGAACTACCACACCGAGCAACGATGGACGGGCATGGCCAACCACACCTCCCGCAGGAAAGCTCGGAAGAACCGATGGAGAGCGTGAACGGGAATGGAGATCAGGATGGGGATGAGTATGGAAACGCCCCGGGTCCGTTTCAGGCTGTGTGGAGTCCGGAGTTAAGACCGCAGCTGGAGAGGGAGAGAGTTACGCTGCCGAGTTTGGCGAGTTTGGATATACTTGATAGGAGAGTGGAGAGGAGTGGCGATGGACACGCCAAGAAAATGGAGTTGGCGTCGCTGAGTGAGGCTGGGGGTGGAGCAGTGTTGTGGTCCAATGCAACGACTCCAATGGCACATGTACAGACGGAGAGTGCGGTTCAGTCTGCGAAAGGTAATCTGGAAACGCAGAATAGTACCGGTATGTCATATGGACCGGGATATCACCGGTCATTATGATGCAGGCTATGGCTACCAGACCATCCTCTTCCACAGCCGAGGAGGATTTTGAAAGCACTGTACGATTAGAGCTGGAATGGGTGCATTGCGTTTATGGTTTTCTTCTATCAGTTGATATCACGGGATTGTTGTTTTCTCAGTCAACAGCATTGGCTGCAACGTCTTGCAGGGCGTGCGTGGTCGCGCGTCGGAGGCCTTCCCAAATTTCTGCCCCGCAAACAGACATCCTTCGAAGACCCGAACATCCTTCCTCGGCCAGTCCAGCACCATGGCCGACCAAACAGCTCAATCAATTCCCGATGGTACGTCCTTGATTCTGTTTGTATTTCTTGCCTCCACTGACACCTCCAATGTACAGAGCTGGACATTTTCCCACCATGGGTCCTCCGCGTGGGTGATTTCTACCAGGAGCACCGCGTTACGTTTTTGGTAGCCTTCGTTTCTATCTGGGCTTTCATGTTTTATCGTCAATCCATCAGACCTTCTGTCTATGAGCCTGGTTTCAAGAGCACGGATGAGAAGAACGATGGTGCGGCCCAGGATGTGAACACGGAGAAGAGCGCGGAGAAGGAAGTGGACAGCAAAGAGGTGCAGAAGGAGGATGGCGCAGCTGCTGGAAAGAAGGCAAAGGGTCAGAAGAAATTTTCGGGACGTGGAAAGGTCACAAAGAAAGCCAAGCGCACCTCCTCTTCCGACGAGGAATCCACCACAGCTCCCACCACCGTCTCCTCCACCCCTGCCAACCTGACCCCTACCACCACCGACGACACCGAAACCTCCTCCGGCCCCCGCGTCCGCATCTTCTTCTCCACAATGACCGGCCAAACCGAAAAACACGCCACAGCCCTCCACCAACACCTCATCTCTCTTCTCCCCCCCGCCAACCGGCCCACCCTCCAGAACCTGGACTACCTCCCCGACCTGGACGAACTCTTCACCTCACCCGATGGTCCCTCGACTTACTACATCTTCCTCCTTCCCTCGTACGCCATCGAATCCCCGGTCGAGTTTTTGTTGAGTACGATGGAGGAGACATATAACGATTTTAGGGTTGGTGCGAAGCCGTTGAGGGGGTTAGGTGGGTTTGCGGTCTTTGGGACGGGAGATAAGGAGAGCTGGGGTGGCGATGACGAGTTTTGTTACCAGGCTCTCCAAGTCGATAGATGGCTCGGCAAGCTCGGTGGAAAACGTGTGTTTCCGGTCGGCATGGGAGATGTCAAAACTGACGTGAAGGAAAGGATTGGGGAATGGGCGGGGGGTGTTGCGGATGCCTTGCTGGATCCTGAGCAGAATTATGTTGAGGACGCGAGTGATGAGAGTGATGTGGAGGCTGAGGCGGAGGATGAGGAGGCTGAGGCGAATAAGCTTGTTGATGTGGAGGACATGGGTGCGATTATGAAGAGGTCGAGGGATGCGGCACTCTCCACTGCACCGAAAGAGATGGTCTCGAAGGCGTCGCCGACGTATGCGGCACTTACGAAGCAGGGATACAAGATCGTCGGAAGTCACTCTGGTGTCAAGATCTGCCGGTGGACGAAGTCTGCCCTTCGTGGTCGTGGATCATGCTACAAATTCTCCTTCTACGGTATCAAGTCCCACTTGTGCATGGAGACCACCCCATCCCTCGCATGTGCCAACAAATGTGTGTTCTGCTGGCGTCATGGCACGAACCCTGTGGGGACAACATGGAGATGGAAAGTCGACCCGCCGGAGCAAGTGTTGGAGGGTGCGCTCGAGGGTCATTACTCTAAGATCAAGATGATGAAGGGAGTTCCCGGTGTCCGTGCGGATCGTTTCCAGGAGGCGTTCCGCGTGAGGCACTGTGCTCTCTCACTTGTCGGTGAGCCGATTTTTTACCCACACATCAATGAGTTCCTTGAGATGTTGCACGCGAAACGCATCTCGTCCTTCCTCGTCACCAATGCACAACACCCCGACGCGCTCGCCAAATTGGGCCAAGTCACCCAACTCTACGTCTCGATCGATGCTTCAACAAAGGATTCCCTACGGAAAGTCGATCGTCCTCTCTTCAAAGACTTCTGGGAGAGGTTCCTGGAGTGTCTCGAGATCCTTGCCGACAAAGGCCAACGCACAGTTTACCGCCTCACCCTCGTCAAGGGCTTCAACATCGAGGAAGTCGAGGAATACGTCGATATCGTCCGTCGCGGTCGTCCCTGCTTTATTGAGGTAAAGGGCGTAACCTACTGCGGTTCATCTGAAGACTCGACACTAACGATGTCTAACGTCCCCTTCTACCACGAAGTCGTCGACTTCGTAACCCAACTCACCACACGCCTCGCCGCCGAAGGCCTCTCCATGCCTACATATGAAATCGCCGCCGAACACGCACATTCGTGCTCCGTCCTCATCGGGCAAACAAAGTTCAAGATTAACGACCAATGGCACACTCATATCAACTATGACCGATTTTTCGAGTTGTTGGAGAGTGGAAAGCCATTTGATGTGATGGATTATATTGCGCCGACGCCGGAGTGGGCTGTTTTTGGGAATGGAGGGTTTAATCCGGAGGATGTTAGGGTTGATCGGAAGGGGAGGCCGAAGGTTGAGAAGGTTGTGCCGCAGGCGAAGATTGTGGAGGTGCCGACTATGTCTTAAGATGTATCGGAAATTAGGGATATTAACAATGTCATGCTTTAAATCTCGAATTCTTGAATCTTGAACTGCCAAAAATAGCAAAAACGCCGAGCAAATCCTCCCCTGCCTGTTGGTATATTGAACTATGATAGAGCCCCGCTCCAATCACAACGTTCTGCACATCACAACTCGTTCCTTGAGCGACAATGCTGGTATCTCGTCCGCTCGCTCCCTCACGACCAACACCTTCTCGAGGTCTCTTCTTCGTCGGCTGTTTTCCAGAACCACACAATTCACCAGATCCCACTCTCCAAACACGCCATGTATCTTCATTTCCACTCGCTCTCCTCCTTCATCTGACCCACCAGCAGTCAACCTGAACTGCACCAGCGACGAGGCAGCATCAGTTCTCAGTTCATTAACACCTTCAGCTCCCTCCAAGGACCGGATTGCAGACTCGCGGAGTGCGTGTGCCAGAATTTGTCCCCTCAGTTCACGTGCAAAGATAGAGAGATCGTGGTTCAACCATCGTTTTGCGAGAGCGGCGAGCGGAATGAAGGCCGGAACGGTATGTTTGTATACCTCAAGGGATAATGACGCCGATGTTGATGTGGATGTTGGTCGAAGAATGAGATAGTGCGGCGCAGTAAACTTGGCTTGCGTAAACACTTCAATCCGCAGACCAATTAGCTCCTCACCCTCTCCGTCTCGCTTTCTCTTCTTGCCCATGGTCGGATTCGGCGATCGTAGTTTGAATACAGTCAACCCGCTCATTCTTCGCAAGTTCTCCACACATCGTGCCTCACTCTTCTTCCCATCGTTCAAAAGACGCGAAAAAATCGCATCGTCGTCACCGTCCGGTGAGCCCTCAGCATTACCCACCGCAGACCTTGCAATGGTCCGCGCTGCGTTCGCGGCTGCAACATCCGCAATGAGTCGCGAGCGCGATGATTGAAGAGATGAGAGTTCGCGACGAAGCCGCGCAACGTCGTTAGCCAGACGATCGGTATTGTTGGCCGTTGCTGGTCTAGGAGAACTTGTCGGAGCAGCCATCAAGAACTTCGAGGTTGTTGCTTGTTTCCAGGGATGTCGCGTTGGGTGTGTGTGGCTGGGTGCGCTCATGATCAGCCGCACAGCCATTGTTACTCCAGCGTCTGGTGTCCACCCCGATCAGCCTGAAGATGGGTAAGAAGGTACCATGGTTTGGAAGAGGGTTATTTCTTTAGTGTATTAAAGTTTCAGCTTCGTTCAGTGTGTAGCTTCTTAATGGTCGTCTTTTTTCGTGGTTTACGCTACCTACCGATCACGAGTGGAGTGTCTAAGCCTGTATCAAGCATACTCTCAGTTGCAATATACTGCTGTGTGCAAAATTCTTGACGCGCATTTTCGTACATGCGCGAGACCCCTGTAACGGTAACATAAAACACCTCCAAACAGCTCGAAAAAGGGTCTAGGAAACTCAGTAAGGGTCGAAATGCTTGGGAAGATATGTGCCGATGTCGACCGCGACAAGGTAATCGACCAATATGCTTCTGGGAAGGATGTCTACGAAATAGCGACCAACATTGAGAGGTCTCCTCGCACGGTTTACCGAATTGTGAAGAGATTCGAGGAGACAGGTCTTACTGAGCGTAAGGGCAACTCAACCTGCGGGCGCAAATCGGCTGTTGACGAGTTTCTGGGCTCGGTAAGTAGACTATTACTGCTCATGGGTACCACCAAGGGCATGACTAAATGACCGCAGCAAATCAAGTACCTGTACGACAAAAACCCTACCCTGTATCAAGATGACTGTGCTGAGTTCCTCAATGATCAATTCGCTACATCTCTATTGCGCTACCATGTCACCCGCTACCTGCAAAAGATTGGATATACCTGTAAGGTTTTGACCTTACGGGCAGCCCAGTGCAACCCTATCTTACGCGCAAACCATGCCATTGAAATGGCTGACTATACTCAAGAGCAGCTGGTATTTCTCGACGAATCAGCCGTGGATGAGCGCACGGGTTCACGAAAATTTGGATACTCACCAACAGGCGCCCGCGCTATCCAGGAGAGGGTCTTTGGACATTCGACACGGTGGAGTGTGCTGCCGGCATTGACTATTGAAGGATTGAAGGCGCTGCGCATCTTTCAGGGGTCCTTCAATGCTGACCGATTCGTCGAATTCATCGAAGAGGACCTCCTACCAATCGTTGGGCCATTCCCTGGTCCAAACAGTGTCATTGTGCTTGATAATTGTCGAATTCATCATGATCCAAGGGTTGCTGAACTCTTAGTGAACCAACATGGCTGCCGCATTGTGTTCTTACCGCCATACTCACCCGACCTCAACCCCATTGAGCTCTGTTTCAGCATGATGAAGGCCTGGATGAAGCGCAATAACAACGACCCTGACGCCCGTCTCGACCCTGCCTCATTTATTCGCAAAGCGATCGACTATATCAATACAGATCTCGAAAAGATCCGCAATTTGTACACGGGATGTGGTTATGTGCTGACCGGCATGGATTTGCGCCAATATGTTGATAACAACCGTGAAATGGCCGCTCGAGCGGCTGAGCGGGT